CTGATTCGATCAGGACGCTGTCATCAATTTTGCCTGGGAACCCAAGGGCGATACACGTGTTTGTCCTCATCACCACCGGCGAGGTCGTCCCCAACGCAGCAGTCGGACCCAAGACTGCTGTGTCCTTCTTCGCACCCGAGAAGCTCAAGGGCGGTGCTCCCGGTAACTTCCGCCACATCCGCACCATCGACAAGAAGAACAGCAACGCCATCTACTGGTCGCCCAAGGGCCGATTCGTCGTTGTCGCTGCTCTGCAATCACAACAGTCTTTCGAGCTCGACTTCTATGATCTCAGCTTCGAGAAGCCCAAGGATGAGTCCGAGAAGGGCGACAAGGAGCTCAACGCCAACCTACAGCTCATGGAGACGGTCGAGCATTACGGAGTCACCGACATCGAGTGGGACCCCACTGGTCGCTACGTTGCTACCGTTGCAAGTGCGTTCCGCCACCGCATGGAGAACGGCTACCACCTGTACGACTTCAAGGGCACGCTCCTCCGCGAAGAGAGCATCGAGGGCTTCAAGCAGCTCCTCTGGCGCCCACGCCCACCTACCCTGCTCTCCAAGGAAGAGCAAGCCGAGATCCGCAAGAACCTGCGCAACTACTCCAAGGTCTTCGACGAGCATGATCTTGCCAAGAGGAGCTCCGCCAACCGCGCTGTTGTCGAGGCACGCCGCGAGATGCTGCAAGAATGGAAGCAATGGCGTGAGGATGTCTTGCACAGGCTTCAAGAGGAAGGTGCGGATCTGGAACTCAGTGCTGCGAAGGGAGAGGCGCCGGGTAAGGCGGAAGACGGCCATCTTGAGGAGATTGAGGAGATTGTCGAGGAGATTATCGAGGAGACTGAGGAGGTCATGTAGGGTGGTTTGATGTGCCACAACGAAGAACGAATGATGCATACATTTGCCAAAAATAACCAGTTCCACTTGATTGACCGTTGTGGTGTTCGGAGAGGTGCGGTAATCCTACTCGAGATCTGCAGGCTTCTAGAAGTCAACAAAGTCTCGGCTGTTCTGTGCTTCCGATCATCTAGCATGCTTCACGTGTACTTGGCGAACGGTCCTTGGATCTCCATGCCTTTTCACGATAACTAATCACATCACTTGCAGTACGACAGGCAATTGTTCTCGACAGGGTTTCTACTCGCCTAATAACTAATCATATCCCTTGCAATACGACTGGGACATGCGGTCCATATAAGAAAGTCTCCGGGACGACTCGGATACATCTGAAGCACGAGACGGAAAGAAGGGCTTCACGGCCTCCGACTACGCTCCGTTCCGCATCCTTCATGATCACTTCAAAGCTTAACACAGCCTCATTGGCGCTGTGAAAGCTCGCAATCTTCGCTCGAATAGGAAAGCCCCGCATGCCCCCCAACCGCTTCTCCGAGAAGATGACCACGCAACGTGAGCGGATGCGTGTGAAATATGGTCTGCCCTAGAAATACCGGGCTTGAACCGTTATATGCTTCTGGCGCCTTCTTTCACGCAGTGAGATTCCTTTGTTTGCGCCCAGTGTTGCGATTACTCAGCTGTGCCTGCGCTGATCTAAGATCTCGGAGCTATCGGACCAAGACTCGTCCGTCCCCAACAATCTCTCTTTCTCTCTGTAAATCTCACCAACAACACGGAACTGTTCAACCAAGGGTCCTCTTACATTTAACGATTTCTCTCTCGGAACGCTGGGGAGAGAAGAGTGGATATATCCATCAGCAAGAGCACGGGTCTCGACGGAGACGGAGGAAGCTGAGCGGGGACTAATATTCGCCCGCACCAAGTTCCAGAACTTTGGGTGTGCTTGCAGACAATCAAGATGCCAAAGGACGAGTCGCTGCCGACCCGCAAAAAGATGCGGAAAGGCACCCATAGCTGTTTTGAATGTATGTTGACCCTATTGCGATTACTATCCGCTTGTCGCGTTGCACTTTCATCATCTCTTTTACCATTCATCATTACACCATCTCATGCTTGCGCCCTTGACCATTTTCTCCCTGTCAAAAGCTCTCCCTAATCAATGCAGGTCGCCGTCGCAAGATCAGGTGCATCTTCTCCCCTGACAACTCCGAAGTCTGCACAGAGTGCTTTGCGCGAGGAAGCAGATGTATCGATCAAGAACATGCCAACCCGGAGGTGGTTGTCGACCATAGGAAGAATCTCCCGGGAACGAGTATCGCGACTTGAAGCGCTCGTTGAGAAACTTGCTTGATGACAAGACCATCAAGTCTGAGAGCCGCAGCCAGAGCATGAGTCAAGCAGATACCTCGTCACCAAAGGCACCTACGCTGTACAACAAGGATGCGTATCCTGCAACGCCATTAACCTCCGAAGGATCAGCGAACTTTCTGCAGAATAGTCAGCGTGTGCCGTCGAATCGAGGTCACCACATCCCCATCCTCTCCGTCTTTGAGGATGCTGTAAGTTCACAGTCTAAACTCACGTGCCTATACCATACTTACAACCCCAGCTCAACGACGCGGAAGACCAAGCCAATGCGCGCGACCCAACTCGCAAGGCATCAAAACCAAAACCATCAGCAGCTGCTGATGATCGCTACACCATCACAAGCCGCCATGAAGATGACATGGTTATCGGCGAGTCACTTGTACAATCACCGAAGACAGAAAAGGCTAAACAAGCTCTGATCGCCATGCTCCCTCCATACGACCAGCTTACCAAACTTCTCAGCACTAACAGTGGTTGGTGGCACACGTGGCGACGTAAGTGTAGTGGTACTTCGGGGCCGAATCAGACGCTACCCCAGTTCGCGGCGCATGCTTTAACGACGGGTAATATTGGCGCTATCGGTACTGTCTTGCTGTCTGTTGGTATATGCGCATCTGATGAGAATGGCGATGTCGATAAGTACGTTGAGGCTGTTGATCGGTGGGTGCTCTCGGATGATGAGTATGCGGCTACTCTCGAGGGCATGGAGTGTCTCATCCTGAAGGCGAAGTGGTATGCCGATGTGGGTCAGCCGCGGAGAGCTTGGATCGCGTATCGCAAGGGATTGATGTATTGCCAACTCATAGTAAGTCATTCTCTCGACGAGATTACGACTAAATTCTAACGAAGATAGGGCCTGCACCGCAAGCGTACCTCATCTGCTGCTCATGAGAGCATTTGGTGGGCGCTGTACCACGGCGATCGCTTCCTATCGCTTCTTCTCGGCCTTCCGTATGGTATTAGCGATGCCCACTGTGACTTGTCGTTGCCTGAACTTGACAACAGCGAGTTCATCCACCCGCTAAATGCCATCACCAAGGTCTCTCAACTCGCTGGCCGCGTCATCGACCGCAACCAAGGCATCACAGAACAGTCGTTTGCGTGGGCCTTGCAACTGGATCAGGAGCTTGAAGATCTGTGGAAACAGCTGGATCCGTCCTGGATCGACTATTCTGAGCTCATGTTGGATGCTGAAGGCAACGCTGCAGAACTCAGGGAACGTATCATGGGCCAGATCTGCTTCCACCAGATTCGCGTCTACCTCCACCTACCCTTCATGCTCAAGTCTGCTTCCAATACGCGCTTCACATACTCTCGCACGGCATGTTTGAACGGATCTCGCGAAGTCCTGCGCCTGTACCAGGCCCTTCGCACAGGCGGTGTGCAGCCACTTTACGAGTGCAAAGCCGTCGACTTTATCGGCTTCACCGCCGCCGTCCTCATCCAAATAGGCCTTCTCAACTTCGGCAACCTCCCCTCCGCCAGCACGCCCAAAGACGTCGAAGAAGACATACGCCTGATCGAAATCAGCATCGACATCTTCCGGCGCGCCTCGACCGAAAAAGGCGGTAAAGTCGCCCTTCAGTCTGCCTCCGTCCTTGAGAAAATGATGAGCAAGTTCAAAGGCGGCAAATCCCACGACGATTGCACCGGCGACTCAGACTTTGTCATCCCCTACTTTGGCACCATCTCCATCAAGCGTGGCGGCCAGAACGTCCGCACGCCTATCGATCTCCCAGACATGCCGGCGAGAAGCCCCAGTGTAAGAAGTACAGGTACCGCGCCAGGTCTCTACACTCCGTCCTCTGAACACAGCACCACCAACACCGCCGCCTCAGACCTCTTCTCCGCAGCCGCACCTACTCAATCTCTCAACCTCACGCCCAAAACCTCGCTGCCTGCCAAATCTGCGCCAACATCGTCATTTGCATTCGCCGACCCCTCGCCCTTCGCCACATACAACGGCTTCTACAACTGGGACAACCTGAACGCCGAAGACAGCAGTGCTGCGGTGGGAGTTAACCAAGCCCTCGTGAATGACGACAGCATGAACAACTTCCCCCTCCCGACGAACAATTTCTCCTGGCAGCACATGCCCATGGACATCGATCAGGACTGGAGCTGGTTCTTGAATGATAGCCAGACGCAGGGCGCGGGCGCGGCGGGACAGGGCCAAGCGCAGGCGCAGGCGCAGGTTAATCCAGATGTTTTTGGCGCGCAGGGGTTTACTGGATTTGGCTGATGAGTCAACATGCGGTGCATGGTGGTGTACGATATCACGAGCAAGGAGGACATTTTGAAAACGGCTGGATGGGCGATATCCAACCAACGGCGTTGAAATTCCTCGGCGAATGAATACAAGAAAGGGCTGGGGATAGATTTCTTCTTCTTCCGGGACCGCGCATGCGTTTACTCCACTTTCGCTTGAAGAGCTTAGTGATGTAATACTAGTGGAATTCTTTTGTTTTCACGCAGAGCCTCATACCATTCCTTGGGCCAAAGTCAAGTGAAGCTAATGGTAATACCTCACCCCACATATACCTGCAGGCGCACTCCGCTGTGGAGTCCGCCTACCCTGCCGCTCACCGGCCACATGCTGACCGGTCGGGTTTAACATTTTTTCTTGGCTGCATCACGCATGCATGCATGTATGGCACCCGGCTACGCCGAGCATACCAGAAGGAGGAAATGGTCTTGTTCAGCCTTCCGCATGATGTCAGAACAAAGCATCCGAAATTCGAGTATTACGACTACGTAGAACTACGCTATGATTTTTGTTTTCTTCGTTCCGCGCTGCGTTGCGCTGCGCTGCGCTGCGTTACATGACATGACATCGATACATTCGTAAGAAATAGTAGGAAGAAGAGGGTATAAACCAGCCCCGCCCAAGAAAGATGTGAAAAAGACGCAAAAAATGCCGCGGAATCAAGTCGTAAAAGTCGTCTGAAAGTCCAAACGTATTTGCGTGCGTGTCGTGAATATGTCGTGAATGCAGAAATGCAAGACTGTGGTGCGTTTCGTTGTTCATGAGGCGTTGGGCAGCCAAAACGACAACAAAAACTCTCCAACCAGGCGCGCCGAGTACTTCGTCTGGTTCGCGTACGATATGCTGACGCGTTGCTGTTGGCGTAGATAATCCGCTGTGATCAATCGTCAGCCTCTACTAGCATCTCACAAACAGAAAGGGCGGACTTACTATTCTCCTTAACCAACTGCGCAACCTGCCTGACAAACTCCACACTACTCTTATCCCCGAACCCGACCTCCTTCTCCCAATCATGCTCACTGTGCACCAGCGGGTTATGCTTGCGATTATACTTCCACCGGAAAATCTGCTGCACGAAGAGCATGCGCGTGTCGATTTCGCGGCACGCGGCGTCGGCCACGTCCTGCGCGTCGCGGGTGTCACTGCCCTGCATCGCAGCTTTGGTGTTCATAACTAGATGGATGTTTTTCTGTTGGTCTTCGAGCGCCATGCACATGCCTAGCACTGCCACGAAGGCGGCCAGCCATTTGTCGCAGCCCTTTGAGGATTTGAAGATTTGCTGCAGTTTGTTTAGAACCGTGGCTTGGATCTGCCGCTGGAGTCGCGAGAAGAAGTATTTTAGCTGGCGGTTCGTCATACGGGGGGACGTGAAGTTGTCGGCATAGGCGGCGCGCCCGGCGTAGCTGTGCATGCGTTGCAGGGTCGTGTGTTTGCCTTCTTCGGCGATGGTTAGGGCGTGTGACATGATGAATGTGACGACGACGAGGCGGAAGACTTCGCGGAGGAGTTTGGGCTTCATCATCGTTCTTGGGCTTGACGCGCGTCATGAGCTTGAAAAGCTTTTGTAGAAAGTCGTTGTCGTCTTCGAGCCAGCAAAGCTCGCCGAAGGCATCGAGATGGTGGTCGACAATGTCCGTGATGTATTTGTCATACGTCTTCTCTTCGTTGTGGTTGATGTGGACCATGCCTAGGGCTGGACTTTGCTTCTTGACTGCTACTCTAGTGTTTGTGCGAGGGTCAGTGATGTATTGGATCTGAACGAGTAGTTCATTGCCTTTTGGTACGAACTCGTACACCTTGACAGGGATGCGTGGCATGTTGTAGCCGCCACATGTCATGTAGAGAGTGAACTCGGTGTTGCCCCAACCATGAACGTACGAGTTGACAAAGTGCTTCAGACTCGAATCTTCGTGCATTTGAGTCACAAGCTCCGGCAGAAAGTATGGCGACAGTTCGACAAGTTTGATGCGGATGCAACCCAATCCACAGTCGGCATTAGGTCGTTGCGAACGCTTCAGGCAGCGTGCACAGATTTCGCCGTCACTGCACTTGTCTCGTTGGAGGACGCAGTGCCAACAAGCAGAGATCTTTCGCATTTCATGTGCGGACTTTGCAACTTCTGGCTCCAAGTGTGTTCCAAGCGCCCTGCCACCGTTTTTAGCCAATTGATTCTTCAGCGCAGTAGCAGCCGATTCCTGCTCCAGGGCACTCTCAAAAGAGCCAGCCGCAATGTTGTTGGTTGGCATGTAGTTTGCAGTCATGCTCATGCTGCCTGTCGGTGGTGGCTGCAGAAATTGCTGTTGCATGGGGAATGGATCGAGCATCATGGCTTGGTCCGAATGGAACGAGAACACGCCGTCCGAGCCACCAGGACTAATAGCTGACGGGCTCAATAGCGGCTGGTATGGCGAATGTGGGAATTGGCTGATTGAAGAATTGCCGGGTGATGACGGCGGTTGGTGTTGGTCGGTGATATAGTTGTCTGTGAACAAAGTTGAATTTGCATCGTAGTTGATGAATCCTTGTAGGTCGGGTGACGGTTCCACTCGAGGCCACTGAGCTTGGGTAGGGCTCATAGTCTGCATGTGAGAAGGTGGTATGCTGACTTGTGGTCGGTGAGGTATACTGTGCTGGTTCATGTTATGTGCTGCAGCCATGTTGAAGAAAGGTTCCTGGGGCGGCGCTCTTTGTTCACTCGGTGAGACCAGTTGTGTGGGATCCGTAAAGTGTTGAGTCCAGGATTCGACATCATTGTAATTCTGATAATGCCCGTAGTCGACCGGATGTGGATCTGTCGCTGGGTCGAACATGACACTTGCCGTTCGAGGAATCATCGAAGATCTCGACGGGCTGTGTCCATTCCATGGTTCATGTTGAACGGGTTGCGCGGTGTAGTTTGGCGCAAAAGCATTCATATGAGGCTGTGCTGACTGGAATTGATTCACATGCTGGCTTTGTACATCGTACTGTGGCTGGTATTGTTGTGCCTGCACGGTTTGTTGCAGAGCATCTTGTACAGCTGTGCGTGTCAGCGACTTGGAAATTAACGAGTTCAAATAACATACCGTGGTTGCTTATGGTGCCTTGAGGCGTGAAGAACATGTTTGTGTCCAGCGCTGGGATGGCGTTGTGCGAGACTTGAGTCGACATGTTTACGCCGTTGTGTTGGTAAAAGGTGCGCATATCTTGATCAAGCATCTCCACCTCGAACGACTCGCCGTCGGGGGTCCTTACAGACGTTGGGGAGTTAGAGAGGCTACCATCGTCCCAAAGCATTTGGTCAGGCACTGGTTGATCCCGAGGTAGCTCTGGCGGCCGTGAGGGGTTGCGATCGAGAGGCGGCGTAGCCGTCAAGGGGGTTGGCGACAATCCCAGTGTGGTTGATCAGCGAGTCTGTTGGTGTCTTCTCGCGCCCAGTGCCATGTTGATTGACGGCGAGCGCGTGCGGGTCGAAGAGGAGCGACGTTTGCTGATAGTACTGGTACTGCTCATCGAACATTGACATGACGCACAAACACCCGCTGGGGGCGGCCGAACAGGACTAAGAGTCGTTGGACCCTTTGCATCCGAAGGTTCGTGAGTGCCGTGCAAAGCGATGTGCCAGGCGCTCGTTCCACCGACTGGCGCCCGTGGAGTCGCGGAGAAAACCTCGGATTGGCCTGAAGGGGAGCGCAACAACAATCACACAACGCGATGCGGTCTGAGCAGAGTGAGGGACCTCCACCAAGGCTCGAGGGAAGACGCGCAAGAAGAATTCTGTTTCAGAAGCGGCTGAAGTCAGACACAGGTTCAGATGGCGGGTACTGATGCAGCTACGGAGTCCATCTCACGCCTGCCCCGCGACGACCGGTGAAGAAGGCGCCCAGAAATGTAACTATTGGCCTAGCTGCATACAAGTGCACAGCATCTGGAGCACACCAACCCGAACCGATGCTGGTGCTGCACATTACCGATCGTTTGCCGTCAGATGCAGCACGGAATCGACTGTTGCAGGGCCTCTGAGCACAGCCGGCCGCATTCTGCGCCTCTCGTCGTGGAGATTTCTTCTGGGATGCTGGTGTGTCTCGATGCCTCAGGCTTGTCGGGGCATCGCGACATGCACTGCGCCCCAGTCGCTAAGCTGGGCTGATCAACAGCCGTCTCTGGTGAGACGAATCGCAAGTCGCACACCTAGTGACAAACGGAGAGGATACCATGAGTTGGTATCTGATGCGGCTCTGCTGTATTGACCGGTTCGAATTCATGACAGCGCATCCATCGCTCGCAGGGGGCAGCGGCAATTCTTGCTGCGCTCACGCCAATGGTTTGCTACAGCGATGCGCATCGTGCGCGTGTTTCCCCTCTGTCAAATCGCTTTGGGAGCTGGCATGACGAAGGCGAGATTGGCTATAGGTCTTCTCGTGAAGTGTGCCAGCGCACGACTGCGACGATGCGGGAGATCAGGAGGTTAGTGCGGGGGTGGGCTTACCTCGAAGCCTCCGACCTTTGGTGGTCTCCGAGGAAGACATGGCCAAACCACAATGGTGCACCCGGTCTGCAGCCATAGTCGGAGGTGGCAAGGTAATGTGTGGGCAGTTTGTGTAGTTGACCATGTGCAGCAGGCAGCTTCTTGAGGAGCACCAGGCCGTTGACCGCAACTTCCGCTTCTGCCTTGCGACACGCCCAACTGGGACAACGCACGTTACTTGCTTGCCAGCCATGGCTAGCATTGAGAATGCTAGATCCGGCTTTCCATGGCCTATTACCGGGCGACAGGAGACGAAGGTCTACTCTCTCTAGTAGTCTCGACTGCTATTGCCACAGTTCACGGTGCTAAGCCTGCATCATTCTGTCGCAAGGCTTGTATGCACCTGTCGAGGTCAGAATGTGCGACTGTTACCAAAATTGCAGTTCAGAGCATTGCAGCAGCACAGCTCTTCTTAAACATTTGGTGCTACTAAACCAGTGCGCCATGGTTGGTTCGCTGCGCGCGGGGTGGAGTTTGGGTGTGCAACGGAGCTCGTTTTTTTTTGTGAATCCGCTACACCAAATCTGGACGAAGTTCACTCCGTCCAGGAACTCCGATTTCTCCGTCTCTTTGCGAGTAAACACAGTTCACAACTGCGAAAGTAATACTCGACTGACAGTCGTGCCATCACTTCACTCAAATTACAAGATTCGGATACATACACTATGCTGCGTAGAAACGGAAAGCCAAGGTTCGTAGTTACCCCGAGACAACTCCATGTCAATCAAAGGTCATCACCTACGATGACCACGGACCGATCTCTAGCTGTGGCATTTGAGGCCCAGCAGTGCTGTATATAGCTTCAGGCTGTCGCATAGGCTGACTCCGAGACTGCCTAGGTCGTGTGAACCATGCCGAATATCGAAGATCAAGTGTGACCATGCGACGCCCACCTGCGAGAAATGCGTCGCTCGTGGTATGGTGGATCAAGTAAGCTGCCCAGGTACCTGATACTGCATTTTATCAGCTTCGAGGGAAAGCGAACAAGCCCATGCGGATGAACGGACATCCTGAAGCTGTACACGATATTGCTAGACTTCGGATGCGATGCCAACACTGCGTATAGCTTCAGGCTGTTGGATCAGCTGCCACCTAATCGCTTTTCATCGTATTTGCGGTTGGTTCCCGCGCTGATTCGGAACGCAGTGCTTCTACCATCCGAACCCCATGACTAAGCCGGCTGGCACTCCTCGCAAGAAGCCGGAGCCTCGTCGGCGGAAGGCTGATATCCATTCAGCACAGGATGTCGGAAGACTGACATCTTTGACCCTGAGTCCCCCCACCCTGCGCAATGAAGTCGATGCTGTTCCCCTCGGCTCGTGGCCAACGCCACCCAGCTCTGGATGCAGAGGACAGTCTGCTTCTCATCCCGTGCGGAGCTTCTACCTTGGCTCAACAAGCTACGCAAGTGTATTTTCAGAAGATGTGCCCTTGCCGGATACAGTGCACCAACAGCCGTCCGAGAGGATGAGTGCAACGCCTTCATCTGTGTCAAGCAGGAATATGGGAACGCGTCACTGTCAAATAGGAGTAGGCCATTCAGTTGTCTCCCGTCTGTCGCCTTTTTCGCTCCTGGAGAAGGCTATGGAAGGATACTACGAGTCCACTGTGACATACCTCCTCCTACGGCCATTGATCTTGTCTTTATTGCCTCAGCTTCGCGAAGATGTTCAGCGACTGACGGCTCCCGGTGCCGATCTCCCTCAGATGTATGCGGAGATAACGAGAAATACAGCAAAGCCTCTCAAGATTCCTCCGACTATGCTCCCGTCAGAGTTCCACACCGCGTTGACGGGGGAGAATCTGCGATGGGAAACTCTTGGTCTTGCATTGGCTTTAATAGCAGCCCACGCGGAGCACGTCCTTCCAAATGATCCCTTCTTCACACTTGACAATGGCAGCAAGTTAGACAGAGATGAGTTTATCGAAGACTTGATTCAAGCTACTAACGATTGTATCACGCTTTGCCAAACTCACGGAGCGGTGAGCGATATCATGGTTTGGCTTGTTTGCTGCAACGTACACCTTGTCAGCGGCTATTATGGAGACAATTGTGCGTACATGTACCAAATAACCCCACATCATCTAACAGAATATAGATCACGGTACCTATCGACGGATGAGCGAAGCCATATCTGCTTTATATGCAACTGGCATGCACTGCGAATCGGAAGCGTCCAAGTCGGAGCCCCTATTCATGAGAGAAGCACGGAGGAGAGTTCACGCGTGCATTTATAGGACTGACAAGACACTTGCTCTATTTCTTGGCAGGCCACCTATGATGGTTTGGAGATACAGCGATCGCAGGCTGTTGCTTGACATCAGCGACGAGGCTGTCTGTTCAGATGACCCGGAAGTCTTCAGGTGAGTAGTGGCTGTAAATGACACTTCTAATGAAAATGCTAACTTCTACACAGTAAGTTAATACTTTCCCAAGGTGGCTCAAAAGTATGGCAGTGGTCCGACCTTTCTCATACTATGTTCTTTCGGATGTAATACGTGCTAACTGCGGCTTCTTCTTTACCAGACGATGCTGTCTTAAACTTAAATTCCGGAGGATGGAACACCAAGGGAGAAATCTATCCTGCGTCATACCATCGCCTACGTTGTCAACATGCGGTCTATAAGGAACGCTTATTAGAACAGTCTTTGGCTGGTGAGAAAGACAGCGATGTCATCGGCAACCTGCAGTAAGTATGATCCCATCAGCTACTCGATGCTCATCGTATAGCCTGAAGCTATACCAGGGCGTCGCTAGAGCAATCAGATACTAGCATGCTGTGTAAAGCTTCAGGCTGAGCTATCACAAAGGCCATTACTAACCATCACAGAGTTATCTCCGCCGAGCTGACACAATACTGGGAATCACTGCCCTCCCAGCTCCGCTACGACATGTACACCGACGTCTCCTGGAATGCTCTCGACGCCAACATAACCCCCATCCTCCACGCTTCCTACCTCGAGTACATGCATATGCACTTTCAGATCCAACGTATGCTGCACCGCCACCGCCCCCAAGCCCTCCCCGATCTCCTCGCCGTCTCCCTCAAACTCCTCGCCACTTCCCTCGCCTGGCCCAAAGCACGAACCGGTACGCACAAATCCCGCGGCCGCTTCACTACCGTTTACCATATCTTCTGCTACCCAGCTGCCGGCCTTCTCGCGCTTGAACTCCGTCGCTGTACAATCGAGGGCACATCGCTCCCTAGTACTGTCTCGCGCGCTGATGTCATCCGCAATCTATCCGTCTTGACGTCGTGCCTGGAGTGGATTGTCCTGCCGAGCGACGCAAACCACAAGCTTTGTAATGAGCTGAACAAGATGCTCGCCATGATTCTGGACGAAGTACTTAATTACCAGCCGCCTGTGCCCAATGATGTTGATGCAATGATGGGCTCGGTCAACGCGCCTGGTTTCTTCGATATGCCAATGATTGAGGGCTTGGAGCCGATTCCGACGGAGGCGGAGGACTTTTTGAATTGGTTGGATCATGCGACGTGGAGTAATAACGTTACTTTGTTCTGACCAATCGGGCCTGCTGCAGACTATCTAGCGAGTTATACACCAGTCTGTATAGCTTTACAGGCGTGTTAGACTGCGATGTATTCTTGAGTGGGCCTTGAATATAGACATGCTTAGCTGTCGCTACGTCGTACTGTCCAGTGTAGTGCGTAGGAACATGTACCAGTCCTTGCGTCGTCTGTTGAAAGGTGATGAACACAAGGCAGGTAGAACATTTTCTTACTCGCCAAAAAGATACCCAATACAACTCGAATAAACTAAGATCAATCCGCAATATGACATTTGAAACAATTTACTCCTTGCGCCGTGGATCTCGAGCCAATCAAGATCTACTCCTTCTAACGTTCCCTGGCAAACTTATTCATCACGCCCTTTTATCCTTTTCGCACTGCTACCCCAATCATCTCCCCCTCCCTCACAAAGTCGCAAAATAATGCGCCCTCGCCGCATGCTTCGCCTCATCCCTTGCTACCTTCTCATCTACTGCCGCCTTCTTATCCCTGTGCGTACTCTCATCTGAAGCTGCGAGGGCGGTCAGTCATGTCATCAAAAGGGCGGCACAACCCAAACTCACATTTTCGATGGAAAATCTTGCCAACGAGGGTTTTAGTTGTTGATGATGATTTGATTGATGAAGTTTCTGACGGCGAGTATGCGGGAGGTGCGGTGTGTGGTGTGGAAGTGGAAGTGGGTGATGGCTTTGATGTTTGCGGCATACTGAGGTTGGGAGCTTCGCGGGAGAAGATGGATGCGAAGGATTGGGAGTTTGAGGGTCGGGATGACATTGAAATTTCGATGTATAAATGTTTCTTGAAAGGTTTATGAGATCGAGTGTTTGTCTAAAGATTTGGATCAATGCCTGTGCAATATTTCTTACGCCCGTCTCCTCATGTATCTTTTATACACACACCTCCTCCATAACATAAAGGGCGCATCACAATACATCCGAACAGTCACACCAAGCATCGGAGTAAAACCCATCATGGTATCTGAATAGTAGCCTCACATAATTCGATATTTTGAGGACAAGCTCCAGGCAACAATACTTATTTGGACTAGTCCCAGGATTGATCAGCACGATGCTTGCCATGCGCGTCTGACTCAACGATTTACTCCTCAGGCGCCCAACGCCGAGTGCGCGTAAGATTGGGAGGTGCACGTAATCGTTGGAGGTACATATGTCCGAGCAAATAGTCGCCAAGGATGAATGGACGTGGGAAGTGTGTGAAGCTCGGCTCGGAGTAACGCAAAGATTGGCGAAATTCAGCGCAACAAGGATGGCCGTCATAACACCAATCGCGGGCTTATGATGTTAGCGTCTATAATGCTTTGCAGGCGTTGGTTCGTCAGCTTAGTGTATAGCACGTGGTGTGCTGGTATCGGAGTGGATTTCATGCCGATAGAACAGGGATTGGCGTAAGCTTGAAGTAGAGCAACGAAAGTTTGTCCGATAGTGGGAGATATGTCGAACGTACTCTGGACATAGATGCAATGTGGTTTTGCAGTGATGCAGTCGAAAGCTAATGCGGTAGCTGTGATGGTTCCATCCCAATGGGATTGTTCCAGAGCTCAGTTTTCGGTGCCCATATAGAACGCCCATCGATCACGCCATGAACTTCTCAACTCCCCATCGAGAAATGGTTGGAAAAGCTTCGAAACCAATTTGGTGGCTCACAACGTGATCATAAGCCTTTGATATTGTTCAGACCAATATACCACGATAGTTGTCGCTGGAAAACGCAGCAGTTAGAAGGAACTGTTGTAACACGCCATGTCGTGGCCTATACGGCCCGTGAACGCGTAAGTCACTGCTTATGGATAGCAATAGAACAGCTCATTATGGTATTTGAGAAGACAATCCACCGTTATACAGGTTTCTGTGCTTCCCAAGGATAGTTTGGTGTTGAGGCTGGTGAGTGGGTCTTGCAAGTCATGCGCCACCGGCTGAGTGGTGCCGAACGTGACAGGATCCCCGCAATGTGATGCCAAGTCGTCAAAGATCGCCTGAGAACGCGTCAAGCAGGCACGGCGACGTCATATCACGACGAGCAAGCTTCACCTAAGCGGCACTCACGGCTCTTGTGCGACGAATTGGGATACTGTTGGAGAGCCAAGTGGAGCGTAATTGGCGGTTCGAGGTCGAGAATCCTGCACACACGCTTGTACATACGTCAATTGTAAACACTCAATCGATCCTGTCCCTTACCTTGCGGCGGGTCGTGCATGCCCCATAGAACTTTGAACGTTCCCTGTTACTTTACCTGTTTTTAGTGTTCGATTGTTCGGGCGACAGCTTTCACGACTTACGACTTACGAAGCTACGTACAGCTAACTGAGCAGCTCCACCGATCACCCTTTCTCGCTCAGCCTCAACCGCCGAATACTGCGCGATTCTCTATACTGCCCACCATGTCGGGTGTAGAAGACGTGGAAGACAAGCGGAGGGCATACAAGGCACCCCATAACGCGCACAATCCCATACCCACGGTCAAGAAATATCGCGAAGAGAAGGAGCGAAGACAGGAGGCATATGGCAACGATGATGGTGCAGCGAACGAAGACGAGCGAACGGCCCGTGACAAGCTCGGCGATGCGTACAATGCCTTCACTGGAAAAGGCCACGACGAGATACATGATGGAGAGCTTCCTTATGAAGCCCAGAACAAAAACCTCGTAGAGGCACAAGACCTGGAAGAGGCCGACGACCATTCTGGAGAAACTGCGAATCGCACGAATAAGCAATTGCCACAAGACACAGACGATGATGAAGATGTTCAGGATACGACAGAAGGTCACTTGCACGAGTCGGATCCCAAAAAGGCGCGCAAGAAGATGAAGAAGTTTGACGCAGACGGCACCGAGCGCGAGGTGACAGACCCAATAACACATCTGCCCGTCAAGATACACGACTTTACCGACAAGGACCTCAAGAGAACCCCAAAGAATGCCCCACCGGCTGGCTCAGAGCCTAGGACGATGACTGCTATGGACGCCATTGACAAGAGCGACGAGCATCTGAAGGAAGAAGAGGAGGAATCGAAGGACTCGCACACTGCCATGCAGGCTCTCTTCCCTCCTCCTGACTTCGATGCGACCAGGGGCGAAATCACAGCTGTCTACTCAAGATCATTGTCAATAGCTCTCGGGGCAGTAGTCGTGAGCCTCGTCGTAGTCGATGCCATGTTCTGGCCCACCCGAAGGATGGGAGGCTGGAGAGGTCAGATGTGGAAGGCTATACAGACTGTGATAATGCTTGCTGTTGCTGCGGCTGTAGCAGCATTTATGCGGCAATACACGAACAACCGCATCAAGAACGTGTGGGACGTAGAAGTCTGGCAAGCAGAAAGGAAGCGAGGCCAGAAGCTTGCAAAGTCCCAGACGGCTGAGAGTACTCAATGGCTGAACTCGTTGTTCTCCTCGGTCTGGCCATTGATCAATCCAGACTTGTTCACTAGCATCTCAGACACACTTGAGGTAGGTCCCGAATACTACTCGTTGATGATACTCAAGGCTAAAAATCGCAGGACGTCATGCAAGCTTCATTGCCCAGCATGGTTCGCATGGTTGCTGTCGAGGACATTGGCCAAGGAAGTGAAGCTCTTCGCATTCTTGGTATCCGGTGGCTGCCAACTGGCGCAGCTGCACGATCCGTGAGCTCTGATGGAAAACTCAAGTCTTCGAAAGAAGAGAAGGACGACCGGACAGTGCAAGATGATGGCGAAGGCCAGGAACAATTGAAGCGACAAGACACGATGGAGGCCGAGGAAGGTGACTTTGTGAACATTGAGGTTGCGTTCGCCTACCGACCGTCGACTGGACGCGGCATCAAGTCCCGAGCCAAACACGCTCATTTGTACCTTGCTTTCTACCTGCCTGGCAAGGTCAAGCTACGTAAGGTCTCCATTTCGCGCTAATGATATCTTGTGCTGACTGTCCTTAGCTGTGTGGGTCGAGCTGACAGGCATGGTTGGGGTAATGCGACTTCGCCTACAGTTGTGCCCAGATCCCCCTTTCTTCTCCATCTGTACCATGTCGTTCCTCGGACAGCCCAAAGTCTCTCTCTCGTGCGTCCCGCTCATCAAGAAGGGACCCAATCTCATGGACGTACCGCTTATCAGCAGCTTCGTACAGTCCTCGATGGATGCAGCCTTAGCTGAGTATGTCGCTCCCAAGTCACTGACACTAGACTTGAAGGACATGATGATGGGCGACGACTTCAAGAAGGACACCATCACACAAGGTGTCCTCATTGTTCGTATTAAGCATGCCTACGACTTTAAAGAGGGCGACGGCGGACTTGGCCCGCTTAAGAAGGGTTCGGCGGATCCATACATCACTGTTGGTTGGGCAAAGTTTGGAAAGCCTGTTTGGTCAACACGCGTGTTGCTTGACAACATGGAGCCATACTGGGAAGAGACAGGCTTTGTCAGCGTCACTTCACAAGAGCTCAATGTCGACGAGAGATTGCGACTCCAACTCTGGGACTCTGATCGTACGACTGCCGACGATGACCTAGGTCGCATCGAGCTAGATCTGAAGGACCTTATGAAGAGCGAAGAGACGAATGGAAAGATGCACGATCGTGAAGACGGTTTCAAGGCTATGAAAGCCGGCGAAGGGATGCCCGGCAAACTCAGCTGGAGCATCGGCTACTTCTCCAAGACGCGCATCACAGACGAACAATTGACTGCCCAAGAGGAGGATCCCGATGTCAAGACCATGGATCAACTCAGGCAGAAAGTAAATGCAGAAGCGGAGAATAAGCTTCGCGAGGCCAGTGCAGACCACCAGCATGAAGTCGAGCAGCAAAAGGCCGAAGATTTCCACGCCAGACAGGACGAGCTCATCATCGCTTCGCCACCGTCAGAAGACTACCCGTCCGGTATTCTCAGCATCCAGGTCCACCAGATCACTGGACTGTCACTCGAAGTGCTCAACAAGGACAGGGATTCAAACAACGCGGAAGCTAGCGATGCGGAAGAGGAAAGCGACGATCTTCCGTCCGCATACTGCACGATCATACTCAACCACAAGAAGGTTTTTAGGACGCGGACCAAGCCAAAGAACAGCAAACCTTTCTTCAATGCAGGCTGTGAGCGTTTCGTCCGCGATGTACATAACACTGAAGTCCACATCTCTGTTCGCGATGCGCGCGTGCATGAGGACGACCCTCTTCTCGGCATTATCTACCTCCCGCTTGCAAAGGTATTCCACAGCCGGAGTCAGGTCAACTCAACCTTCCCGCTATCTGGTGGCGTTGGTTACGGCCGTGCACGTGTCTCTATGGTATTCCGCAGCCTGCAATGTCAGCTACCCAAGGAAATGCTCGGATGGGACTACGGCACCGTCGATATTCGACCCACTATCAAGGCCATCAATATGCCTGAAGATTTGAAGAAGATGCGCATGAAGATAAGGACTCGCACATCGCGTGGAAAATTTCAATCCAATGGCCCTGACGAATGGCAAACCAAGAACAACAAGCCTATCCGCCTACCCATCCGCATGCGCTATGCCGCTCCCCTGATCGTGGAGTTTCGTCAAGACGCCACACTGCGCGACCATACTCCGGCCTTCGGTATCCTGTGGCTCAAAGACGTTCCCGACAACGAACAACAGACTATCAAACTTCCAATCTGGAAAGGCGACCTCAAGCGCGCAGAAGATAACATCCTCTCCTCGTACGGAGACAAGGTCGGCGAGATCGAGATGACTCTAACATTCTGGTCCGGCCTGAGCGGCTACCACGAGAAGTTTGCCAAGGGCGACAAACACATGGGCCAAGTCATGGAAGTCCTCGACGTTGCGAACGACCAAGAATGGAGCGATTGGGACTCCGACAACGACGGCCCGCATGACACCTCCAAGCCTCCCCAACCTGATGACGAATCTGAGTCGGACAGCGATTCAGACTTCATCCCGGACTTCTTGCAGAAGGACAAGAAGAAGGATAGTCGCTTGAAGGAGAATGGAAAGAGGGGCGTGATGGATCAAGTCGAGGAGTACAAAGATAGCGCAAAGCAGTTGCATAGGAGGAATAGAGGCATGATGCAGTGGAAGGGTCCGAGGACGTTAGCGTGGATGAAGCACGTGGGTGATCGGGGAAAACACAAGGTTGAAGGGCTGTTCAAGCATCACGAGAGGAGCGGATCGGGGATCGAGACAGAGGCATAGTGTTGCTTTCAGTACGGCGTTCATGATGATAAAAGGATCATTGGGTACACGGCGTTTGGACTTCTCGAGGTTCTGAGGACCTAACGGTTCTTACTAGGAACCTGTAAACGTAGCAAACCTAAACGGTCTATCTGATGATGCCATGTCGCACACGCCAATCTCTCCATGTTGTTGAGAATCACAAATCCAATTTCGCGACCTGTCTCACAAACACCCAACGCGCGACCACAAATCAACCCTATCCGACCGACCGACACAACATCTCGACATATCAAATCATCATTGTCCGTATCGTGTAGCAAACAGACAGTACTCCACCTCCGTCGCACAATCGCTGCAACTCGCCAACACCCCTGCAACATTCGTCGTCTCCTCGTCCCTACGACCCGTCATTTCCAGCTCCTCAAACACCACCGCAGTCAAAAACCATGTCTACCTCCCCACTTCCCCAATCTCACACACCTCCTTGCTTTTTCAACCATGGCACCTACGAACAGAGACAAATTGCTCAAGCTAGACAGCAGCGCACACCTACGCTCCTACCGCAGGAATCTCGGACCGTTTCGGGCAAATGGCCCCGTGGAGATATCTGGGGAGCAAGAACAAGGGACGGGCGTGAGGTGGACATGTGACATTGTGGATTTGGGCGAGATGGGGTGGACCAGGACGGTGAATCACGAGGTGCACGCGATACAGGAGGACTATCCAGCACCGTCCCCGATACACATTCGAGCACCAGCAGTACTGTCACAAACGGCTGCGCCCGCGGTACAGCCACCTATGTTTCCACATCACAACGCTGCGATGCCGCACGCGCGCAACACCGTACCGCCACTTCTACGCGCTGCTCTCGAGCACGGCAAGACATTCCCCAACGACGACGCGCTGTACGAGGTCTTCGAAGAGACGGCGAGCGCGTATATGAGCGACGAGAGTCAGGTCGTGAGCACACATCGGGGTTTACGCGCAGCGAACGAGCGCGCGGTGGGGTACTTCGTTGAGACGTATATGTGTGCTGCTGTCGACGAACCGGAAGTCGAGCTCAAGAATGGAGGGATGATTAGTTGCACTGTGGAGACGGATGGGTCGTTGGGCGGGAATTCGGCAGTGTATGTGAGGCGGGCAAAGGTGGGAGAGAAGCCATGAGGAAGTTGGGGTCGCTCTGAAGGGTATTGTCCTATTGAAGAATTATCTGGTCTACAACATGTCCTTCGCGCCCTTGTGCTCAGTGAGTCTTCCTGAACCCGATTCCGAGCAGGAAGGCTGTTCGAAGCACAGCCGGGATAATGTTCAGCATCATAGTGACCGTGTCCTTGACTGTCCAGAGCCACGGGCTCAGTGTGAGATGCGTGCCCATTTCCGCCCATGCTGCGAACAAATGCCCACCATCGCATAGCAGCAGCGCAAACAGCACCGCTCTCCAGACTGTTATCTCGGTTGTGGTGCGCAGGACGAGCGCCTCGATGACGGCGAAGAAGAGGTAACAAGCCGCGAGCTGGTTGCAAATAATCTGCGACTCGGGCGCATAGCGAGACGTCTGCGGCATGTACTCAAAGTACTGCTCAGGCACCCAATGCAGATGATACACGCCGCCGAGGGCAGTCAAAGGTTCGAGGTAGAGGTGCCATATCCAGTAGATTCGCGGAATGTCCTCGACAAGTGTCGAGTCGTGGGAGCGCTGCGTCTGACGAGCAAAACGGCGCGGCGAACGATTGGTGGGAACGTGCTCTACCGAAATCGACGGTTGCGAATCAACTCCTACCGCTTTAGGAAGTTTGGCGGATTCATTGGAGGAAGCGGCTACCGCGCCCGCACCAGTAGAAGCGGCCATCGTGCTGTGTGAGACAAAAGCGAAGGACGGATGCTTCAAATACTTCCTGTGTTGGGCATGCTGAGTATGTATGCGCGATTGCCGGCCTTTGCGCGCGCATGGTGAGGGAAAGGGGGGCTTTGCTGCAGCGATGAACGCTGCCGATGTAGCACAGGGTATCGCGCTGCCAATGAGACTTGAGTAAGCAGTACCTGTTCACCACATGGTCGAGAGAGAAAATCGCCTAGGAGGTCTTGTGAGTAGCACAGGGTGAGAAAGAGGAAGCTGATAGTGCTTCAAGCGGTTGTACTTGGGCTGCGTCGATATAGCACCCGATCAACTCAGCTCTTGGAACGAGAACAGCGCTGCTGTGTAAGGTACCAACCCTTGGAGGTTCGATAATCGATTTCATCATGTGATCTACGCCCGTGATTTGTATATGTATATATACCTAGGCACATGGAGTCTTCTCGACTGTACCAGAACTGTCTCATGCTGGGAGTGCTAGAAAACAGACACTTCCGCCTATGAGACAAGAAGAACGCTGTTATGTCGTCGTCATTGCGGACATGGTCGATTCTCGGAGCTGCTTCTGTCGGCATCGAGCCAGGGTTGATGTGCATTGCGTGGTGATGGCGACACACCCGGCAGCACTCTTTCGGTAATAGAAGCCGAAGATGCTGCTCAGCGCGAAGTACCCTGAGACTCACATGCATCACTGCATGGATTGAAGCATGGAAATCTTCCCTGGGCATCGAATTGTTGAGAATTGCATGGTGCCGTACGCTGCAGCGATCCACCTTCGCTCTACCTCGCGGGGTAAGGCCTTCACGTGAAGGTAGAGTCCGGCCAGCTCCGTGGGCGCGGACGCGTCGTTGCTCTTGGGGGGCTAACGGCCGTGGATGTTCTCATTGGCGTAGTTAATGCTAGGGGCCTGTCAATCACCGGGCCACTGGCAGCTTGCTATCAGACCCTGTGCTCCAGAAATCCCAAAGGTTTCGTATTTCTTGCGTAGGATGCAGGCCCACTACCGGTATCTCTCGCGTCTGGCGTTGGCGTTGGTAGTTGGTGAGACGGCAATGAAGGCCCCTGCGCGCTGAGCTGTGCTTTCCCTCTGTGCCTTGGCCCCGCGATGACGTCGGAATGTTTTCAGGCCCTGAAGCTGGGAAAAAAAGAACAAATCACCAGCGTGTCACACCGTGAGCTTCTGCCACAAAACAACCAAGGCGCAAGCTTCGACCCTGGCACAGACACGCTCGTTCGTATTAATTCCGCTTGATTGCCGTCGCGCGAAGCAGGAGCGGTTTACGGCGCACGCGTTCCGCTACTCTCGAGATCCTACACCGACCAAGTGCTGGAAGTTTCCACCTCACTTCCCACCAGCAACCACATATTCACCTCGAGTCCCCGCGATTTCTCCCCTCTTGTCTCTCCTTGATCCTTTTTACACCTCACCACCATCCCTAACTCCATTACCTGACGAGCGATAACGCATCACCTGGCGCGCGCGCCAAACCTCCGCCAGTATGACAACTTTTGTTTGTTCCCTGTAAGTGATAGCTCATGAAAGCACGGTAACCTGTGTGAGTTTTTGACATCTGCTAACATATAACAGCTTCCTCCCGTATACGGCAGACTTCTACAATGAGGATACGGAGGCCAAGTCAAACCCCACCAGCCCAAAGCAAGAGCCCGCACCTGCTCCCGTAGATCTCAGTGATGTCGGAAGGACTTCCTCTGCAGGCAGCATACGTAACAAGTCGGATGGACCAGACAGTCTCCTTAAGCGGGCGCCGCCTTCACACATCCAGCTACCCAAGCCAAGCATGGCCGCAATGTTAGACCATGAAGACTTTTTTACCCCCGGGCAACCAAGCGCTGCAACTCACTTTCCTAGGCCTAGAGATCCGAAGAGCTTAGTTCGCAGCGACGCCCATGTTTCAGACTGGGGCGACAGCTCGCTCTATTTCAACCAGCCGCAGTTGAAAGCCGAGCCCGCACCGCCCCAGACTATTCTTGAATATGCAAAGGCACAAGAGCGAAAGGAAGCTCAGAGAGAGCGCCCGAGGGCCAGACAACCTACCAAAGCAAAGGTTGATCCCCGCTGGTCCAAGTACTCGGTCGTGCCTGCTGTCCAAGGAAACGGTGGCCTCAGCAATGCCGTCCGTTCCGCTGTGACCCTTGGCCGGATTAGCGATGTATATCACGTCGGCCTTGTTGGCTTCCCCACTGATGTCCTGGACGAAGACAAGAAGAAGGAGATCTACGAAAAGTTCGAAGAGGAATACAACGCTCTGGCCGTCTATGTCAACGACAAGGATTTTGACGGACACTATGCCCACTACTGCAAGACGATCCTATGGCCAGTTTTCCATTACATCATCCCTGACCACCCCAAGAGCAAGGCCTTCCTTGACCACTCATGGTGTTTCTATGTCAAGATCTGCCAGGCATTTGCAGACCGCGTCGTTCAGAACTACAAGCGTGGCGACATCATCTGGGTCCATGACTACCATCTATGCCTCGTTCCCCAGATGATCCGACAGAAGCTGCCCGATGCTCAAATCGGCTTCTTCCTACACACCGCCTTCCCTTCCTCTGAGGTCTTCCGCTGCCTTGCGGCCCGCAAGGAGCTGCTCGACGGCATGCTAGGAGCCAATCTTGTCGCATTCCAGACGCAGGAGTACGCCCACCACTTCCTCCAGACATGTAGCCGTATTCTGTCAGTCGAGGCTACTGAAGATGGCGTTCAGCTCGAGAATCGCTTTGTCAACGTCTGGTCCTCACCCATCGGCATCGACCCTGTGGCGCTTGCTAAGGCTCGCGCGGAGCCTGATGTGAAGGAGTGGATCCAGACAATGCAGAAGCGCTATGAAGGTAAGAGAGTCATCGTTGCGCGTGACAAGCTCGACAACATCCGTGGCGTGCGACAGAAGCTGCTGGCCTTTGAGTTGTTCCTTAACAAATACCCTCAGTGGAGGGACAAGGTGGTACTCATCCAAGTCGCCACATCTACAGCCGAGGGAGACAACGAGCTGGCTGCCACATGCGCCGAGATTGTCACACGAATCGACGCCGTCCACTCGACCCTCACGCACAACCCTCTCGTCTTCTTGCGACAAGACATAGCCTTCTCCCAGTACATGGCTCTCCTCTCCATCGCTGACGCGCTTGCCATCACCAGCCTACGCGAAGGCATGAACTTGACTTGCCACGAGTTCATCGCTTGTCAAGACGGGAAAGCCAGCCCGAAGAAGCATGGTCCTGTCATTCTAAGCGAATTCACTGGCAGTGCGGCAATGTTCGATGGTGCGGAGCTTGGCGTCAATCCATGGAACTACGCCAACATTGCCGAAGCTTTTAGATGTGCCTTGGAGATGACCGACGAGGAGAAGCTTCGAAGGTTCTCTAAGATGCGCAACCTTGTAATGCACCACACCGGCGACTTCTGGATTAGCAATCTGAGCAAGCATCTCGCCAAGGTCCACGAGGAACAATTCAACCGTGACACCATGTCTATTCCTCGATTGTCTGTAAGCAACCTCTCTCGCGAATATGAGGAGGGCCGTAAACGCCTCTTCCTTCTCGACTACGAGGGAACCCTTGCCTCTTATGGATCCGTCAACAGCACCGTCCTCACTAGTACTGAGCGGGTTATAGACGTTGTGAGCGACCTTGTTGCCGACAGCAGAAACATCGTTTACGTCATGAGTGGCCGCACTGTCCAGGAGAGCGAGCTCATCTTCAACCGTGTGAAGGGTCTGGGCCTCATCGCAGAGAATGGCTGCTTCATTCGTGATCCCAACTCCGAGGAATGGACTCAGTTCCCTAATGAGAGAAAGACGATCAAGTGGAAGGAGGCTTGCAAGTCGATCCTCCAGTACTACCTTGAGCGTGTAGAAGGCAGCTTCCTTGAAGAGCGTCACTGCTCGCTCATCTTCCACTACGACATGGCCCATGACAAGGACTCTTCCAGTCGGCACGCAGGCGATTGCGCCAACCACATCAACGACGCCTGCGAGCAGCAGCGAGTCAAAGCTGTCCCTACCAAAGACTCTGTGATCATCGAACCACTCGACTTCGACAAGGCGACCGCTGCACAGCACATCTTTGGCAAGTTCCACCCAACAGAGCGTCCGGACTTCTTGTTTGTTGCTGGCAACGATCGCACTGATGAGGGTGTGTTCCGTTGGGCCAAAGTGTTGAAGGACGACTGGACCATCTCTTCCGTGCAGACTGTGACTGTTGGTAATCGCAACTCGGTCGCCCTGTCTACCCTCACCAACGGCTCTACAGGTATGTTCTTCTTCGAACACCAATTGGCAATTCATTTACTGACAGTGATTACAGGTCTCCTCAGCGTACTCAGCAAACTCTCCAAGATCAAGACTCCGAACCCGGAGTCATAGCGCAAGCAGTGTTCTGATCCATAGAGGGGGGCTCTACGCGTCTTAGCGATCAAACGGTACCTCTTCTCCTACAGTAAGATTTACTATATGGGCATACAGAGCAGTGCGTTTACTGGAATGAATGAATAACGACCTTCGAGATGGCATGAATCGGATACCTCGACGCGGAATGAGCGTCATCGCGTGCATGGATGGGAGTACGGACGTATCTCTTACTATGCATAGATTTCCTAGAATGAATGCAATCATGATGCTGATCTCTTCTTCTGTGCTTGATATATTCTCTCGTCTCAGTCTTCTGCATGCATCACTTCTAGCTCCATGATAAATGTTCCTGAAGCTATACGCTTCTTTTCTTGCCGTCTCTTCCTCCCCTCCTATCCCACCAAGTCGGATACCTTTCACTCAACCTGGAAGTTGTCCTCCTCGTCCGCCGCCTGCAGGACCACGGGATCCTTTCCGAAGCGCCACCTCCCATCCCCCAACTGCCTCTTCTCCTGTCCCGCCTCCGTCAAGTCGATATTGGGGAAGTTGTTGTCGTACCACCGAACTTCCTCCCACTCCGGCGGCACCTCAATCGTCCCGATGTTCGGACAGCTCCGCACCAGCCGCACGATGACCTGGAACCATTTGCGCATCGGAACGTCTGTGGTCGAACCATACGCTTCCAGCAGCGAGCGGCACATGTCTGCTGCGACACCCAGGTCGCCTGGGTAGCGGCGCGAGGGGTGGGGCTCGGGGCCACGGGCTTTGTCTTCATATTAGCACTGAGTTCGTAGGATAACATGAACGATAGGGAAGAACTCACCGCCCAGCCAATTGAGCACCGCGCTGGAACCCATGGTGTCGAAGGGCAGGTTGAAGCTCAAGACGCGCACGTGCTCTGCGATGCTAGGCAGCGTGGGCGAGTTGTATATGCGGTCGAGGAAGTAGCCCAAGTCAAAGATCTCCTTGGAATCGTACACGACGCCAGTCAGAGGATGGTAGGTGAGTCCCGCGCAAGTCATCTTGGCGGTTGAGGGTGTGTGTTTGTGTGGAGAAGAAATGGGGAGCAGAGTGCAGGTGTTTTGATATATCGCGCTAGCGCGGCGTATCCAGGACTGGCAAACGGGAGCAGCAATATCTTTTCGATTGTGCGGTCAGGCTACAGGGAATACTGCTTGTGTGCTATCTATCTCTGCGCCAGGGCTTTTTGCTTGCGGGACTCCCGACGATGACGGTCCCAGTCCTTCTTTGCCTTGCTCGTCTTCTCGGGCGGCGCGAGTCTGCCCTTCTCCATCTTGATAATCTTTCCCTTGCGCTCGCCGCGCTCGGGCTTGCGGTCTCCGTCTTCTGGGGGCGTGACCACAATGCGGAATTCCAGTGGTGGAGGTGGTGGTGCTGTGTTTGTTAGAAGTGTCAGTAATGAAGAGGAAGTGGAGTCACAAACAGTGTTTCGTAGGCGGCGAGCAGGAGCCAGACAAGTGCAAGGCAGAGGCTTAGCACGGCCTCGGCGAGATCGAGGGTGTGTAGTAGGATGATGAGGATTTGCATTCTGCGGTGCTTTGAATTTGGGTAAGTATAGGGTTTCGTGTGGTTGAAGAGAAATGGAGTAGGTTTGCGCTGAGTTTTTACCAACGGGTTGATCAGATGACAGTGAGACAGCAGACACGCAGGTGAATAAGAGAATTTGCGCAATTGCTACAAGGATCTCACCACACTGTCTATCGCATTGGGATTCTTTCTCAAAGCCCAGGCACGCCCGGAACCTCGGTGAAAAGAAATAAATGTCAGTAGGCAAACCTTGGTCTTCTAGGTCCCCATTGGGACTCAGCTTCCAGATTAGACTGACGGCGGCCGGTAACAGACGTGAGGTGCGAGCACCTCTTATCTGGGTCAGTGAGTGACAATTTGTTGAACCCTGAGGAACAACTTCGGTATGAGCTTCGGAGGCAGGACTACTCGCGAGCGAGATCGTCCCAGTTCAGGGAACAAGCAGATCAAACTGGGAGAAGGCGATGGAATTGTGGTGCAGAGGTGGGAGGAATGGGTTATGTAACTGACGGGCTCGCGCAAATGCTAGGCTGACGACTCGGAACGACCTGAGGTCGTTGTTCTACAGGGCCTTCTCCCTAGGCAGTACCACTATTATCAGGATCTATGATCAGAGTGATAGAAAACGACGAAAATCGCGGCTATGAGACAGTGTAGCCTACAGTGTAGCCTACGGAGCTCCATCCGATCAATGATTTGTGTGACTGCTGGCATGAAAGTCTAGCAACACGCTTTACATTATTTCTTGCTCTTCTCGTACATCGTGGCAGTACTAGCTAGCTGTATTATGATACGTCAACTTTAATCTCGCTGGTAACTTACTTGAAATATATCTAGCACAATAGATTCCACGAATCTAACCTTGCAAGACGGCGACTTGCCTACTGTTGGCCGCTGGATCCACTCAACATAATCTTCGAATTACCTCAGTAATTACTCTTCAAGGCCTTGGTATACACCACGGAGGTAAGCTAAAGCATGCTTGGACCATACACGTTCTCCGTATTGACATTGAACAGGGAGGTAACAGAAGCAGAAAAAGTGTAGTCAATTGCACTACGACTTGCCAGGAATTTCTTAAGCACATGGAAGCTATACTTGCATCTAATTTGCCTATGATGAACGTTGTTCTACTTAAGATGAATAGCTCAACATCGATTGTCAGGACGCAGGTCTGCACCCACTGCGCCAGCATGTCAAAAAAGTAACAATGATCAATCTCAACGATTAATCATGCTGTGCAGAATAGTATATATCGTCGTCAGCCACGCTCTGACATCGATTCTGTACGAGATTACAGGGAAGAAAGACGATCGTGTCGGATCTACCAAAACCATTAGCAGTGCAACAAAGAGGGCCTTCGCATTCTCGCTATACGTCGATCATCAGGACCGCATTACGAGGGAAGAGAGAGTGAACCAGTCCTTTCGAAAGCTTTCGTCCAAGCGAGCAAGACCGCGGATGTCCTCACTACCACTCCGAGAAGTAACATCTACACTGAAGAACACTTATATCTCTTCGTCAGGGTCGTACACAGGAGGAGTACGCTCAAATCTATATAGATGTTGAGGAAAATATCTTACAAGTAGGTGCTTGGACACAAAGGGTTGCATCACCAGACTTGTTCATGTCCAAATTAGGCGCAGCGCGGAAGGCAGATCTATTCCTCGCAGAAGGGACTCTACGGAAGAATTTGAAGGAAGTGGCCGAAGATGGTAGATGTGGCAGGGGGAGTTCGATATCAGTCTGGTGGTCCACATGGCACCCTGACTGAGTCTCCTCGACTTACCAGATAAGCGAGATTGCTTTAAGAGCTGAAGATTTACTAAGCTAGAGGTGCTACGCGGTGCAGATAAGCCTCTGGCAGAGAGCAGAGATATCGAAGCTAGCCCGTCTGCCTAGAATACTAAGTGCGCTTTCTGCAGACAGGATTCAGCTGCAGGGACGGTTATCAGAGAAGCTTAGAGGCTAAGAAGGTTATAAGAGATAGGAGCAGTCCTTCGAGACCTCGGGCCAACCCCACATCCTAAAATACGTCTTGACACCAGAGCATTCCGCATCGTAAGCTTGCAAACCACCCGTGATACTGTTGAGCAGCCGCGCTGCGTCTCGATTGCGAGATCATCGTACAACCTTTGGTTGATTCCTACCGCCTTGTTCTAACGCAGGCGCTTCTGACCTCATTCATGCAATCGACAGCGAAGAGATCTACTAGAAGCACTTCCAAGATAATAGTAGTAGGATAGAAGTACACAGCATGACACAAAGACTGTGGGCAGCATTTTTCTATAGCAATGGGTACACTGTGAACAGTTGATTGGAGCGAATGATGACAGCGACACCGGGCTCGAAGACCACCACCGCCGACATGAGCGGATTACCTCACGATAGGGTAGAGGTCTTTGGCCATGAGGTACCCAGGTTGCAGGTACTCCATGGCCGAAGACACCCATCTCATCGAGAGAAAGACGCACACGTGAGCGGTAGTGGGCTTCGAGGATGGCCTCGCCGCCAACAAATGCACTATCTAAGATCTCGAGAGCACAGGCCCCAGCCTCGCCTAGCTCAGTCGCCAGCTCCATTTAGAATGCCTGACGTCCTCACAAACAGCCGAGATACAACTTGTGTCCTTCCACCAACCCAAAGTCCAATCCGAGTCCGAACATGAGACTCGCCCAGCGTGTATCCATTTTCTTCCTTGAGGCGGTGTCTCTTGTGAGCGGTATCCATTGGTGCCTAAATAAGAGTTATCAGAATGTGTAAGAGGTGCAAATGTTTGGGTAGCCTTACCATGATCAACGTGTGTATCATCGGACCGGTATGGCAGAAGGCCCATGCGAGAGTCGCGAGCCATTCGCAAAGCCAGCAGGTTATAGCGACACTGGAAGAATGCCGACTAAGACGACTGATGAGATATGGCGCAGTTTTGACGTGCGTCTGTTGCGACACACAGCAGATGGGTGGTAGTGCGCAGATTGGCACGCTGCACTGCAAGGTGACAAGTCAGTAAGATTATCACACCAAGAGAAGCCATGCGACATACCTGTTCGCCTCGTGCGTAGTCGCATTTGTATTGCCAGGGAGGATGTTATAGAGCTTGATGCGCAGCGTATTGCAGCGCTCGAGATCGTTTAGAAAGGAGTGGAAAGCTTGATTCTTTCGACTCCTTCCTGGGTGTGCAAGGTCAACCAGGTAGAAGCCGTGGGGCACACAGCATTTGGCGGCGTCGACCACACAGCTCGCATCAAGATTTTCGATTGCCTGTAACCGGTGCGCACTTTGATGCTGAAGGAAGTCAGTGGCTGCTACACACAGAGTCGGAAAAGGTACTTACGGGGAGGGCAGTGTGCCAACCAGGAAGTTGTACAGTTTGATGCTCATTGTGTGGCAGCGACCCAGCGAGAAAGCTTGCTTCTTGCGCGCCGGGTCCAGATGGGCAAGGTTGACCAGGTCAGCCTGAGAGGGCGTACATGGCAACTTTTCCGCAATCTTCCTTAAAAGCCAGCGCAAACAACTTGTTTATCTCGCTGGCTTTTAAGAAAGAGAGCGAAAGTGTTGCCATGTACGCCGCGGCTCGTACCATATTCCCGCTCGCACATAGTACGAGCTGAGGCGTAGATGGCAACTCTTTCGCAATCTTCCTCAAAAGTCAGCGCGTTTACGCTGGCTTTTAAGAAAGGGAGCGAAAGCGTTGCTATCTACGCCGCAGCTCATACCATGTTCCCACTCGCACATCATCCTAGCGAAAGTCAGTGACTGCTACACACAGAGAGGCAGAAGAAGAACTTACTTGAGGTCCTCGAACAAATTGAAGTTGGTGGTGTTAGAGCGAAGGTGGGGGCGAGGTGAGGGAAGACTTTAAGCTCAACCAAAACAGAGTTAGTCCTAATTGAGAACTGGCACGCCGATCGGCCTCCTTCACTGCAGCAGCGACTGGGTGGCAAATTGCGTGATTTGTAATACTGAGTCACGCAGTATTCGCATTGCATGTGAAATTCAGGCCGTGGGGTCGAAGAGGATATGGCAAAACGCCACCATGAGCTGCACCATCCAAGCTAGAAAGTTGAGGCAGAGATGACAACAGAGATGACAGCGGTGAGCCCACCAACTCGCTCACGACATTAGATTGAAAAAGCTTACAGAGGGGCACAGCGCTGTGCTCCAGACTCTACTCCCAGCGATCGACGCGCTTCCACTCTTATCGGCAAAGCTCCCATGCACAGCGAGATCCTCCATCTTGGACTTCACATGGGCGACGGCCCAGAATGACAAGCGTAACAACAAGGACGCAATACAGCGGACCTCAGGCAGGGGTAGAGACGATGAGACTTCTGAGGAAAGAGGGGCAATGGGTTTGAGGGGTATAGGAGATTGTCCCAAGGGCAGTTCGAGCCTCTAGAGGAAACCCAGGATTCCTGAAACTAGACACGACAAAGAGCATATCGAGCTTCAAGAAATTCCATGCTTGCAACTATCTGACCAGGGTGTCACTCAGAAATCCATGCCGTCTTTGCCCAGCATGTTTCGTGACCATACCGCCACGTCGGACACCGACTACTCACCTCGACTAACAGCTCAAGACAACATGGGAGAGGGGGTATCGTGTCTCATTATACAGTCATATTACGTAACAATCATCTCTCTTACTGAGCTTTCGTATCCGTTGTGTCCTCCAGGTGCTCACCATCTCCGCTCCTTACCAAGGTACTTGGGTGTGTGGGCGGTCCGTCCCTTCCCAACTTCTTCAAATCCGCCAACAACGTGCGCAGATGATCTTGTCGGTTCTGATTGGAGCCCCAAGTTACGGCCTGGGAGTAATACAGAATGTCCCAAGCTTCGTCACTGACGTTCGGTAAGAAAGTGGGCAGTGTGCGCGCCTTTTGGTAAGAGCGCCATAGGATGCGCCGGATGTCGTCGTTCGCTCCAATGTATGCAAACTCGATGGCTTGATTGAAGGACTTTAGAGCGGGCGAGATGTTGAAAGGTGGGGGCAGGGTAACGCGCAGACGATCGAGGGCGCCGATGTGTTCTGGGTCCTGGCGGGCGGCTTGCATACGCTGCTTGAGAGTAGCGGTACGCGTATCTTCGAGCTCGTAAGGATCGGGCGCAACCTCGTGCGCGATGGACGTGATGTCGGACTTTGCGCGTTCAGTCTCTTCGATAAGGTTCTGAATATAGGCGAGCTTCTCCATAAGCCTGGGATCTTCCATGATCTTGTCCACTTTGGCTTGGAGGTCTGCTGGTACGTTATCTTCTGGCTCTATTCCTTTAGACTTCGGTCGCTGTGCCGATACGAGCTTTATTAGTTCTCCTGTTAGCTCTTCTGCATCGAATGGGCGTGGCTCTTCGTCCGTTGTTTCTTCGGTAAGCAAAGCGTCAAGCTCAGCCTCAACACTGGCGTCTCCACCCATAGACTTGAGTACATCGCGCATTTGGTATATGAGCTGATTGACATCCGCATCAGAATCGGGATTGCCCAGGGGTGAATTCGCTTCATCCTTCCCAAAGAGTTTGTTGATTGCCTCATCCTCGCGCTCAATCTCGTCTAGCTCCTTCTGTAACTTTTCCGCGTCTTCATTTGGCATAGATGCGACCTTCTTTTGATATATCGGGTCATCGTCTAGCTTGGCCATTGCCTTCTGAACGATCGCTTGGAACTCAGGATTGTCGATGTCTTCCATCTCAGGTAGCTTGTCGAGAACTTCTTGTACTTCTTCCTTAACTGCAGCAGCAGCGGGGTCATTGAGCAGACCTTGGAACATTTGCTGTGTTGCCGCCTTCAAGCCTGACTTCATGGCTGTAGTCATCTCCTCGTTCTCTTGTTCCTCTTGTTTGCTCAATCTCACTATCTCTTCCTCATGCTCTGCCTTTGTCCTGATACCTCCTTTCATTTCCTTGAGCTCCTGTGCAAGATCCGCAAAGTTGGGGTTCTCGATAAGACTGTCGATGAGCCGACGTTGCAGCTCCTTGCTTTCGAGGATGGAGTCTGGATTCTTCTCTGCCTCTGACATCATCATGTACATCTGCTTCTCCTTTTTGCGATCTTCTGCCGTTGCCACTCGTTTTATGAGACGTCTCGGTCCGCCCTTGGCCAAATCTTGCTCGTACCAACTGATGGCCGGGATGCCCTCGCTCTCGAGTTCCTCGTCGGTGGGTGGCTTCTCGTCGTCTTCTTCCTCCGCTATCCTTCGAAACTCAGACATCATCTCCTCAGCCTTTTCTGGACTTATGTATGGGATCTTGTCTGGGTTTGGAAGCTTCTCAGGCTTCGCTGCCTTAGTACGTTTCTGGCGTACGAACGGGGTTGTAACGGCGCGTGCGTAGGGACATCGTGACGGTTGCGGTCGCGACAATGCCCGGATCAGAGCTCTAGAGGGAATGTAGGCCTTCGGTGCTGCCATGTCGTGATATGTTGCAGGATGGTGGCGGCCATAATTGATTTTAATGACGCCTGAACTTTGGCTCAAACGATGCAAACATCTCTTGGCACCCCCGAGAACTCCGCATCGCGTCCCCTTCCATCAACCCATCGTCCCAACGCCATCGCAACAGTCGAATTTCATCGACGAACTTCTGCTAGCTAATACGGTAAAGCCTACTTGTATTCAGCCTGCATCGCTCGAGTGACATGCCGACCATTCGTCTCTCGCGACTCTCTAGCCACACTCAACGCCCTCTTTCAAAACACTGTCATCACTTTCACTTTCCATCACTTCCTAGGTCTTGTCAGATTTGATTTCCAATTTCGATTCTCTATGTATGCTCTTGAGCAAGCTATTCCGCTCAGGTTCTCTGGGAGCAAATGTCTCTAAAAGGGCGCGATGCGGCAAACAATGATGTCTTGGGCACAGTTCAAAAGACCATGCAAGTGACCGCAGCCGCTACTACAAGCGCGAAGACTGACCGTACTGCCTTGCTTCCTGACTCATTGACCCTCCTCGACGGCAGACCATTGTCAACAACCACGGTTGTCACTTTCCTCCTGCCCACCGGGTCCACGCCATTGAAAATGTCCACGGATTCGATAGCTGGGCCAACATTGAAGAAGTCTACAAGCACGAATGTCGGCTGTCGCATACTCGCTTGCGCACTTTGTGATGTGTTTACCAAGCCCGCCGGGACCGTCCTACGAGTTTGTAGCAGCAAGGACACGTCGGTCTGGAGTCTGGATCCCAAAGGCTTGTTGCCAGTAGAGAAAGCGATTCATCAGGAAAAGCTTGCCGGAGTCACGCGCTTCGGAAATCGTAGTAGTATTTGAAACACGATCAGGCGCGCATGCGAAGTCGGCAGCGGCTGTAACGGCGTAGGAATTCTCCCAGACGAAGTCGTTCTCTCTCAAGAGGTAGGGCGCATCGGCCTCGTCCGGCGTCAAAGGATTGACGAAGGTCACCAGGCGCTGTCCGCTATTGATCATCGCTGCGAGAGTCGGCCAGGTCTTATTGGACTCGCTCGAAAGCGGTGGCGCTTCGCTGATGTTGGGCGGCACCCAACCATAATGGGCCAAATCGGCTCTTGAGTATTCGCCCTCGAGCTCTGTCGCACTGGCACTACCCAAGTTGACCAAGATGATCGTTACGACCTCATTTGGGTTGCGGTCAAGCCAGATTCGAATTTCCCATAACCAATCCTGGAGCGAGCCAACGTTGAAAAGGGCACACGAACTGTGGCAGAGTCGAAGCTCGCGAGCTGCTGTTCCATGCTTCGAACCGACATGCACTTGTACAGTGAGGAGACGCACACCGGCATCCAGCTGAACCGTCGTGTTGAAGAACTGGTTGCCGAAGGAAGAGAATCCTGTCGATGCGTTGGCTAGAAAAGACGAATCGTGGGCTCCCAGATGTGTCACATCATTATAGCTAACATTGCACAGCTGAGGTGAATTGTTGCACGCCCTTGAGTCGGCAGAAACGCAAAACACGGTCAGCGCCAATGAAACGAAAGAGATCTGCATCCGCAGGCCAGGGCGAGAACGGTAAATGTTGTGGCGCGATGCTGAAAGGCGCCAGATATGTGACAAAGGACGGATAAACAAACTCGAAGATGTGACAAAGGAAGAGTTTACAAAACTCGAAGGATCTTGTACCGCCCGTTCACAGTGATCACGGTACCATTGTTCAAGAACATGATCGTTGGCCCTGGTATTGATGTATGAGCACTGTGTTTCTTGGTGAAGGAGACCTTTACGATAGCACGGTCTGCTTCAACACCAAACCCTGTGACCATTGTGTGGTAAGTCCTGTACGTAAATACAACGACAGTGTTTTTCCAGTCTCAACCACCATCACTGAATGTTAGAAGGTTTGGCAGTTTCGCGTCACTTTAAGTAACGGCGTGCATAACCTTCCCAGTCACCCAGAATTCAATACTCACGCTGCGTCTCCTACCTTGACAAGCCGTCTTCAAGTTTCATCATTTTCCATCATGTCTAGCAGTCACTTCGAGGTAGTGCCAGTTTCCAACAAGTCGCAAGGCTCCGTGCCGTTGTCGCAAGCGTTTGACCACCATGACTCGTCTTTCAGCATGCCGGATCCAGATCGCATCTGCTACTCTAACAAGGAGTCCGCGAAGGTCAACATCGGGTTAGATTGTGTGAGTTGGTACGACCAAGATCTAGAGTTCGCACATGCAGATGGGCCATTTAGCACGAACAAGCCAGCCGTGGACGTTGACTTCAGCCAACTGATTTGCCCTATTGTGGCACCCGAGTCCAAGCCATCTGTCGAAGCACTCGTCTCCCGCCTTCTCAACCCTCCTCCGCATGCCTTTGTCTACCGTACGTTGTCCATACAATGGGTCATCGGCGCAATGGGTCAGCGGCATGTCGAGTTCCGCGAGAGTGATGAGCGATACGTACTTGCGCAAAATTCTGAACTGCGACGCATGGGCACTGCGCTCGGCATGCCTGCGCTGTACATGGAGTGGCTCTGTGGAGACGACGAGGATATTAGCGCCACTGATCAGGGTGTACATTTGACTCCCGATTACTTCGAAGAGGTCAACATGGACTAGACATGAGTCTGCCAACTCGTCGTACGTTAAATAATGAGTGCTATCACGGTAGATAAGACATCGCGGCTGTTACCAAGCATGCACGCAACTGTAGCCGTGGAGCATGAGTTGAGTTCCCCTCTATCCCTGACATCTACAATCAAGCACATTACAATCTCTTTTTAGTGAATATTGCGTTAACATCCGTTAAGATAGTCTCTCCTCGCCATACAATCTCTTACAATCATTGATCGAATGACCTCCGTAAATCCTTGCTCACCCTGCTTTGCTCCCTCAAGATTGCTCCTTCTTCTTGTTTGCGATCACTGCTTAATCCTCTTCGTCATGCGCTCGCTTGTTCCCGCTTAAAGCCGCCTTCTCGCTGTGAAGCCCTCCGCACGTGCCGCTGCGTTTGCGCTTCTACTCTACATAAGAGCAACACGCACGTCCTCACCACCAGTTCCCAGCATCAGCGTATGATCAACTCAGCCGGTACTCGCATCTGCTATAGCCAAGGCTGCTTCCTCAATCTCACTTTCCTCGACCGATCCAAAGATTATCATGTCCGCCAACACCTCCTCGCTTGATCCGTCTGCTCCCGCATTCGTTCCGGACAACAAAGGTAAAGTAGCCTACATGTAACTTGTGTTTTGAAAACATACCTAACAATGATACAGCTTCCTCCAGTACCTCTGCCCCACGCACCATCGAAAATCAAGGCGAGCCCGACGACGACCTCGGTATGCCCAATGATGATATCAAGGATCCGCTCGCATATCGTACCGTCGATAACCTTGTCGCCCTACTCATGTACCCTGGGAAAGGCATGCTCTACCCCGAAGACAAGCACGGCAATACGATGCACGATCGTGTGTTGATACGCCTCGACTGGGTGAAGAGAACCGTGTCGGAGAAGCACTTCATCTTCGACTCAGCAAAAGGCAGGTCCGTGCTCCGCGGAGATAGCAAGATCCGTACTCACGGCAGGCTTGCGGGCCTTCCCATGCGATACTACAACTGGCTGTGTGGCAACGACATCGATGAATCATTTTTCAGGGGTTACAAGGAACAACTATGGCTCTGGAGGGTCGGCTTTGTGCGGTACGGCTGAACGTAACGGTGGGTGACTTAGCGGCAACACTGGTTGGACCTACATCAAGACATGGTTGGAGTGCTTCGGAAGGAGGGGGGTGCAACGGATGTCCGTCATGGTCACTTTTAGTGCGGAAATTGGCCCGCTATTCGAGAATTCTCACTCCCTTTCGAGCCTATTCAACAGTATGCGTATCCACAAGCTCGGCAGGCCGCCCCCCTTTTCATCAAAAGATGACCATTTAGAAGGTCACTGCGATGCTTAGGCTGCATGATGGGTGAGGACGCATGATCGTCGTCAAGCGCGCTCCCCTTTTGAAGGCGAGGAGCCTTGCTGCCCAGCGTTTCCACCATCCCTCTCAATACACAGATCATTTCAGTACAATAAATTCTTGCAAAAATTCCTTTCATATCCCGAGAGCTACGTGAGTACGCCTGTTGACAGGTGTTTGACATTGTCCGCAGAAGGGCGCAGAGTCTGGTAGCGACCCAGGCCAAACGTCAGGCAACAACAACCCACAAAAACAGCGAAAACCACAGGACGAAAGTGTGCACGGGAGAGTTTCAACCTAAGCATCGGAGATGGAAGATCTCGAGAAGGAGTATGGCATCAAAGGCCGCCCGCTTATAGCTCCCGCTGCAAAGGATAGCAGAAGACGAGGAGGGAGGAGGCTTTGACCTCCCACCCATACCATCACACAAGAACAAATTCGACTCAGCACGCTCCTCTGCCGGTCCACATTTTTCATCGAAAGCACCGCATCCTGGACTACGGAACCTGGCCAAGACAATGAAGTGTGATCCTGCTGCATCATTCTCGTCGGAAGCTGGTGAAGAAAGCATTGAACCGGAAAGCCCTTCTGGAAAAACAAGCTCAACCTCACGTATCACGACGCAGAGCGGCGGTGCAGGTGACGAAGACAGTTCGGAGCATATGTCGGCTTTGACCGAATCCACGTCCAGCGTGAACACGTTTGTGTCTGTGTCGAGCAGGATAAGAGACGATAACAACTGCAGCAGTCTTATCTCGGTAGCATCATATCATACCGCACCTACTGGTCCGTGTTTCACGCAGATTGGAGCGGAGGGTGTTCCTGTGGTCGCCAGTCCGAGTTTGTCTACCGCTCCTTGCACAAGCACAAATAAGTTCGGAGGTTGGAAGATCGAAAAAGATTGCATTGGCAACAGTCCAGAATAATGCTTCCAACGAACAGCCCGCTGTTGAAGAGTCAATTGCTATACATTCTCCAAAGAGAGACCCAGAGATCGCCTCTTTCAAAAGCGCAAAGGCTGGAACATCAAATCGCTACCAACCATTACTATGGGTCATCTCATGGCTCACAATACTTGTCCTGCTCTGCACGTTCATAGGGAAGAATCATGATCCGTTTGCAGCCCCAACGCTATCGGGAGAGAAACAGGACAAGACAAAGCGGATGGTTGAAGCGAATGCAACCTCGTGGGTGACCTTCCGCCACAACGCCACGTTCGCCTTCAGCATTCAATGGCCTCACAACAGCATCCTGAATGTGACAGCTTCGAACGCGACGGGATCCAATACGAGGAGTCTCGTGGAGCGAGACCGTGTGACACCCATCGCCTGGAGAGCTGACAGTACTGAGACATGGAATCCTATGCTTTACATCGAGCATGTGAGCATACTGAATAGCTCATGGGTGACCTTGAACACATCACTCACAGCGGAACACAGAGTCAACCTTACTACCGTCTGTCCGCAACCCAGCGTGAAAGATGTAAAAGAGTCATCAACTTCCGCAAGCTCGGTGAAGCATTCGACTTCGCCCTCTACTGCAATGCCAACGATCTCGAATCGTACAGATGCTTCCGTGCCTTCAAACAAACTGCCGCCAACCGCGTCTTCCGCTAGGACCGCAAGGCCTACGACATCTACAACCTCCATATCATCATCACAATCTCCGCAGCTCAAAGAAACCAGAGCCGTCACGTATACCAAAAACCTGCTGACATGTTTGTGGTTCTTACCAACCTGGCTACTCGCTATTTTCATTGCTGAAAGATGTAGCATCTCGTGGCTTGCGCAAGGAGAAAGCAAAGTGAGGATGCAAATCACTGCTGTTGTTGTGAGCTTATTGTTGGCTGCCGCGGTAGCACTAGCGACAACGGAGATGGTGATGGCTATTTTGGAGTTTACCCGCAGTACATGAGTGGATTGTAGGCGTTCGCTGTGTTCCGGTACAATTCATTTTCATGGGCGTCTGCATCATCTTGGGGATGTGATATCAGCGCACTTCTGACCTGATTCATTTTTATGATGAGTTTCCCATTTATAATATGTCCGGTTGTCGACAGGCAGTAAGGTACAAACATCTGTCGAGTGAACAGACACTTGCCTTCAGCTAGCAACCCTCAACATGAGCGATATTTTCCATCTCATTGCCGTGATGCGCTAAAGCCGTTTCGAAACTTTCTGCTTGCACACTATCTAGACCTCCAAAGTCGTGAATTCGCCCAGATTCCGACCAATCTCAGTGAAACTATCTGTGGCTGCGCAACGTCGTAGAGTGCCATCGCTCAATAGAGTTGATTTTTGTGTGCAAGCGATTTGTGTGCGAGCGACGCTTCTGACTGATGCTCGGTGGCTTTTCAGATGACGTGCCGACTGCCTGGCCGTCAGACTTATACAGCTCTGAGACTGCTATCAGTCGTGGCTTGGGATCTCCTTCCGGTTTAGATCGATGCCGGCGCGGCTTGACCGGACTTGCGACTTGCAGTTGTTGGCAATAGAACCGTTTGGGTAACACAGGAGGTAACTGTATCGTGTTCGAAAGGCGCAGAAGGGGCCTTTGCTAGTCCTCTTCAAAGTAACTGGGGATACAAAGAAGTTGTCGCGCCCGGTATGGATGAGCACAAGGGTTCCATACGTCCTGACACCGCGCTTGCGTAGGCCAAGAAAGTTGCACGATACCGCAATAGGCAACATCGGGGGAGCAGGTGTTGGGATTTGGCTATTGAAATAGGAAACCCAGTCGAAAGACGGTGGGAAGACATCGTCAACATACAAGGTGAGTGGGGGACATCCCATGGTTGTCACTCGTGCGGGAATTTGAGTTGAGACCTCGCGAACATGGATTGCGAATATGTCCATGGAGTGAACGCAGGTTGAGTACATATCTGGTGAGCTTGATAATCACTTTTTTTATGCGTTCATGCTTGTGATGATGGGAATCAAGACAGCGTGGCCGCGCGGAGAACCTCAAATGCAGCCGCGCCGACTGTGACGCGGACCTCCCGTAGACGGATTACAGCAATTGTGCAGACTACGAGCAGCTGCGGAGTGAGACAATGCACAAGAATTACAGCAGTACCGCCATGCCAGAAAAGCGAAGGCTTCGAGCAGACCCTGCATACAAAATCTCAACCACGCCCGCACGGTCACCCACCACCGCGCTCGCCGACACTGCACCACAGTGCAATCAAAAAGAACGACAAAGTCCTCACGCCACCTACATCATTCCAGGAGCAGCAAAAGGAATGCCTGGGAAGGGGACAAGAATGGCAAAAAGAAATAACTGGGACTTACAGATGGTACTGATCTGACAACTCTTATGAAAGATCGCACCTTTGAGTGGCCGGAGCCAGATTCGAACCCTCCACTTTGTGCCGGTCGTATTGTTTGGAGCAGCAGCGCCAACTTGTCGATGTAATAGAAATTATACATACCTGAATGTAGTTGAAGCCGAAGCTCGTACTACTGTGGAACAATACGGCGACTGAACGCCTAAGCCAACTGGCTTGTGGTTGTATTGATAAAAGAAAGCAGCCTTAGATAGGTTATAACCTGAATAGGATCGTTGGTGGCAGGGGAGGCAGAAACGGGTGGGGGAGCGGGAGGAGTGGGGCGGAGGCGTCGTTGTTGTGATGGCGACGCGTGTTGAACGCGGGGGAGCAGACGGCAGTGAAGGCAAACTTGCAACCTCCCGCACTTTGACGGGCTCTGCGGCGGGGCATGGTACCTTGGTGTACTCAAACCAGTGCTTGCATGCTGCACGCCTGTATGCTGCATCCTTGGGCGGGATATGTAGCAGTGTCCGTGGCCACCTGTTTGGGGTCTTGCGAGTCTAACATTCCTCGGCGTTATCAGTATTGCCAATGATCCCAATTCAAATCTTTGATGATGTTCTTCAACTTTGCTCCACGGTTTGTACTTCTTGACAAGGTACATGAGCCGATACCGCTACCTTCTACACACTGTTCCTTCCCTACACTCATCATCAGCAAACACCAATTCATGACCACATAAGAGCCTGTATGCCCGAATCCGGTGGATCTCGCCTTGCTGATCGAACACAAGCGTTTTGTGAACCAAGCTCACAGCAATACTGGACATGATATGCCGCGAGATGAGAAATGTGACAATTCTCAAGCCTGTCCAGCCTGGGACGGAAACGGAGATAGCACGGTCAAGCAATCACTTGATTTCAAAGCGCGTCATTTGCAAGATTGTAGGAGGTGATTGTGGGAGTGTGACGAGTAGGCAGCATGAAAGAATATCAGAGGTAAGGCCAAAGATGCAACACCTTATCAGGTAATAGCCCGAGATGTGTTGATAGATGAGGTAATGGACAATTGTACAGAAGAATGGGAGATATCATGTAGAAGGTTCGAACATGCTTGATTCGAAGGAAGACATAGCACATGAAACCATGAGGCAAGAACAGCGAGCAAGATGTGTGCAGCATGGAAGTTACATAACCAAGTAAGAAATCGCAGGATCCCTCGCAATCAATGATCCCGACTGTTGCTCGTCGCAACCAAGCGACAGTAGTCTTTCTTCCGGTAATTCTTGGTTTAGATTGCCACTTTCATATAGCCGACGGCGGCAGCAAGTCTTTCACTGCTGGGACAGGATGAGACCTGACTCACCAAGAATGCTTGGCTTCCAACAATAAGGTATTGGCTTACCCTGGTTCGAACGAGTAGCGGTGTTGCGTTATGGGAGTTTCCAAAGCCGAGGCCAATAATGAGGGTCTGCATCGGGCTCGCTTGTAGACTGGTCGACGCAAAGTCAGTAATGTCTGGCACGTTGGGTCCACACTAGCGACTTACAGATCGGGTGGCTCTCGATGTCGCTTTGTCCTATACTTTAGGACTGGCAACGGACAGCCTTGCGGAGAGGCAGGTGGTGCTGATTCAGTAGGAGGGCGATGCCGCTATCAATCTCGATCGTGTCTCTGCCAACAGCACTTCCTCCAAGTGACTACTGGTGTGACCGAAAACAGGTCCACTAGTCGTAGCACCGTAGACAGGTGATTCCCCATACGCCGTAGGCGGGTAGTAGCCTCCATAGATCATGGGGCTGCCGCTCGCAGTGGCACATAGACTAACTTTGTGGCGCCATTCTGCAGTCGAAGGGACAACCTTACCGAGGCGACTGCCCGAATGACCCCCGGAGAAACTGTTGATGACGGGAGCGGTGTCCCGGGCACAAACGCAGAAGTTGGCGAGGGCTTGTGTGGCATTATTTTGCGGTCGAGACTGCTGCCCGAGATCGAGCGTTGGCGTTGCAGACTATGGGTCTGCAAACGAAGTTGCGCGGAGGGAGTTCTTATGGTTTGGCTGGATGTCATGCAGCCAGCTTGACGACAGACGTCGGCCACTAGAGTAACTGCCCGGGGCTTGGCGAATGGAAAGCTGTTTGTGTTCAAAGTGAACGAGGATGTCATCACCTTGCGTTCCAGGCGACTAAGTCACGACCCGTGAGTATTTGAGCAATGAAGTCATGCAGGTAGGCCAGGGCGTGCTCGCTACGACCAACGCTGAGGACTGCGTGTCTGTCCGAAAGATCTGGTAGCATTCCTGCTGGGAATGCGAACAACGCCTGGCCTGACACTCGAAAGTTTTCCGAGTGATTCCTAGCTGCATGGTACTGAGGCCGGCAAGGAGATGTTGCCGGGTAGCTGTCAACAAATCAGTCATGGAAGGGGAAGAGATGATGCCGCATTGGAAACGTACAGCAGGCTTTGACTTCCATGTACATAGAAGATCTCCTGGAGTATCTCCCCAAGGCTATCAACAAGTTTTTGGAGTAGACCCTTGCAGTGAATCTTGTGTTGATACAGGTTCTTGGCCCGGCAAACCTCGCTGCAGTGCCCCGCCTGACCTCTAATCGAGGACATCATGTCGCAAGTAGGCAGTCGGAGCAGCTGTCCGACGAAATTTCGATCAGGTAGACGAAGCATCTGAGGCAGTCTGAGTCCTGACCTCGATCTCCCCGATCGGGCCAAGCTCTTGTTGTCGAGTGAGGGTAGTGCGGTGGGCAGTACGGCGCCTTTTGAGTGTTTCCCACAACAGAACTTGGATTCACCGTTGAGTATCGATTTCTTGGTAGTAGGAGCCGTTGTGTCGAAGAGGTCTTCTCACGGGGGTTCTTTTGCCGGGCTGCGCGCTTTCGGAGTGCAGCTCTGGAGCTTGGTCTGTTAAAGTCAGTGAGTGGCCCAGACTTGACTTCTGCAATCATCGCAGCGTACTTCTTGGGGTCGTATCGTGGACTCAAGTTCGCAGAGAGGCTAGCAATTATCTCCTGACTTCTCGGACTCTCGAGCGCTTCAGACTGGTTGCAAGACCAAGACGTACTTTGCTAGGCGGAGTGTTTGAGCCAGCGTAAGGCGCAATCTCGCCTCGTAGTCCTCGAGCTCTTCCGAAAGGGAGGCTTCTCGCGTATCTAGTAGTCGCTGCTTCCTCTAGGGTGGCTCGGGAGCTGGGGATGACAAGCGTTTGAAAAGAACTGATGGCCGTGCAATGTAATGGCTGAAAGGATGAGGGGAGGATAAGAGACAGACAGTGAGAGAGAGCGGGGTATCGAGAGCAACGAGCCTGTTGTTGCTGCGCAGGAAAGAGCGTCCGACCCACTTTTAACTAGGGTGATCGTGTACGCGGTCAAACAGACGAGAAGCTCAACTGCAAAGCCGTCTCTCTACGCTACCCCTCCGTCGAATTACAACCCAACTCTTTACTTGCCTCGTAAAAGGGCTCCTTAAAGATCGAAAAAAATGCAATTCGCACTCTTCCTCGTCCTTACCGCGCTGACGATGACCATGGCCGAAGATATCATCAGGCCCATCGACTTTACGGCAGTTGCACCTTGCGCAGTGCGGTGTCCTGCTCTTATCGTCGCTCAAGAGCACTGCATGGGCGTAGTTCCTACTATCTCTGACCAGAAGGCTTACGATGCTTGCTTCTGCGACTATCCGCAACTCGAGGACCTGCGCAACAACGCCGATGTCTGTTCCAAAGCCTGCGACGCAAACGACCAAAATCGCATCTATACCCTGTTTATTAGGCGCTGCCGAGCATTTCTGTACACTTCACTTCAGTTGCCTGCTCTTTCAACCCAGGAGACGATTCCCTCTACCATTCTTGAGTCCGTCACATCTGCGCTCATTAATGGGCCTGAGTCAGCAGGCATCACAAGCGCCGCCACCCTTACCTCGACCTTGCAGTCAGCTGCTGCCTCATCATCAACTTCGGAGCCAATTTTAACTCCCACTTCGTCGCCGCTTACTTTGATTTCCACTCTCTCCTCGCCGGTGACATCGGCCGTCACCTCCTCATCGCTCTCGTCGGCCTTGATCTCCTCTTTGAAGCTTACTTCAACACCTTCCTCCTCTTCGCCGCCTTCTCAGGCATTAACAACTTCTTTGGTGGCAACCCAGCCAACAACGCCTCATACCTCTTCACCGCCAAAAGACCATGGAGCTAAGCTCCATAGCAACTGGCAATACTTAGTGGCAGCTGGCGTTTGTTTCATGTTGGGCATCATAATCCTTCTTGCCACAGCGATTTACCTTCACTATCGCAATACCAAGGCTAAGGCTCGTTCTGATGACAGCAATGGAGTCTACCTGCTCGGCCCGCTTCCTGGCTTGGCCAGCCAATCACGTAGCAGTGAGCTCGCACACAGAGCCACCGTGCCGGCATCTCCATTAGCGTGGAATCACCAAGACAGCTTTGGGCCGACGCTGAGGGAGCACGCACGACAGGAGCAGGAGAGAGAAGCGGCGTTTCGTGCGAGAAGGGAGGCAGGAATCGTGCCTCCCTGGAGGCTGCCAAGGCAGCAGGGGACGTTGGATGATGAGTGATGTGGTAGGCTGGATGGTGTCGGTGACTTCTGGGCTGGTGATGGTGATGGAGATGGAGGTTGAGGATAGACAGGAGGTTTATTCCGTGGCTGGGTCGGCCCCGCCGTGCCGCAAGCCAGCACAACCATGGTACGCATGGACTAGTGCAATTATTTAAACAGTATCGCACAGCACAGCACTATCATGTGAGAACCCCGTGTTGCTCCGCATATCAATCACCAGTGATCCCTTTGCCATCATAGAAGCTCGAATACCACATCTGATGCGCAAAGTCACGATGCACTGGAATCTCAAGTCTGTCTTGAGGCCCTTAACACCTAGGCCAACCTCCCCGACAGATTCGGGCAGTACCTTGTACTCCGCTACCACGCCATCGACCACCTCGCTGTCCACGAACGACCAGTTCCCGTTTCCAACGAACCCGTCTCGCGTCAAGAAAGCTCGACACAATAATCATCCTCAGTATCTGCCCAGGCCGGACGCCAGCGTTCGAGATGTTCAGTACTTCTTGTATACCTTGCTTACTAGCAAAGCGCATGAGTGCGCAAAGAAGTACCCAGAATGGGTACTCGAAACATGCATGGGCTGGGCTGGTGACGGTCAACAATTGCGAAGCTGTACCGAAGAGCAGCTAACCACTCTATGTCCTTACCAAGCCATCGTCAATGGCATAGATTCGCCAAAGCACCGACCTGGCGCATTTGTCCCCATCCCCGCCAGGCACATGATTGGCCAAGTCATCGCACGGTTCGTGGCTGAGAAAAAGTCAAGAGAGAAGCAAATCGAAGATGTGCACAGCCGTTTGGAAGAAGAAAGAAGGCGACCATCTATAGCGGCAGCGCCATATCTGGGCCTGGAGTCGATGCAAGACCTATCGTTATCTCGATCAGCCTCCCAAGCCTCGAGGAGATCACGAGCTCAACCCATACTCCCGCGTGTAGGCCTCGAGCAACAAGCTGTCGTTGGCTTCGGTCCCGTGTTATGGACGGAACAAGCTATGCCTATGAATGGTGCCTATGTCCCGGCTTCGACGACCAGACCAGCACACATGTTCTCGGGACCTTATATGTCAGGTGCCTTGAGCGGTTTCTCCTACGAGCAAATACCATCCAGCCCTGTCTCTTCTCAAACCTCATTCGCGCCATACAACGACATATCGAGCCTTCGAAGTCAGTCCAGCGAGCAATTCCCCACGATACAGCAGCAATCACAACAACGCAGGCCCAATCTCTACTCCGGCCGCGAACTTCACCATCCGGATTTCGATGAATTGAATATGACAGACGCAACAACTATCAATTCCAAGCGCCCGCAAAGATATGCTCCTCGGCGTCCATCAAGCCTTCGCACGTCCAGCACGACCGAAAACAGTCAGGATAAGACGATATGCAGCACTGTACCTTTGCGCAAAGGACACACCGTTGAGTTCGTTGATTCAAATCCCAGTCCAGTTCCTCCAAGCCGGCCACTTGGCTCCGTTCGTAGACGGAGCTCATTGGCAGCGTCCAAGCTTGCTGGTGAAACGATTCCAGAGGCAATCAATGAGCATGCCGAGAGTCCTAGGCACAACGATGATTCTCAGAAGACGACGCGACATGATAGCGGCGTCGAGAGCGTTCCGTACCGCAGTTCTTCCTCCAGCAGCGATCCCCCTGCGTTCCTGACGAATGCGTCTCCCAACTCACGCGAGACCTCATTGCCTGCCTCAAAGCTGTCACGCTCAAATACTGTAGGACTAGAACAACAACACCGCGCGTGGTCAGCCCCTCGACCACATAACACCCTCCCCGTGGCCAATCAAATGTCGCGCTGCGTCTCCTTCAACTTGGGACAGGATGCAAATCGGCCTAGTGTGGGACTTTCCACAGCCTCTCTTCCGAGGCAGCCAATTCAAATGATCCTAATGAAACCAGAGGTCAGATTACAAATCAAGACCAGGAAGATCTTTCAAGAGATAAAGATCTTTCTGAAAAATATCTAGCTGTAGAAGCAGAGTTTCAGAGACTGAAGAAATTGCGTGATGAGGCAGTCACGCGCCTTCCAACTCTGCAACCCCGCCCGTGTCTGCGCAAAGCACAAAGCGACAAGACTCATATAGTAGTTCTCTGGATCCCATGCAGGGAATACCCACTGGACACAAGCCCTGGCATTACAAGCCAGGTCCATCTCAACACCCGCCAAAGCCAGAGGCCAAGATTCGGAACCCAAAATCTCAGTTGCCCAACCAAACGCTCATGGAAGGCTTGGAGGAGAGTCAAGCACGATCGAGCAGTTCGTCTAGGATGCAGGAGTCTCAGAGACCGAGGCATGCTGATGCAATGGCGAGCTGATCTGCTTGATGTATGATAATGTGTCCTCAATATCTTCGATAGCCTTTCAGCTTTGAGATACATACCGAATCCTCACAGACATCATCTAGCTCTGACCATTGGCATTCCAATCTCTCTGTTTAATCTCGCATATGTGTTCACGAATACAACTCCATTGACGCAGAAGACAACAATGCGGACATTCACACCTTATGCTGCACTAGCCTATGTGGGTTCAGCAGGGCTAGCGTGGCACCGTCCCCACCGCATAGCCACCGGACAAACATGACATCAAACAATCGCTACTCCCAAACTGAATCAATACCTTGCCTGCCACAATCTCCACCATGGCTTTCATAAACGACGATCGCTTTGCCAACGGCGTGCCTCGCCTGTCGGGCGGCGGCAACAACATTCGACAGTGGGAGTACCATCTCGGAAGCTACGCGGCAGCGATCTCTGGAGACGAAATCGTCAAGGGTTCTAAGCCCGACGATGGCTCGGAGGAATGGAGCCGCATTGATGATGCATTGCGTAACACCATCATCTTCACCATCAGCGCCTGGACCTTTGAGTTCAAGGCGGTCAAGGCTGCTAAAACCGCAGCAGAAGCTTTCAGTGCCATCAAAGAGCGCTTCAGGTTCCACGTCGCGCAGGCTCGCATAAAGGTCTACAGTGCCTTCCATACTCTCAACGCCGCCAGCTTCAGATCCGCCGAGAATTTCACCACCGCCTTCATGAGCCAGCTCGCCGCCATGGAGAAAGAGGGCTTCAGCACTGTGCCTCTGGAGATGGTTCTTCGTTTCCTCATCGCCCTCGACCCGGTCCTTCCAGTGTATTGCCGCCATCGCCGCGCAGACATCTACAACGACTTTCCCGTCTCGCTCGACACCATGATCTCCGACCTCCTCCAGAATACCGACATCGACAAAGCATTTAAGGACTCATACACCGTATTTGAGCGCGCACGCAAAGCCAAGGCAGCCGCTGATTCCGCGAGTGGTATGGCCAAGAACATCGCAAAGGCCGGATCTGTGTGTAAAGACTGCGGGTCTTCGCACAAGAGCGCTGGGGATGTGTGCTACTCCGCCCATCCTGAGCTCGCTCCGAAGAAGTGGGTGAGCAAGAACATGGGCAGGATCGTTGCTGCGCGCGAGTACAAGGAAGGCCAGCAGCAGAGCGGTGGCTTCACAGGCTCCTCTTCGTCGGTGCATGCAGAGGGCGGTTTAGAGGGCGGGTTCACAGGCTTCTCGCCGTTATTGCATGCTCTTATGAGCGCCGAAACTACTTCTACTACTGAGGCCCCCATCATCCCCGAGTCAACAGCTGACACTGACACTCTGATGGACCAAGACCACACATCCGATGCCGAGTCTGAGTCAGGAGGAGGCTGCGCGCTGGGCGGTTTTGAGCAGTGATCACTTTGCAACAAGTTCGAAGATTTCTCGAGAGATATTTCAGTCTTGGTGAACAAGCTGACTTCGGTATTTAGTGTTTAGCATAGGATATTCCCGCAATCAGAAGGATCATTGGGCTTCCCATTGGCCCTATTATAGCTCTCAAATGTCATCATGGCCTTCCCGTCACTTCCCAAACCCGATATCCACGACTTCCCTTTGCCCGACATACATACCTTTCCTTGCCCATGGTTTGCGGTTGGACGGCGGTTGGGTTCCGTACCTATTCTATCTCCGCCAGTCCCGTCAACCACGCAATACGTCTTGCCTAGCCCAGTTTCCTGGCTACCATCAAGACCTTTGTTGCCATCCAGAAATTCCTGGAACTGGTTCTTGCATGTCGTACGATCGATGTCGTGTCTGTCGGAGCTCTTGTCGTTCTGGATGGAGATCCTGTACACCCATTCAGAAGTGGAGCCATCGGCGTTGGTTAATGTGATCGTTGCTCGTAACGGGTCGTCGTGTTTGATTCGGTGCATGCCATATCCTTCGATGAAGGTATCGCATACTTTGGTGTAGCCACTGACGAATTGTTCTTCGGTTGGTAATTTGGCGGATGCGCAGGATCCCTTCCCCAAGTTTGTGTCACGAGATGTCTTTTCTGATCGAATAGACATCGATGTTACGTGGCAGACGAGGCTGAAGAATAAGAGGGCTTTTGACATGATTTTAGTCGGCATTCTGCTAAGGCTGTATTGGCAGTAGTGATTAATGGAATTTACTTCAACAGGTATGCAGGGAAATAAGGCTGGACGATGTTGACAGAACATCGCAACTGTTGTACTTCGAAGGCATTGATTGTTAAGAATCGCTACCGAGAAGCGCTTCTTTGACTGAAAAAATGTACAAAGAACTAATCTTGCTTCTTTGTCAACGGTGGTGCTTGCCAGGATTATTCCTTGTTCTTTGCCATCGACATCCCGCCAGCTCGAAATTCAACCTACATTGGCCGCTTCGGAGGAAACCAACTCAAATTTAAGTCCCTGAAGAAACACCTAAAGGGGCACTTGTCTGGTTGTAGCTCCATACCATTTCTTCCCAAATCATTCACGTCCTGTCTCACGACATAAACATCAGCGCAACGAGTGCGCAGTGCTCTAACCCTAGTAATTAAACCCCACCCGTCCAGCGACTCCGGATAATGCAAAATACAGAAAGATCACCTCAAGTGATTTCACAACTCCAGAATCAGAAGTGGGTTGATGGGCTGGACAGAGTTGAAGTCCTAGGATGGAGTGAAGTCGCCTTGTTTCAACTCCGCGAGTCATGATCTTTGATGTGGCGCACCCAATGTTTCATGCGCGCCTTAACTAACTGTTCACGTCACATTTCGTTCCAGTAGGCGCTGCAGCAATCCACACTCATGCGATTGAAGGCTTGATGAGGAAGGACGCTGTGAACGTGCGAGTCGTGATGTAAAACCCATGGCTGTTCAGGTGGTCATTGCTGATGGCTGTTCACATTAACTTACAACTAAGAATATTTACATCAATTGAGATGCGCATTTGAGGGCCATTCCGAGGTGAAGTTCTTGTAGTTGAGCTTTGAATCACATCAATTGAAGACTCTGATGTTGTGTGTATCTACAAGTTGCTATTGTGAAACTCAGGAACTGATCAAATCATTACAGAAAACGCTTGACATTATCCTAAGCGGCGAATGTGACCGCTCTTGTAGCCTTCTTCGCACCCTTTGCTGCGGCGGCAGCAGCCCCAGCCCCAGCCCCAGCTGCGGCGGCGGGCGCCCTCATGTTTTGCATAGCAAAAGTTGCAGCCTGAGCGCCATTGATACCGTACGTCAAATGTGGCGCGAGAATAACAGCCTGTCCCGCACAAATCAAGTCGCCTGCATGGCAGACGACCATGGTGTCGGAAGCGGCAACCTTTCCAACGGGCTTGCCGTTGTTTGGGTCACCAAAGATGACTGCGCTGTTGACGAACGCAGCATCTTGTGCAGAAAGCATGTCTGCAGCGTTGTGTACAAGCTGACCACCCTGACTGATACGGACTCAACACATGGATTGAAGATATGGCATATACATGGAACAACTTACGAGTAGCCAGCCATGACCAAACTAGTGTCCGGGCACTGCGCTCTAACTTGCCCAACCATCTTCGCCATCAACGCGCTTCCGGCCTTTGAGCCGCCAATTAGGAAGCCTGGGACGTCGGCAGGGTAGGCGATACCTTGCACTGCAATGTCGCCACCCATCATGGCACCGAGGGCGGTGACGAAAGGAGGTCCGGCGACGCTGCCCATGTTGCCAAGCTCAGTGGTTCCGCGCGCGAAGAGCACGGTCATGGCCTTGCAACCGCCTCCACCCATGACATCGTTCTGGGAAATGGACGTCAGGGCCGCCATGGTAAGGGTAGGTAAAACAGCGAGGGTAAAGGACTTCATCTTGGCGGTGTTGAGTGTAATGTTATTAGGATATTAGGGAATGTATTAAAAAGTTCAGAGTCAGGTCCGGCCTGAGTATCAACGAAATGAAGTAAGACGATAGAGTCCAGCTGGAGGGTGAAGAGTGTGGTCGGAGTACATTCTTATGGAAGCCGCGGAGTGTAACGCAGCATGACTTGCAGAAAGACGCAATCTGTCATTGCTTATTATGGCATGTAGCTGTCAAGTTTCTTTAGAGTTGGGAGTTACACATTCAAACGTCATGCGGCGCCCTAAATAGTATCTCATGTCTGAGATGTAAGTCCATTGTGTGCTGGTTGTAAGGCTGCGATCGAGTTTGAGCAGCGATCCCTGGTCTAGATCGACCGGTGGTTCATGCAGACACCAAGCGAGATGGCCCATGGAACTGCAGCCGACGATATTTCGAAGGATGTACCTGGATAGGGTGGAACATGATGGAGCCAGATAAACGGAGTTTCCCCGATGACGATGCCCGGACCCGAGAAAACCGGTGTGTTCGGCATTCTGAGGATCTTGAGGGGCTTGGCAAGATCTGAGGACTTCAAGTTTTGTTTCTCATTGTAAAAGGTGTTTCGCCAAGAACAAGCAGGACGCTTGGAAATAAATCACTGAAGTCGAATGTGGCCACGGCCACGCATGGTAGGGTGAACCATGTCAAATGCTTGCAAGGGCTGCAGCTTTGTTGATGATATGCTGTTTTCCTTCACTGGTGTTCGGTTCGAGCCAAGCGATCCTCAGATGCTGACCATCGCGATCGATCGACTGTAGTGTTCAGCGGATCTCAAGTCACATCGTGTTTCGTACATGAAGTCCAGATCCACCAGGCAAGCGGCGGAAGTTCCGTTCCAGCAGCGTTTGACAACATTAGACAACGCTCATGCATGAACACTCCGAGCGTCGCTACTCTGCGTGGGGTTTGTCGAAACGGTCCAAGGCCCAGATGATATGACACGTGAGCTTCAGCGCATAGTATGCTCGACATCATCAGCGTCGTGGTATCAGCCGGATGAAACGGGGATATTCGCGCGAGGATAGCGGGTACGTGGCCAGGAGCGAACGTCGCGCACAGTCGTCTCAAGCCTCGTGTGAATGAACACCGTTGACTCATTATTGCAGCTCGCCATGCGTCTGCGCAAGCAGCGAGATCCCGAGAGTTTACAAATAGTGAATGAGGGCGGTTGCCGAGCGAGAACGAAGGGCGCAATTGTTGCTTTCAGCGTTGGTGCGGAGCAGTCAGCGCCCGCCCCAGGCTCGAAATGGTAGCCTTACCACGACGCCACTAGCAGGGGCTTGGAATCGAAGTGTATAAGGCCGAAACGTCCGCAGCATGCTGTAGGCGTTCAAACAGAATACATAAAGGATTAAATTCGCCAGAATGCCACTCGAAATCCACCGCTGCAAGGAACATGACATTCCCGAGTTTGTGCGCATCCAAATGGGTGCCTTTGCGGGCGGCGGCGGCATGACAAAGATCCTCATGCCTAACCCCACACCACCCGACTACGCAGAGAAGCTCATCGAGAAGAACCTCAAATCGATGCGCAAGGAGAAGGATGTCGTGTACCTCAAAGTCATCGATACTGACATCCTCAATGGAAAGATGATCGCCGCCGCAAAGTGGCGCATCAACAAGAAGGAGCGAACAGAAGAGGAGGTGCGAAAAACGTTGCCAGTGCCTGGGCCAGATGAGGAGGGCAAACCGGCGGTGCAGGACTTTTGGAACTTCTTGGCGAGGGTGAGATGGGAATACATGGGGACAAAGCCCTTCTTCTGTAAGTTTAGTGGATGACCTAGCTGTCGCATTCGTATGCTGACTTCGATACAGTTCTGCACATCTTGGTAACGGATCCAGAGCACTACAGACGAGGCGCAGGTGCAATGCTGATCCGTTGGGGTACCGAACAAGCTGATGAGGCGCGGCTTCCTTGCTTCCTGGAAGCAACGCAGATGGGGAAGCCGCTGTACTTGAGGGAAAAATTCGAACCGAAGCACGACGAACATTGGGATTTGAGCAAATACGGGTTGCAGGGAACTGATACATCCACCATCATGATAAGACCGGCGTCTACGTTGGCGTAAGTCATGTAAGAACCTGGATAGCCTCAATACAGTCTCGGAGATGCTGAATGAATGGATCTTGATCGTGCCTGCATATTAACAAGGTATCATGAAGTCTGTGATGCTGCAAATCTTGGTGTTGGATACCTCTAGCTCTACCTACCAAAGGCGTATGACGTCCCCAGAACCCCAACCCTCATGGTCCATCCCCAGTAGCTCTCTGATGCCGTTGGCCCTGGCGGTTTGGCTAAGGACCCAATTCTTATCTACGGCGCGAGAGTCATATGCGCCTGCCTCCCACATGAACTTCATCCCATCTTTTTCCTTGACAAAATCCGACACCTTCTCCAAAAACACCCAATCTTCACCAATGATGTCCTTCGACCAGCCGTATGGAGCGCCGATCTTGCCCATCTCTATCTTGAAGTACTTGAGCGATGCAGCCTGGTCGAGATAGTAGAAGAGCATGTCAATCTGCTCGGGCGGAAGAGGGCGACCCTGCCGGATCGGCTGCGCAATTGATATGCGCTTCACGCCTCGGATTCCATCACCGAGGACGTCAAAGAAGGCGATAGCAGCGTCAGAGCCACAGATCTTGAGGTGCTTGGCGGAGCACAAGTAGGAGATGGCTTCTGCCCGGACTTGGTGACAGATGCGGAAGACGCCAGGGTTGAGCACAGATTCGGAAAAGTGGCGGGCCTTGCGCTTCTGAGTGATGGCGATGGTGATAGATCGCAGAGTTGGGTAAATGACGTAGGAGTAGATTTCGTTCCTGAGTTCGCCTGGGAGCTTCAAGAAGCCGGAGTTGATCTGGTTTTGCTCGGGCTGCGTGCATGTGAGTATACTTGTTCAAATTTGTACGCATTTAATGGCATTACAGTGGCTTTGGGCTCCTTAGGGCCTTTTTTCGGCTTTCGCGTCCAGAAAGGCATTTTGGTGGCGTCGTGGTGACTGCGAGGGCCGCAGTAGATAGTATTTATGTGACAGCTTAGGCCTTACCCGATTGGGCTAGCAGCACTTCGCGGGCAATGTTCGATCGCATGTGTCCTCGCGCCTGTGATCGTGTTGAGAAGGAAGATTTTTCAATACGTAATTGAACGATCTGGTTATTTGCAGACGAGATTTGTATTTACATATGCCTAAGTGCCCGTCCTCAGCTCACCCTGCAAGCATGTCCACCCTATTCATCAATCACGACTGCGGCACCATGATCCTGTCCACGTCCGGTCCCCAACTTCCCTGCATACTGATCTTGACCTCATTATTTCCCTGCTTCAAATCCGCATGTACCACACTCGTGCCTGGATCACCTCCTCCGTGCGGCAAGAAAGCCACCCTCTGCGTCTTCCCATTGACACTGACATCTGCCACTCGTTGACCGTTGTCACCATTCAAATGCTTGATTCTCAAAGTCGTCCTTGTACTCGATGCACTCTGCACATTCGCCAATACTACCGCCCCTCCAGTCGAGCCTCCGATGTACCCAACAGCGTTCCCGCCCGAGCAGCTCGAGCATGATTGTACTTTCGCGCCGTTAGACAATGTGCCGGACTCGCCCTCTGCTTGCTTTTCCTCGGGCCCAGCATTCATACTGCCAGTGCTCGGGTCCAACACCCAGTTCACTGCATTCTTCATGCTCGCGGTCGTCCCATCGATCTTAAGTGGTAGCCAGATGTACGTGCTCCGCATCAAATTGCCACTGAACCAACGATCACCCATATACATGAAGCTATCGCCAAACAGGCACAATAAATGTTGTTTGAGAAGCATACGTGTTAGATCCGGAGTCTGCGAACTTCTTCCACTGCGGGACCAAGGGCCGCTAAGTGAGGTGGCGGTACTGTAGTAATTATCGTTGGGGTTCCAGGCCGGTGAGTTGCGGATGCGAACATGGAAGTATACACCATTCTTTTTGACGACTGTAGGAGACTCGTATTTCTCGGCCCAGGTGTGCACGTTGCGGGTGATTGTGAGATAGTCGTCAGAAAGCTCGTTGATGCGTAGGCCGTTTTGGCGCTGGAAGTAGTCAGCATGGCAAATTTCCAGTGCAGAAGTAGCAGTTTGAACTCACGTCTTCGGTTAGGAGGTATCCTTTACCATCGTCATCGACGTAGACGCCAGAGTCGCGACTTTCGAATCCAAGTGGGCGTTCGCTGCGAAGGTATGTGTACTTTCCGCACACACTATCGCCAGTTGCAACACCAATCTTAGCTTCGCCGTAGTTCGAGCTGTCGATGTGCATCCATAATACGTATTTATTAGTCTTCTTGTTGAACATGACTTTCGGTCGCTCGATGACGCGCCCAGGACCAGTATCGCCAGACGCCGTGCGCGACAGCAACGCGCCTTCATAGTTCCATTCGACAAGGTTGGTGGATGAGTAGCAATTAATGTTGACGAATGCCGTCCCGTTGGTCTTGTCTTCGCCAACCCTGAGCAAATCAGCAAGTCTGCAAGTCGGTCGGATGGAATGCACGTACCAGTACCACTTATCACCAACCTTCAGCATGCCACCGCCATGAGCTTGAATGTGCTGCCCGGTATTTGTCTGCGATCTCAATCAGATTTGCGACATACTATTTGATCTTGTTAGACTTGCCGCTGTCCATGTTGCTCCAGGGACGATTTGAAGTGCTGCGTTGACAGTTGCGACGAGAAGACCAAGTGCTGCGAAGGCGTGAGACCGCATTGCGAAAGCTTGCAAAGAGCGATCACATAGATCGCAGGAGGTTGTTATAAGGGAAACATGCCCCTGTCATATGGCTCGTGAACATAGCTTATGTGGATAAAGTCGCTCTAGTCAACCCTCTTCGCCGCCAGGGGGGGCTGTCTTCCATAGGTGCCATTCCCGGGTAGCAGGATTGCCTGTCATGATTATGGTTACATGTGGCCCGAAAGACGCGATTTCATTGAGGTTGGCAAGGATGTCTTAACGACTTGCGGGGAGCGTTAGCGTTCGGAGAGATTATAGTGTCGGTTGTTCTTCTTGATTTAGATTTAAGTTGTGCATGTGCCAAAGGGTATATTGCCTTTGAGCCGGGTTTCAATAGTCCGACGCCCGTGTTGACGTAGCTTGTTCTCGCGACTTCAGTAAGTAGGAAGCTATGGTGGCTACGAGGAAGATTTAGGAAAGTGGAAATATTGGTGTTTTTTTGAGCGTCTATGTGTGCTACAAGCTTGGATGCACCAATAACATCGCTGCGCAAGTCGAAAATCGAGTGCAACATATCAGACGACAGATATAGTGCATGTATACTTACACTTGCATGGAATTTGACCCGCCAGATACAACACGAACCTTTTCGTCAATCGTAGAGCTCCGGAAGCATGCGTACTACATTCCTTACCTTGCTGTCATTGTCTTGAATTGCGATGCCGCACAACGTGGACGTCACCAAACGTCACTCGCTGAGCGCATTGCCTACATGGTATCAAGCTTGTATTTTTGTTACCTTGTTAAACGCGCAGCGCGCGCCTGCCCCCGTCTGATGCTTGTTATGGGGTTGTTGCGGATGCCCGCCGTGCATTTAGGTCATCTCTTTTCATGTCAATCGCTATACCTCCAGGATACAGAAGTTCAGCTCCTTGCTGTTGTCGATCGCACTCATTCGTGCTTGTACGCGCCCAGCATGGATGCCCGAGGTGCTCGTTGTGGGAAGCTGCCGAAACAGCGTGGTGTCCGCGGTGTCTGCCGGTAGTCGCATTTTGCCCCTAGATCAGCCATGTCGCCTCCCACCTCACTCCCTGACTGTGTTCATACTGACTAAGGGGCTTCTGCTCCTGTCCCTCTTCTGGAAAGTTGTTTGTGCGTGCGGTTTTGCGGGCTCCAAAGAGGGTCAGAGGGGGGCTCGGTTGGGCAGCTTTTGGACGAGTTCGGAGCGGTGGAGAGCTTTTGGGCGTGTCGATTCCGAGGAGGGCTGTTGTATGGCAATGCAGGCGGTTGAGAGATTTGGTATGTAGTCGCTGGAGATGCCCTGGCGCTGCTGAGACGGCCGCCGTGCTGTAGCAGTCCGCCGTCACCAAGGAATGGCGGGGCTGGACGCTGTCGCTTGGAGCTGCGGGCTGGCGAAACCTTACTGTGCGGCGGTGCCCGGACCACGGCCACCACCAACACAGTGTACCATGCTTCCAAAAATGTAGGAGCTGGCTATTGATGATGCCAGGATTCCATTCCGCGTACTCCGGTCACGATCGGACTCGTGGTTGTAGAGTTCTGAAGCTGCGAGGGTGGCCGTCTCGTCTTTGGCGTAAGTCAACACCAAAGGACTATCGCGAACTTCGCTTTGGCCAAGCCCCTCCACTACCCTCACCCCCACCACCACCACACCATACCACGTCGTAGACCTCTGAAATCAGGCTCATCTCGTAGAACGAGACTTTCTCATCCTCGTCGCATTCCTCCTGGAGTCGTAGCACCCGTTTTGGGCGGCGTGGTAGTGCCTCTCTCCTCGCAACTCCTGCAGCTCGCCCTTAACGCATGCCACCACATTCGTCTGCAGCGCCTTCATACTCCAGGAGAAGCTGAACCAGGGTCTTTGAACCCTCTGTGCTGAGTTTACCGACTGCCCTCGCATCGTCGTCGCCGCCGCAAGCTCCGACGTGTTGGCGGCTTCGCAGCTCCGCCAAAGGGCGGCATCATCCCCTCAACACCACTCAAACAAGGCGCGGATGAGTATCTCGGGCATCCAAGTAAGCATCTCCTGCATTTTGAAAGCCATTGACTTGACGGCGAGCGCGTGCTGACCTCCTGACCACAGGCGTCCTTGACTTCCGCAACCACGACAGCGGCAGCGATAGCGAGCTTTGCGCGCATTTGACGGCGCCGCAAAGGCTTCGCATATCTCAAGGTATGCTGAGCACCCCCATCGCCAACACCATCATAGCCGTTGACCGGTTGCTGACTTTGACCTTCTGCAGCACGTCCGACAATTTCCCCGCAATGCATGTCGAGACCTTTCGACTTTGAGGGGCAGCACCTGCCTTCCAGACTAAGCTGCAGGTGCTCAAGTCGCAATGTAAGTCTTGACCGTCATGCCTTCGCACCTTGAGTCGTGACTGACAGCATCTAAGCAGATCGGAACTCCTCGAAAGCCACAATGTCAATAGACTTGCGCAACACCACATCCTACCCCGCACATCAGCACGCTGCCAAATCCAACGATATCTCGCCGAAAACCCCTCATTCGATATGACTGCGGAGGATATACCACAATGCATGACGGCGGGCTTGTCATACAACATGTTCCTCATCGCATGTCTCGTCGACAGACACCATGAGAGTTGGGCATGCCTTGTCGCAAACATGGTCGACAACTTCGAGCAGGATGTGGGAAAGGAGGACCTGAATGCACATGGGCTTCTATGCGACAGCTGCAAGCAGGTTTCTTTTGACTCGGACTCATCGCCGGATACCATATCGCGAGAGGAGATATTGAGCGGCTGTCACCCTCTTGCTCAACGGCTCTCAACCCGCATCGCTAAGCGTCCATGTTCACTCGGGCTCCTCACAGAACCAGAGCCAAAGACGGAAGTTGGTAGGAGCTGTTGCCTCCTCTTCGGGTACCTCTGCGACATCTTCGGAGCCGTATGTCATACGAATGGGGCAGCAGTGTATACCCATGGACGTCGATGGATGAACATGAGCACGACGCTCTGCCGCCTAGGGGCATGCCAATACCTAGGCCTGGTGGCTACCAGTCTCATGGGGGTGTGGCTCACAATCCAGTGTGTCTCTTGGGTCCCTCTGCGATATCTTCGGAATCGCACGGCACACGAGGGGCATGATGGAGGAATGAGCCGTCGATCCAGACGTCTGAGAGACACCAGAAGGGAAGTATGGTCCATCTCTTAAGTCGACTCTAACGCAACATCTCCTACGCAGAACGCACTCCAAAATTCCATCTCTTTCGACCCCGTACCTCATCACTCGTCATACGGTCTTGCGTTCCATTGCGTGTCGACTTTCGAGCTTCAGATCATATTCCCGTGGGATCTCTCGCTCTCATCATATCTCTTCCAACACATTCCACAGTATTGCTTTGGCTTTCCTCAGCAAGGTCATGTACCGGTTGGCTTCGACAGCAGCAGAGGAAAAGGTCAGTGGCCATAGGGATCTCATTGGCGTGTTGGTGCGCATCAATGCTGAGATCTGTGTCTGGCGCGGCGCGTGTAGACTGCTGCCCTGTCTGAACCCCATGAAACGTCGGCTGTTGGGTTATCGCATTACTGATGGTCTCGTGGCGGTCGAGAGATGATGGAGTTTGAGAACTCACACCCAAGCTGTGCTGGCGGCTTTGGCTGGCGATGCCTTTTGAACGCCAAATGCGTTCGGTCTTTGATGACCACGGCTCTGCTTCCATGCACTAAAGCGAGCTTCGAATTCGTGAGGAACCTTTCGATATCCTGTTCGACTGGATGCACTTCGACCGTGGCATTGGTACTGGTCGTCCTTGGTGAGGCGCCGGCACCATGCCGACTGACATTATCCATATTCCACGCATCGCACCCTTCCATCCCGGCGCGCCGGTCGTCCTCGATGAGGCGCCGGTGCTTCTGCATCGATTTCGACTTCGTCGCTCTCAGATGCGGTAAGGCCCTGACTTTGCGGCGCTCAGCTCATGGGAGTATCGACTCCGAGCTTTTGATCATTCGATTTGTTCGACCCCCTCAATCTTCGACTAACACCAATCGCGACACATCGTCGCCTTTGGAAGACAGCACTAATCTCGTAGCCTCACACAATAGATATCATCAAAAAGCAATGCTGAGCGCTTGCTGATGGTACCCTTCCGGCGTCAACCTGGTAAGTTTGGTGTCCTGGGCTATGAACCCTGATTGACTCTCTGCAGGCACCATCAACCTGAAAAGCAATGCTGAACGCTTGCGGATGATTTCCGTTTGGTGTCGACCTCGTAAGATCGGCGTCCTTGGTATTTATATGAACTTCAGCTGACGGCTCTGCAGGTACCATCAAAAACAGCTCAACCACATGCCTCGTCGAAGGCAGGGTTGTATCGCTAACATCTTCTTGCCCCTTCTTCCCTCTCTCTTTCTTTCGATCTGCATCGTGGAGCCTGCCAGTTCTCGACTCGCGGTCTCCGTGTGACCCTCCTGTTCCCCAATCACCGTTTCTTTGGCCTCCCATGGAGGTTCGAGTATTATTTCGCGCTGCATCTTCGTCCTGGCCAACTCCAATGGAGGTTCGAGTATTGTTGCACATCCCCCATACATCGCTCTTCTTCCCCGCCACTTCGGACTTTTGGAATTCCTGTAGGAACATTTCGGAGTTCTTGCATCAGTGCCGTTGGTGTTTCGGTCGCACACGATCGCACGCATGGACCAGCGCCGTCAAATTGGCCATCACATCGTTCCTCGAGACGCCTGTGCGTTGTGAAACATGGGCGCTGTTGCCTCCAATCATCAGAAATCGACGACCTCGTACGCCGCCCACATTATCGAAATGTAGCGTCTTCACGACGGTCTCTGCGACAGTCTCCGCGACAGTCACTGACGATTGATCGGACTTTACCATCGCCACGCCTGTAAGTGCCGTTCCACCCAACAAGACGCAGCGGAAAGTACAACATGACATTGCACAGTTTCCGTCTCCTCATTCCCTGTCATCACCCACAGGATGCTACCTCGATCTCCCGAAAGTCGGAAAAAGTAGTGGGGTGGTTCTCCCAAACACCACTGCCAGTGTGATTACCAGTCGATTTCCAAAGTTGGGCGTGTCAAAGTACTCGCCAGCAAACCGCCAACTTCGTCGTTCAAAGTATGGCAGCTTTTGCAAGATGTTGAATTACATGCAACGCCGCGATCGACATCCAATTCGTCTATCATCGTTCTTCGACAAATGTTAGTCTGGGTTGAGACTCTGGTGCCTGCACCGAGCTCACATCGGAAAGCTCGCGCATGCCAACAAGTTCAAAACAAAGTCGGTGCTGGTACCATACTCTTGAAGTCTGGGGAAACGTTTGGGTTGTGATAGTTTGGATGCACATGGGCTTTCATGCTACAGTTGCATCCATGTTTGATCTGCTTAAGCGTGGTTTCTCTTGGCTCAGGAGACATCGGTGGGCGACAAAACATCCGAGGAGCCAATTTTATGTCGATTCAAGTTCAGCATTGGTCTCCACGACATCCATCTCAGAGATTACAGTCATTCGCGTCGCTTGAGATGCTGTTCGGTACATGGCGGGCCCTTGGCCAGTCGGCAACGAGCATGTTTGTCATCCGGTTTGGATCTTTCGGCAAACGAAGAACAGTTGCCGGGGTCTCATTCAACAGTATCCATTTTATACTCTGGACTTGGCTTGCAGACTTCCTGGCATTTGATAGTGCTTTCCCCAGCGTCTCCGGAGACGACCGAATAGTTTCGCAATTTCGGTAGTAGATGAGGACAATGACTTGGACCCTGGCGGCCATCACAGAGCAGTTGCCTGCCATTGGTGCCATCAGCACTTCGTCGTCGATAATCGGATCCAGTGCCAGGGCATAGCCAATCGAGTGTTGAATACCGTCCTTCCCAACGAGAGAGGTGTCCAGGAGGCATATCAGTTGACGCAAGGCTATTCAGAGTCTGTGTCTGTTCAAGATCTTCAGGATGGGCACGGCCAACAGGAGGCGACGAGACGCTTGGCTTCCCTCCTCGCTGTTGGTCATGGCAATGGCATGCAACTCAGAAGACGTCTCCTCCCTGGTGTTGAGAGCATTCTAGAGACAATCCTGGGGTTTCGAAGATTCATTCCGACGTGTGCATGGGCTGAGATCAGACGCATAGCAGGTCGATTCCAGCATCCATCTTGAGAGGATGGTCGGCGCATCCAGGTGTTATACTTGGCCTTCACGAAAATTTGTATTATCCGGGAGACAATCTAGTCGACACACGGCTATCCAGAGCTTATGAATGCTTAAGACCTCATCTATTTCGATCGAAGTCGCCCGTTATGATGGCGGAGAGGTGACACGGTGGCAGTTGTTTGAGTTTTCGCCTCTTCATCGCCTGCTTTGCCAGACTCGCTCTCGTTGTCATCAGAAACAGCATGTACGGCGAGCCAAATCCTCTCTCGGTATTGATAGCGTTCAGGAACAATCCTGGGTTGAAAAGAAAGAGGCCAGATTTGGATCCGGCCTGAGATCGTGCGTCGCATTAGGTCGCTGCCGAAGTCCACGTTGAGAGGACAGGTTCGTGAGTTCGACATCAAGGGATGCAGTCGTTCAATGCTGAGAGACTGACAAGGTTGTTATGTTGCAAAGCGAAGGAGCTTCCTCGGCTTACATGGGTTCGCTGGCTGGCAAGCAACGCAAGTGCTATTGTCCATGCTGTGGCCAGGCAAGTTCTCTCGGGTGATGAGATCGCGTGGCGAAAGTCATGGCGTCTCGAGCGGCGGATCGTTCTGAGCTGGTGAGGTTGAAGCCGTCTCGACGCTGCTAGATTACTGGTTGGTGGTTCAAATCCTGGGTCGCATCGGCCTTGCCATCTTGATGCGTGAGGCATTGCGCCAGGGTACACGGACACAGGCAGACAAGTTCAGCTACAGCTGCCCGCTGTATTTGAGGTGACGTAAGGCGAGCATCGTGCTGCTTCACTCAACAAGTGGACCCTGTTATCGCATGCAGTCGAAGGCGATCAACATCTCCTGTGCGCTGTCGAACCCTGCCCGGGTACCATTCAAGATGTGACTGCAAGCAAAGAGACCTGGGAATCGCGTTGTGTTGGATCTCTTGTTGCCGCGTGTCATCTCCGGGACTGAAAGTATGGAACATGCCATGATGCTGCCGACTCCACGAAGCTATTCAAGACAGCTTCAAAACACCTATCCTTGAAGATTAATACAGTATCTCGGGCCAAGAGATGGCATGGAGACGATGCCATGTTGTTGCACCCCAGGATGAGTTTGTCAATTCCCCGGGTTTGTTGCGAGAATATTGTGGTTTGTAGTTGCCAAAGTCAGGGCCCGACAACCCAGATAATGTACAGCATTGTCGCGCACGCAAAGTTTGCATGCCGGCTTCAGCTTGGGGCAATCTCAAAACACTGGAGCTTGTCATGGGCGCTGGTTTCGTTGGCTGCTGTATACAGTCTTGGATCTCCTTGGACCAGTAATCCGGGAGACGCGCTATGCCGCTCGCAGACAGGCAGCACTGATAACAGCTTCGAGCCAAGTGTTGCGATCCAGTCGAGTTTTCGTGGTTCATGCGGGGGTGCTCTTATCAACATGCTGTCAAGTCGCCTTACTTGATGGTGTTGGTTTCGCAGTTCGTGAATTTCCAATGTAAAACGGCGAACGTGCCGAGAGTCACGAGTCTTGTCTCGGGATCGACAGCGGAAACATGTCCTTAGCGCCGGCATCCACATGTACGTGTCGATGTTCATCATCGACGGGCTCTCTGCCGAGTGCTCAGCCAAGAGGAAATATAGGCTTCGGCCAAGTCGGAAGTGAGCCATCCTTGAGGTTCTCATCAGCGAATTTGGTCTGGTCCAAATCCGCTCTCCATTTTCACCTGCCTGCAGAGCGCATCCGCGGCAGTGAAATCGTGTGGCCCGTCTTCCACAGGTGTTCTTCGTTACTCGCAGTCGTGCACGACGAGCTCGCCCGCAACAGACGAGATAGAACTGTCGAAGTTGGTTGGTTTCGGCTCCTTGGCACCATGATTTTTGAGGCGACAGAAAGTTCCGGGGTGATGTTGGGTCCAAACGTTGCACAGTCGCAGCAGTTTTCTTGTCACATTCCGCCGATGAAGACACCGAGGAAGGCGTAACCCGAAGTTCTGCTTTGGCGGTTTGCCATCATGCCGTCCGTACATTGTCACCAAGCTCGTGTCGATCCCTTGTCCTGGTATCAGGCTTAGGTTTTGAGGGATGTCTTGTATCGCACGAGGCTCGCCTGATGGCATGCCACATGTCGGTGGACACTACCATGGCACGCTGCTTGCTGACGTTGAGATTCGCACGTTCGATCTGCTCGGGCCTATAGTCAGGGCTTGCGTATTGGGAGTTTCGCCAGATGCTGCAAAACTTTTAAACTCGTCAGTGTTGCTCAAGTACCGGCCCCGAAAGTATGGAAACGTACCTCTCACTGCAAAAGTAAAGTTGCATCTTGCAATGATCTGGAAAGATTGTCGTTTAGAAACGCCCATTCAAATTCCAAGATCACAGCTCGCGGTGTCCTGGCCGCCTGCTGTTCCTTTGTGGAGAGAGCCGATTTGGTCTCGAGAAGCCATGTCTTCCCAGCACCTTGTCGGCAGTACGAAGCGGTATTCCTGTCAGTTTCCAGGAAGATAAGGGCGTGGCTTGTCTTAGACGCGAGCTTAACTCATCGTCAAACAATCTATCCCTGCCTTGATTGGTCCCGGATGCCACAACCCGCGATGTGTTTGCCGCTGGGGGCAGCTTTCACAACTTGGCTGTAGGCTGTCTTGGGACTCCGTTGGGCTATCATACTGTGCCAAATCTGGTTTCAACACGAGCTTCAGGCTCTCAGTGTCGACATGAAACTTTTCTGGCTTAGTAGTAGAGGTAGTGGTGTCTGTATAGCATTCTGGCTCTGAGTCGTCGTTCATGGGTCTCACGCCTTGAGACTGAGCAGGCGTGTCGTTGCCCGACTCAAGCAGCGTGAAGGACTTGTGGCTGAGATAAGCTTCTGTTATACCCTGTTGCTTTCGAATCTCCCGAGCCCAAGAGAGACAAGGTTGGTACAACGCGTATCCCACCAGCGGCGACACTTGGCACTTGTCGGTCCTCCTACCCACGTTTTTTTTAGAGAAGTGTTGGCCGAGGGTGACCGAGGTTGCGGGTTGATTGGCCATTGCGCAAAGAGATTGACGGTCGCTCAGTGCAGTGAAAGGTGGTTTAAGTTCATGCGCTGTCGCTCTCAGCCCCTCAGAATATGATGCCGCTACCGTATCGGCGCGGCGTAATCTTTGGGATTTTCTGAGGATGTTCATTGCTGACTTGTCTCGAGATGTTGGTTGAGTGATCCGGAGACTTAGGTCGCGAGTCGACTGAGCATTGTACAACAAGTTCGTCGGTCGCTGGGGGCGATGAAAGGTGGCTCAATTCGTGCGCCATCATTCCTCATTCTTTCAAAGCATGGTATCGCTGCCATCAAAGCCCTGCAAATTCGTTAGGTCTGTTTGAGGATGTTCACTGTTGACTTCTCTTACCTTCCTGAGCCTGCACTGCCGATTACTTGGGACTGAGACTCGAAGCTGGGCTTGAGTCTGTTGCGCAGAGCGGCACAGCTGTCTCAATCCAGTTTTGTCAACACAAGCCTGATAATATCCATAGTGTAGTGTATCACTGCGCTGGCCTTGTTTTCTTCCAAGGTCAAGGTCTGGCGTGAGTCCTGCCTTTGATTGCCGCGATCGTAGTGGGGGCGATGAACACTCTGAGCGAGGTAAAGTAAGACTGCTATGTTGCGCGATACTTATTACGGCGTTCTGTGAAAGCAAGCGGCCACTGGTCCGCTGAGTGCAGAGTAAGCAAGTTGTGTTGTCCCCGACGACGGCGCTTTGAGCTCGTTGTCAGGCTCAAAGGAGAGGTGTTGAGACTGCTTCCAATAACTCATGTCGTTTGCTGCGTATTGCTGCTTCTTTGGCTGTCTCGGGCGCGCCGCTGGGGTCAGTGGTCAAGGTGAGAGACTTACCCGCAAAGTTGACATCTGCGCCTCAAAGGTAGCAGATCCGGCGACGACGTCTTACAGCAAAGGCGCTCAATGTGACAACGCTTCCTGCAATATCACAAGTCACCCGGCGTGATCGAAGAGGAGAAGGCCCGGTGGCTGCGCTGCGGCGATCCGCTCGACGGTACGAAGGAGGACGAGGTTTGCGGCGGCCAAATACCCCACCTCTTTCAGCACTCTAATCCAGTCTCTTACGGCGCTGACCTCGGTCTTGCTTCTTTGTGTGTCCATTGTCTCCTCCAAAATATGTTCGTCAGCCGCTCCAAGCCCGAAGGCGAGCCCTACTCTGGCTACCCCAAGTCAAAGTTATGTATGTGTATTCTGATCCAGCGAATTGCTGACCTCCTTCCCACTTTACTTGTGTATTATATGATCGAGATCTCGGCGCGAGGGGACGTTTACGAATTTCGGGGTGGTGGGGCGTAGTCGGTGTTGACGAAAAGGTTTAAGTTCAAGATTGGAGTTGGCGGGGTTTGATGTTGACAGTCGCAATATGCGGACCTCCGCGAACATCAAAGAAGTGGTGAGATTTTATTACCCAAGCTTGCGTAAGCTTTTCTGTGAAGGATTAAGACTGCTTCGACTATGGCAACGTTCGGTTACATGTCTACAGTCATTGCTGTCGGCGCAATGTTCACGTCGTCTTACTGAGTAAACTGAGCGGGCTTTGTTGCTGCGGTCATCACATGGTCTTTGTAGCACTACAAGATTGGATCTTCTGCATAGGCGGGATAGTCTGTCAGCCTTATTCACGAGATCGGTCCTCAGTGCTGGCCTGGTTTGAGAAGTCTCGCGTCCACAGTCGAGTAGCCGATTAGCAGCAAAGCCAGCGCGCAGCCGGCACTGCAATTCTACAAGAGCGCTGAGACTTGTGGAAATGATCGACTACTTTTCGTTCGTTTCATCGCCAGCATTGAGGATTCCCATCTCTGGGAGAGAAGGGCCGTTAGCAAGACCCGGTACAGTATCCCGCCGAGGACTGAGACGAGCAGTCTCGGCAACAACGATGAAATGAAGAACTCTGAGTGCTCCTCGAGTGATAGAATCCCGGCGACTATGATTCGGGAGCATTCCATCAAGGTATTCTGTGAATCAGGATTGTGTTGAGAAGCCCCCAAGCAATCACTTAGCCGCTGCTCCAGCCGCAGAATATGTTTCTCGATAACTTTATGTGCGTCTCTGTTCAATTTGGAGTGTAACTGTGATCAAATAACGTCTGAGCCTCGCCTAGAGGCTGGGAACTGCACTCTGCGGGTGCAAAGTCCAGATCTTTGCGTGTAGTTTTCTTTCTATCTCAACGGGCGCGCTCCTACCAGATTTTGAAGAGACGGGAGACCACTCAAATAGTCACGATACCACTCACTGTATATTCTTTGAACAGGAACTTCAGTATGCAGTTACGTAGGCCTGTGTGTGGGCAAGTCACTACGCGTGTGATGGAGGTAGTGGGGCACAAGCAAGTCTTAAACCATTGATACAGCGATACAGCCTCTCATCACGCGACAGGTAGACTGAGCAAAGCATCACATGAGAAAGAACAGGGAGGATTGTGGAACAATGTAACAATACGTTGATGATGTGTCGCGCAAAGAAGGTGACAGCGCAGTACAGTTTTCCAGTTCCAAGCCAACCAATCCGGCTGACGTATAATTCTCCAGCTCCACCCCAGGCAAAGATCAACAGACTGCGATGTGTCAGTAAGATACTGTGAAAGAGGGGTGAGAAGACATACCAGTGGTGAGCGGCAGAGATGCGGGCTCGTTGAGTAGAGCTTGATAGTCGCATGTGAGCCAGTCTGGAAGGTTTGATGGTAACAAGACCTTAGCTGTCGGCACGTCAGTCATGGAAGAGGAGGAAATGACGCCGCAGTGAGAACTTACAGCGGGCTTTGTGAGCTTGCTCTCGGCATCTGTGGTCTTGAAGATGTTGCGGTGGGGGCGAAGGCGTAGTTGAGCCCGGGGTATCGTGCTTCGATGGTGTCGATTGGTAGGTCAGTGTAGATTGTCGTACACCGACCCACCAAACCATCTCCTAAGAGCCAACCACCACAAGACTACCAGATAGGACATCAGGATGGTCTTGTGGTGGTTGGCTCTCTCGGATAATACTTGCTCCTAGCTGCATGGCACTGAGGCCGGCGAGGAGGTGGTGCCGGGCGTGGTGAATATTGAATGGGCGAGGGAAAAAAGAGTTACTGAAGCAGGAGAGGGGTAGTATATATACTTAGAGGGGCAGCACGCTACGGCGGCCGGCGCTCTTGCTCCGGAAGCACGTGATCGACGCTCGGTCATGCGGACGGTCATGTCGCAGTGAGCAGATAAGGTACATGGGTGTTGTTGCTCAGGAAACGTAGGTGACTGCGAGAAAAAGCTGCTGTTTGTAACGACAGTGACTCAAAGACAGAGATGAGGCAGTGGAGACAACAGAATAGCTGTGAGTGGGAGAACAGCTTGGAATGCCGCCAGAGCAAAAAGGATGTTTTGCATCACATTCTCATGTTCGAGGCATGCGGGACCTTGATTCCAGTGAGATACCAGTGTAACGGTGTTTGGAAACCATCATGGAGCCGGTATTTTCCTCCCATGCATGTCGCCACGATCACGCAGAGCGTCTCTCAGATGTATATCAACCTGCTCAATCGCTATTTTTGGTTCTTTTCTTAGCTTCGTGGTTTCATATGACAAGCTGGGCAAAAGGTACATGACTGTGGCTGGCTTGAAGTTGCAGCAAAAGCAAAAAGACGCTAGCTGCTTGATGCTGGAGACTTTGAGCCTCAGTACCAAGCAGCTAGGATGAGCTGACCGAGATTCGAACTCAGCTTACTTCAGCCAAAGCTAGAGCGTGTTACCACTACACTACCAACCCTACATTTCTTTTGATGAAAGCTAGCTGAGTTTTCTAGTAGATATATGCAGTCGGGATATATCTTAGTCCACGCAGGAGTAAGAGTGACCTTTGATCAAAGTTTGGACACTGAGCGTACGGAATCTTTCCAAGTTTGAGCAAAAGTAGAAACGATTAGCGCCACGGTTGTCACACAGAAAGCATATTTTGACGATGAAACCTTGGTATGAGTCTATTATAGCAGTAGAATCTCTGGCTTAGGTACCATATTATCACTTGCCAAGTTTGAAGTCACTGCATTATAGAATGTCATACTCGTGTATCATGAGTGCATTTAGTATCTAGCAAGTACGGCCTGTCAATTGCAGACCTGCTCAAATGCCCTGAAAGGCTCTGCGCTACCACAAAGATGCTTCATCCAACCACGCCAAAACTCCTGAGACGACTCATCGCCCATTCCACCACATCGAAGCGCTTGAGACGACCCTAGACGACTTCAGGATAGCCTTTCAGCTCTCCTCCAAGCTCCTCAGGAAGAAGCTCTGGGCGCAAGGTAGAGCGACCCCAGTCCCAAGGGCGACCAAGCTGCTCGCGCTTCACCATGCCAGCAAGAACCTCTTCAAGGCTGAGGTTGGGGTCCATCAGCAAAGGTCGTGTAAGCTGAGGCTCCTTGCGCTTGTACGTGTCGATGCCTGCAATCTCGACGTGCGCCTTGGTTACCTGGTCGAACTCGTCACTGCCGCAAGTGAGGGCGTTGTGCATATCGAGGGCGTCCTTGAAGTGAGGAAGGACCTGGTTGTAGTTCTCCCAGTGCTCTTGCGTCATCGGGATCGACACGCTGATGATGACCTCAGGGATGACCTCGTCGCGGTCCAGGACGGTCTCGAATGCCCGCGGCATCTTCTCCTGCAGCCACTCGCCTAGAAGCTTCAGAGCCTCAGATGAGCCAGCGTTGTCGGCACAGGCTTTGCGAATCAGTTGGAGCGGTCCGAGGAAGAGCTGACGAGGAGACGAGCCCTTTGGTAGTGTCGCAGGAATCTTCTCGGCAACAAAAGCAGCGCGATCCTTGTTCTTTTTGCGAACGGCTGCGGGAGACATCTGGCCGAAGGAGAGGGCGGAGCTGGCAGCAGGATGGTGAAGAATAGTGCCATTGGAGTTGACACTTCCCTCAGACTGCGCATCGTCCTCGGTGACAGCACGCGACCCCTGGGCCATACATGGCCTCGAACTCCGCAATGGTGGTGGAGCTGGCTTGCAGGCGCGGGTTGCCCGGGGTCTTGCCGCCGCTGTCGAAGGGGCTGATGTACGACCCCTTCACGAGGCCAATCCTGGGCGCGTACCTGGACGCCATGTCGCCGCCAGGAGGAGAGAAGCCAGAGGGGAGGACGGAGAAGCCGGCACCGTCGGCAGGCACGGTGGTGCGAGGAGGGGGAGGAGGAGGGGCTGCGCTTGGAGGTAGGCCTCGCGCAGACGCAAGGCGATCCCCAAAGCCGGAGGGGGGGCCGCGGTGGTATACGCGCGGCTCTTGACGAGGAGTTGCCTCAGGCGAAGGCGAAGACTTGCCCAAGGCAGAGGTCTTTGGGGAGGGAGAGGGGGACATCGCGAGGCAATGCGGGGGCGTTGGGGGAAGAGAAAAGGGGAACTCCGGTTGAGGAGTTAGGAGCTGGTGGTCAAGAAAAGTCCAAGGAGCTGGTCGAAAACTCTTTTTTATATCTTGCGGGAGCTAAGCGGCAAGCCACGTGACCTGGGCTGAAAAGATCCCGCAGTGCAAACAAAGAGTCTCTCACTCCTTCTTGGATGATGACGCGTTGTCGGTCAAGAGATCAACCGCGCGGAAACATGCAGTCTTACACTTTGCAGTGAATCAGAGCAAACGGGAAGAGCTGCAGCTGAGTCGCCCGCATGCTGATTCACTCACACTCTGAGAGTAGAGCACAAGGTGATAGTACTAGCGTGGATCTTGTGGCATTGCTTGAAGACGCTTCCGTGTCTGCTGTCTTTTATTCTTTGGCAACCTCATACCAAACTGCCTCTACCATATTCAGCCAAAGTGACTTCGCAGCAACCGCAGCAATACCAAAATGACGTTGTACTTCCGGCGCGTCAAGTTGCGCAACCCATTCAAACCCTCTCACAAGGCATACTTTGAGATTGTTCTGGGCGCAGAGGCCGAGAGAAAAAAGAAGGCGGAGAGAGCTGCCAAGAAGGCAGAGATCAAGCGTGTAACGACATAGCTTCTGGGATGAATTGGTCTTGAAACCACTAACGCTTTTCAGCGAGAAAGTCTTGTTAGGCTTGAAGGCCGAGAAAGGGTTTGGACGAGGGCAGTTCATTGGGTACGAGGCCTTCGGCATCACAGTCTCCTGCGTCCAATGATTGAACCCTCTATCAAAGCAGAGGGTGAGGCTGGCATAGACGGCGATGAAGATGAAGTGATCAGGGACGAGGAAGGAGAGCAGAGCGAGGAGATCTGGGAGGGAGACTGGACGTCGATTTTCGAGTACTATGAGTAGACGAGAAGAGACTCCGCGTGTGAATAACAGCATATGAAACCTTGAAAGTACTGCGTATATTCCTCAACACGGTGAGACACAAACAAGATGATACCCAGAATGACCACAAGGTTATCCAAACTCTACTGCACATGATGTACGTACGTTTCCAATGACATATCCCATGTGCTTTCCAAGCACCCCCCAGCCCAGAGCATCATGTTTGTTGAGAATGATGGCAGTGCTGCCAGCACTATGCTTGTTGAAGATGATGGTAGCGCTCCCACATGTCGCGCAGGGATTTGGTGTCTTTACGCTGTAATTGGGAGTTCGAAACCCCTGCGCAACGGTTGGCTGAATTATGTATGCAGAAGAACCTGCGGTATCAATCAGCGATGATGATGAGCCAAGGAGAAGGTCCGAATCTCACACCCGGCTTAAAATGCGCCGCTATGCGAGCGTGAAGGTCAAGTGGGTCGGCAAGTCTGTGCAAGTTAGTAAAGTTTGGGAGTGCCTGAGGTGAGCTGACTTACGTTGATGACTGCCTCGACTGCCCTTTTTGACACCGGCGTCTGACTTATTGGTTTTGGAGTCGTGGTCTGGGAACTTGCATTTCCCCAATTGTTGAGGGCTGACCTCTAATCGAATATGTCATCTGATTTGCTACATGCGTGTCAGCTATGTACACACAATGGCTTCCCCAACATGAACTCACATTGAACATGGTGGAGACGGTCGGAGCGGTATGTGGTGGTGAGATGTGGAAGCGGGGCGGCCGGGGTGGGAAGTTACCCTTACGGCGTTGCGCTAGTCCACATCTGTAAGCAAAGCAATCGCAGGAACCTCAGAGGACAGTCGCGTGTGGGGATATCGCGCCGATAACTCCCAAGCTTCTATAGCACCATCCATAGAGTTCGTGTTGGATCGTAAAGCTGCGCTCAGGACTTGCAAGTCCAGCTGTGACAGAAGCTTCGCGTCCTTACTTCAACTTTGGACAGGCGCTTCTGTCTCATAATCTCTCTGCCCTCTAGTCTGAAGGCAGCGGAAGACTGCAATGAAGAGATATGGTTGAAGAGACACTGGGGCAACGAAGATCGCAGATCCGTTACACCACGCAGGGTCGATGATAGTCAAGTAATAGTTGTGCATAGCAAAGCTTTGATATGATATAACGTTGCCACGAATGACAGACTGCTATGGATTTTTCCTCATCATACTCGAACCCTTGATCCAACCTGTTATGAAATACGGTACTTCATATGATAAATTTTACGGCCGGGATTTTCGCTGGTGTAGCAATCACGTCAATCTGGGATCATTCGGAGTTTGGGAAAGCGACGTTTAGAGACTGACCATGGCTAAAAGCTTTACGATAGAATTGATTCTTTGTAACAATCAGCACTCGCTGGCAGAAATTGTTCAGAGTGAGCGCGTTTGCGCTTCGATTGTATTGAAGAGTGACGAGCTACTGGGTTAGAAGACGCAGTAAGGTCCCGGCGGGAGGGTGTAGAAAACCGGGCAGTGTGATCATTGGCCATCAAAGAACTGCTGGTATCTTGGGGCAGACTGGGTCTAGTATTGGAATATACTAATGTAATTTGATTGTAATTCCATCTTTGGTGGCCGAAATCTTGCGCCTGTTCTCAGATACATGTTGCACTATGGCGTTCTGCGCGGCTGAGATCCGATTAGAATCACCTCTTGACTGCGACATAGGCACCAATTGTGACAGGGCTTGCGCGTGTTGGCTCCAAAGCTGCTGCGCATCGTAGAAGTAAGTCTGAGCTATATTTGAAGCATATCGCACAGCGTGCATTTCAGAATCATGAATAGCTTCCTTATAACCAGTAGGCATTGCCTGAGGTACCTGTGGGTGCGCCACTGGGGAATCGAGTTGAAGTGGCGGGAGCTGCATCTGTACTGTTGGACTTAGATAAAGTTAAAAAAACTGGCGGATCTGGCTAATTGGATTCCCTCGGCCATGAGCTTAGAAAGGCGTACTGAGGGGGTTTGATCAAACGCTGAGACAGATCATCAGTCTTTACAAAGTTCCTCGTATGGTAGAGAGTTACATTCATTACGTCATGCCGCACAGCTATCGCCGCCTTTCTCATGTTCGCAAAGTGTGTCTTTGCGCTCGCAATGAGATCAGGAGTGAGCTGCTTCTCACGGTTTGCCGGTACACCTGTATCGAAAGTAGAACACAGTCCACCAAGGACATGACTTGAGTGCGGAAATCCTTGCCACTCATCTGGGAGCGGTAATCAGGCCAGGCCATGTCCAAGTCTGCATGCGTGTTGTAGAAGAACTCCAGGTCCGCCTGCAATGTAGCGTATGCCGATGCCTCCGGTAGCCTGATGACTAGGCGCGGGCGGACTGCCTCGTTTTTCATGAATGAAAAAGTACTGCTCCATGTGGACTTTGGAGTAGTCATAGGCAGTCAGACGAAGGAGAGGAACTTCAATTTCAATAATGACATGCGAGGATCTCAGGCGCGACCTGTGAAAGTGGGACCAGCTGGCTTCCTGTCTCGCGGCCAGTTTGTCTGGCTGCCGCTACGGTCCTCGTGGCGCGCCCACCTTTAGGACGAAGTGACGAGCCCTCTTGCCATCCATGCAAAGCCATTACACCGCGCGAAGCCGTTGGGCGAGACTCACACCCTGAAAAACTTGTTGAGGGCTTTGCAATACTGTGGTATGCTTGTACTTCCGATACTGGTGCTCTTCGCGGATTGGATCAGATGTAAACACCATACGGCGCTCATAATTATTCTCAAACATCGGTCATCCTCGGTAACAACCGCGTTGGAGCTGTGATAGTCCATTACCATAATTTCATGCCAGTATGGACACAAATAGAAGGGTCGCGACGGTGAGACGCGGATTTGCCGCTGCTGTTCAGACTCAATACAAGCTATCCAGTGGACAAGCAGGGCACATATAAGCTCACACAGCGCAAAGGAACGGCGACGCAATTAAAAGCGGATAGTATTTACGTTATACATTGAAAAGTCACAATGGCATAGTAAAAGCAGGTAAACACGAGACACTGCAATGAAATAACGGTTGCGGGAAATGTCGTCCACACATTTCCACCTAGCTATGGGTATGAAGCTACATGGCTGGAGTGCGGACTTTTGCTCAATTCAAGCAGGCTGATCAATGACCAAAGCTGATGGGACGCAGCAAGATCATTGGGCCTGTTACCTTCTTGCATGGAAAGAGAAGGTAAGATTGACGGCGGGCGGAGGCTTATAAGGACAGAAAAGGCTTGGCCCGTTAGCGCTCACGTGATCACGTCAGTGTAGCTGTGTAGGGTGGGTGACCAGAATCTGTGGCGAAGTTGACCGTGCGGTGACCGTGCAGTAGATACAGAGGGCAGCGCCAAGACAGGACTTGTGGCTGGTGATTGTAGTCTCACTTGATGTCGATGTCGGGGTGAAGCCGTTTCTGGTCAGTGTATATAAGAGCTGCTTCGTGCCACCTCTCTTACACTCTTCAAGCTCATCATACTCTCACGCAACTCCTGGCTTCGCTAGCCATCACCACCACCACCCAAGACCATCCTCAACAACCATGTCGAACAACAACCACCTCCGCTCCGACCCCGTCATCCCGGTCCTTGTGCCTTGGCTGCGCGGTCAGCCATCCCGCCGCCCGTACGTCGTCATGCGGCGTGCGGAAGAGCACCATCGCGAACTCCTGGTTTTCCTCCAGGACATGGCCACGAAGGCCAAAGAGGCCAACATGACCGCGCCAACGGCCTGCCATGCTGGGTTCGCCCACAACAAGGTCATGATCGTGGCCAGCTCGGTGGCAGAGCTCGAGGCGGTCAGGGACGAGGCCCATCAAGGCCGACATTGCACTGCGCCTGTAGTTCCTGAAGGGCGAACTTGCGAAGACTCGGGACATGCTTAAGATGTGAGCAGCTTGGGTAGGTGGCCATGAATTGATCTTGAGCGCGATGTTTTGCTGACTTCATCAGCAGCCTTTTGTGCTGGAGCGGTGATACCGTAGAGTGCGCCACTCGAGAGCAGGCACAGAATGTCGGTGCGACGCTCAGCAATAGACCTTGGCTGGAGGAGTTCGATACCATGGGGCCGGCGTTGGTGGCTTCGTAATTTTTGCTTCCACTCTCCTCTTCTTCTCCGCGCCATTCGCTGCCAACGAAAATTCATGTAGATTTCTCGATAGCGAGAATTGACGCGCCTCGTGCGCCCTGACATCCTGCAATATTGTCTGCTTGCTTCTTATGACAATACTAAAAGTGCCTGCACTCAGCTTACAATGCTCGTTATCTCCAGCAAGATCATCCCGAGCTTAGTCTCAATTAGTCTGGTGGTCACCACAGAAACTTAGGCGGCTACTGACAGTACCCCGTCCGTGAATGTCCGTCACACTCGCGGCCGCTCGCACTCAACTTAGTTAGCTCCCGACTCATCCTTTGACGATAAAGATCACCCCACCGAGCGCGCAACACATCTTGACCTTACAGTTCCCTCAACCACGAATGTCAACCACGGCTTCGACATCATGAACCAAGATCAAGTCAACCGGCTCTTTGGCGCGATATCAGAGCTCAACACAAGGGTTGCTGCTATCAGGGCCGATATCAACAACCGCTTCAACACCCAGGAGCAGCGCCTGACCTCTCTGCAAAACCGCATGAGAGTCCTCGAGGATACTGCCACCCGACTTGGTGGCCAGCCTGCCGCTGCTCGTGCTCCCCATGGTCGAGATTCCGCCATTGCCAACCAGGGCCACGGTCTTGCTCCCCATCCTGGTCGCGACGCCTATTCCGGACAGCAGGGTCAGCCCTTAGCAGACCCGCAGAACACACCTAGGGTCGTCGGCAGCGGAGAGAACGCGGGCTTCCTTCCCTTCGCCATCGAGCTCATTGAGAGGAAGCGCCAGCGCAAGCCGCCTGGTGACAACCGCACCTGGTGAGTATATGTTGGTGAGCATTCCAGATCTCCTTATAATGATGTTCCCTAGTTATCACTGTCCTAAAGAGACTTTCTCCTTGGAGTGTTTCCGCGAGGACCACTTCCGTTGGTGTCGCAAGCATCAGCGACCCATTATTGCGGATCATGAGCTTTGTGGCCGGGACTACAAGGACTGCTTGCATGTCAAGTGGGGTAAGTTCAATACACTCGTACCTCAAACCAGCGATTTCTGACAAGTGGCAGAGGTGCACCCCCAGTGGGCGCTAATCGTGGAAATGTCCTTCACCGCTGGCCTGGGCAGCCAGGGCGTCCAGAACCTCCGCGAGAAGCTTTTCCCTCGTGAGCACTTTCCCGAGAAATACAACAACGACGGCACCTTCAGAGGCTAGGGCTAGACGTGTTCAAGCGAAGCTGGGTGGATACTAAAGAACTCACGAGGAGGTATGGCAGCTACATGCGTCTGAGACAATTCAAATGGATAAAATACGACAATGGAATACCATGATAAGCTGTGGTAACTGAAATCATTCGTGATGTTTGTCAAAAATGTGTCTATGGAAGGGAAGTGACGTCTTGTCAAGATGTGGCCTGTGCTCGTTCGCGCCTCCTTCCTTTCCAGAAGCGAATTTGGGGACCGTGACTGTGCAACATGACAATTCATGATTGCCGCGACCTTTCTGGATATTTTGTCACCATCAAGGTTAAGGGCACTCAGGTGCTCTATCAGGAAGATTGCATTGATACTATACGAGATGTACAATGCCAGTCAACCTGCCAAAACCCATGAAGCGAGCATCCACCGTTTGCAAGCACTGCCATGTCTATCTTTACCTCCATCCCCGATAGACCGACTGCAACCCTTTGAGTTATATGTGCGTACCTCACGCGCTCTCAGCCGAGGTTTGCGAGCCTCTCCTGGTGGCCCCGCAGGAAGTAGTTCTGAAAGGGTGCTGATAGCTTTATTGAGCTTAGACGTTGGGTCTCGTGTATGAGGGAAAGCGGAATTTAAGCTTAAATATGGCCGTATTAACGTGACGAAGAAGTTGTACGACATTAGTGTACACCAGTTCGTGTTCAATAACAAGAGAGTATAGCTTACTTGGCTGCTGCCCAGGTAGTCCAATAATCCTTGCGCAAAATGACAGTATGTAGGCAACTCATTTTCGTCAGTCCCAAGAGTCTGAGGGCAATAAAGACGTTTAGTGGATTGCACCGCTCTCGTAGCAACCAGCAACCCAGTGACCAAAGCCAAAGTGTACACTGGTGCCGCGTGTAGTAGTATGAGCTTCTCAATATAGGGCGACTTAAGCACAAACAATGCCATGAGATAAGGCCAAAGTTGCTCTTCTGCGCCCAAGGGTCATGTACGAAACCAGTAGCACCTTCTCCCACCATAGTGGTACGCAGCACTCGTGCGAGGGTTCTGACTGATGTCGCTCCATTAACCCAAGCGTGCTGGTGTCGAGATCGTGTCGATGTTGATCTTGTGCTTTCTGTCGCGCTGCACCACAACAGCATTCGCTTGCCTTACCATCGCACGTCTCTCCATCTCAGCTGCTTGGTTCGTGGAAATATTCGTCTAGGCCTCGATAAGGTGCGCTGGCTATGAGGAAGCCCGCCCGCAATATCGATTAGCCGTGCTCAAGAGAAGGGAAAGGGTGGCGTGTATGTCTTCGCAGACTCGTACGTCGTGCATGAGGTCGATGATGGGGTACCCTGGACCAATCTGAGGCCGTCCAAAGACCTTAGGGCGCAGCGATGAGAGTATGAGGATGACCGGCTCGGTGGTAAAACGTCAGTGATGTATCACATATCTTAACAATGAACACACTGACGAGCTCATGTGGCATAAGCCCTTGTATGCCACGCGAGGGTTTTGCGATTATGTGATTGTATTTTGTAGTGGATTGTGTTGCAAGCGAGGTCCAAAAGAAAAAAGCTGTGTTTGTTCGACGCGTTTCCAAGGCACATCCACTAACCGCTTTCGGACGCCTCCATGCCGCGATGCAGTTCAAGGTCAGGCTCACACCAAAGACTTCTGTTCAGCAAACACCATTAACTTCGAAGGTACAGTAGCCTAATGAATAATCCAAAGTTGTGATTGACAGTACGACAGTGTCACATATCCTCCCAAACGAACCATTGGAAGACCGGGCAGCCGCACCGCGCCGCACGCAACAAGCAAGAACAGCAGCAGCACCTAAAACCGAGCCCAAGAAAGAAATCATGAAAAACCAGACGATTGTTATCGATACGCAGGAGACGGAAACCATGGAAGTTGGGAGCGCCCTGCATTGGGTCGAACTCATACTGTGGTGCCTCTTCTGGATCGCACGCCATCTGGCGTAGACAATGTGAGCATGCAAAGGCGCTATGCACAAAAGAGACTTCTTCAACGAAAGTTCAATTCTCTAGATAAATATCAAGAACGTTGGCCTAGTGTCTGGGCTCTAAAGCATACATGATCTGATACTAGCGAGTGAATGTGCATCCAGTCCCCCACTTTCCTCCTTCAAGCATTGCCAGACAAATTTTCATCTAATAGGTCGAGTTAAGAGGACCAAATTTGATGTTGGAGTAAATGACAGTTGCGTCAGGACTCTTGCTTTCCACATCAGCTGGTGCACCAGATTTGACGTCGCATGAGCCACGGCCAGAACCGAGATCAGTGTCAGGGTTCTTGTCGGTCGGGTAGGTTGAGTCAAGCCACAACATGTTGGAGTAATGGTCGTCCCAGAGCGACATGACCAGCACCATGCCTTGTGCAAGAGCCTTGGCCATATTGGCAGTTCCACCCTTCTCCTTGTATGTGTACCTATCACCGAACACCTGTTTCTGCTGGTCACAGAATTTTGTGGTGATTGAGTTGCCTTCCACGCCAGGAATGGTAGATGCTGGCTGCTCGATGGTCTTGCCACCTTGGACGTAGAAGCGCTTGATCTCCATAGCGTCGCCAGTACCGATGAATTGTGTGACGACAGTGAACTTCTTGGAAGTGTCGACAGTCATGCCTTTGCCGTAAAAGTTCTTGACACCCATGCGGTAAGCATTGAAGTCGCAGCCATCGGGGTCGCATACGCCGGCGTAGCGGTCAGCTGAGTATGTACCACCGCAGCCGTCGCCGTCGCAGCGAGTCTGTTCGATAGTGCTGCAAGCGTGGGGTGTAACTGCTGTACTGATGGAATTCGCTTCCCAGATATCCATCTCCGCGCAGCAGGAGCCGTGACCACCAACACCGGCATTCGCATCGTTGTCTGAAGGCTTCCATCCTTCGACATTGCCCTATACGACCTGTCAGCGATTCGGTTCTCGAAGCTTTTGAGTGTTCTCTGGGATTCACCTCGCCATTGATAAATTTCAGATCCCTTGGGCATTGAGCATCACAGTAACCAGTTCCGTACTTTGCACCAGCCTTGTTACCAGAGTACTTCTTTAGACCACCATCTTCGTCCATGCTGACGAAGTATAGAGCACCGTTGAAGCCACAAGGCAGGCCTGAAAGGTCCACATCGAAAGTGAACTCCTTGTTGCCATCGAATTTGAACATTTGGTAGGCGGTATCAGACGCCATCAAGTATGTGCGGGAACCAATGTTGGTAGAGTACGACCCTTTGGTAATGAACTTGAGCTGGAGTGAGTTTCCACTAGCCGTGATTCCGTAGGTGCCCTTGTAGTCGGCACCATCAACAGCGCAGTTCGAAGCGCATGCTTTGTTGTCGGAGCAAGCTGTTGCATCCCATGTGTTACCAGTGTAGCAATTAGTCGTGCTGCAAGATTCATGAGCTGTTTGCGTCGAAGGCTTGAGAAGGTAGCCTACCCGCTCTTCTGGTGGAGCCAGCGCCAGTTGGCATCAATGGTAATCTTTCCACTCTTACTTGTACAGCTTCCTTTGGCAGTGCATGACTGCCATGTCATACCAGGATGAGTTTCAGTGGTCTGAGTGCCGACAAGCTGGCTGCGAGCCACAGAAAGGAGAGACGCTGCGTAAAGAAAGTTACGATACATGATGGTAGCTTGCTTCAGATGAGATGATGGGATCAATCTGGGGTGCATAGCAATTTATAGCCTGCGTGAAAAAGCGCACAATCGTTCTCATTACTCATAGGTGCCGCCAGAGAGTAACGTACTTCCCATCACAATACTCCGGCTGCAATATCATATTGAAAAGTGGATGGGCGGGTGAGCGATCCAGATGAACGAGGAGCGGGGTTTGCATGGGGCTTACTCTAGAAGTGCTGTGCCTGAGATCTGTGTCACCAGCTGTTGCTTGTAGATGCGCAGCATTGATAGAAACTTGACCGTTGGTTGCGCTAGGGGCAGCCTGGATATGTTTCCAAGTCCTCGTGAGCTGTCCGATGGGTTCGAGATCCTTGCTGTTCTTTGATTTTGCGGCAACACCGCGAGCCCAGGACCAATAGCAGCACCCAACCTAGAATGAGGTCGTCAGGGAGATCTCAAAGCTGAAGGGTGCCTTGTGCTTTCTGGAACATCTAATCGGTCCCCCACCGCATGGACAAAGCACGCTTGGATCTATGCTCCGCGAATAAGATATCTGTCTTCATAGTCAAAAGTCTCATGACACCAATACTATCTACGGCTTTTGTCTGGCTAAGACTTGCGAAGAAACTTGAAGCTCATTGCCGTGGCCTAGGCTACTCTGTGGAGCTGGGGATATGAACACTCCACTTTTCTCCTACCGGGTGATTTCCAAGACTCGTGGAATGAGTTAGTGAGTCTAAATACTTACACCTCGAATCAAATTCCCAGCAGCGCGTTGGTGCTGACCCCATCCGCATTTTCGGCTCACCGTAGTGAGTGAGTCCGTGGCCTGTTCAAACATACGCTGGGTTTGTCCAAAAGAGAAAACTAAAGGCATGAAGTCCTTGCGATAATATCAGAAAACGAATGGTACTCGGCAGTCGATATTGAGCTCGCGATCGGCAATGTCAGTATATGGGGAAACGTGGGTTCCCCGCTTTTGACTAGATTAGATGAACGCGCGTGTGCAACAATACTCCGAACGTCTGCCGGTACGGACAGGGGTCGATGATGCTGCGCATTACCCACGAAGAGGAGCGAGACCGACGACCCGCGGTAGGTAGCTGTTCAGGCCGCCAATGCTACGTCGAATACCGGTGTTTCACAGACTATAATATCTGTAGAGTGCGACGAAATGTGTGGCAAAGCAGATCTGCTGCAAGCTGGCACATCGCGAAGTACCAAGCCTCCATGAAGCAGGATGCGCACAAGCAATCAAAAGCCATGGACCAAGGAAAGCTTACCATTGGGATGTCGCCCTGAACCTCCCTGAAAAGCTTCGAGAAGGTTGCAATATATTGCAGACCGGGATGACAGAGTATGGAATAAGCGCACACTGTTGGAGGGTTGCAATTATCCGTTCACAATCCGAACGTATCGTAACGATTGTGCAACTAGCAAGGAACATTGGAATCTGCAATGTAACTGGAACAGAGAAATGCTACTAGAGAAGCAGACTCTAGACACTATGGTCTTGAGCTTTACCGTGGCGTTGGAGCAAGATCCATCGTCACGACAGCGCAAAGTAACGAATAGAACAATAAGAAGAGCGAAGCAGCACAATCGAGGTGCTGACGTTTGCAGAAAATACTTCTGGCAAGAGTTATGCGAGCCGTTTGTACAGGTTGTTCTGTGGGAGGCGCGAATAACGGGGGCTGGCGCATCAGGGTCCAGGGTCAGGCCGCAGGCTCGGCGATGGTCAAGAGCCGCGCCACATCTCCCTCGCTCCAGCGTCATCTCCGCCATCTCCGGTATCCATTTGTTCATCCATCAACACACGCGTATCATTCCCTTCGATTACCCGATTGACGCACTATGTCTACAAAAAGCGCCGATGCTGATTCGCGAGAGAACTCGCCCGACCATGAAGCCTCACCTGGTGGGAGACGCACCAGCAAGAAGCGGAAGGTGCTGTCATGCTATGCATGCCGCGACAGGAAGATGAAATGCGATAGGGTCTACCCAGTCTGTGGGAGGTGCCAGAAAACAGGGCGATCCAATCAATGCACGTACGATCCAAGATTACTTGATGATCTGATAGGCAAAAATGGCGACCAGACAGGCAGACAAAACCCAACCGCAATGCATCCACAGGATGCTACACGACATATAGCGCTTCCATCGTCATCAGGATCTTCCCTAGAAAGTATGCAACTACAAGCGAGAGCTCAGGAAAGAAGGATCGAGGACTTAGAGCGGCAGTTGGCGGCAGCAAAGCGGCAGGAGAACAGTAATCATCCGTCACGTTACTCAGATTTTGTGCCTGTGGAACCAGATCAGGGGAAAGAAGCATTGATGTTTAGAGGAAAGGGGTTCAAAACGCAATTCCACGGGTCAACCAGTGTGATGAGCACCATCGCCCAGGTATGATCGCGTTGATTTGCGAAAGAGTGGTTGCTAAGATGCATCAGTTCCGGGAGCTACAGGCATTCACCCGCGAAGCTCTGATGCTTGACAATTCCATCATGCGTTTAACAACCGGTCAGTACACGCGCCAGAGTAAGTTTCAGACGCTAGCTGATGAGGCATAGATTTCAAAACATTTCGCGATCGCAGAAAGATGGCCAATAAGCAGAACGATGCTCGGACACTCGGCATTGACCAAGAAATCTTCGCAGCTTTGCCTGACCGTAGTATTGTAGATTTGCAGGTTGCTCTCTACTTTCAGACCTGGGAGAACACTTACCGAGTCTTGCATGAACCATCGTTTTGGAAAGAGTACACCACCTTTTGGGAGCAAAGGGCTGTCGGCGGGTCTCCAAACCAACCTGGCTTCGCAGCCATACTTCTACTCATGATCGCAAGTATCAAAAGTTTGGCCCCGAAAGACGATGTTTTCGAAGGTGACACGACCTCTGATCGGCTGATGGCTTCGAACATCATCGATTTGTGTGATGCCTGGATTGGCAGACAACCACGCAAGCGTTTAACTCTACAGTTCTTTCAGATAAGGATCCTTTCGGTCCTCGCAAAGAGAGTCAACTGTGTCAAGCTCAAGCAAGGTACGCTACGATGACATCAAGTGTGAATACACGCTGACATGAGCTAAGACTGGGTCACATCTGGCGATCTTGTTCGTCTGGCTTTAGCTGCTGGTATGCATCGAGACCCATCACTTGTCACGGCCGGGAAGGTCCCACAATTTGAACGAGAGATGAAGAAGCGGCTATGGATCACCATCATGGAGCTAGAGCTGCAATCCTCTCTTGAGAGTGGCCTTCAGTCTTCTCTTACGGCGCTCTATTGGGACTCGCCGGCACCAGCGAATGTTCCTGACGATGCACTCACGACTGAGGTGCAAGAACTGCCAGCCAGTCGACCACTGGAATACTTTACGTCCGCCTCGTATCTCTGTGTCTCCGCAAAGTCCATTCCACTCCGGCTACACTTGATGCAATTACTGAATGACCCCTCTGCACGACTTCAATACTCGGAAGTGTTGCAATACGATGCAGAGATCCACGAACTACTTCGCAGTCTGCCTCAATGGGACATCCCCTCCGCTACCATACCCATGGCACTTCTCCGGCTTCAGTTGCGACAGTTTGTTTTCATTCTCCATCAATCGTTTGCAAAGCTTGCGTCTCAAAACGAACGGTATGCTTACTCTTTCACCGCATGTGTTGAATCCACGAGTGCGATAGCCAACACCCACAACGAGCTGGTGTCGCAAGGTATACTCGTGCTGAACAACATGCGTAATGACATCATCCGAACGGGACTGATGCTGTCGCGAATCGTTTACTTCAATTGTGCCCTTCATGGCCCTGTCAAAGCTTCAAGATCAGCACCGGCACTAAAGACATCGTATTTCGCAGATGGCCAAACACACTTTGCAGATATGCCATCAGGTGAACATCTGGCACCTGATCTGGAGGTGTCGTTAGCAATTGTTCCCCAACACTCCTTCCTTGCCCGCACGCTATGTATTTCTGCGATTGATGTCCTCAATCTCGCTGGTCAAACGTATGAACGAAAGGTTATGCGCATGGGTACGGGCTACATGGAGTACTGGCTACTTACTGCGGCGATCAACATGCTACCGCCTTCGCCTTCGTCATCTTCCAGTGCACAAACTATAAGTCCTACCGATGACATCTCCGCGAGATGTAGAAGGACCTTAGACCAATTCATGACGGTGGCACTGCGGATGCTCGAATTACAGAAAGATCCAGAAGCTCGCTTCGCATCATCTCTTCGAACTACGTTATCTAGCGTGTCGCCGTCAGATGTGAGAACACCAAAGAGCGGAGGCGCGAGCATAGCTGCTTCAAATGTTGGGCTTGTAGGAAGTCATGCGTCGAACAACGGACAACATTTGACTGTAGGTGGTATGGAGCTGAGTGATGGCAACGACTCAAAAGGCATGGATGGAACGTTTGACACTTTGCAAGACATGCAGGTCGATCTTTCAGGGTGGACTTTTCCGGACTTTTGGGCTTTCGATCTAAGTGGCGACTTCTGAAAAACAATTCCGCGACCTCGACTATGCTGAATCTAGTCAGTTGGGCACAGAGGAGAAGCTGGTCATGAAGTGATGAAGAGCTTCGCCAGAGCTGGTCTTTTGCAGAAAAGTAAAAGACTAATTTTAGTCCCTTGAACCTTGTACAGCATTCCAAAGCTTGGATCTCCACAGCGCGATACCGCATTCGCTGTTGCGCGTTCCAAGGATCTTCCCAGACGTCATGTACATGGGTTGTAACTTGTTGGGACTGCGCGTTCCTGAAACACACGATGTTGGGCGTCTTTGCAACCTCAGCCACGGAACAGCAACCTCTCCCAACCACCAATTCATAGAAAACTGTTCATGACACACGCAGCGCACTACAATTTTCTCGTTCGCGCATTCTGAGCTCTAGATGAGCAGTTCACCTGGATCCAGCTTCGGCTGTAATAATCGCCATGGCAGGAGGCAAAGTTTCGCTCACAACGCTTCCTGCGACGCCATAGTGTCTCAAAGCTCCGAGGGTGATACGCGTCGCTTACTATAGGCTGGCCGACTGTTTTGAGGCATCGACATCCTCGCAAACCTATTCTTCAGCAGTTTTCCTTATTTTCTTTCGGCGCTTTTCCTTTTCGTTGATCTACGGTCAGCTCACCTAGGTGTTTTCCCCATATTATACTATAGTAGTCGAGCCCACTACGAAGCCCTGATCCTTCCTTTGAGCTTTCTACATGCGACAACACGAATGAGAAACAGTCGCTTACAGTCATGTCGCATGTCCACGTCCATGTCAATATAGCGGAATCAGCAAATGATCTCGATGACGTGCGATACGAACATCATTTGAAGCACAGAGGTCAGGCAAACCACCGCATATTTTGGATCACTTGGTGGATCCTAAGCGCATTCTTCGCGCTCAATTTGGCAAGCCGGACTTACAGATGGTGGAAACATAGAATGTAAGCATTTGAAAGCGCGGCTGTTGAAATGTCTAATTCCCAATAGCCACCACACACATCAATATGAACGATTGACGGCAAAGGCGGGCACCGGTTGCCTCGCGCGGGCTAAAGCATGCATCACTGCCAGCACGCTACAACGTCTTCCGCCCTTCTTTGGCTATAACATGACAACCTTTCCATTGAGTCGAGTTATCGTCGTTGTGTTGTATGCGACCGTGTCGCTGTATCTGCTGACTTTGGTCGATGCACCTCTCCTGTCGGACCATTTCATCGACGACGTCGCATTCCGAGCGGCATGGGTCACTCTGACGCAGATACCACTCGTGTACCTTCTTGCAGCACGATGCGGACCATTCGATCTTGTCACCGGTGTATCACATGAGCAGATCAACTGGTTGCACCGCTGGGTCGGACGCACGATACTCGTAAGTGCGACAGTCCATGTAGTCGTTATGAAGACCTCCATATCGACAACAGACATCCTAAAATCGCAAGAGGAGGGTATGGCAGTAGTTCGGTATGGTGTTGCCACGTATGCGATGCTCATCTGGATCGCTATCACCAGCATTTTACCTCTCAGGCAATGCAGCTACCAGCTTTTCTACCTCAACCACTACGTGTCCACATTTGCTTTCCTGTTTGTAGCTTTTCAGCACGTTCCGGCATACGCACGCCCACCAATCTATCTTGCTATCGGTATCTTCGCCTTGGACAAATCCCTAGTCGCATACTTCTTCCTGCGTACCAACGTTGCAATTGAGCCATCGGTTCGTAGATTCGCAAGATTGCGGAGTAGTCGAAAATTGGTTATGGGCTTCCCAGTCCGGATGACCACGCCGTCCGCCTCCATTTCAAGTCTACCAGTTCAGACCACGGACACTACGACAACTGTCCGAATTTCAAACGTACCATTTCTCTGGAGACCTGGGCAGCATGTGCGTCTATGCATCCCCGCTTTAGGACGATTTGAAGTGCACCCTTTCACACCTGCGAATTGTAGCGCCATGCCGCCTCCACCACTGCCACCGCGCAAGGACCTCGAGCCGGGCAGGAAGCTGGAGCAGCCGAGACAGACGAGTGAGATGATACTTATGATCAAGTCCAAGTCTGGGTTCACGCAGCGACTTGTGGAGTACCACCGAACCTGGCTAGCACGGCCGTGTCCAAACGCTACGGAGCCCGAGGATCAGACATTGACCGCATACATCGATGGCCCGTATGGTGTTGCGCCCAAGTGGCACGAATACGAGAATTTGGTACTCATGAGCAGCTCCACTGGTGTGTCCTTCATCCTAGCGATCCTGGATCATTTGGAGCAGTTGTGCTTCACCGCCGGGGCGGACGAGATCAAGACAAGACATGTGAAATTCGTTTGGGTGATACGACATTTAGATCCCGCGTTCGAGGAAATTGTCAAAGCGATTGTGGGTCGGTGTAGCGCAACGTTACATGATTGCGGCATCAACATCACTGCAGAGTTCTGGAGTACGTGTGCAGATTCGAAACTACAAGAGGTAGAAACAGTTCTCTTTGATCCCTTCGCGCACCTCCGACCACAGCTATCAAGACGAGTCAGCGACCGACCAGCGCTGAGGATCCGACATCCAGACGAGATCTACGACGAATGGGATCGAGAAGCAGAAACGGAAGACACGGGAATGAAACTCGATCACGTCGAGCCATTCGCGACGAAGCTGGATGGCTATGACAGCTCAGAGGAGACTGCGAGTGAAGGAGGCACCCTGATCGACGGGGGAGACCACGACAATTGGGAAGACGACGAAGATCCGTTTTCGGACGGGCATGCGACGGGTCACGATGATGCGTATCGACCACTTCCAGAACCAAGACGAGAGGCGCCAGTGATAGAGGATGCGTCGAGATGTCAATGCGCGTTGATCCAGCACCAGCGACGGAAACTCAGTACGCGCGAGAGGAACGTGGAGCACATCACACAGCGACATGGCTCGCGGCCGGACATGAAACGTATGCTGGGCACGATGTCGCTGTCGGCGAGCGACAGGACGATGATAGCAGTCTGTGCGAACGGCGACGTGACAAAAACAGTCCAAGCCGCGACCGCCCGTATCAACAAAGACTTTGCGCTAGGTAGAAGAAAGGGACGTGTAGATGTACATATTGAAGGCCAGCATTGAGCAATATACCCATTTTCATTGTGTCAACAGGATCACATCACTTCACACTTCTCAAGTTACATTGATGATATTAATGTTCCATTCGTGAAACCTTTGGGCCTCATATTATACAGCTGTCTAAAGACGCTACTTTGTCGCCGGTTTGTCTCCAGTATTATGAATAACATTCGGCACAGCGCGCTCTACGCTCTCGGGCAGAATCTCCTGGATTTTCTTGGGGACTATAGAGTCTTCGCCATCATTTAGGGCGTGTGTCTTGCTGGTAGATTGGCTTGCGGCGCCGCCGGTGGGGTGGACCTGTTGTGAAGGTTAGCAAGGTCGTTCCTTGGTTGCTTTTGGTTGGTAAGTCCGACTTTATCTGGCAACGCCTCCTCAAGTCCCTTTGGCGCAGCATCCTGCACTGACTTGGGAACCGCGCTCTCGCCCTGTGCGTGAGACTTTCCCTGGCCGTACTCATTGGCAGCCATCCTTGTTGTTGATGAGAGGAATCGTGTTTGCTGGAAGGCAGGGCGAGCGATGGTCCGGAGTTTGAGGGCGAATGGCATGATGAAGGATCTTTGTCTTTTCAAAGTTATGGCGGTATGCGTGTGTAATGCGGCTGAGAGGAGTTTATGTAGGACGCATCAATGGAGGCTTACACCGCGTCATGGCAACGTCGTCGATGATCAAATAGGGTGAGAAAGCGGAGCTTTCTGGAGCAATGGGCACTGCATGATGCAGCTTTGGGATTGCGATGATGGGTGAGGCGTACATGATGCGGTCATGTCCTCGCGTAGACATGCATGTCGCGGTTCCGCGGACACCGCGTCGCGTGTTTTCAGGGTCCGACTGTCCGACTTTCATAGGCGTTGATGCATCATGATTCTAGGCAACAGTAAGTGGTTCATGGATACTGCGATGTGGCAATGGTATGGACAGGAATGGGTATGCATTTCTACTTCGTCATCCTCTGTTTGTCCTTCATCTTCCTCCTGCGAACCTTCTCGTTGAACTCTGCGACTAATTCCGCGGCGCCTTCGAGGTTCTCCTCTGGCAGCCAGTCGTGGCTATCCTCGTAGCCTTGCCACTTGACCAAGTAGAACTTCTTTCCCGCATCGCGATAGTGCTCGATGATGGCTTCCACGACATATTCCTCTGCGTCTTCTTCTTCGTCGTCGTTGTCATCCCCGCTCTGCTGTTCGACCGGTGCCCTCACGGTGGGTGACTGCACATGTATGTTGTCAAGTTCTGTACCATTCGAGTTGCCATTCTGGAGGCTACGGTAGAGAGCGTTGGGTTCATGGGCGGGTATGGCGTCGTCGGAGTCTTCAGCGGGAGACTCTGGAATCGCATTCGAATATGGAGATCGTTGGTTTGGTAGTTCAGGCAAGTTCTCCTGCGCGCGTGGTCTTCGCTGAGTCGATGTTGTGCTCTCTGTCCTACGTCTCTTACTCCTGTGACTATCACCATCATCATCTGGTGCAGTTTCTGGGCGGCCGCGTATGTCGTCTTCGATGCGCAACTGCATGGCGGCGCTCGACGTAGATCTTGCATCTCGATCCACGAGCTCGAGGTCAGATTCTTCGTCGTCGTCTGAGGCAACGGTAGGATTTCGAAGCATAGAGGGGGCGCCCGAGGGCCGTCGATGCGATAACACGGGTGAGAGCGGGAGTGCACTGTTGGCCACGAATGCGGAGCGGGCCATGTTGGGAGACCTTCGTGCTTCCAAGTCTGCAGCAAAGTCCCCGTCTTCTGAGTCTGTTTCGTTGATCATCATCATCTGCAGGCCATCCTCGGTCTGAATCAGCTCCTCCACTTCAGCGTCCACCAGTTGATCCTGCGTGTCTTGTTCACGGGTATTTGAGACAAGCGCGGCTCTTCCGCGCCAGCTGCCTCTTCCTCTTCCCCTCCCTCGTCCGCGTGGTCTGCCCCTTGGCCGCATTTCGGGATCGAGGCTTAAGCCGCTGAGCATCCGACTGCCTTGGCCCATTGCCGCCGATCGCGCGTTCTTTTCCAGCCGTCTTCGCCGAAGTTCCTCTGCTTCCATGCGCATCGCAACTGCTTCAGCTTCCGCCTCAACCTGGAACTGCTCATTCTCGAAGCGCTCCAGCTCCTCGGGGGAGACGTATTCCAGAATTCGACTGAGATCCACATGCAACAGCTCTGTGATGTTCGGCCCTGCGTCTTCAGCGCTTGAGACTGAAGTTTCGCGGTTGGTGAAGTTGGTCACCTCCACCAAGTAGAAGTTCCGTTGTATGTCGCCTTCAGTCTGCCTGCGGTCTAGGATTCGTGATCGCGCGTTCAGCAATGGGCATTCGGTCGGTAGGAATGGGGTGACGGTCGCTGGTTCTTGGCGGATGTGCCAGAGCTGGTTGTAGATCTCAGGACCCGGAGAGTAGTTGTTATGCCACTCCCACTTTCCAAAAGTCAGCATGTAATTGGCGTTGCAAGTACTCAATAAGACTCACATTCGTCGTCTTTCCACCTCTGCCTCGTCCTCTGCCAGTGCCGCGACCGCGTCCACGGCCTCCTCGCGGCCCTCTCACGGACATTTCTGGCGTCTGACCATGCGCAATCTTGAGGAAGCAAGCGATTGACGTGTTCGCAAGCTTTTCGGCAGCTTAGTAGTGATTCTGTGACGCGTCATGTTGTTGGGAGAGCTTGTGTGGAGTAATTGTTGCAAACGCGAGTGCTTGTGATGTTTGCGAGCTTAGCTAAGCTGAGCGGTGGTCGCGTTTGAAATTGGCTGTCGCCCGCAGCTGCATCTCTGCAACTTCTTCATCCAACTTTCATAAGCAACACAACATTGATCATTTCCGGCATCCAGGGCCCACGCAGCATGTCTCAACGAACAAATAATCTACTTTGAGCACTGCAGTGTGTACTCGCACTCAAACAGTAGGATCCAGCGCGCATGGCACACCCCGCTGGACGCTTTTTTATCAGTCTTTTCCTCATGTCAAAGTCCTTTGCATCTTCTTCAATTTCGTGCTCATCTTGCTGATTGCCTTGTACTTGAGCATGCGATCATGTCTATTTCACTCACGCAACGAATGCTCGCCTTCAAGTTTGGGACTCATCACGGGGTCTAAATGACAAACAATGATTTTTTTTCGATGTGTTAAGAGCTTTCCCAATGCTGCTAATGGAAGTCACTAACCTGAGAGTTGGAAGAAAGAGCACATTTGATCCTCTCCTTCCTGCCAATTGTCGACTCCAGTGCTTCCTCAACTACGGTCAACTTCCACGATGGCTAACAATCATCAACCATCTGTCTCCGATCCGGATGCCGACATGGGCGACAGTCCTCCTTCATCTCCTCGCTTTCTACCACCGCAGCCAGGCATGAGCCAGGTGCCTCCGGCATACGCGAGTCCGTATCCACATCCATTTGCGCCTCAGGGTGACCAGGGACAAGGTCCACCAATGCATCCGCCGTTTACTCATCTTCCAACGCACATAGTTCGCCAAAACCCCTATGGTCCACTACCGCAGTCGCTGCAACCACCAGACCGGATGCTACCGCCGGATCACAACCTTTGTGCTACACAAGGCCAGCCGGGTGGCACATATTTTCAGGGCTATGGACAGACGCCGACTCCATCCGCTTCCAGCTATCACAATACCCCGGCACCCCATGCTGTAGAGGGCGACGACATACCATGGGCTCCTGGACATGGTGAAGTCAGAAGATTTGTAGCTCCGCTCACGGATGAGCAGGCGAGTCAGCTTCCTCAAGCGGCATCCCCATACCCACCTGCGTCTGGCAATCCAACCGGTGGGGGACCGCAAAATATGGGCGCGCGCCAACCGTCAGTTCGCGATCTGCCTCCATTTGCTCTCAGCCATCCGGGACCCCATCATGTATATACGCCTCAACAGCTATCTCCCGGCATTCACGCTCCACAACCACCCACCGCTTCAGGCTCTACCCACGTTGATGCGAACGGCAATACAAGCTGCGAACCTGGCTGCGACACATCAACCGGCTGCATCACGTCCTACAATCTCATCAACTGTAGAGGCTGCATCAACTCCGGTAATTGTGTCGGCTGCGATGGCTGTATCACCTGCAATGGATGTACTGACTGCTATGGTTGCGTCCACTGCGTGAATTGCGCTAGGTGCCAGGGTTGTGTTGACTGCGTGGATTGTGTCGGGCTGAAAGGAGCGATTGGAAAGAGGGGTCTGCGCATGTGAGCAGCTATGCGCGAAGGACACGATGTGGACGGGCACGGTTGTGACAAGTTGCGCATCTGATAGACTGGTGGGATCTGAGATTACTTTACCGTTGGGAGCATATGGCCTGTAGTCGCATGTACGTCGTGTCCAAGCGAAGTGGTAGGATATTTGGTAATATCTTTCAACAACACGACGCACTGCAACCTGTAATTAGACGAGCCCCAAGAAAGGTATTCATCGAGGTGATACGCCCTAATGTTTGCGATTATTTGGTTGACATGATACTTAACACTCTGGGTCGGCTAACTACACGAAAGGATCGAACTATATGCCATTCGGCGAGGTCTGGCTAGTTCGCGAGTACCTTTGCATCATTTGCCGGCCATCATCGCCGTATCCATCGAGACTAGATGCTGCTGTCCGTCCCTAACCTCCGATCCCTTTAGCGGCTGTTGCAATTCCCCACCACTGCACGAAGCCATCCGACAGGCCAATGCAAGCCACTACGCGGATCACACTGACAGCGCAGACTGGTGCGAAATGGAAACCTCGCTACTAAGATCGCCGTCGCCGAAAATCGCAAACTTCCTCATTCGGAGATCGCTCCCGCCGTTCTGCGCAGACTATGTTCTCACTGGCTTGCTTAACGGGCATCACTCAGCAATTGGCGATTACCCTATAAGAAGCGCCATGCCTTCATTTATCATGTCAGATCTATCAGTCGAAAAGTCAACGCCTGCGTTTCCTCGGTCAAGATGCGGTTCTCCACAACACTCATGAGCCTCAGTGCCAGTCTGGCAGCAGCTTGTTACAACAATTCTACGCTCCAGGCCGGCTTACAGGAAACTCATTCGGCAATCCCGGTGTCAATGCAACATACGATTATGTTGTTGTAGGAGCCGGACTGGCTGGTGCGCTTACAGCCTCGCGGTTGGCCATGGCCCTGCCAAACATGACGGTCGCGGTCATCGAAGCTGGATCCTTCTACGAAATTTCCAACGGCAACTACAGTCAGATGTGAGTTGCGCAATATGACTACCGGAATGCAATAGACTAATAAAGCGGCAGCCCATACTACTCCACGATGTATGTCGGTCCCCACCCGGAAGACTACCAACCATTGATCGATTGGGGAATCTTCTCGGAACCTGCACCAGGCGCAAATGGAAAGGTGATTCACTATGCGCAAGGCAAAACATTGGGTGGAAGTTCAGCACGCAATCAACAAATTTACCACAGGTGCGTCAACGAAATGGGCTTCAAGCACGACACTGATCCAGATCTATAGAGCCACAAAAGGCTGGTACGAGACCATCGCAAACATTACTGGAGACGACGCATACCTCTGGGAGAATATGCTCCCGTTCATGAAGAAGAGCTTCAGCTTCACACCTCCGCCGTTCGAGTACCGCGCTGCAAATGCTTCTCCCAACTACACCTTGTCAACCTTTGACGCACCTGGAGGTCCTGTCCAACTCAGCCATCCGAAATACGCACAGCCGCTGGCTTCATACGGACCAGAAGGTTTCGCGGCAGCCGGCTTCAAGCCCAACGATGGATTCTTGAACGGTGATCTCTTTGGCTACGGTTACTGGCCGTTCACTCTGCGAGAACTGGACAGCACAAGAAGCAGCACAGAGGTAGCTTTTCTATCTCCAACAGCTGCAAAGACTGCCCTGAAGATCTATCAGTCTTGCATGGTCCGCAACTTACTCTTCAACAGTAATAAGCGCGCGGTAGGTGTGAACGTAACTGTCCAAGGGCTGAAGCCATTTACTGTACACGCCCGCAAGGAAGTCATCGTGTCCTCTGGCTTCATCCATTCCCCACAGCTTCTCATGGTATCAGGAATTGGCCCGCGGCATATACTGGAGGAACACAACATCCCCGTCATATCCGACCTGTCTGGCTTAGGACAGAATTTTCGCGACACCCCTGCCATCGGGGCAGTCATACATTCAATTAACGTACCCAGCCGAAGTTCATGGTCCAAGAACCCGGCAACCTTCGAAGCCGCCAGCGAGATGTATCTGAAGAACGGCTCAGGGCCTCTCAGTAGCCCTGCTAGCGACTTCGCAGCCTGGGAAAAGTTCTCGGACTCATACACAGCTAACATGACCCAATCAACCCGCAATTACCTTTCCAGCCTTCCTTCAGACTGGCCGAATATCGAATATATCCTCGCGGCGGAGGCGCGCGCACTTTCAAACGCCAACAGTGGCAACACTGGAAGCGTCAGCATGCTCCTTACATCAGCTTCCAGTGCTGGCAACATCACCATCCGCTCAGCCGACAACACCGTCGCGCCTGTTGTGTATCTCGGCTGGCTCGACTCCAAAGAAGATCAAGAACAAGCCGTCGCATCATACAGGCGCGCCCGCTCCATTGCCGCAAAGATCGCTGCGTTTGGCCCCGAGCTGGCTCCCGGCGCCAACGTCACGACCGATGCGCAGATACTGAACTACATCAAGACCAAGGGCATTGGGGCTATCCACCACGGGGCGGCGACGTGCGCGATGGGAAAGAGCCCTGCCGACGGCTCGGTTGTGGATTCCAAGGCGAGGGTATTTGGAGTCCACGGGTTGAGGGTAATTGATGCCAGTTCGCTACCATTTTCGGCGCCGGGACATACGCAGGGCGTTACTTACGCGCATGCGGAGAAGTTGGTACAGGATATTATTGATGCCGTGCGAGGGACATAGGATGGAAGGAGACAAGTTTGATGATATTAGAAACTAGTCTAAATAAAGACTTTAACTTACCAAATTCACATGTTTTGTTTTCATCTGGGCAGCACAATTTTTTCAATAGCTCATGTCAGATATGCGGAATCGATCGATTGGGGAAAGTATTGGACGTCAAAACAAGAAACAGACAAGACACGCCGGCGTCGCCGCGGAGCGCAAGAAAAACCACAGATATGAGATGCGATTCGAGCGATTGGCACACAGTCCTACTCGAGCGGAACATCTCTTGACTTGATTGGAAGCGTTTCTTTCCCGCAGCTGCGCCTCGAATCCTCGCATACGTTTCTGACCTGTCGACCCCTGCACATCCTTATCAACGAGCAGCAGGATGACGTCGCTCAATATTGCACTCTACCACCGTCAGGCAGTCCATATCAATCAGTGCATATTCGACCGAGTCCCTACTTTTCTTGTAACTGAACCTCTCAACGACCTCCAATCTATACTCCAAACTTCGAAATGGGCTGCTTCCCTTCAACCCCCAACCCCTTCCCCAGAACCATGTCAGACAGCAACAATAATTGCACAAACTGCAAAGGCTGTACTTTTCCTCCCTGCCCCGTCTTTGTCCCTCCAACTAACGCTGAAGCCATAGGCCACTCCTGCAATAGCTGCAAAGACTGCACCGGGTGCCACTCTTGCACATCTTGCACGTCTTGTGTCGCGTGCCACTCATGTACCAGCTGTAAGGACTGCGAACAATGTCACAGCTGTACCAATTGCGATGGTTGTGTGGATTGCCATTCGTGTAATGATTGCACCGACTGTGTGGGGTGCCATAACTGTACGAATTGTAGTGGGTTGAAGAATGCGCGGAATCTAAATGGGGTGCATAAGTAGATGTGGATTCTTGGAACGAGACATCGGGAGCGATAGGTTTTGGTGCAGGCAAGAACATGTAATACAAGAAGAAGAGATCATGGAGTTTGTTCGTTGGTATCCATTCGATAGACCCAACTCCAGTCCGATCCACATCCTCCACACTTGAAAGCCATGTGTTACGTTTCTGTCCCCAACCACAACCGCGACCACCACATGTTACGTTTCTGTCCCAGCCACCCCGAGCCATTTGTCTTGCGTTTCCGGCACCTAGTGCACTGCGAAGTGTTAGTGAGGCAAACAGCAGTGGAGAGGTTGAACAACTTACTACCTGGCTCGAGGTGCCTGAGCAAAGGTCGTGAAGCGTTCGATGGCGTCGCGGAAGAATCCTGCGTTGCGTACTTGGTTCCAGGCCTCTTGAGTCGTGGGATGGCTCGAAGACCCAAGAGACCTGGATGCTGACCAAACGTGCACTCCATAGGTAACGACATCAGGCCGCACCCGCACCAACCCTGATGTTGAGGGCTTGGGGCGGGCGCGCTTGATAGAGGAACAGCACTCCTCTCCGCTTGACAGACGAGTTGCGGACGCCCGTCGCGCGGAGAGGATGCCGACCGCTGGGCAGGTCCTCTAAAGAGAACCTTCTGAAGTCAGTGGATGTCGGGAGTGGATATGGAGGCAAACTTACGCTGCCCAGGATATATTCTCACGGCAGAGAGGCCGGCCTCACTCATAAAAGAGTGGGCTTCACCGACCGACCTCTCTGAAGGGAGGAGGTGGGGGCGCGGCCTGGAACTTTTAGTGACTGATGAATGAAATTGGGGACGATAGAAAGCTTACCAAAAGGCCGACGCCGCATCGTAATGCCCGAAGGCGGGACTTGTGATCGCACAAGCGTGTAGCAAAAGCCCGAAGGCCTAAGTGGAGTCAGTACACGAGGCTTCGGAGGGGACACGAGAGACTCACTCAACCCATTGTTGTCAAGGGAGGTGGTGGCCACCAATTTTGGCGCCGAGGCGCACTGCGGCGATGTGAGCTTCTGCGGGAGAAGAGCAGATGTGAATGAAGCTGGTGACTTACAATAGCGCTGGCCGAAGCCTATCTATATGCGGCCGCTGCCGCGAGGCTGAGAAGACAGCTCAGATAATCCAGAAGTCGAGATTGAAGTGGAGAGAAGGAGGGGGGCAGCAGGTGAGAGTATTTATGCAAACCCCGAGCGCGCGCTAAGCTACTCCTGGAACACTGCAGCGACAGCGGGGTATGGAGGGGCACGCTCCTGCTGTCGGACCTGGAAGCCGTCGAAAAGATGAGAGAGTGAGTCACCAGAGATTTTCAGGAGAAGAGACGCAGCAGAAGATGAGGTGAGATCCAAATCACGAACTTTTGGTATTGTACAGAACTCCAGCCTGTCCGGGGTATCTTAATGCTACACATAGGGCTTCTCATGCTCACGAAGTATCTCTTCCTGACGGGGTATCTCATGCTGACGCCACCCGAAACGACAAACTAACAAAACTCAGTACTCGTACTGCAGCTGCTTGCTCATGATGGTGTACTTCGCCTCAACGACCCGCTTGCTCATAATTGCGTACTGAGCCTCAATGATCCTCCGCCTCACCACCTTATCGGCAGGCGAGGAGACGTCCTTGCTATACCCAAGCCTCTCGTACAGCTCCTTTGCCGCATTGTTCGTCTTGAAAACCGTCAACATGGTCTTCATGTGCAAGTTCGCCTCGGCCACCAGCTCGACGAACTTGATCATCTTGCTGCCTAGACCGCGACCGCGCAAGCCAACATCCAGGTGTACCTCGTATATGTAGACCACGGAACGCCAACTGTTGGGTGGGTCGTCGAACGTGAACATGAATGAGATGAAGCCCTCAACCTTAGGCGGCTGGCAGACCTGTGTGAGAAGCAAGTAAACCATTTTGGGGTCGGACATCTCCTTCTTCTTTTCCTTGGGCTTCCAGCCAGAGCTTGAGGCCTTGTAGTCAGCCGAGGACGTCTTCTCCACCAGCTCCAGACAACCTTCGAGCTGCCAAGGCGCGAGGAGGTCGCCAGCGCCTACGAACTCGAAGCGCAGGAATCCTGGTAGCACCGAGTCGATCCATGGTTGGAAGCCGAGCGGGTCTTGCTCCAGCAGCTGTTTTGCCATGGTAAGGCGTTCTTGGCGCTTCAGCTCATCCCAATATGCTGGGGGAGGGTAGGCGATGACATCGTCTCTCTCTGGAGTGTTGGGGCGTTGCCTACGCGCGCGCTTGGGCACCGGGAGAGGAGGGAGGTTATCGCACATTTCGTAGTGCTTCTTTTTCCGGGTCTTGTAGTCGTCTTCGCCCGAGCCCACGATCTCTTCGAACCTCCTCCGGCGCGGAAAGCACATCTTCTCGAGCATGACGTAATGCTCATGCATGCTCGTGAGGGAATTCGGGCCTTCGTAAGGCGAGATGTACCTGCCCTGTGAGGGCTTGTCGGTGTCTGTATCCCCTGATGGGGTCGCGATGGTGGTGGTGGGCGAGGTTGAGGGGTGCGGGGAAGTGGTATCGGGCTCCGAGGCGGCGGACGTGACTGGGGCGTCGTCTGCCATGGTGTGTCGTGATTGGCGTGATTTTGAGTGTTTCGACGCGCGTGTGAATGGTATGTGACGTCTGAGGGCGTGGCGATGAAGCGGAGGTAGTTTTCGTGCCTGTCGCGTTCTTGGGAAGACGCGTCGCGGGGCATCGAAGACCGACGGCAAGGCTGTCTGTGCTAAGTCATTCACGGACTAGCTTCGCATGGTTCATTCTTTACGTCAGCCCGCAGGAACATCAGAGCCTCATCCATTTCGCCGGATTGCACTGTCTCAGTCTGCATCTTCTTCTGTCGTCTGTTTATTTGTGTCTCAGTAGTGATTGTGAAGCCCTTGTACCGGAATGTTGCGTCGATATGCCACTATAGCGACCAAACCCCCTTCACGGCTGCGAGCTCGAGGCAAGAGTCCCGTTGGTCTCGACCATGTACGTCTTCCATGCATACGACCCCGTTCTAGCAAACGGATGCTCACTGTCTGCTCTGAAGTTCATCCAACGGCAGCGTGCACTGGCTCTGTGGAGAGAAATTGTGCGCAGCACCGCGAATATCCCCGAGGAAGGCGCGCGGAAAGACATGCGACAGTTTGCTAGAGCAGAGTTCGAACAGCAACGCGGTGTAACTGACATTGTGAGTATGTTTTCTGCCATCTTGAAAGAAATTGAAGCTCATCGGGATGCAGGGCCATATCCGGTACTTGATCTCAGTATGCATCTCGCCAGCGTGTGACAATCGCTTGTAACGCTAACATTATGTCCCTAGTACGGCAAAACGCAGTTTCAGACGATGAAAGTCACCCTCGTCAACGCTGGTATCCTCAAGGAAGAATGAATGCATGCTTTTAGTGTTTCCATAATTCTTCTGCATCCTCCCATCAACGTCTTACGGCGGCTGCTGCGGCCGCCTATCTTTGATTGGTTCGAAATCCACCGTTCTGTCTAGCGTGTCTGTCATTCTCCCCACCATCCATCGCCGCGTCGGTTGCAAACATCAACACAGCCAAAGCAGTAGTTGCTAGGCTTGCTTCAGCATACTTTCGCCTCGCTAAAGTTTGTCATTGTCGTTTATTGGTGCCCAGGTGGTGTACGTTCTGCAGTCTCCATATATCTCATCACCAAATTATTCTTGGAAGACTAACAAATCCATAGCAGAAGGCAGTAAAAGAGCATGGCGTTGAATAACACCAGATCCGTTTGTGTCGTTGGCGCAGGTCCGGCTGGCTTGGTCGCCGCGAAGACTTTCTTGCAAACAGGCGGCTACGCAGTCACTGTCTTCGAAGCGGCGGATCGAGTTGGTGGTATGTGGAGAGGACGGCCTGGAGAGTATGGGGACAAATGCGATCCTGGGATGCGAACGAACCTGAGTCGATTCACGGTAGCCTTCTCGGATCTATCCTGGCCTTCTGTAGATCTCTCGGATCCTGTCACTGGATCACCAGCAGCGTCGTCCACGCCTATGTTCCCAAAAGCCTGGCAAGTCGGTCGCTACCTGGAGAACTATGCAGAGAGGCTTAGGATCTTCAATCATATTACGTTCAACACAAAAGTCGTCAGCGCTCATCTACAAGATGGGTCTATGAGTTGGAATGTTGTGTGCGTTGACACGCTCACGGATCAGCGTACCCACCATACATTTGATTACCTCGTCGTCGCGAGTGGCTTCTTTGACCACCCCATGCCGAAAGACTTCTTCGATGACTCGAATCTCTCATTGGAAACTCATCCGGCCAAGGGCGAGCACCCCAGGCATTACCAGCACTCGTCTCGCTTTCGAACTCTTCCAGGACTCACTGACAGGGCCGGCAAGATAGCCGTGATTGGTGGTGGCATCAGCGGCGCAGAAGCTGCTGCGCAGGCAGCTATGCAAATCTCCAGTGCTAAATTCTCACCAGGAGCAAAGGGCATCCACGCCAACAGCGAAATCTACCACATCATCAACCGACCCTTCTACTGCATGCCTCGATACCTACCGCAAGACCCCGATGACAGAACGCACACAGGCTCGAATCCGGCCCCGCACTTCCTGCCTCTGGACATGGTTCTTTACAATCTTTCGCGCCGAGGCGGCGGTGGTGAGATTTCGGCGGCCATCGCCACAGTACCTCCCGAGAAAGCTGCGAAAGGCCACGAGTTCCTGCGCTCTGTTATCGGTAGTGATCAGAGCGACCTTGGGCACTCCACCCTCGTGTACGACGACGACCAGATGCAATACCCCGCATACACTGGAATTACAGATACTTATACCGAGTTTGTGAGGAGTGGAGTCATCGTACCTGTGCAGGGATTTGTCAGCAAGGTGTCCGAAAGAGATGCTGACCTCGAAGGGTTCAAGATTGGAATCGCGCCCAAAGCGCCGTGGAAGATCGTCGATTGTTCACGTGGCGATGTAAGTTCAAAGTCATCCTCTACAATCCGCACGAAACTGACGGCATCCTAGCCATGCGAGCATGTTTATGCATCTGCCATCATAGAAGCGACAGGCTACAGCTCTAGCATCGAATACCTGAGGGACTGCAAGCCCCTCATCGCCAGCGCGTATGATAGCGAATGCCCCCGAATTCCTCTTAAACTATCCCGAGGTTGCGTATTTGCCAAGGAAGTTCCTACACTGGGTTTCGTCGGTTTCTACGAAGGCCCATATTGGAGCGTCATGGAGCAGCAGGCACGGTTGCTCGTGGAAACATGGACATCAGAGACTCCAGAGATCGCGCGAAACCGCGTTGGCAAAATCTTTCAAACCGACGATGCAGAAAATATGCGGGCGGCCATCAAGGTGAAGTCACTACAAGTGCCTCAGTTCTGGCAAGCAGACTACGTGGGCCTAGTCGAGGACTTTGCCCGACACACAGGTGTCGTTCGCAACGACAGCACATTTGGTGATGGTACAGGGCCAGTATTTGCAGCGCGCTACTGCGGTGACAGCAGAAATGAGCAGGCTTTGGCCGTTGTGGCTGAAGTCGCAGAGCTCATCAAGACATCACAATCTCATGCCAGGTTTGTTGCAGCAGCCGTCTTTCGCGGCATGCAAGGCGTCTGGACCATCTCAAGAAAGATCGGTAGCCACAAGCATGGCATTTCCGGTGGCTCTTTCGAGGGCACCGCACACTTCCACCCCCGATTTCCCTCCGACGCCACCTACGCTGCAGAGTACCTGTACATCGAAGATGGCTCATTCGTGATGGAAACCGGACTCTCATTTCCGGCGACTCGTCGCTACATCTACAGGTACAACGAGGTGACGGACAAGATCTCTGCTTGGTTCACGGAGGACGATGGAGAGACGGTGGGCAGGTTGTTCAACACGTGGGACTTTGAAGAGCCTTCGAGTAGCTTCGTTGGGTGGGTAGCAAGGGGACATCATTGGTGTGACCCTGATACGTACAAGGCTACGTGCGAGTTCCGTTTCAAGGCTGCGACGCTCGAGGGGTTCAGTATCGAATATGATGTAGAAGGGCCCAACAAGGATTACACCCACCACAGCAAGTATGTGAGGCCGTAGTCTCCTGTAGTGTAATGGAAATCGCATGGAACATTCCAACCTTCTCTTTTGCGCGCAGCTGAACTGAATAGTTTCGGAGCTTCATCGGAGTAATGCAGATCTTGAAATGTGAGTCAGATCATGCAGGTCAGTCCTCCGCCTCAAGCTTCAGCCACTGCTGTTGACTGATCAGTATAGCCCTGCGAACCCATACACATGCTATAGCGAATTTGCAAGCCCGTGAGACCATACAGACGCCTCTTTCGCCATGGGGTTGCATGCGTTGTCCTGAGCCATGCAGGTCTTACAGGACGTAGCATTGACCGATGCTCTCGTATGTTTCATCGTGGAATGCTTGAGACCTTGATAGCAGTTCTTGCTCGATCACTTCCCACAGCACCGGAATGCTGAAGGTTGCACCGAACATGGCCTCTCAGGTCCCGGGGCCTAGAACACCTCATCTCGTCGTAAACGCTGCACTACATGAGATATGCTGCTGGTGGTACACTTCGCCTATTATTCCCGTCACCTCTCTGAGTGACATGCAAAGCAACCCCGATAATAGCTACTTGCAGTCTACCTTGACGCCCACTGGTTACCCGATGCAGTGCCTGCTGCTTCAATGACGACCAGTCAATCCACATCACACAACGTTGACGGTGACATGTCTTACGTGGTAAAGCAACTATTCCGTGGCGAAGTGCGAGAGTCGCTGTCGATCTCTGCTCTGGCGATGATACGCGCAGTGACAACCACAACGCGCTCCTCGGAGAAATCAGCGAAACGCAGACCTATTTAATCACTTGCTCTGGCAACTCTTTTCCGACTCTTCTCAACAGCCACCGATCTGCATAAAGCCTGAGCCTCTCGAGTCTCCTTCCCTTCGTTACCCATTCTCGGTGTTCGCACAACCTCAGACCTTTCTTTCTTCCGAGCCCTGCCCTTGGCTCAACACTAGCCAAGCCGCCTGGAATCTTTGTCGCTTCTCATAAACTGCGGTACTGACGATATGAAGACTGTGCATTGCCTTCTTTTGTGCATTGTATCCCGCTTCGTGGATGCGAGCCCTGCCAGAACTGATTGCGGTGTGACCAAGACGTTTGAAGCTGTTGATCTCTGCAGCCAGACTTATGGCGGGTCAGTGCCATCTCCGTCTCCTCCAGTCTTAAAGCACTGGCTGACTGAATCATAGGACTTGGGTTGAGTGTGCATCTGGAATGACAGCCACACCTACCTTCTCCATGTCTTCTTGCTCCGTTTCAGCTTCCGAGATCCCCATCATTACCTCCCCTCCCACTGTGGACAATCCTGGGCCGGTCAATGGTACGGAGTGCCGTCCTAACAGTGTCTGTGTTGATGCTGGGAAGATGTGTGGAGAAGGTATGAGGAGATATGGAACGTAAGTAACGAATTCTTATCCACCAGATACGCAAATATTGACCGACCATGTGTAGATGCTACGACATGTGCACGCCTTCAGCAGGCATCATGAGCACCCCGACGTGTATGACAGAATTACCTCCTACGACCACACCCATATCACTTCTGGGAAACGTCTCGATACCTGCGGTGCCTGAGAGAGAGGATAATCCTGCATGTGCCGACATGTCCTTTTTGTGCGCGCCTGTTGGGTGGTGAGAGCTTCAACCAACAAGGGAATTGACTGCGATGATGATTAACGACCTTCTTCACGATGTATTACTGCGCGATCATTTACTCTCCTTCGATTCTTATATTTTTGCTGTTCGCTTTGATCTTTATTGATGTTTTGAATGCGACTTACGACGTTTAATGCTGAGCAAAGAAGTGGGGAAGGAGAAAAGCGGTACTGCTATTCGGGACATTGTATTTGTGAACTTTATGCTCTAATGTCTTTTTGTAACGAGTTCAGCTAGATGTTTCACGAACAGATAGCCTTTCAGGGTCAAATATACACTCTGTTCGACCCAATTCCACTTGAGCAAAGAACACCTGTATATCCTCCACCTATTGCTTCGTTCAACTGCGCCATAATTCTGCGCTAGAGATGCCCTTTCTAGTCAACTCCTCGAAAAGTCGGTCGATGTGCGAAGCCGAAAAATCGAGGTCCTCTGTATCAGGCTCACCCTGAAGCCAATTGAAGATGGTACTCGGAAGACCTGCCTCCATCGCAAACTTGAAGAAGGGTGTATTGAGGCGTGCCAGCTGCCTGCGAGCCAGAACAAGGCGACGTCGGCCAGGCTCGTGTGTGAACAAGTCTGCGCCAAAGAAGTCGACAGCCTGGTGGAACTCGAGGCGATAGGTTCTTGGCTCGGTAGCTACGTTAGACGGTGTAACCTCCAGGAACGCTTTGACGCTGGCGTAAGTGGTGCGTATGATGGGTTCGTCGCTTGTCGCGAAGGCAGGTACGCGAGATGGTGAAGGCGGGATGATGGCGTAGGGACCCTGGGAAACATTTTCCTATGAGAAACCTCCTGCCAGGAAGGGTTTCTCGGAGGTTGAGGGGAAAGAGTGCTAGGTAGTGAGACGTCTTCTGGAGCAATCAGGTTGTCGAAGTCCCAATGCTCTTCGTCGAGGTGGGCGCTAGGAGGATTTTTGAGAGTGAGGAAGTCCGTGTTCGCAGTGTTGCAGTCATTTTCGCCAGTCATTGTGCCGGTAGAATGAGGATTTGATGGGATCGAAGACAGCAGCTTAGAAGGAGGAGCTGGGTTGCTGAAGATGCGCTTACGGTCAGGGTCCTGATTGGATAACCAGTTCGCCTAGGATTGGTCAATGTGATTCCAAATGGTCTGCTGGGATGACTTTACCTTGTTTCTTGTACGATAAGCCACGAACGCGTCCTTCCCAGCTGGAGACTTGGTCATTTCGATTGATCTGTGCAGAACACGAGTTGGAAGCAGTGTACAGTTGTGGACTGTCATTGAACTTGAGGGGGTTGAAGGGCTGGATGTACAAACTTGACAATGAAGTGTTCGTTATATATCAAGAAGGCTAGTGAATCAATTATTTCATAACACACGTAGGTCTGATTTGCATGTAGGGGTTTCAAAGCTGGAACGCAAGCTGTAGGGGCGACTCCCATGGGAACAGTCGCGGGTGGGCGCTGATAGCTTTTCACCGATATCATAACGCACCTACACGATTGCTAGTTTCATCATGCGCCCTTCACCAACGGCCGCTCCCTCCTCAGGCTCGGCGATGATCTCGCGCTGAGCGGCGAGCGCGCGGGTCTGAGTCACGTGGTTCTCAACTGGCTGAAGCACAGCGAAGACACTTTGACGCTGCCAGCAGGTCACTTCCAGCTCCGTGACTTTGGTATGTACTTGGAGATCTAGGGGACTAAAAAACTCAAGCTGACTTGATGAAAGCGCCGGTCTAGCTGCGCTGTAGGAGAATGCTAGAGGACAAGAGATAATGATTGGTGGGCTGCTTCCTTCGGCTGTGGGCACGACTGCTTCTACGGCAAGGATACTTCATCGATGACAGTAGATGTGAAACAAACGATAATTCTTCTTGGCCAGTACATGATTCCCTCCTCGTACATTGCGTTTGAGTTTCCAAGCCTGGAACAGCACAGTTTTGCGGCTCGCCCTCGCCCTCGACACTGCCGTGCCTGCCACAACCAGTTCCCACGTGCTCAACACTCCTGATCCTTGCAGCTGCCTCCCACACCTGCACAATCTTACGTCAGTCAGATCTTAGCGCCGACCGTGCTCCGGCCTTGCCTATTAAGCCCCGCCTGCTCGCTCTCTCCTCCCTCTTTTCTTCTCCATTGCTTTTCGCATCTAGAACGGGCAGTGTTGACAGCCACTTTGCAGGCTTGCCTGTGGTCGGTAACCCGACTGTGGCTGGCTTGCAAGAAACGACCTTTCCTGTGGAATTTTTTATACCCTTTGCATCTGCATACCCACTCTTTTCGTTGATATGCTCGGCTTTTGCTGGGCTGTTGAAGAAGAGATTTGCTCGAGATCTACACAGTGCAAGTAAGAAGCGGGTCACCGTTCAAGTGATGGTGTGTTTGTTGTGAGTCTCATTCTGTATGCTGCACAACAAAGCGCGATAGAGAACAGTGGTAATCAACCCAGTGCTACAGCGCTTATGAGGAACTTCATGTAGATATTCACAAGATGCAGGCGGATGAGGGAGATATGAGTATTCAGTGTTGCCTACAGGGTCTCGAAGTGTAGTGGGGCACTCTGCACGCATGGTGAAGGAAGGTGCCCGCAGTGCGGGTAGCGCACTTTGAAAATCCCTGCACCACAACACTGCTGCAGAACCGGCCTGCCTATCGTATATATATCGTCTAAACGCTCTTTATTGTATCAAATCAAGAGCTCCAATTAGCTCGGTCGTTCATCGACCAACGCTTCATCAGCAGCGTAGCAACATCAAATGGTAACTATCCCTCCCCCCTTTCTTATCCCCTCTTGTGTTGTGACATCTGGCGCTGCTGCCTTTCTTTTTTTTTGCCATCTTCATAGCCTATTCAATAGAATCATTCCAAGCAAGTTGTTGGGGGGCCAGCAAAGCCTGCGTTCGAATCTCTGTGCAGTGCGAATATCTTTTTTTGCGAACTGCCCACTAGCGTAGATCTTGCGGCAACACACGCGTTTGCATGGTCAGTCAGACGCCGCGCCGACTCAAACACCTCTTTTACTTCGCTTCTTTGCGTACTGCTTCCTCCCATGCGTCCCACTTCAATTCCATATCCCATCCAAACCACTCGTTCACACACCATCCCGCACGACCACGATGGATCCCTGCGGCCACAACAACAATGACTTCGGCCAAGCCGGAGCCTACAATGGGTCTTCCTCGCCCATCAAGTTCTGGCGGAGAGGTATGACGAGAGAAAGGAAAATGAAAAGGCGGAGGCGGATGGAGTTGATGCCGCTGTGCATAATGATGAGGAAAGCCGTAGCAAGGTTGGTGTCTGAGGGGAATTTGAGGGCATGAGAGCCATCGTACAATATTGAATAAGAGTTCTTTCGTGCGCCATGCACGAGTCGTGTAGCACAAGCAATGCGCCGGTGATTGATTCCTGCAATTCAAGGCTCATTGTCCGCCGCTCCAGCTCTTCCCATGCGTGTCGCGTTGCAACCATTGATCGCCGACTTCAATGATACAGACGGCGGCGGCTGTGGACATGGAAGCCAGACTTCACATGTCTATCATTGAATTATCGTCGACTTCTCATATAAGCTCCCTACCTCGCGCTTCCTCCAGTCTTTAAAACATCCTCCACCCAACGTACACAAGGAGAACAACGACAACACGAACAACGCAGCCTTGATCTATACGAACAGTGCAGCCCACAAACAACACAGCCTTGATCCATACGAACAGTGCAGCCCTCATCTACGGCATATAATCTCTCCCTCGCGTTTCTTCCAGTCGCCATAAAATCCTTGATACGAACACCACAACATACCTATTGACAACACGATCAAGATAGTGTCTGACAACACGATCAAGATAGTGTCTGACAACACATACGCCCAACATGAAGTTTACCATCGTCATCATCAGCGCGATCCTCAGTGTCGCAGCCGCCCTCCCAGGCGCGCACTATGCTTCGACTATCGAGAAACGCTGGGAGTGCGAGACCACTCCCCTTTGCGCTTTCGAATGCACGAAGCAACGTGACGCTTTCGACAGCTGCGCATGTAGCCTACTGACTTGCAATGGAGGTTACGAATGGACGGCGAAAAAGCAAGCGCTCGACAATTGCTGTCAAGAGCACACAACATGAGGAGTGAGGGTTTGGAGGTGAAGGAGAACTTGGAGAGAGGTGGTCAGATTGAAATGAAATGCAGCATACCAGTGAGACAACTTACTTTCACTTCGCCTTCGTGAAGCCAAATATCGTGACACTTTCAAACGCTCTCCTTGACAACCCACCACCAGCAACTGCACACACATACATCACAACAAACCACTACGAAATGACTCGCTGCGCCGAAACCAACTGCACCAGGAGCGTGATTCTGCCTCCGGGCCGCGAATTGAAGGCAAACTTCATTTGCAAGATGCACAAGCTCGAGCTCTACAGGAGCTGCGCGCAGATGATTGCGCACTGCCAGCACGGGCGTATGCCCACTGGGGGCACGCCTGAAGAAGGCCTGAACGAAGTCCTGTTCGGGTGGATGAGGGGGGCTAGGCGACACTCCGTGTCTGGTAAGTATACTTGAAGCTATTCACATCTGCAAGTCAGGTGACTCCCACCTCGATGAAGCATTGGACCTGTACGAGATGGTTCATCTTGACGAGGATCGGTGGCGTTGAGGTTGATGAAGATATCCAGCCTGCACGAAGCGACGTCGGAAATCGGGCCTACTCAATGAGTATGATTGGCTGACATGAATTTTAGCAGAGACGGACATCGATGACGCCCTTGAAAAAGGACCCGAGGCGCAGCCCTCCCGCAGCGTCTAAGCGACGCATCCTCAAGCACTCGGCATCTGGGCGCCGCTGTGGCGGCCGAGGCTGCGATTCGTTCATGTCGGGGGAAAATCGATCCGCGCGCGGTTTTGTCGCCATAAGTGGAGCGTCGCGCGAGCGAAACGGCAGGGATGACGACCGACAAGACGTCGCGCGCTCGGCATGCGATTTACGATGGAATCGATGGTGTTGGCGTCGGATGTCGCTGTTGCCTCCGTCCTAGTCTTTTCCTCTTGTTCGCCTTCTCTGCGTGTCTTTGAATTCCTTTGCAGCGCTAGAACGTTTGCAAGACATGTCTGCGTGCGAGCGGTAATTAAGACAACACCACGACGACGAATACCGCTCCTGGGAGCTTCCTGAGTACTTTCCGCCTCCAACGCACCCTCCGCGGGCAGGAACGCAAATATGGCGGGCGCAATCGTTCGACAGACGTGGATCCTCACCAAGAAGACGCTGCTTGTGGTGTTCTGGCGGCACTGGTTCTTTACGAGCGTTCGCGCGTTTTGGGCGCCTATCATTTTCGTGCGTGGGATGCCTGAATTCTTATGGAAACAATTGCTGATTATCGTAGATGTTCTTCATCACATACGCCAAGAACTTCTTCATTCCTCCCTCAGAATTCGGAATCGGCAGTCCTACTCCAATTCGCCCCTTCTCGAATGCGCTCAACGCTGCATCTGGCGGCCGTGACAAGGTTGTCTTCGTTAACAACGGCCACACCGGTGGCGAGATCGAGAACATCATCACACAGCTTTCGGATCAGGTCAGAAGTGCGGGTCTACAGGCAATCACGCTGGAGAAAGAGGTGGACCTCCTCACGACATGCCAGAGCTCGCTGCGAGGCGCAAGCACATGTTTTGGTGCGGCGACCTTCCACTCGAGCCCCAATGAAGGCAGTGGCGGAGGATGGAACTACACTCTTCGGGCCGATGGCGCACTAGGAGACCAGATCTACGTGGACCAGACCGACAACGACATTGAAATCTACGTTTTGCCCTTCCAACGAGCTATCGACCAGACCATTGCATCAGCGAGCGGCGGTCGGAACTACCCACAGACCAATGAATACCCGTTCACTGAGCGCACGCAGAAGGAGAGAGATGAGCGTATCCGACAGCTGTACATGGGCGCATTGATCAATATTATGGGAGTCGCACTGTACGTCGGTGTCTGCGGTGTCACGTACCAGCTCACAGGACAAATGGCTGAGGAACGAGAACGCGGCATTTCACAGTTGGTCGAGGCCATGTCACCAGCAAAGAAGGCTTGGCACACGCAGTTTGCACGACTACTTTCCAACCACATCGCATTTGACATCATCTACTTCCCTGGTTGGGTCATCATGGGCCTGATTGTGTGGGCTCTCGCTTTCCGATCTTCGAACGCTGCCATTTTGGTCATATTCCATATCTTAGCTGGACTGTCTCTCACGAGTTTCTCCATCTTTGGTGGCGCATTCTTCCGAAAGGCCCAACTTTCTGGCATCACCATAGTCATTGTTCCGATTCTACTGGCTATCATCGCGCAAGTTGCTGGACCATTTGGCACTGGTGCCGTCTACGCCCTCAGTCTGATCTTCCCGTCCATTAACTACGTCTTCTTCATCATCTATGTAGCCCGTTTTGAGCGCGAGCTTATTGGCGTCAACATGGTCAAGTCAGCGCCTAACTATAACGATCACAAATGGACCAACATGGGCATAGTGTTCTGGATCTTCCTTATCATTCAGACCATTGTTTATCCTTTCCTCGGCGCACTTGTCGAACGATGGCTATACGGCACGATTTCCGCAGACAGGAAGACCACTACGTCGTCTCCGGAACACAACATCATCTTGACCAACTTTTCCAAGCACTGGACGCCCAGCTGGTTCCGCCGCAATGTCCTGGCCAAGATCGGCATCAAGCCTCCGGAGACGGTCAAGGCTGTAGACGACTTCAGCATCAAGGCGCGGAAGGGCCAGATCATGGTGTTGCTTGGTGCTAACGGAAGTGGCAAGTCGACAACGCTCGATGCGATTGCTGGCCTCAACACCATTACGAGCGGCGCCATTGAGATTGACGGAACTGGTGGCTTAGGCTTGTGCCCACAGAAGAACGTCATGTGGGACGAGCTCAACGTCTTCGAGCATGTGCGCATTTTCAACCAGCTGAAGTCGACCGGCGCATACGACAGCAAGGACACGATTGAAGACCTGATCCGCGCTTGCGATCTGGGACACAAGATCAAAGCACAGTCAAGTACGCTCTCTGGAGGTCAGAAGAGAAAGCTACAGTTGGCTATGATGTTCACAGGTGGCTCGAAGGTGTGCTGTGTGGATGAAGTCTCATCAGGTCTCGACCCGTTATCTAGAAGAAAGATTTGGGAGATCCTGCTTGCTGAGCGTGGCGATCGCACTTTCCTGCTTACCACACATTTCCTTGATGAAGCTGATGTCCTTGCCGACTACGTTGCCATCCTTTCCCGTGGTGTCTTGAAGACCAAGGGCACCTCTGTCCAGCTCAAGCACGAAGTCGGCGCCGGCTACCATGTCTCTTACCCCAAGAACGCTCCTGTTGCTCCGCCGAAAGACGCTATCAGGAAACCGTCACCTTCAGAAGGCATAGTTCAGTACCAATTTTCCGACGCACTACCCGCTACCCGCTTCGTGGACATCCTGCGAGACAACGGTATTGAGAACTACGACATTGTCGGTCCCACACTCGAAGACGTCTTCCTTGCCTATGCTGAGGAGGTCAAGGAGTACCATTTGATGGAAGCCGACCGTGATGAGGCACTCGGTGTACTTGATTCGAGCGGCAAAGAAGGAGACGTACCATCGGAACATAACTCGGAGACTGTCAAATCACCCTCGATGGGCAAGGGTCGCGGTACGTCTATGTTCAAGCAGACCTTGATCCTCATCCGCAAGCGCTGGACCATCCTACGTCGCAACTTCTGGCCATACATCTTCGCTTTGCTCATTCCTATTGCCGCCTCTGGTCTTGTTACTCTTTTCCTCAAAAGCTACACACCGGTTGGATGCGATCCTGGCGCTAGCTCAAACGACCCCGAGGTGTTCGCGCTCTCAAGTGTCGATGTTATCCCTCTCATCCCCATTGGTCCAAGGAACCTGGTCGGCGAGGCTATTCAGACTATTGCCAACCGTTCTGGTATCAACCCCGATAATTTCTACATCGTCGACACCCTTGATCAGTTCAACGACTTTGTTGGCACGAGGTTCCGCAATATCACACCTGGTGGCTTCTTTCTGAACCAGGACGGGCCTACGATCATGTCCTACCTTGGCAGTGGAGGTGTAGTTGGTGGTCTCATCACACTGAACGCTCTCGACAATGTCCTTACTGACGTTGCTATCACCACCTCTTACCAGCAATTCGCCGTCCCTTTCGCACCCAACATGGGTGACACACTGCAGCTGATTCTGTACTTTGGTCTTGCCATGACTGTTTATCCAGCGTTGTTTGCCCTATACCCGACGCAAGAGCGTCTGCGCAATGTTCGAGCTCTGCATTACAGCAACGGTATTCGAGCGGTCCCATTATGGCTTGCGTACACCACTTTCGACTTTTTCTTCGTCCTCATCATTTCTGGCATCACAGTTGCAATCTTCGTCGGGGCTTCTAGCGCTTGGTACGCTCCTGGCTACTTGTTTGTCGTGTTCTCCCTTTACGGCCTCTGCGCGCTTCTCTTCTCGTACATCATTTCTATCGTCGTCACGTCTCAGCTCGCGGCTTTTGCCTTCGCTGCTGGTGGCATGGTCTCGCTCTACCTCATTTACTTCATTGGGTACATGGCTATTTTGACGTACGCGCCTGCATACGCAATCGACAACTATCTCGAGATCTTCCACTGGACGGTGTCACTGATCAGTCCGGCTGCCAGCTTGCTCAGAACGCAGCTGCTATCACTCAACTCGTTCAGCGTATTGTGTGACGGAAATCAGATTCCTAGCTATCCTGGAGCGCTACGTGTCTACGGTGGACCGATCCTGTACCTCATTGTCCAAGCCATCTTGCTCTTTATCGCGCTTGTATGGTGGGACTCTGGCTACCGACCAGGCTTCCTCAATCGTGAGAAGAGTCGACAACAGCACAGGGAGGAGAACGTCGACAACATTCCAGCTGCCGTTGCTGCTGAGATCACTCGCACGGAGCAAAGCAAGGACAGCTTGCGTGCACTCCATCTTCAGAAGACGTTTGGTAGTAATCACGCCGTTAACGACATTACATTCGGTATTCCTCAAGGTCAAGTCTTCGCCCTTCTTGGTCCCAACGGTGCTGGCAAATCCTCCACCATCTCGCTCATCCGTGGTGACATCCACCCAACGACGCACATCAATGGCGGCGGCGATGTTCTCATCGAAGACATCTCCATCATCTCCAAGCGCGCCGCAGCCCGAGGCCACCTCGGTGTGTGCCCACAATTCGACGCTATGGACACTATGACCGTGACCGAGCATTTGTACTTCTACGCTCGCGCGCGCGGTGTCCCAGATCCCAAGTCCTCCGTCGATGCCATCCTGCAAGCCACTGGTCTCCATCGTTTCGAGCACCGCCTCGCGTCCAAGCTGTCTGGCGGTAACAAGCGCAAGCTATCTCTCGGTATCGCTCTCATGGGCAACCCATCCGTTCTCCTTCTCGACGAGCCTTCTTCCGGTATGGACGCCGCTGCCAAACGTGTAATGTGGCGCACTCTCCTCGGTGTCGCAGCACCTGGCCGTGCCCTGCTTATCACAACACACTCGATGGAAGAAGCCGACAAACTCGCTACGCGTGTGGGTATCATGAAGCGCAAGATGCTGGCACTCGGTACGGTCTCGGATCTTGGCGAGCAATACGGCGACGCATGGGTTGTGCAACTAGTCCTCAAGTCAGCGCCGGACACAACAGAAGAGGAGATGGAGCGCGTGAAGGACTGGGTCAGACGAACTGTACCAGGTGTTCAGCTAGACAAATGGGGCAGTCGCGGCGGTGGCCATGGACAGTTGCGATTTAAGGTGCTCAAAGGCGCTGCCGTGGACGCTGCTACACATCCCCAGCCTATCCAAGACTCGAAGCTTGAAGACTCGCAAGTCCAACCCGTCACCACCAACGCTTCAACAATGTCCTTTGACCTCAACAGTATCCCCGGCCTTATCCAGCTCCTCGAGACGAACCGCGAGACGTTGGGCTTGGAGTACTACTCCGTGTCGCCGACGACGTTGGACGAGGTGTTCTTGCGCGTTGTCGGAGAGGAGGAAGAGGAGGATAGTGTAAAAGCGAAGACGAAGAACAAGGGCTTCATGGCGAGACTTGTGTGCTGCGGACTACCGTGGTAGAGTGCGCATTTGGGATGGAGTTTGATATCCATAGATTGTGATAATGCATATTTCTTGACTTCGAAAGGTTCTTCGCGTGTTCTATCGGGTGATTTACGTATTTGCTCGACAGTGCGCAAGGATTGGGGGTTGTCTGTGGTGCTGGATGTGTCAGTGAAGGATTTCAGTCTTAAGCCGACGACATGTGGCAGGCCCTATATCAAGTCGCCAGCTTCTGCTGTCCTGTTGCCATAGGTATGATTGGCAATAACTTTCAAATGAGTACTGCCTGCTTCTCAAGCTCTCGTCTAAGCCCCGTCGCGCAACTCTCAAGACCCCATCTCACACTGCGCAACACGCATAGGACCCCAGGTAGCACAATTATAGAGTCGTCCTGAGCGGACCCCCGACCTCTTGTGTTTGATTTATACGTCTGACCTGGCACTGGTCTCGAAGTGCGGCGTGTTGGGGTGGGAGGGCGTCGAGCACGAGCTCGTTGAGCATGACGCGAGCGGCCGGGGTAGTAAGGGACATGATGGGAGCGTCCGTGGTTGGAAGTGCTATTCGATCTGGAGTCTTGGGCTTGTGGTTTCGAAGAAGTTCTGTCCGCGGCGTGGTGCCGGTCGTGCGGTGAGATCAGTCAAAGATACAAATGGCGGGCCTCCGACACTGGAAGTTAAGAAAGCAACACCTCAACTTGGGGGCTCAGATAGTCGCATCCCAGCTGAAATCAGAGACTCTTATGAGGATCAAGCTGTACATTTGACGCCTTTGTGTGCGGCCGTGCTGGTAAGCCTTCGGTCAGCGTTCTGCTGTTGCGGCGCGCGGTGCAAACGAGGGCTGTCAACAGCACAATTTGAAAGCAGCTTCAACACCGCGAAGCTGATCAATTCGATTTCCCGTCCTTGAGAGACATCAGAACATCGTAATATGATGGGTTCCTGCGCAGTGGATCACCGATTTCGACAACTTCGCAGTGTAGAGCAGCGCCAGACGCGCGCGAGAGTGACGCATATGACAACAACCTAAACCCAGCACTAAATACAGCAATTTCATTCGAACAACACAATTCAAGCTCTTCCTTGAGAGTCCAGCAGATGCCGGAACAGATCAATGAAAAGAAAGGCCCTTAGGCAAAAGCAAAAATTGTGCCGCTCGACGGCCTCAGTGGGTTATCGTCAGAAGCCGCAACCAGACCGCGAAGTGCAATGCAGTCGATCGAGGCTGACTCTCAGGTTTTAACGCCTCGGAGTCCCAGCTTGAACCCCCCTTGATGAATCAGGTTGTAGTAGAGGAAGGGGAAGGGGGGCAGACAGTATTTATGCCCCCAAGCAGCAAAGCTCAGACCACCCCGCGCGCGTCAGATCAATCTTTCCGCGCTTCTGTACGTATCCAGAAGCACCGACCTGCACTTTGATCCACCCAATCGGGCATAGGTCGTGTGATCTTACTGTCGAGTTACTAAGCGGCGCTAGCAGCCTGGAGGCATATAAGGGCTCCCACCCCCCCCCCCTCTTTCTTTCTTCAGCCGCTGCTGCTGCTATCCGTTTCCTCGGTGCTCACGATACCTTGGTTGGGCCGCGATCATGCCATTGTACCTTGGCGATTGGTTGCGGTCGGAGACATTACTGCGGTGTGGACTCTCGGAACAATTTTTGCTCTTTACTATCCACAGATAGTCTTCTTTTCGTTGATTCACTTGGCTTGCTGAGTGGTTGAAGAAGAGAACTTTATGACTTGAAGGCTACGCTGGACGCTTTGTTGCAATTGTTGCCACTATACGTGTGACCTTTTGCTTGAAGTGTTACTGTTGTACCCATTATTTATTGCTACAGGTGTTGCTATTGCGCAGTTCATTCTTTGCTACAAGTACTGCCGTTGTGCGGTTTGATTCCTGCTACATATGCTGCTGTTATGCACGTTGTTTGATATCGTCCGTGTTGTCGACGCTCGCTGCCACTACAATGAGTTCATGCGTACATTCGATTGATATCCTTTCAAGGTGTATGAATCTAATTCTTGCATTCAGATGGTGACTATCCATGTGTTGTTATCCCATCGACTGGACGCGATCAGTGGCGCTCAGGTGAATGAGCAGCCCGCAACTGCGACATGAAATTTCAGTTTGCGTGATTTCCCCTCCCGTCCCTCGAGCTTTGCTGTCTTGCAGCTCCAGCTCCTAAAACTCTCGTCCTCTCAAGCAATTTCTCTCCTCCACTGCACTCAGCGCGAAGCGTCTACACAATCGAGCAGCACTTCCCAATCCCTCTCCACGCCACACTCACGACCACTCCCGCTCCCTCTCCTCTCTCTCAAGATGGCCCCCACCATCATCAGCCTGCCGAAAGAGCTGCTCGGGCTTGTCTTCGAGGAGCTCTGGCTGGCCACACCAGATGCAGGTACCAACCTGCTCCCGCTCGTGAACCACTCCTTGGATTTGTTCGCGGAAGCCAAGCACCGCGCGCCCCTATGGGGACCGACGAACGAGATCTCTCCCCCTGCCTACGGGCTCCCTATTTGGCTCCTGACCAGTAAGATGGTGATGGAAGAAGGCGTTGCGGCGTTCAACCGCATCGGCCGAATATACATGAGCACGCCTCAGCTATTCTTCGGCTGCGACGAGGACGACAAGGAGTACGATGAGGCAGCGAGGCGAACTTCCTGGTACAATCCAGACGCCTTTCCCTCCCTCCAATCACCAGACAAGTGGCGCCGTTTGTTCCTCTTCTTCGAATGGCCGCAACACTATTTCGACCCCGCGCAGCGCCGTCCCTTGGTCGACTGGGACTTGAAGGACGTAGAGTACTGCCGAGACCTCTTTGCGCATATCGGCAAGAGCGAGGTGTTGAGGGAACTTGAGTTCCGCTTCACCGCAAGCATGTACGAGGTCGACAGTGTTTACACTGTTGACCTCAAGCCGCTTGCGGCTCTTGTCGGTGGTTTCGCTACCCACCTGGACCGCCTCGACGTCTTTCTGGAGATCAAGAGGGATTGCGTCGTGGAGGAGGAGGAGCAGGATGATGAGGAGGTCCTCGCCTTAGAGGAAGTGCGGGATGAGGTGGAAGCCCTCATCTTGCAGGAGGTGCGCAAGTTGAGCGAGCGTGCGTTGGTGGAGATGAGTTGTGATGCCGTAGAGGGGATCGAGGGGATGAGGCTTTGGGAGGGCGACTTCTCCAAGTTTCGTGGATGGAGGCTGCTGTGGACGCGTTAGTGGGCAACCACACTGCGGTTGGTTGACTGTCTGGGGCTGCACGTAGATAGTCCTAGATGATGCCAATAAAGTATCATGTTCTTCTCGACTGCGTAAAGCACTGCGAGACCCTCCCGGATGATTGATCTCACGAACTGAAATGAAAAGTTGTAAGAAGTTCGCTATCTATCGAGGACAAACCACTGTGTGCCATTCGCACTCGCTTCAGGTCATTATGTAGAACCAGTGATAGGCTTTGGTGTCTAGGCTCATGGAACCACTCAATATAGCACGGTAAATGCACAACGACGCCTTTGCAGCCATTCACGATTATGAATTCACTCAACACTCATTTGAATCGCAAATTGACCAAATTTCTGTTGGTGGGTCATCAATATTCTCTTTCACTGCCCATGTACCACTTCTTCTCCACTAATTCACCATCGAAATCTCCGTGTGTCTGTACATCATCTTTGTCTGATAAAGAATGTTCGACATATCTTTCCCCAACCAGCTTCCCTTCATCACAACAAGAAAGTCTCAACACGTTTGTTGAAAACCGCACAACTCCTTCTGCTAGAAAACTCAACCCTTCGCTTCGCCAAACTTGAGATAGCAATTTAGACATCTCGATATGTCAAAGAAAATCCGATCCGTTGCGAACAAGATTAGTATGAAGGCCGCCTACCGCGCTGATAGACTCATTAAGTCTGTATTCAGGGCAAAGTCCCGAGAAGTAGAGCATGCCCCCGCAGTCACTTCGTCTTCGGTGTACAGTCAATCATCTGGCTTCTCCACCGAGGTTATGGACACGAACAACTGCGAGGATGTAGCTCCCAACCTTCAGACTCAGCAAGACGACCTCTGGGAGAAGGAGCAAGAAGAACGAGGGCAAGATCTTGCTATCCGTCAGCTCTTGCACGCTTCTGGCATGAGTGCTAAGACGTCGCGACTCCATCGTCGAATCTTGAATTGTACAAATTCTGGCAATAACATAGTACATATTACCACGCCGCTGTCCATCAAAGCAAAGCCTCAAAAGGCTACAGAGCATACTGTGTCTGACACTAGCGATGGCACTCAACCTCCTGCAATGTGCGAACAGCAAACAGGTATTATTCGAGAACAGGATGTCAAGCCTGTACCGGACGTAGATCAGGGCAATGATTCTGGTTCTGACTCCTCGTCACTTCGTCGACGTGGGGCTGTGCGCCTCAAGACTAACCCCATGCATGTCTGCCCAACGCACGAAATCAAGCACTATACTCGTCCGCGGTGAAGTATGAGTCCAAACTTCTTTCTCGAGTCTTGTGAGGATGGTGGTATATTCAAGCAAAACTACGGCTTGTCCAGGTCGAGACGAGCTTTTGATCCTCTATCATGTGTTGTTGTAAAGGACGCAGACTGGGTAATATGCGGGGAGCAAAAGTGGCTTTGATTGGACTCTGGTCTCCTGCCATGTCAGTGTGGTAGAAGATTGAGCCAAATGGAAGCCCTGAAATGATTCTTTGAAAGGTGATGAGGTACGCTTTTGTCTGACCGTATAGTGCCATTTGAGAGTAATCTGGTGGTGTTGTTCGCCATTTTTGAAGATAAGATGACTAACAGTATGTATTTGCAGTCGGTTTCTTCAAGTAGTATTCAAGAGCCATTGCTGTTTCGACAGAACATCAAGTGCGTCCAAGATCACAATCACCCCAACCCCAATTTTGTACTCATCTCTGCAGATCATGGAATCTCACCGCCCGACGACCTCCACGCCTAGACCCCCAACTTACGCCATTCATCTGGCCCCCAATCGTGCCCCAGCGCAGTTCACTTCTTGTAGATGAAGCTGCACTCGACTTCATTACAGAGCATGTCTTGCTTCTGCGCTATATGAAATTCGAGCGTGGGAATATCGCGTACCAGTCTATCGTAGTATCGGCACAGCGACTGATTGAAGGTCGTAGCGCCCTCCCACAATCCGAATCGTCCCTCCACAGAAATCTCGAACCTGTCCAAGTCGACTGTAGCATCCCAGAAATCTTTCAACCCGCCAAGGTTGATGCAGATGTTTTCTGCCCAGAAGACATTGGGGCCACTCTCCAGCGAAATCTTGAGGCTGCGAAGGCTCTTTGCCCCGCCAAGGTATCGCACTAGGACTTCCATACAGCATTTCTTGCAAGCTACATGGAGGTTGTCACCGTAATGGCGACGAAGGTTTATTAGCGGCAAATTGAGCTCAATGGCTTGGACGCGTGAGAGAAGAGCTCCGGCCAGGACATTGTGTAGGACGTCGGAGTGCTGGAAGTCAGATGCGCGTCCCCACCACATAAACGGAAAGGGAGAAACACAAAGACTACCGCGGCGAATCAGAGCATCGGAGCTCTCAGACTGGATCAACCTGCTCGTCTTGGGCCACGTTGGCATTTTCGCGAACTTTTTATTGTAGACAATGGTGGGCGGGAACGTCTCAGTGGTGCTGTACCAGATGCCTTGCCTAATGTCATCGTGGTCCTGTAGGTCGATGATTGGAGTATCGAGCCACAGCCAATCGTAGATTTCGTCGCGTATCTCACGGGGGAGATCGAAGAAGGTCGTTGGCATGATGGATGGTAGGTAGTAGAGGCTTCTGATAAGAGTAAGGGACGCGACGGGAATTCCGCGCGTGCGAGGGAATTTGAAGTGGGACTGGAGGCAATGGTTGAAATTCTCAGTAAGCGAGAGAAAGTGGGCAGTGGTTGTTCGCAAGAAGGAAATGGAGCTGAAGCACACGCAGTGCACGTCCGTGCGCACCAGCGATCAAACGACCAATTGTACAAGCACAACCAAGCGGATTGCCGGAATCATGATGCGAACTCTGATTGCAATTCCAATAGCTGTTGATTATCATTACCCATCCTGTTCCCCTTCCACGTCTCTGTAGTCCTCATGGATCAGTCCTTGCCGTACCTCCCTCCAAAGTCCAGATAACCGCCGGTGCCCAATGTCCTCGTCCGCACCCGAAAATCCCAAGTGCTGTGCTAAATGAGACCGACCTACGACAAGGTAAGAAGTTCATTTAGAATACCTTCGAGTACTTACTGGCCTGATTGTTTCTCACTGTCTGAGTGTAGACAAAGGAGAGAGGGAAGGAACGAGCAAAAGCCCGATATCGCATCGTGTCCAAGTACCCAGGACCCCGCCATCTCTTGCTTGCCATCATGATCTGGGCCGAAGCGCAGACATAGCAACATACCTACCCAGTACCTACTTTGATGATAACGAAATTATGCAGAGCCAGTTTTGAGCACATGATCAAAGAAATGGGACGTACATCCGGCGGAGCGAAGTCATCGTTCGTGAAAACAATGGCCCGACCGCGACCACCTCCGACTTCATTGGGATTACCAGCGGAAGGAACGTTGCAGCCATAAGGATCGGTAACGACATTGTTCGAGTCGATTTCGGCTGAGCAGCGGCAAAGGTTACCCTGCTCAAGGGCGTAGATGCGGTAGGGACCCCCAATCGCATCGATACAGAACCTGCGACAGGTGATTTGCGTGAAGGTAGAGTTGTAGGCAGATGGTCCTTTGAAAAGGGATTGGCCGTCTTTGCCAGTGGTTGAGACACAACCAAGAAGGGTTCCTTCGGGGTCGTTGTCTGAGATGAGGGTTTGAGGATTGGTGGCAGGCGTGCCTGCAGGCAGAGGGCTACCAATTGGGGTAGGAATTCCAGAGCCGAAGATAGGCGAGCTGGTGGGCGAGCTTGGAGCAGCGGATGGGATGCTCGGCGAAGGCAAGCCTGTAGACTGGCCGGCATTGGAGGGCACGGAAGAGGCACCTCCACTGACTTGAGGGGTCTGGGAGCTGACGCCCCCGGCATTTGGAAGACTGCTGGGTGCAATGATAGGTCCGGAAGATGGACCGCTGATGGGAGCACCAATGGATGGGATGGTATCAGAAGGTGTACCGCCGATAGGGGCGCTGACGGATGGGATAGCGCCAGATGAAGCACCGCCGATGGGGACGCTGACGGATGGGATAGCGCCAGATGAAGCACCGCCGATGGGGACGCTGACGGATGGGATAGCGCCAGATGAAGCACCGCCGATGGGGACGCTGACGGATGGGATAGCGCCAGATGAAGCACCGCCGATGGGGACGCTGACGGATGGGATAGCGCCAGATGAAGCACCGCCGATGGGGACTCTGACGGATGGGATAGCGCCAGATGGTACACCACCGATAGGAGTGCTAACGGGCGGAACTCCTCCGGATGAAACACCACTGATAGGGGCGCTGACGGATGAAATAGCGCCAGGGAGGGTTCCAATAGTTTGTGGGCCGCTGGCAGTCGCCAAGCCTGTGATAGAAGACTGGCCGACTGGGAGACTGATGGTAGGTGAGCCAACGGCTGGCTGGCTGCTGCTTGGTACATTGTTTGGTGTTGGAGCCACAAGCCAAACGTTGACAGCGTTGGGACCACCACCGGCTTGTGTTGAGTCGCCTGAGTTGGGGATGTTGCACAGGCTCTCGTTTGGTGTAGCCGGAATTGAGCCAGGGATAGTTGGTACCCTGGGACTCGTGTTACCGCAGCGACATGTCTGACCGTTCTGAATACCAAAGTAGGTGTACGGCGCGCCGGCCGCGGTGGTTTGACAGAAGGTTCGACAGGATGCGTCGGTCATGTTGCCGCTTGTAGCGTTGAAGCTGGCATCTTGGAGGACCGGAGGTTCCGTGGAGAAACAGCCTTGGTAGGGGGAGTTGATGGGGTCGAAGTCTGTGATCAAGGAATCCTTTGATGTGTTAGCCAAGCCCGAAGGCAATGGTTAGCGACATCTCATATGCTCAAAACTGTGCTCTGCGTAAAATCATAGGAAAGAAATATACACAGGAAAAGCTGTGAAAGTCAGTATGACAGCACCTATGCAAGATTCATTAGTAAGCTTGAGATTGAAGTTAGCGAATATGATCGAATCTAGCAGGTTAACTGAATGAATCAAGTAGATCTAGTCGGCGTATCTTAATGCTGTATCAGCATGTCAGAAAGTGGAAATTAGCAACTTATAGAATTGAGTTAGCAATGCTGATCAACAGTTTAGCAGTGCTACAGCAATCCTAGGTTAGCAAGTCTGCGTCTTAATCAGTTTGTCTGCGTCTAAGTCAGTATTTAAGAATTTGTCTCTGGCCGTGAGTTAGCAGTCTGCGTCTGAGTTAGCATATCTGAACCGGCAAGTTAGCGTTTCGAAGTTTGTGTCCTATGTCAGTATTAAAGTAAGGCAACAAGCCGGAGTCGCAGTATACAAAGAACAAGAGCGAGACAGCGGTAATGAGACAGTTGTAGAACAGGTGTGCATCGTTACTATATAGTCTCAGCACAGGAAGATTTGTCTTGCAGGGAGTCGGCTTCAGTAGTGCATCCCGGTGTGTTGGGCCTTGCGTGACACGGGGTCGATGACCGAGAAGTTCCGAGCAGAGGTTGCAGCACAACATGAGTCCTGGTATGCACCGCCGAGTCAGACCTGATCTAGAGCAGCACGGTCCAAAGGACAGATTCGAAATACTGTTCTGTCATGGCAACGATGAATTGTATGTACATAGGTAGACTCTAGAAAGACTGTCAAGATAAAGGTAATCGTTTGAAATAACACACCATCTCGCACATGGATCCATCCAAAAGGTTGCAAGAGCACATGTCATAGACATCCCTCGTCCAAAGTGCTCTGTATTGCGCGTTCAACGCGCGTGCTGCCACTCTGTTCGCGGCAGCTTGGCCCGAGAACCCCTTCTCTTTTATATGTCCTACGTAGCACGGGCTTCCCACGTGTTGTGAAACAACGCTTCTCCAGGGCAACAGCCTTTACAATCGCTTGCTCGCGCAAGTTTCAACGTCACCCCAGCAATCAAAGCGAACTTGAGTCTCACGTGACGCTCAGAAATGCACTTCCACCAACATGACAGTAGGCTGAGTGAAGGGATCTCGTGCAGATATCTGTAACCCCACATTGCTGCCATGGCTCCGAGTAAGGCCGACGCGCGCTATGGTCTCCCTTTCCGAGGCCAAAATCTGCGAAGAGAAGCGCGTGAACGTTGTTGCCAGGCAAGCATAGTGTGGAATGTGCTGTTGAAACTCGCTACGACACACGTCGAGAAGTTCAGTGCGGCGAAAACCAATGAGGTGAAGAACAAGTCGACAGGACAGGTAAGGCTCGATTCCACCAGTATTGGCGACGATTGGAAGTATAAAATCCTTCCATGGTTGAGCAAGATCTGAAGCTCCCAAGCCTAATCCCAAGACAGCAGACGCTCCGGCCGCTGCGATATCGCATCTGGTACGCAGCCCCAAGAGCACACTTGCGCCTTGAAGGGCAAGGTGCGCCCTGTGCCGAAGCTCAGGCAGTACCATTGAATCCATTCTGCTCTCGCCACAACAAAATCGCTCTTACACACGAAGCATGTCTTGAACTCCCCATAACCGCCAGCGCTATTTTGTTCCGCTTGCTTTAGTATAGCATCCGCTACTGGAGGCACCGGGTCGCCAATGTGATGTCGAATATCCGAGATGGTGAGGTCCTCTTGATCCTTGTGGCGAAGTGCGCTGTGAATGGCCAGTGTAAGAAGAGATTTGGTTTTCTTGGTGTGGGGAGGTGTGAACCATGACTTGGGTACACCATGCGCGCCTCGTGCCGTGTTTGTTATAGTGGCGAAGTCGTCTTCTGACGATGGTGGCTTGGGAGAACCATCAATGAGGCTACCAGCTTCATCGAAGTAGCTAACTAGCGAATGTGCCAAGCACCTGGGCCGCATGAAATACATTTCGTCATCGAAGAAAGAGTAGTGTGTGTGCCCACTTTGGGTCGGGTTGTCAGAGAAAATTATCATCTCCAGATACAGCACGCCCCACACGTGCTGATCCCGGTCAGGCATCGAAGCAACAGTTCTGTGAAGCTGCTCCACGCAGTCAGTATGCTCAAGACCTGATCGAGTGGTCCTCAACGTTGACCAGAAATTGCGTAAGGGTTGTGGAAGAGGAATCTCAAGTCGATCGTCTTTTGGGTGCAACCATTGCACGCCGCTGTCACCCAGTGTCTCGAGCCCGCCGTCGTTTCCTCCCTTCCACATGTACAGCATCTCGAAAGGTAGCGACTGGATGTGATTTCGCGAAATGTTCAGCTCGCGGAGACGGCGAAGCTGGGATATCTGCACTGGGAGCTCTTCAATGTTGTTGTCAATGAGGGCAAGTGTAGTCAGATTCTGTACTCGGAACAAGGACGGTGTGAGGTGTTGGAGTTTGTTGTGGTTGAGGTCAACATACAACTCGGGCACCATGGAGCGATATTGGCCTTCTGCTGGGAGATCATTGCCTGGGTCTGGTACGCTTTTGATCACAGAAGACAATTCGCCAATGCGCTGAATGTGGCGATCTTCGAAATCACAATCGCTGAAATCGTAGTATTGAGCGTTGCTGTCCAAGCCTCTGTATAGCTTCTCACAGAACATAGACTCTCGATCGTCTGCAATCGACAGCAATTCGGGTGGGTCGACTTCCACGGTACCATCGAGACCGAAAGGCGGTTTGTGTGGTGGAAGGAGGGAGTCTGAGCTGTCGGTGGCATCGCTCATCATGTACACTCCTGAGTCAAAGTTGCGCGTCATCTTCGTCTTCTTGGCTTCTGGTGTGCTGTGGGCGGACGACTCCGCGTTGTCCCACCAGGCACCTTTTCGCTTGTTCTTGAAGATACGCGGTGATTGATAATTGACAAGATCGGCAGACTCGCGAGAGTCGTCACTGGAGAAGAGAGGGGGCGGGGAGCTCGATTTCGGAGACAAGATGGTGTTTCGTGGCTCGAAGAATGGCGAACCTGGAGCGGTCGCGTGGGGTGGTGACGATGGTGGCACTGCATCACTGTCCATGTTCGCGTAGAGGGACTTTCGCTCCGTGGACGGCAGATGGAACAGCTACAGAGGAGGTCTGATGGACGAGGGGAAATGTCTGGATTTGGCTTCACAGAGTGAGTGAATGCAGAGGGAATTGCTCGGGCGCGACGCGTTGGAGTTCGACGCGACCCCCACTAGTTTGACATGGAACCAGGGTTCAAAATCCCGCCATGGTCCGCGAACGCACGTGCGCGACTAGTACCACAACCTTCACATTTTCCGGACAGTTTTCATATGTGAGAGCTTTGCCAGTTGTAGACTTCAGGAATCTACATGTCCTTAGATTCATCATAGCTTTAGACTCTGTCACCACAGAGCCACGATGGCGATGGGTACAGTGCAGTACAGCACCTGCAAGAGCACAGTGACAATGTTCTCCTTCACTGCGGGTTGCTCTGTGAAGGAACTGCATTCACCTCTACATTTGCTCTGCTTCTTGCCAGTAAAACTTTCAATCAAGCCCTTTCTTCAACACCATCACATCACTCCCAATCCCTCATCTTCTGAAAAACCACCACAATGAGCAACAACGTCTTCTCAAATCCCGCTTCGGCGGCCATCTTCTTCGCCAAGTTCTCCCGTCTCGATCCTGCGACCCGCCGCAACGTCTTCCGACTCTTGGCGGACGACCTGTACACCGCCGTCGACCTTGCCGCCACAATATGCTCACGAGGTTGGCAGTGTCCTCTTCCGCTCATACCGAGCCACAAGCCCTCGCCAACTCTTCGTTTTCTTAGTCGCTCTGACCGCGGTCCGAGATTTCTCTCCGCACGTCCAGACCATAATCCTCTCGTCCCCTTTCGACGACCCTGGTCAGAGTGGCTTCTACGAATGGCTATATGAGTTTGCTAGATGGACACTGCCTGCAGGGCACTTAGGCCTACCCGTGCAGCATATCGGGTGGAACCTTTTTGATCTTTGTATTAACAGGGGACTAAACCTGGTTAATGGCAGGTTGTAGGGGACGCACATGTTCCCGCCCAATTGGCAGCACACGAGTCTGCTGCGGCGCGTACTGCCCGCGCTGTGCCCGAACGTGGTGAGACTGGAGTTGCCGATAGCTTGGGGTCCTACGATGGCGCATAGCGCAAGAACGGGTTTCCCGAATGCGGTCGTCGTCCCCAGACCATGAGGCACGAAAGTCTCACTAACCCGCGATGAACGGTAAGCAAAGCAGCGGTGACAAGGAACGAAGAAATTCAACAACAAGCGCTGGAGCAAGCTTATTTGGCCAGTAGATGATGCTATACGCAACCTGCGCTGGGAATCCTCTTGAGGCAAGCAATCCGGATACTCAAAGACCAGCCAAGCGTCGAAGAGCTGCATTTGTGATCACACCGCCATCCATCTCAATACCACTACCAAGCAGCGGTTCGCCTTTCGATGCCGCCAGCTCCGTCAAGACCCTACCCATGGGCTGCGTCGGCATCATCATGCTCTTATAGACCACGCTTAACGGCGGTAGCAGTGCGCTTTTCCACATGGCCTGCTTTGGGATGAAGGGATGAATCTCCGGGTGGTTCTTCCAATCAACGCCTCCCGGGCGAACATTAAATACCTTCAAGTTCGCGTTTTCCCTGATCATGTCGGACAGCGCAACCTCAGTAAGTCCCTTCACACGCGCGAAGAGGCTCGTGAACATTCCCGGAGTATGTGTGGCGCCTTCGCCAGAGACATATACGAATGTGAACGGCGAGCTTGGGTCGAGGGTTGAGAAGGCTTTGGCAGCGGCAAGCGGGTAGTCGTGTGTGATTTTGAAGTATTCGCTCCCTCAAAGTCAGTTCAGGCACGGAACCTATGTCAGGTAGAAACGCACTTCTTATCCACATCGTTCTGCGAGACGCCCTGAGCCCAGACACAACCTTGCGCATCTTTCAGCTCTTCCAACAACGCCTTTCCGTAAGTTTCGAAGTCTTTGTGGATGATGACTTTCGCCTTTGCATGTCCCTCCGCCATCTTGACTGGTCGCCGACTGAGGATCGAAACACGACTGATGCTCTCCTGGGCTAGCATGTTATGGAGCACCGAAGCGCCAACGAGACCGGTCGCGCCTGTCAGGATGAGATGCATCGCGATAAGCTGTCGGGGATGCAGAAGCAGTAGTGAAAGTTGCAAGAAGCTGCTGTGTCTGGATATGAGCAAAGGGTCGGTACGTTATCAAATCACACCCAGCGGGCCATCGTTTATAAAGGGCCATCAAGCCAGAGTCTTGTGGCTGTTAAGGTCATCGCTTGATACCTTGGGGGGTCATGTACACGGAGTTTACGACGTGTAGTTAGTCTTGTGGCCGTGGGATCAAGCATTGTGAGGTTGTGGAGACGCCCGATGAGTCCGATCTTCGTCGGACGAAGGAAGTTCGTCCGTCGCTGGTTGACTAAGCTGGTAGCCTGGCAAGGAAAGCGCCGCGCCATCTCACGCCCTGAACCAGCGAGCACCAGGCACACGCCCAAGAGCCCATCCATTTCATCCCGCGCATCGCATTCTCACATGGGACCGCTGGCGCAACACATTTCCTCCAGTGCACAACAATGCAGGCAGGTATCCGTTTCCTAGTCGCTCCTCGACATGGTGCGGCAATTGGACACACCACCCCTGCTCGCATACGTAGGGCGGCCATGACATCGCCAAAAATCAAGCTGACGGGTGAATTTCTTCGTCCGGAGCAGTATGTAGCTTTTCTCTAAGCTCAATTATCGTAACCTTCGCACCCTGAATCGCAAACTTCTTTCTTACTTTGCACTGTGTCACCTTCTTTTCTACAACCATTGGTTTCCTCAGGATGGCCACCGCATTGGCCCTGGCAGATGGCCATCTTGTCTCTCTGGTGCTCAGTCATCTCTCGGACATGACATACAAAGATCGCCGACAAAATGGGCCAGATCAACCAGTTGAATTCGTAGAGTTCAGGCCGACCTTGTTGCCGTCCATTTGTGTGAGCAAACTTTGGGCCGACGCTGGAACGTCTATCCTGTGGAAGCGATACCCCCATCTGCCGGCTATGCAGCGTATACCAATCGAGAGGCGTAAGTGGTATGCGTCCAAGGTAGAGCGTATCTACCTGCTTTCACCGCCTTCGGAAAGCGGAGAAGATCTGGGCTATCTCGAACAGCTCGACTGGCCATGTCTGAAAAGCCTTGAACTGGAAGGGGACTGGAGAGGTCATGACCGTGCTCTCTACCACATGTTACATCCGAACCTGGAGCACTTGGAAATCTCTGCAACGCCGTTAGACCATTCGACGCACATTGCCAAGACCCTCCTCCCCAAGTTATCTGCTGCTTGCAGAAGCCTTGAAAGCATACACATTGGACCAGACGCCATCAACTCCAGTCCTCCTGTTCAAGCCCAGATTATGAGCGAAATTCTTGACGCCAATCCTACAGTAAAGGACGTGTCAGTCATGAACGCAGGCTTTCGTGGCACCGATATTCTTTTCCGTTGGCTGGGCCAGCGTCCCGGTCTTGAAGCTCTGGAGCTGGACCTCGATCCTGGTACACAACTGTTGCCGTTTATCCAAGACCCCGGCCTTCCAGCCAACTCCTTTTCTTCGCTGCTTCGACTGCACGTAATGTGCTACCCTGAGATTGCTCTCGCACTTCCAGCTCTTCTTCCGAACGTCGAGAAGCTTTCTTTCGATCTCGCCCGGATGCCAGACCATGCGCCCGTCGAATCGGACATTGCATTTTTGGACAAACTACTGTATACTCTTACCCGATGTCAACGTCTCAAGTCTGTGAAGGCCAATATTGGTCTACTGTCGGCATCATTTCCTTCCAGCGAGACCTTGCCCATACTGCATGGCGCATCTTTAGTAGCTTTTGCATCCGCATGTCCAAATTTGACAGACCTAGCGCTGCTCGTCTCAAAACCAGCTGCGATTAATGCATCCTGCATCTCCAGCACCGACTTCCTGCAATTCTGTCGATTAATGCCACGGCTTATGCAACTTGACTTGGAGCTTCATCCTCAGACGACAATAGCATTGGAAGAGTGCGCACTCAACCTTCTTGGAGAACACTGCCCTCAACTCGAGGTGCTTCGCTTGAAGGTGGCTCTTCAACTACCGAGCTTGACTACAATTGAGGATGAGCCAAAGTTGGCTTACGGATCCGAGGCACTGGGTGCCGCATCTACCCAGATGGAGCCGACAATATATGAGTATGGCGTTGTCTATATTGGCGCCGAAGAAGCTGCAGTCCGTACCTCCTCGCCGACAGCACCTCTCTTTGCGAGACTCAACCATCTTGCGCTCGCCCGGCCACAGACTGTGCTTTCCGTAGCTGCAAGCACATATGCAACCTCCATTAGTTCTCAGTCAAGCTCTATCACCGATCCTTGGCTCGAGGAAGAGCTCGTACGTTCGTGGGCGCATTCTCTCCTTGTACATTTCCCACGCCTCGACATCCTGGAGGCCTGGGGTGACTGGACTGGTCAGGAAAACGACTCGATGAACTATTTCTTACCACTCGAAGAGCCATTGGCCAGTATTTGGGAGTTCTTAAGCGGTGTGGAGCAAGACCTTTGGGACGACGGGCAACCTCACACTACCGAGGGGCCGGAAAGCTGGGACGATGACTTCGAACAGGGTGTCAGCGTCCGGAGCAGTGGTGATTGGGACCGGGCCAGCCTTGTCAATGAGTATCCTGGGAGCGCTGGCAGTGGCTATCTGGAAACTTGCGACGAGGAACCAGAGGATATGATCACTCCTGTGGACGATAGGAATCATTGGTTCACGAAAGCCGAAGACGCACAAACGACTCTTCCCGTGAAGCCCGACGATCAGAACATGCACGCTCTCAGTGACCGCGTGGGAGATGTTACACTTCATTAGTAGCGAGAACCAGAAACACGACTGGCTCAGACCTTTTAGCGCGGCGCATACCTGGATCATTGGCACTTCGGAAACACGATCTGGAAGGTTGGTACTCAGTACATACCGCTTGAGGGCAATTTTTTTCGTAGAAATGTACAGGTAAGACATTCTTGGGCTCTTCCACGGCCTATCATTCTCTGCTATCTCTATTCAACGTCAGGTCTGATTCTGTACATCTTTCTCTCTTCCTTCTTCCAATAAATCGCACGCGCATAGCCCTTGTCAAAAAACATAAGACGACGAGATTTTTGGACCATATTTGTCAATTTACGTACTGCCACCTGTCTGTCGTGAAAACACATGAATGTGGTCAGTGCAGGTTTCTGAAGCTCTCCTGCTCTTGGGGATTCATGCGCTCTTCATCTTTTCAAGCATCCGTGGTTTTCGGGGGATTTACTGGAGTGATCGACCAATCGTGATGTCGCATGCTTGTGTTTCAGGATTTCCGAAACCGCCAACGCAACTCTGCTGCAAGTAGCAGCTGGAACACTTGTTCGGTGAGTCTCACAGACATGCACGCTCGTTCGGAACGATAGAAGAGACAGCGCCGCAGTGGGGCGTGGAGACGTTGCAACGTCCTCTAGTTTTCTGTTTTGCGACTGTGTCGTCATCCACCGTATTCTCGTTTTCGATCTCTCGTACATAGCGCAGCTCTCGGTAAGGTTCAAACCTTGATTCGAAACGAGGAACAGCGGTCGGACGCGCAAGTCTGCGAAACGCGCAAAACAACAGTGACAAGAGCTCACTCTAATCATCTCTCGTTGTCCTTCCGGTCTGTCCGTCTGCCGCGACAGCTTGGAACACTTTCAACACAGTTCGCACTTTTTATTCATTCCATCCATATGTCCAGCGGGGTATCCCATGACTATGCGCATGCGCGGTCAACTTGCGCACACGACACCCAGGATCTTTATCACCGTTCTTCTCCTTATCGTCCATATCCAAATAGTCTTTTCGATACCACAGTCATTATTCCGGCGCCAGTCCGATTTTGCAGCCATACAGCTTCCATCATGCGCGTTGACGTGCTTTGTGAAGGGGGTCTTGACAGACGGTTGCGCCAACGAGACGGATTTTGCGTGTCATTGTGGAAGAGGCGACATTATCGGGAAACAAACAACATGTGTGCGGCAGGGTTGCAATCAGGTTGAGGCCGCGGTCGCATTTTCGAAGGTTCGAGCAGCTTGTAGGGTGCTGGGAGGCAGAAGTACTGTTGTTGGAGAATCGTGGACGAGAATGGCTTCGAGCGCCGCGGTTTCTAATGTGGTGTCAACTTCGAGCCCATCTGCTGTTCCAGCACCGAATTCGAGCCAGGCACCGCCAACCACTTCCAGCAGCAGTAATCCGAAGCCTATAATCACACCAAGCACTCTACCGACAGGACCAAGCTCAACGATTAGCTCGACTATCGCAAGCTCGGCGGCTTCCACGAGTACAGCACCTGTTGCTCAGGCGCCTCCAGATCAGCTCTCAGATGGTGCGAAGGCCGGTATCGCAGTAAGTGTCTCGTCGGTGGCGCTCTCGATATTCTCTGCTCTAGGCTGGTACATTCGTCGCCTGAAGCGCAAACTCAGAGACGCTCAAGAGCAATTCAATGACGGTCGCCCATCAAGTCTTGTAGCTCCTGCTCGCCGGTCCAGTTCCAGACGTGGTCGCAGAACCTCCATATCTCCTCTTTCGTCACCAATGGTAGTCGACGATAGCGGGTACGGCGCCGCAACGCGCAAGCGCGCCGAAATCCTCTCGGTCGTGGTCGAGGCCGATGAAGAGCTGGGTATGCGGGAGCCGGTGCCAGGGCAAAGCGAGGGCTTGACTGCGCCTTTGGAACTGGAAGCTGCGATTACGCCTTTGGTCGAAGCTCCGCTGGCGGTCACGCCCAGGGAGAGGAGTCGGGAGAGGAATGGGGGCGCTGCTAGTCACGGAATTAGCTAATACGATGTGAATGAAACTGAATCATTTCCTTACGCTTCTTGACTTGGCGGCGCTCAGAAGTTTCTATGCTTCAAGCGCCGCAGCTTCTCAGCCCACCATTCTCTCCAGAGCTTCAACTTGTTCTTTGCACGGATGTGCCGTGGCAGGTCTGGAGCTGGCTCGACCCAGACTGCTCCAGAAGTAGAGGCGGGGAACGAAGCGGACCAGGGTGTGCTGGTGATGCGTTCCATTTTGTATGAGTGGGTAGTGTTGAAGGCAATGTGTGTTGTGAGTGACGATTGCGGTCAAACCAGATGTTCAAGACGCGAAATCGAGGTGAAGAGGGGTCCAAATTTTGCTATCAACACTGCGCCAGTACATCACAACAACAACTTAAGATCAGACAGTAGCATGGAAAAGAGCAATCTTCCTCGATGAACCAGCAAAATGCCAGAACGATCAATGAAAAAAGTAAAGTGTTCCGTAGAACTAGCCCAGTGAGCCACTGGCAAAAAATTCTCGGACAGATTGAACTCGGTACTGCCGATGAGCGCATCATGTCCGGAGCTCTCCTGTTTGACGACGGAGATGATCTGAAAAAAATTCCCATCAGCATGAGTACTGAAGTAGCCATGCCTAGAGTTCGACACTGGCAACATCTCAGGCCGAAGCCATCACAGAGTGCGTAGCATGCCTGAGCAACGACATGTCCCACCGACAGCATGAAAGCTGTGTGTAGAGTGTCATCGTATGCCCTTCGATAAAACCCGAAGGCAATGATCAGTGTGCAAACAAAAATTGTCCCGACTGACACGAATGCCTGCACAAGGGCCGCCAGCGATGTGCAATGCCATGCGAGCCCAAGTGAGCCCCAATATGCCTGAGCAAAGAGGTTGACCGAGTAGACCACAACCCGAAGGAGATCGCCTGTGAAGGAAGGAAGTTAGCTGGTATGTTGAGAGGAAGATGTTGTTGAGGAGTACGTACCTGTTCCCCCGACCCCATAATGAAGAAAAGAGTGTAGAGGGGAGGGAGGGAAAGCCTTATATAGCCCTGGGAGGGCGCCAAGCCGGTGCCAAAGATCACCCGCGCCGGATCAGTCAGCGCTGCTAAGCGACAGCGAGGTCTTGCCGGTTGTCATGGTGAAGGAACCAAACAGAGGGGTCGGGTGGCGTACGTCAGTGTGATCTGGAAAGCGCGGGCAGGTCCAAGCTTAGCGGGCGGCGGCAGTGTGTAGAAGCGGCAGAATTTTTACGGCGTTTGGAGGGACATCTTAAGGGTTCCCGTGCCGGGACATGTACAGGCACTGTATTGTGGAAAGAAGCTGGGCCACATTGCCCATTAGCTGACGGCTTGGTCGCTGTGCGAAGGCTACATATCTACTTAGTGGCTGACCATTCTGCGTGATACAAGCAAAGTCTCTGCGTACATGTCCTCTTTTGTTCATACTGTAGTCCGAAAGTTGCAGATGACACCGTTAAGCGACCCATCCTGGATGCGTACGACAACGTCCAGCTTCGGGCAGTGCAAGGCGTGCGGACTGTAGCAAGCTGCTCTACAACGGGAAACCTTTACTAGATGGTACCTTCCCAAGTGTATTGTATAGAACCTGCTGTCTGACGACCATAGAGGGTACCTTCAAGCAATCAGCCCTGGAGGCACACAGCTTCCAGCTTCAGGTAGTGCAAGGCGTGCGGATGGCAGCAAGCTATCATGCAACGAGAGACTGCCTACTTGATTGCACTCCCTCAAGGGTATACTAGATGCAGCCTGAGTTAGACAGCATGAAGTCGTCAACCACAATCCCTCGCGATTTACATGCGAAACTGTACTGTGCAAAGTGGGGTGACAAGCAATCACTGATAGCTCACGCTGGACCTGTGCGAAACCCTGCATCTATACACAACAGGTCCTTACGTATTTCATTCAGCGTGCTACAAAAACCCATTCAGTCCAGTGTTATGACTATCTGCGAGCGATCATACGCGGAGCATATATGAAAGACCGAAACAACACTTCACTGCAAAACAATCAATCTTCCTCGAAGCGCCAGCCGAAGCCAGCACAATCAATGAAAAAAGGCTGTGGATGTGATGATATCAAAAATTGTCCCGGTCCAGGCACGAATGCCCGCCGGGTAACGGTTGACGAGGCCGTTGTGGATGGAGAAGGGAATAGAGAAGAGGGGGCCGGCCAACTTATGTAGACCAGAGAGTGCCAAGACGCCGCTAAAACTCAGCGGCCGTGCATTGAACGTGCTTTAACGAGGTTCTGCCGGTCGGCATAGTGAAGGAGAAGGTCGGAATACGTCAGTGTGATCTTGATAGCGCGTCGGAGTCCGAGCTTTGAGCTGCCTGACACTGAAATATTCTCAGTAGCACATACACTTTCAAATTCGGCTCACGGAACTCTGACTACCTTCCTCATATCCTTCAGAGTCCACGAAGTACCCCCACACATAACCTTTACCGAAGACATGCCTCGCCACTTCCTTGACCTGCCGCGCGAAATCCGCGATAGGGTGTACCACGAGCTGTGGTCGAGCAATTCGGACATCAATATCTCGCCGTCTAACTACTGCCTCGAGATCTTCTCCGAATTCCACCCCGAGCCTCCACACTGGCTCAACACCTACCTCGACCCTCCCTAGTAGTTCCACAGCACGTCTGGGCTGCCGAAATGACTCCTCGCCTCCAAGCCCATCCTCCACGAAGCAGTGGAAGTCTTTGACCGCTTTGGGCGCGTGTACGTCGGCACCGGCGCAAAGTACTTGAGCTACAGCAAGTACGACGAGACTTTCGATGCCAGAGGCAGGGAAGAGTCTCGATACGACATCGCCACCTTCCCCGCTCTCCTCCCACCTTTCTCCCGCCACCGACTGTTCATTCAGTTTCTGGTGCCAGATCACGTCCCCGCTCCGACTGGCTACCTTCCCCTCATCTACTGGGACATCCGCGACATCAGGTATGCCCGAAAGCTCTTCAAAGATGTCAACCGGGCTGGCAAGCTCCGAGAGCTGGACATGCGCGTACAGGCAATCACCCACCTTCCCGACACCGAGTACCGGGTGGACCTTGCGCCTGTTGCCAATTTGGTGGCAGGCGCAGGTTACCCTCTCGATCGTCTGGAAGTCTTCATTGGGACGGACGAGGATGACGTCATGTGGCAGTCTACCACATGTGCTCTTGAGATCGTGGAGAGGCTGCTCTGGACGGAGGTTCAGAAGCTGGATGCAGGAGTGCTGAGGGGTATGGTGGGAGGCGCGGTGGCCGACATGACTGGGGCGAGCATGTAAAACGACGAGGTGTTCCGGGGTTGGAGCCTCGTCTGGGTTAGTAAGTTGATGATAGATAGACTGGCCATGCATGTGGGAGGCGAAGACAATGCAGCGTAAGAAGACAGGAAACATGATTCACTACTGTTGAGGCGTGACTGGCATCATTGTCAATTTGAGTATACCAGATGCTTTAGCTTTAAGACCCTCTCGCTCTTCTCATCGCACATTCCTCATGTATTGACTCAAACAGATCCAACGCCCTCCCAGAAGAACTTCCAGTCGCGATGCAGGTACCCGTAAACTCCTGGTCTACCGTCCTCCTTCTTCACAAAGTCCTTAGCTGGGTACCTTTCCATACCTGCAAGTGCCCCTTCTCCAATCTCTCGCAACTTCTGTAAGAGCCGGTCCTCTACTTCATCTCGGCCCTCTCGAGTGACTCTATCGTCCCACGATGTGGGTAGTCCGATCTGCAAGCGGGCCAGCGTTGCTAAAGGCCAAACAAGGCCACCAAGAGCATCGGTATTGACTTCCACAGGACGGCCTGAATGATGAAAGTTCTTGAGGCAGAGTTCTACCTCTTCGACTTTTGCAGAAGCAGTGACATCTTTGAATAAAGCCTCACAATACTGGATGTGATCTGGGCTTAACTCGATCATCGGAGTTGGGGTCTTGAATGCGTTACGCCCTGACTTGTGTAGGACGACTCGAAGCCGCTGAACGTTGTATGGCGAGATCAGAGGCGAGAAGAGATGGCGATTGTATAGAGCATGGTCTTTGCCCTTAAGCGCTTCGTGCGGATTTCCCCTGATCATTGCTGTGTCGATCTCCAGCTGGCATTCTCCATGGCGATTGAACACAGCTATGCCATCAGCAAGCATTGCCTTATTGGTGAGGAGCCAAGACGGGAGCCCAATTGGTAGGTGAGCCGGACCATCCTCCTCTTCTTCGAACTCGTCCTGCTCACAATCTTCAGCATTGCTTGATCTCACGAATAGAGAATTCTCTTCCTCCTCTTCCACAATATGAGAGTTTCGGATGATGTTGGCAAGATGGATAAGACCGTCTGTCTCAAGCATCAGAATAGAGGATGTGGACAGCCACGTGTGATGAAGGATCATCTGGCGAATCTCGACTGGAGGATCTTTGAGGTTACCCATCGTTGTGAATAAGGACCGTTCAAATTCAGATACATATTTTGCGGATATTTATGTAATGTGTCAAGCGTACGCTTCAAGGTCTACGTCTTGAGCGATATAGTGTTTAGTCTGATTTTGATGAGGTGGGTGATGTTTGGTCGGTCGGTAAGAGACCTGCTCTGGAAGAATTGTGGATTATCGGTTGGGTGGCACAGGATGTGTGAGAGTCTCAAGTCTGCTGAACAGCGCGGGAGTCGACATACTTATACACTGGAGTGTGTAGCCAGATGACTAATTTCACGCTAGAAGAAGACCAGCAGCCGGGAAGGCCTTAGGAGCCTCATTCTTAAAGTGTTTGTGAAAGAGAATATTCATTCCCAATGGTAGGATAATCAGAGGAAGCTGCTGCTCGAGTGCCCTTTCATACTAGAGCTAGCTTGCTCCACTTCTGATTGTCATAGCGACTTCAGTTTCACGCTGTAAAACCGACTGTACGCAGAGAGCGTCAATCTGCATCGAGTCTCGCGGTGTTTGACAAGACGCGAGCTTCAGCTCCTTCGTGTACTACTAAGTGACTTCGTACACGCTATTGAAGTCGTATGATAACCTCGATACAGCAAAGTCTGACCATGACAAACACAAGGACACAATTACCTTTACACAACCTGTTCTGACCATGGCTATTTGCTGGCGGCCTTCAGAGACACGGTTGCTTCCAAAGCATCGCAAAGAATCAGCATGTCGACCCGTACCAAAAAGTGACAATGCGCTAAGCGTGTACATAAATCATATTCAGATAGCTTCTCCCCATCCATCCTACACCACCAACAAACTCACCACTCCCACCAAAACCACCCACCCTCTCGTAACTCCCAATCCTCCCGCCGCCCCCCTATCGTCCGGCACATCCCCCACAGCCCCCATTATCTGACTTTGCACATTCTCCTTAAACTGCCCCAACACATTCCCCCCGGGATAATACTCGCACACCAAGAACCACCCAGGCGCATCTCCCTTGCCAGTACAATTTGTCCTGCCACAGCCCACCTGCTCCGTGCCCTTCCAAACCAGCTGCGAAAAATGCCCCGTCGCGGTGTCGAAATCGCCTTTCTGGAAGTCGTACTGCGTGCGCTCGTGGCCCCAGGCTTTGATGCTCGAGGTCACGTTGGGGTAGCCGGAGGCGAGGTTTTCGCCGTAGGGGCCGCCGGAGTGGGCGAATTTGCAGTCTGAGGAGTGGTCGGAGGCGAAGGAGGCGAGGGTGGAGTTCCAGGAGAGGGAGGTGGCGTTGTGTTGTTGGCGGTAGGAGTTTGTGATGTTGAGGATGGTGGATTCGAATTGGTCGTCAGATGTGTATTGGGTGGTGTCGTCGGCTGAGGCGAAGGAGAGGAGGAGGAGCGATGTCAGGGTGGTGAGGAGCATTTTGGGATGAGGGTAGTCTTCAAGGGCGCTGGATGCAAGAAGGGAGGAATTGCATGCGTGAAGGATTTGAGGGTTTTGTCGGATGCGCAAAGGCGTTGTTTAATCGCCTGTATGCAGTACTGGTGCTTGAGGATTCAGATGTGTAGTACTATGCGCCAATCAATTCCTTCAAACTGCAGAAACATGAAACACATGAACATGCGCGCTTCCTAGGTCCACCATATGAACTACAAACTCGCTGTGACGTCAATCTCATCACCTCCCACATCGTAACTTCCCGTGCGTGCGGTGTGTTGTTGGCCTTCTTCGGCGAATTAATTACTTGGAAGTCAACATGGGTCTGGGCATACGTAATTGCTGGATGATCCTGGTAACAACGATAGCGAACACGAGGGGACACGTGACAAGGACAGGGTAAGTCAGAAGTATAGATATTTTGATGGATTTGTTCAATTGCGCTAAATAAAAAAGATAGAAACAAAATGGGGGTAAAAGGTATACTGAGAAAGGTTGATGTGCAAAACATAAGATAGCGTTGTCCTCCACTTCATTACCCGTATCATACTTTCATTTCCCATCTTCATTCAAACATGCTAAGAGCAACAAACCGAAATGAGAAACATAACAACGCCGACTCCAAAAACGCGCAGAGGGGTAGTCCAAAAGCCACAAGCGATACAAGTTTTGTGTGAAAAATGACAAGCCGCTAACATGGAACAATTGGTATCTCGACTTTTTCCCGCATACAATGAACCGAACAAACGTGGAATGTGTCCCAGAAATTGGCACCGTTGTCCGGAGCACCTGCGACGACGAGATGTAGAGAAAAGAGATGATTGGGGTAAGGAGAGAGCCGAAAGGACGATTTGCTCATCTATTTCTTCTTCTTTGCGGGTCCGGCAGCCCACCTGAAGAATGGTGCTGGCGCAGACTTCTTCCGAGGCTTGGGCTGGCTAGGTTGTGGCATGACCATAACAGCGGGCGGAGGTGGCGGCACTCCCTGCATGCCTGGATGCGGAGGAGGAGGTGGTGGTGGAGGAGCAGCGCCGTGAGGTGATGGCATTGGTGGGACCTGCACGACATGGGGATCGTGATGCATCATCATAGGTGGCATGCTGCTTCTCTTGAGCTTGACCTTGTCCTTGTTCTTCAAGCTCTTGCTCTTCCCAACGGGCATGTGGTGTGAATGGAACTGGGCCATGTCCGGCGGTGGAGGAGGGTAGCCCTGTGCGTAGGGGTCCACGGGCTTTGGCTCTGGTGGGGGTGGCGGGGGCTCAGGCATGGGCCACATGTGCATCGTGATGGCCCAGTCGGGCTGGATCATAGTCTCCCAGACCTGCGGGAGGATGATCTCACCGTCGGGACCGACAAGATCGTAGTGACCTTCGTGGACATGGGGACCGATCACGTCGACGTGGAGGAAGGCTTGCTTGATGAGTTCTTCCATACCCTGGGAGATGTTAGATATTGTATCGATGAGGAGTGAGAGAACTACGTACCTTCCATGTCTTGCACAAGTTCCATGGGAAACTGAATTTACGGCCAACTGCGTCCTTGAACTTGATCGGTGCCTTGGGCGCGTCTGATGGTTTGAGCCTCGCAGCCTCTTCTTCTGCGGCCTTCTTCGCCTTTTCAAGCTCCTCCGCAGCAGCTTTGGCTTCAGCGATGGCCTTCTCGTGCGCCTGCTTGGCCTCTTCCGCGGCCTTCTCGTGCGCCTTCTTGATCTCTTCAGCCTCAGCTGCTGCCTTCCTTCTCTGCCTCTTCTCTGGCAGCTTTTGCAGCGTCGAGCATGTACTTCGCCTTCTCCGCTGCAGCCTGCTTCTCTGCTGCGACTTTGGCGGCTTCTTCGTCTTTCTCCTTCTTGTCTGCGGCGCGCTGAGCCTCTAGTGCGGCTTCACGCTTGAGCTGTTCGTCCTTCTGCGCCAGAATGAGCTTCTCGAGCTTCTCGAGTTTGTCTTCGTCGCCCTTCTTCTTCGCTTCGGCAGCGGCCTTTTTGGCATCTTCAGCAGCCTTGGCCTTCAACTTCTCCTTCTCAATCTTGGCTTCTTGTTGAGAGAGCAGAATCTTCTCGAGGCGGTCGAACTTGGCATTCTCTGCGGCCTTGCGCTCTTCCTCTGCCTTGTTCTTCTCGTCCTCCTCCTTCTGAAGCAGAAGCTTTTCAAGTTTCGAAAGCATGCCGTCCTCCTTTGCTGTATCCACGGCTGGGGGCGATGGAATGGGCGGAGGCTGAGGTGGTCGCATGGGCACCAACTCGTAACCCGGCGGCGGAATTGCCATTTGCGCTGGGGTTGTGGCTGGAGCTGGCGCTTGCGATTCCTCGTGTTCGCGTTCAGCTCTTGGTGTCTGTTTTCGCGATGAAGGCGCGCGCTGTGGTTGCGGTGGAGGTGACTGTTGCTGTGGTGGATAACCGTAAGGAGGATACATCATACCAGGGTGCATTCCGGGTTGTCCAGGGTGTCCGTATGGCGATCCATATGGCGGGTATTGGCCCATCTGTGCGCCATATGGCATGATTGCACCCTCGGGGCCAGGTGGGGCTCCCATTGAGTTGCGGTTGCCTCGACCATGACCAGGTCGGTGACTGTGTTGTGGATGACCGCCATGCTGCTCGGGGAAGTATCCTCCTCGCTCGGCTGCTCCTCCACCAGGGGGACCTGTGAAGGGGTTCGCACCATTAGGCGCAAAGGGGTTCTGGTGGCCAAATTGCTGAAAGGGATCATGGTAGCCATTGGGTACTAACTGGCCGGCGGGCGAGGCTGCACCGCCATACTGATGGAAGCGGGGATCAGACATGAAACTCGGGGCATAGCCGTCAGGAGTTGGCTGTGGTATGTGACCCCAACCAGGACTGGGGTGGTGTGGCGGAAACGGTGCTCCCCCTCGACCTGCCTGGTGAGGGTAGTCGTCCGGGTCTTCGAGGCTATCCTGGTGGGTGGACTGGCGCCTACGCCGCCGCGGCCCTTGATGTTCGCGCTCCAGTGTGGTTCGGCTTCGGCTCCTGTGGCGAGATGGCGGGTCTACAACGGGGACTGCGTTGCGCGAAGTTGCTCGAGGGGCGGACTTGTGGCGCACTGGGGGGACAGAAGGGGCGCGAATGGTATGGCGCTTCACGTGGGGGCGTGAGGCAGAGTCGGATGGCTGGATCTCCTGGTTGTCGATGAGATCCCACCCTTCTTGGCTGTCGTCCTCGTCCTCGTAGTCTTCTTCGTCAGTTTCTTCGGAGGAGGAGTACTCTTCCTGGCTTCCAGACAGAACCTGGACACCAGATGAGTCTTCGTCGCTGTAGTACTCGGCGCCCGTGTGGTTGTTGACAGTGATTCCTTTCCTGAGTCTGATGGTGATGTCAGTGTCGCCCTTTGCATCGCGAGATGGTGAAGTCTCAATGGAAACAGTAGAGGGGACGGTGGAGCGGGACACATGAGAAGTCGCGCGCGAGGACTGGGACTGCGCGCGACCAGACCGAGTGCTGCGGCGCGAAAGCGACCGGCGTGAAGGGACACGGGGGGCTGCGCGATGATGGGGGAGGGCTATGACTAACGGCATGAGGCTGGCTGTTCGCTGACGTACTGCACTCGGGTCTCTTTTTGCAGAGAACGACCGAGTCCAGTGGATGTTGGGTGCGAAAGGGAATTGGGGGTGATGCTGTTAAGCCTGGGATCGGACGGAGAGGCGATGCGCCTGGGCGTCGACGATGAGTGGTGGGGTCGAACTTTGGGCTGACCGGTCCAGCACTGGCGGGGCAATGAGAGCTCTTCGATTCGACACTGACTAGCCCTGGACTGGGAACGGGTCGTGTTTGTAAACAGACAGCGGCCTGGATAGATTCGACTACTGCTGCACGGCTCCCGCGAGGATGCGGTGAAGGCTCGCTATATACACCGGGTGCAATGCGAGGGGAAAGGGGGAGGGGTGCGATGTTTGCAGCAGCCAGAACGTAGGGCTGAGGTCTGATTCGACGGTGCGGCAAAATGTCTCGAAAGTGCTTCGGCTGATGGTGTGCACTGTGCGGCCGCTGGTCTTAGACTCCCTTGCTGTAAGAGGACGTGGAGTTTGTTGGACTGTGTGCTAACCACACATGGGATGGAAGACCGGGAGACGAGCAAGACGGCAATCGATAAGATGGTGTGCAAAAGTAGGCGAAGGGACCACAAGATGCGCCCGCGTGGGACAAAAATATGCTGGATCTAGGGATATGAACCCAAACTAACAGCGAGGCGTCGAGGTAGATGACAGCGTGGATGTGGCAGCAGTCTGTCAAGTGATGCAGCCCTTGGGCAGGAACTGGGGGCGGTGCGGGAATATGCGGTGCGCGGTACCACACTGCAGATGCGAGGCCAACAAGCGACGACGAGGGGGACGCAAGATGACGCTCTGAACTGTGGCAGACGGGCGCCTTAATAGACTACTATATGCAACAGACTAGGCGTTGCCGTGGTGTTGCGAAATAATGGGTAAATGCGTTGTGTGACACTGCTGGAATGTACGATGGTGGTTTATTCAAGGCTTACGCCGAACTCTTCTCCGGATCAGATAAATTTGCGATGTGAATTTACAGTTAGCTGAGTCGGACATAGTACTCTTGATGAGCAAGCGATGTGAGTAATGTGGAAAGCTGGCGGTGCGATGCAGGCAGGTTGCAGTGCGTTCAATGTGTGCAGGAGCGATGTATCTACCTCCCGCCCAACACTCGCATCTCTACTATTTAATCGACTTCACCGGACACAGACCGCAGCTTCATTCCTGTAGCCGCCAGACTTGTGACTCCCATTTTCTGGTGCTACAGCAGAATTTGCCAGCAAGTCGAAGAGCTTGCGAGCTATCCAATCCGACCGCTCAAGCCTTCCAGACCGTCTCCAATCCGCCCCTGCGAGCCATCTTTTTCCAACATCTCGCACCCACACACGTGGCATGCCAATCCCCGTTCGGGCTCGTTGGGCCGCATGGCGCCTCCCGTCTCGCCTGTCGAGGCTCTTCGTTGCAGTGGAGCCGGCATGCATGCATCTGGGTTGGGCTCTAGTCGCAGTGAAGCGAGGAATAGCAACCCACCACGTAGCGAGCTAGCGTCGTCAGGAACCGGCCATGATGCGTTGTGTCGTAAGTCAAATGCGAGTGTACTGGACTGAGGAAACTCAATTCCGAGTTGGCAGGAGGCGTTTTTAGATATTTCGTGAGCATTGGGCTGTGCACCTGCGTCTTGTGGTTTTTGGTACCCAACCGGATCGTGAGGCTATTGAGCTGGCCATGAGAAGTCTGAGTTCGAGACACTTTCTCATGCATGAAAGTGGGCTGGCTCACCGGTGGATCTTTAAACTACGTACTGCTTCTATTTGCCACATTGCATGTGTTCTGGACATCACACCGTAGCTTTAACGTGTCTCACAGGGCTATGCCAGCGAGACCGGAAGAAGGGTCTCTGTTCCAGGCACTTGGACAAAGGCTGAACTAGACTCGAGCTTCTGACTGCTCAAAAAATGGGAATTCTTTACTGTGTCGCCATTCATGTGCATTGCGACTATCTCAACACATACATTAACCAGAAATAGCACATCAAAGCAGACCACCAACACCTGGGTATATCCAACCTGTAACAAAGAAGATCTCGCTAGCGCCGAAGCGCAATTCAACGTCAACTAACATCGGAGCTGTACCCCAGCACTTCCACCACGACATTGGCTACCGTACTGACAGTCCAGACACCCACCAGGCCCAGTCCAATAACTTTGTCCATCTTCCACTTCCTCACGGGGACTGCAATCAGCAGTCCGGCGAGGGTGAACAACAACGTCGCGCCCGATATAACCAGAGTAGTGCTTACGATAATGTGATATGGAGGAAACTTGAGGTTGTGGTCCGGATGTTTCTTGTGCTTTGCTTCGCCTTTTGTGATCGTCATGTAGGTACCTGACAAGCCAATGCCCAAGAGGATATTGAGCATCGGTCCACCGAAACACGCTGAGAGAGCCATGATGGGGAAGCCAAGCCGAGCAACAGTAATATCGGCAACAAGATCGCCTAGGGAATTGCCAACGGCGAAGATGGTCAAGCCTAGGATAGCGTCGGACATGTTGAGGATAACACCGAGAGTGCGCAGCACGCCGACGACTTCGTTGGCAATGGTGCTGATCCAGGCGATGGCGACTGCGAACCCGACGAAGCAGAGGAGGTTCCGCCATTTCGGTGGGCGGTTGGGGGATGTGGTAATGAGAATGAAGGCGAGCATGACCAGCGACCCAGTCAGTGAGTACAACGTGTGTCGAAGCAGGGCGCGTCCGTTGTCGGGTTGAATATTTGCCCAAAGTACAAGAACAACAAACAGCGGCGCTGTGAACATTTGTGTGATAACGAGCCATCTGTTCCACTGCTTAGGTTCTGTAGACGGTATGGTAGGTAGAGTTTCGGGTGATTGTGCCAAGGCGTCCGAGTTGGTGATATAGACGACAGGTGGGTTGCTCGTATTGGAGCTGAAGGAGCCGCCACCGTTAGGTTTGTGAGTGGACGCGGCGGGACGTTTCATGCTCATTGAGGTACCTGGTGTCGCCATACTCTCCGGCGGGAGCACAATGCTGCGACCATGCGAATCCATACTACGACCATGCGAGTCCATGCTGCCACTGATGGGCGTCATCGGTGGTGGAAGACCAAAGTCGAGAGACAGCTCAGCATGGCCACCCTCATCCTCATCCTTTTCTGGCTCAACTACTGGAAGCGTGATCGTCAACAGGAGAACAGGTAGAGATGCGACGATACCCAAGAGCTTTTCCCAAATGTTCTTCTCGCTCCAGTTGGTAAGGGTTGGGAACAAGGTCCCGAACAGGATGTGAGGAGGTGGCAGGACTTGAGACGGCCACCATTTTGGAGGCTTAGCTGGCTCGTGTACAGCGAATGGATCCCTGGGAAACATGGATGATTCTGGTGATGCGCTTGGTTCACGCGCTCGGAGACTTGGTGGTCTGGAACTCTGCGCGGACCAAGGATAATCTGTGTAAGCAGGAAAGGGAATGGGTGGGGATACAGCGTCGGGCACGGAGAGCTTAAGGCTCGGAGGAGCTACTCGGTGTCCAGGCTCGATGACTGGAGATGCCGTGGGGCTAAGCGTGTTTTGCCGCGTAGGAGGTGCCATATGGCCCGTTGCATCTGGAGGCGCAAGACGGTCGGCGGAGGGTTGCCTGACATGGGATGCAGGGCTTGCTGCTCGCGAGCCATGCTGAGATGCCGGCGGCGACAGAGAAAACGACGGCGAGGGCGGTGCCTGATCACCAGGCATGAGTCGGCCACGGCCATCAGGAGTGGCTGGTCCAAACGTGATGTCGGGTATCCCAACTTGCAATGTGCTGGGGTGAAGTCGCACATTATCAAGGTCGTTGGTTGAAACAGCTCTTGCGCGGCTCCCCAAGCTCTGTTGGATTTCCAGATTTGGTCTGGTGATTTGCGGAGATGCGTCTGATCCTATCGATGCAACATCGAACGGTGGTCGAGCAGCAGGATCCGCATCCGTTGAGATGTAGTCTTGCTGCTGCGCGGTCGTGTATGTAGGGTCGTCCGAGTATCGTCGCAAGCTGATTGGCATTGACTGGATGTTCCTGGATTTCTGCAGCGATGATAGTAACAGCACGAAACTCGAGCGCTCCAACCAGACTAGGTCGGATAGGTGTGTGAGTGTTGCGACGGCTGCCCATACGCGGTCTACTAACACGCATATTGTTTGTCATCTCTCCCATCCATCGTTCACGCTCTTCTTCGTGGTCGTCCTCGTCCAGCGGATCGCCACCTCCTGCCCTTTCAAGATTGGAAAAGTCCTCGTTCGAAATGGCGCGGCCTGGGGTTGCGGTGCCAGACGGACCTTCCTCGTCGAAATATTCGGGTATTTCCTCCTCCTCGCCGCCAGGTGTGATGTAGTGGCTTCGCATTGCAGCAGCTTTCAATCTTCTCGTCCTCCGCTGGTTGATCCACCAATGCCACGCCACCACAAATGCGACGTAGAAAATGTAGAATGCGACCATGGCCAGGGATTCCCAGAGGTGAAGCTTCCCGTCGATGATGAAGCCCATACTGAATGCCGCAGCGACAAGAAAGAAGCCGACATCACGGATGAAGCTTTTTCGTGCCACAGCAAATGGCCGAATCAATGCCATGGAGCCAGACACGACTGCTGTGATGAAGCAGGCCGCGCCAATGAGCTCTCCCACTGCCAAGCTCGCCGCATGTGTTCGAAACGCAGCAAATGTCGAGAATACGTCTGGACTGCCGTTTCCGAATGCCAGCAAAGTTACTCCTGCCAGACTTTCACTCATGCCCAGCATGCGCGCGATTGTGTTGAGGTTGACGCAGAAGAAGTCGCTTGCTGCGATGCCGATAGTGCTGAACAGCATAGCTAGCCACAACGTCATAATAACGAACGCAAGGGGCTGTGCCTTTGGCATATCGCAGTAGTACAGGGTGAGGTAGGATACGACGCCGGCCTCCTCGTCCGGGCAGTTGGCGAGGACAAAGGCGCATTTGTCTGCGGCGTGGTGGACATATCGGCACTGCGTTCGTCAGCGAGATTCAAAGTCTCTGAGAGAGGTGCAGTTCCTACCTCCTCATCTTGTATCATGAGATCCCTCTTCCCCAGGGCACTTCCCGAAACTCCGCCAACATGCGCCCGGTAGTCTTTCGCCACAGCCAGTGCGGTCATAAGGGTTATGGCGAGTATTGTGAGCGCGAACGGACGCGCCGAATACTTCTTGCGCCGCCATCGCTGTACAGTGTCCAGGATGGTTTGGTCGTTCATTGTCACGACATTGTCATGCACGGGGGTTATATGTGTCGTGCGAGCGACAGGATGCGAAAGAATGCGCCGGCTCTTGTAGCCGGTTCTCGAGAGATTTTGAGCGGATTCGGTGCAGCAAAAGTATATTCCAGGGTCTGTGTGTCCGTGGTACTGGGAAGACCGAGTGACGTTGGCGGCGATGCGTGTCCAGGTTATGTACTAGCACTGCGCTGGCGTCACAGATAGCGGAAGACGAGACGGAGCGCGGAGTGTTTGGCCGCACGCGCAGGGAACGGAATTGGCGAAGAGGATGTGAAGGGCGGTAGGAATGCTGAAAGGAGTGAAGAACAGGGTCACACTATAAGCATGTTGAAGCACAAATGTGGCAACCAAGCATAAACTGGTTGCCTTTCTGGATCTTGGAAGCGGTACCGAGGGTTGGTAGCTTGAGGCTTGCGCGGAAGTGTGGCTGACTGCGCCACAGCCCAAGTGTGGCGAGTGCAACCCCACGGGCGCGCCTACCGCTCGTCGGGAGATGTTGACAAACAAACCGACCACCACCACGGACGCTTCGACGACACCACGACGATGCCGCGCGCAACCAAGTACAGCATTGCGGCCTCTCCGCAGAAGACGCCCATCAAGTAGGATTTCGAAAGCTGTGCAGGTTATGTCACTTGTTAATTCCAGATAGGGTTCCCCTCAACGATGACCGACAGGAGAAAGCAAACCGTCGCCATGCCCTCAACGAAGCCCAGCGCAACTCTATGCGCTCCTCTGGTACACCCGCTCGCCGACGAGTTTCACAATTAGCTGGAGAGGATAGCCCGCACACGCCATCACAGGACCAAGATGATATGCCCGGTGTCGCTGGAAGTGCCGTGACGCCCATGAAGCGTGTCCTGCCACTGCTGGCTAACTTCGAGGAGTGGATGAAGATGGCGACGGACAACGTACGGAACCGAAACGTATACAGAGGGCATTACTAACAAAGTCAGAAAATCAACGCCAACAACTCGTGGAACTTTGCCCTAATTGACTACTTCCACGAAATGTCACTGCTCAAGGAAGGCGATGGCGTCAACTTCCAAAAGGCCAGTTGCACACTGGACGGATGTGTGAAGATCTACACCAGCCGAGTCGACAGTGTTGCGACTGATACCGGCAAGCTGCTGAGTGGCCTGGCGGAGAATCAGGGCAAGAAGCGCCGCGGAGACGCTGAGGACGGCGAAGACGGCGAGGATGAGGATGGCGAGGAAGGTGAAGACGGTCAGAAGAAGCGCAAGAAGAGGACCGCGCGATCAGCTGAGGCTACTCTGGCGACGTCTTTTTCCCAGCTGCAAAACAAGAAGATGGAGCTGGAGTTCTCCGTGGATCCGTTGTTCAAAAAGGCATCCGCAGATTTCGACGAGGGCGGCGCCAAGGGTCTGCTGCTCAACCACCTAGCCATTGACTCCAAGGGCAGAATCGTCTTTGACAGCAGCGACGATGCGAATGATGCAACGGCTGAGGAGACGCAAGCCACTCCCGCGCCGGAAGAACGTGAAGACTCAAGAGCCGCCGAAGACGTCGAGATTGACATCTCTGGACTAGCAGCAAAGTACTTTCCAGACCTCGCTCGCCTTGATGAACAAGATATTTGTCCCTCGATGAAGACTTTCGATCTCGGCGATGTCAATGGATCGATGGACTTGCCCTTCCTAAAAGCTCCCGAAGATTGGCGCAACGACGACAAGAAGGACGACGAGGAAGAAGCAGGCAATCGCTCCGGACTCTTCCTCGACGACGACAACCCAATGGGCTTCGACGATGATGACGACATCAACATGGGTGGCTTTGATTTGCCTCCTGAGACCGGCTTCGGTGAGGGTGGCGAAGTCTGGGCTCGAGAAGCAATTCGCGATCCCCAAGCCCGTGTACATGTCATGGGCCTCGGTGACGGAGAGGAAGAAGAGGGCGCTGAGGGTGTCGAGGGTAACATGGCTACCGAAGGCGCGCAGTATGGTCTGTCAATGGCGCACGGTAGAGACCAAGAGCAGGAGAACATCCTCAGCTACTTTGACCAAGCCCTAAAGAAAAACTGGGCTGGTCCTGAGCACTGGCGCATCCGAAGAGTCAAGGAGGCTGGCAAGACCGCACCGGCGACAAAGCGGAAAGAGAAGGAGCCCTTCGAGATTGACTTTTCTGCACCTTTGTCACAATCAACAGCTGACATGCTGTTCACCCCAGCCACATCGAACTCGACCATTTCGTTACCAAAAGCGCAATGGAAATCAAAGACAAAGAATCTGTTACCTGACGACAAGCACTTCAGTTCGCGACAATTATTACGACTCTTCTTGAAGCCGAAGGCTCGCATGGGCTCACGGCGCGAAGGTCGACGAGCTCAACCGCAAACAGAGGAGCCCGCGCATGGTGACGTCGACGAGGCATACTGGGCGCATCGTGAAGGCGAGAATGCCCTTGCCGAGGAAGATGGCGTGGTAGAAGGCAACTACGACGCCGATTTCTTCCAGGACGATGGCTTGCCACTACCAGGAGGTTCAATGGATGACGACGACGATTTCGCAGATGCTCGCGACCACTTCTCACCAGTGCCTGGAGAAGGTACAGAAGCTATGCAGCCGATGGACGGCGTTGTACCAAGTTCACAGGCCGAGGATGCTTTTGGCGCACAACTTGTCACGCAGAGCAGGAGGTTTCGACCTGAGTACGTACAGTACGCACGAGTCGCCAAGAAGGTCGATGTCAAGCGCCTCAAAGATGAGCTATGGAAGGGCATTGGATTGGAAGAGGTCAGTCACTTCACATCGTCACTTTCAACCGCATCACTAACAGAAATCTACAGATCACTGCGCCACCACCAGCAAATGCGCCAGACGACCCAGCCGCCAAAGCCATCGACGGCTCACTCAACTTCACAGACGTCGTCAACGGCCTCAAATCTGTGTACCCTGAGAAAGCGATGGCTGATTTGTCAACGAGCTTCTGTTTCATTTGCGTGTTGCATTTGGCCAACGAAAAGGGCTTGGTCATTAACAACACCGAGGGCTTTGAGAACTTGACGATTAGGAAGGACTTTTCGGCGGACCTGAGTGTTGCTGAGTAGTGTGCTTGGCTTAATGTATTTGACATGACTGGATTTGGGATGGCATGGGATTGGATAAAATGATACCATATGGGCTGGCGCGGCGTTTTCGAAGGTCGGGACAGGTGATGTGTACATGAACTCACTCTTCTTCAATGGCTATGCCTGGTTATACGTATAGCTTTCTTGAGTGTAATATTGGAGCTTGCGGTTTGGACGTGTCCTTCTCGTTTGTCTCTGACGTGTTCTCGTAACGACGGGTAGTGTACGGGGAGGTAAGTGGCAGTCATGATAAGGAGCGGTGAAATGCTGCAGTGCAAGACCTGCACATACTGTTGCATGGATATCTCCTTGTGCATGGATCAGCTTTCAACCCACAGTCAGCTGGAGGAGGAGAAGGAGAAGGATTCAATGAATGTTATTGCTAGTGATGAGAAGCGGTGAGGTGTAAGACCACAGTGAGCAATCAGCGACTATACCACAATATAAGCCATGCTTTGATTACACTTCGGTATTTAGCAAGTTCATGGAGAAGCAGAATGGGTTCCATCAGTGCTTCCTGTTGTTATACGAGTCTGCAGCGTCGTAGCGTGGCGTTCTCGTGCACTTGACCTGGCGTTTGTACCGTTGCTCAGGCTATGCAACAGGCCGGATCGGCACTCGAGGCAGAGAGCTCTTCAGCTGCATCTCGTTGAGCAGCTGAAGAACGTCAAGATAGAGGGCATGGTGATGGTGAAGGCAGAGGTATTTGAGAGGAGACACATCGACCCCATGGAGGTGGAGATGGTTTGGAAGCGTGTGTGATGATGGGTAGGAAGAGCATGGAGGGATACAAGGATGGTGGGATAGAGGAGCGAGGCTGTAAACTGAGATGTATACACTACGATAACACGAAATCTTGGGTATCGTTCTCCGAAATCGAGTGTTAGGCCTCCAGCTTCATCAAGAGTCAAAAATGCGTGCAGGTTTGGTGGTGTTCAGATTTCAGAAAGTGGGGTGCAGCGATGACGTGTGGGGATCAACCTGAACCACCACAACCTCTCCGCTAGCGAACAATGCATTCAGCAACACTTCAGAAGGCGCACATCGTCGTCATCAGCAGCTCGTGATGGTACAAAATTTCTTCACTTACAGACGACTCAAGCAACACCCGATAGCCGACGAGCAGTGTCTTGGCTGCTCGGCGTACACCACCACAATGGGAGGTTGGTCTGCTCAATAACATCAGCATGCATGCATGCTTCAATTTTCCATTCGTTCGGCTATCATGATTCTTGAGGTTACATGAGCTCTTTCGTTTCTTTTAGTCATGCTGCCCTCAGCAAGGTCTCATTACAACTACCCTCGACGCAGCAAGTCATTTTGCCTCTGCCCCATACTCCTCCGCATCCACTCGAATCCACTTCCGATCCACACTCCGGCATCCTACTTACACCTATGGAGCGCATATGCCGAACCATTGAATCGGGAGAATATCGGGAGAGCTACACTCGCGAATGCGAAGCTTGATGTTCGAATTTCTTGCTTCACTGGAGTGCTGTCCGATGAGCATCAAGTACTATCATGAGGCCAGCCGGATCGATTTTACTTGATCCAGCTTGATTTCCGTAGATATGGCTTGTTTGCTGGTCATGAGAGTCTGCTTAGCTGCGGAACATGACTACATCAGTTAGCATCGTGGAGATGGACTACTTTTTGAACATTGGCATACGGAAGTTTGCATCCTGCGGTGATGTCTCAATTGTTTAAATTCGGACCTAGAATTCATTTCAGCGACTTTCTGCTACCTAGAATACCCCAAGATGGTGGTCTCAATCAGAACACTGCTGCTTGTCAGCTTTCTCGCTGTTTCTGGCACAACAGCTCAGATCACTGGTAATACTTCCAGTCCAGGATACTATGAGAACCTCGAGAGGTACTGGAGCTATGGAAGGTCTCCACCAGTGTATCCATCTCGTAAGATCCCCCCCTCTCATATCATGCTGAGTACCTCTAACTTGCGCTTAGCAAACACCACCAGTACCGGCGACTGGTCACACGCTGTATCTCGAGCCCGCGCTCTGGTAGCTCAAATGACGTTGGCTGAAAAAGAAAACGTCACCATGGGCTTCACCAATGCTGAGTTCAACGGCTGCAATGGCAAAAGCGGCGGAGTTCCGCGGCTAGGCTTCCCTGGATACTGCTTGAACAACGCCGAGAACGGCGTTGGCGGTGCTGAAGGCGTCAATGCCTACCCAGCAGCACTGCACGTAGGAGCTTCATGGAATCGTGAGCTGGCATATGCACGGGGTATGCATATGGGTCGCGAGTTCAGACGCAAGGGTGTCAATATGGCACTGGGCCCAAGTATAGGGCCGTTAGGACGGAGTCCAAAGGGTGGAAGGTATGTTTTTGGATCGATAACTCCTTATTATGATACTGATACAGATGCAGGAATTGGGAAGCACCTAGCAATGATCCATATTTGACTGGTATGCTCATTCACGACACTACAGCTGGCATGCAGAAGTATGTCATTGCCAATATCAAGCACATCGTCGGTAACGAGCAGGAGGCTTCTCGCAAATATCCGCGGTTCCTGCCTGCACCAAATCACAACGCGTCGATATCTTCGAACATCGACGACAAGACGATGCATGAGCTATACCTTTGGCCGTTCATGGATGCATTACGTGCTGGCGGCGCGAGCGTAATGTGCAGCTACAATAGAGTCAACAACAGTGACGCATGCCAGAACAGCAAGGTCCTGAACGGACTGCTTAAGCAAGAGCTAGGGTTCCAGGGCTTTGTCGTCAGCGATTGGTTCATGCAGCAAAGTGGTGTTGCTAGCGCTCTGGCTGGGCTTGACATGGTGATGCCAATCGCACCATACTGGGCTGACGGCAACCTCACTCAGATGGTGAACAATGGCTCGGTATCGATGACCAGACTCAATGATATGGTTACGCGTATCCTTGCACCATGGTACAAGATTGGTAGCCAAAGTGAAGAAGATGGACGTCCCCCAGGGCACGGTATTCCTGCCAGCCTGGTGCAGCCGCATGAGTTTGTAGACGCGCGGTCGCCCGACTCGAAGCCTGTCATTCTCCAAAGTGCGATCGAAGGGCATGTTTTGGTCAAGAATGTGAACAAAGCACTACCTCTGAGGAAACCAAAATTCATTTCTATCTTTGGCTACGATGCGGCAGGGCAGTTTATGAATACAGCTGAGGCCGCTGGCTTCAACTTATGGAAGATGGGAATGCGTAACGCACTCCAGTTTCAGAACGGAACTACCTTCACAGCTGCAGCACTTGACTTACTCTTTGGATCGAGCTTGGAGCAAACTACAACCGGACCAGAGATTGCACTGAACGGCACACTCTTCACAGGAGGTGGATCTGGTGCAGTTGTAGGTTCCATCGACGCGCCTCTCGATGCCTTCAAACGACAGGCATATGACGACGGCACTTATCTCGCCTGGGACATCCAAACACCGAACCCGACTGTAAACGCTGGATCAGAAGCTTGCCTAGTCTTCATCAACGCTCTTGGCTCCGAGTCTTGGGACCGCCGCAACCTCTCTGACGCATACTCCGACGGCATCATCACAAGTGTGGCATCGCAATGCAACAACACAATGGTTGTTATACACAGCGTTGGCGTCCGTCTTGTCGACGAGTGGTTCGATCACCCCAACATCACCGCCGTGATTCTCGGCCACCTCCCAGGCCAAGACTCTGGCCGCGCCCTTGTTGAGCTGATGTACGGCCGCCAGTCATTCTCTGGCCGCTTGCCGTACACTGTCGCGAAACAGGAAGCAGACTATGGCCATGTGCTCGATCCGGTGCAACCCAGTGACAAGACGCCGTACTATCCTCAGGTCAACTTCACGGAGGGCGTATATATTGATTACAAGCACTTCATAAAAGAAGGCATCGAGCCTCGTTTCGCATTCGGATACGGCCTCACTTACACCGACTTTGAATACTCGAATCTCCAAATCGACGTCGACGCCAATGCCACCTCATTACGGCTCCCTCCCAATCCCGAACATATATTACAAGGCGGCATCGATAGTCTCTGGGACGAAGTCGCGCGTGTACGCTGCACCATCGAGAACATTGGCGACGTTGCGGCCAAGGAAGTCGCTCAGCTGTATATTGGTATTCCAGGCGGGCCGGAGAAGGTGCTGCGTGGTTTTGAGAAGCAGCTGCTCGTGCCGGGTGAGCGGGGGGTGTTTGAGTTTGGGTTGACAAGGCGGGATTTGAGTACGTGGAATGTGATGGAACAGAGTTGGGAACTGCAGAGGGGCGATTATGGCGTGTTTGTTGGGAAGAGTGTATTGGATGTGCCGCTGACGGGAAGGTTCGAGATTGGGGACGTGTGAGTGGTATGCTTCTTAACAAACCACCAGTGACAATTTAGGATGAATCTCTCGGTTCACCGTAAGTTGCACCAGCAAAATTATAGCCGAATGCATTCTAGGTAACACCGTTACGTCTGAACACTTTCTGTTGTCGCTTCGAAAAGGCATAGTGTAGTACGCAGTGCTATCTGGCTTCGAATCGAACCCTGGGCGAAGATGCCTTTGCCTCGCAGGGTACGACCCAGAACTTTCAAGGTCAACAAGGCTATCTGGGCGGCGCCATATCCATTGTTGCTTGGTGCAGGGGTGTTGGGCGTGCCCTTCTCCCAGCAAGACAGGCGCGAAGGCGTCAGCGAAAAGCATATAGGCACAGCGTCCCCACGACCCAGTTTCACCTGTTTCCCTCGAATTTTGCCTACCGTACGCGTACTACAGCCAACAAACTCGCTTACGACTACCAACTTTGTCCTCCTGCCTCTTCGCCTTCCGACCAATCCCACTTCGACATTCTCAGCCTCGTCCCTCACGCCCTTCTCGCCAAGCACCACCAACCAATCATGTCCGACTACGTCAACGAATTCGACCTGACCGACTTTATGGACACGCCGCCTACCTCGCCAGGATTTGAGCAGCCAACCACGTCCGAATGTCTGGATCAAATCGACTGGGAGAACCCGAACTACAAGGACCTGGCTAGTGTTGATTGGAACGCCCTGCATGAGGAGATCATAGGTGTTGTTCTAGGCGAGCCGGCTGATGAGCAGCTACAGCCTGATGACCGGTGAGTTAAAAAAAAGACATGAGCTAACAGAAGGGCAAAGCACAATACATTATAAAGAGCAAACCCCACTTGGTTCAATGGCTTATGATCAATCGACGGCCCCTTTTGAGTCCAACCATGACATACTTTCCAACCCTACAACTGAAACAACATTCGACTGCGATGTGCCGGACTGTAGAGCGAAACCCTTTAAGCGACGTGGAGATCTGAAACGCCACATGCTTATCCATGGCACGGTGAAGGAGTTTGATTGCTCAGCAGTCGATTGTAAGCGGCGTGGTATTCACGGATTTGCCCGCAGAGACAAGCTCAAAGACCATATGCTTGATGGCCACGACGATGACACTTTGTTCCAATGCCCAGGATGCGAAATGCAACTCGAGAGGGACATGTGGTCCATTCATTGCAGCTGGAATTCTGGCTTCGATCTCAATGCTCATAGGTCCTGCCCACTGCCGAAATGTTCCTACAAGTTGAATGTTGGTGCACACCTTCCCGAACACTTCGATGAGATGCAACAGCATCTTCTCGAAAAACACGATTTACATGGCCGAACTTATTTCGCCAACTTGCTCAAACAGAGAGGCTATGATGCTCAGAGCTGCGAAGTCATCTGTCCTATCTGTCCTTCCCCTTGCCAGTTTCCTAGGCATGTGGAATTTTACTATCACTTCTTTCGAACCCATTTTGATGGACCAGTGTGTGTATTGCACGAGGATGGATCTTGCGGGCAAGACTGCGATGCTAGAAAGGCGCGTTACCGTCTACGAAAGTGTACCTCGGTTCCTGACAATGTCCGCCAGTATCGCCGTGCTATCTTGCGCATCTGGCCTGGCTTCAAGCATTATCCGGTCTGGGGCGACATCGAACAATGTACACCGAGAGCCTGAGTAAGCTCTCCCTGTTTCCCGAGGGCATGGAACTTCGCATTTGTGGACTCCATGTATTTCTCATTATCCCCTCAGTTCGCCATGTTTCTCAATTAGAAAATGCGGGGTTTCTTTTGGTTTTATTGGAGGCGTTAAGGCCATGAAACATATGTAATTACTCAAATAGAAAGAATCCAACTTCGTACGCTCTTTGCATAGACGCTTCGGTTATAGCCGACATACTCCATGTGTAATGCAGCACTCAATAACGTCACAGCGAACCACACTGCAGAAGACATGAGGTCGTATGGATAACTCCGTGTACGTCTATGCCATGCTTGCACTTTTAGACGCCTTGAAAGGCGTTATGCTGCGGACAGGTTGGATTATGGGTTGCCTGACACGGCCCAGGCAGGCGATGACGCAACCCTGTAACATCAGTGTAAACTACCACTACACCACCACCTATCTCACCATTATCCCCACATCTTCTCGTCAAAATAGGCAAAATGACTTCCGCATGCGACCGCGTCCTCTCCACCACCGAACTCCTCGAATTCATCCTCAGCCACCTCACACCCATCAACTACCTCTTCCAAGCCCAACGCGTCTCACGCTTCTTCCACACCACGATTCAGAAATCGCCAAAACTCCAACAACTCCTATTTATGCGCGCAGAAACATGTCGGAGTCTCGAGGACTATGTGACGAATCAACTTTTACAACAACACTTCGCCCCATGGTTCCCGCCGTTCCAAGGCCGCCGAAATTATGATCGGTTGAAGGAGATGGAATGGGCCTCAACTCCATCCCTTCGCGCCATCTATCTGCGCCCGGAGGCGAGTTGGCGGCGCATGCTACCCATGCAGCCTGCGCCCCAGACTCTTTCTGTACAGTACCTGGAGCACTGCCAGACTGGGGATTTCATGGAGACTGCGAGCGTCGAGGGAGCCACAATGGGCCGCGTGTACGACATCACTGAATCTTTCCTGCGCGCGGAGTATGCGAGTTATGCGCAGTTTAGCATGCATTGTGGCGGCGAGGGGGTGGTGGTGTATCTCGAGAGTCAGATGCAGTGCGATATGGGAGAGGGGAGGGGCTTGAAGGGCTGGGATTTGAAGTCGGAGGGGGCGGAGATGACGCATGAGTTGCAATGGGTGGATTGTGGGGAGGTGCAGGGGGGTGGGTATAGGTTTGGAGGGATGGATTCGGTCTTTGATTGATTGGATATGGGGATCACGGCTGGAGATGAAGAGATTTAGAAGGAGGGGAGGAGATTCTGTTCGTATTATTATGTACAATCATGTCTACAATGCATGTCTGTGGTCTGCTTTGCTGCGCTCACAGCTCCATGTCCTCTGCCACGCCCATCCTCTCCAATCCACTCACCAGCGCCGCCGACCTCTTCTCCAGCAGCTTCTTCTTCGCCGCCGTCCTCTTCTGCACGCCACCCTCGGGCGCGGAACTGGACTTGCCCTTGCCTTTGCTCTTCCTCTTGCCCCCGGTGTCGCTTGCCTTCTCGAGCAAGTCGACACAGTCCGCCTTCACATCCTCGTACATGTCCCAGAAGACATTATACTCATCCCCCACCAAAGCCCGGCCAAACTCCTGCTTGTGGTCTTGCGACCAATGTCTGCCCTCCTGCACAAGCACAGCAGTCACAAGCAGCTTCTGCATCCACCCCTCCCTGTCCTCGCAGACGCGCAGCTCCGAATCCCTAGGCGCAAATGCCGCGCCCACGAGCTCAGCAAGGCGGAACGGCAAAACGAACTGACCCGCCACCAAATCTGCCATCTTGTTATGCGCGAGCGCATACAGCGACGGGAACTCCAGCTCTTCAGCCACAGCACACATGTGCATGTGGAACTTTGCGCCAACGAGGTCCGGGCGCGCGAACGAAACGGCTTCGGAGTCTTCAGGGAACGAGGTCGCGTTCTGAATGAGCCGCAGCTCGGGAAACTCGCTGTCGGCGTATGTGCCGGTGTAGATGAATTCAATCACCCTGTCCATAAGGATAGGGTGGAAGGCGGCCGGCAGATCGACCGAGGCGGCGGGCGTACTGCTGGAGGTCTTCACCGCATCGTTAGTATAGCTTCAGAGTAAAGATAAGCTTATATAGATCTCCAGGAACTTACATCGCCAGGGAAGATGCTGTCCTGGAGCTTCTTGGAGCCTCCAAGCAGCATCATGGCGTGCACCTTGAACACGACGCCGACACTGGTGACCAGCGCGAAGTCACGTCCGAGAGGGGTGGCGAGGAGGTATTCGCCATGTCTGAATGTGTTAGATGTGATTCGAGGCATATTGGAGGGGTACTTACGCCTTGAGGTTGTGCTGGGCGTGCCCTTTGAAGCCAAAGTTGCCGCCAGCGAGGAAGTTGCGCAGAACACTGCGAGGATGACGCGCATCGAGCGGCTCTACTGCCGCTGGAGCTTGTTTGCTCTCTTTGCTAGCCGCGAAGGGATCGCCTGTGGTCGTTGGCTGAGCGCCACTGCCGAAGTAGAAGACTTTTTGCGGGCCAGACGGCTGCGCAAAGGACGCGTTCATAGGCGGTGGGCGAGCAGGGAGACCAGCAGAAGGCGGAGGCAAGTTAGGAAAGGACATGATGTAAATGTAGAGTGATGTGAGGTCTTGTGTGAATTGAATGAGTTGAGGTAAAATTCAAGTGTGCGGTAGACGAGCAAAGGAGTGTTCAAACAGTGTGTAATTGGACGAGTCACTTAAGCTAGAGAAAGTGCAGGTGAACGGGCACCTCAACAGTGCGGCTTCACGCGTCCAAACGACCAGGTATGCCCATGCCAATCAGATCTCCATGTCCATGTCGGCATCGCTGCCACCTGCGTTTGCGTCCCTCGCTTTGTCCCTCTTCTCCTTACGCTCCCGGACCGCTGACTTCTTCCTCGTCTTTTTGATGCCACGATTCTTCCTGGGAGGGGGAGAACCGTTTGAATCGCCATGCCCCATCAGCTGCATGGCTGCCTCGCGATCTGCCGCCGCCTTAGCTCTCCTCGCCGCCGTCTCCTTCGCGATCTGAGCCTCTTTCAAGAGGTCTTCGTTCTCTGCCAAGGCAGTGTTGTAAGCAGTCCAGAAAGGGGCGTAGCCAGGGGCCTGGATTGACTCGGTCCAGTCTTTGCGGCTCTGCTCGTTCCAGTTCTTGGCCTCGTAGGCGATGACAGAGGCGACGACCATGTTCTGTAGAACGCCGGCATCGTCCTTGCAGATACGGGCTGGGTCTCCAGGCGGGGCGAAGGTAGCCTCTACCAGTTCCTTGAGTGTGTCGATGGGCAAATGGCGGCGGAGGAGGAGCGAGCCAACAAGCGCATCGTACGCGGATGTCTGGAGGGCTGGGTAAGCGAGTTCTTCGGCCAGAGCGAACATAAGCAGGGAGTACATGTTTCTGCGAATGCCCACCAAAGCCGTGACTGCTGCTGAAGGCGGATTATCCGCCGGGACGTGCGTGGCGGTGTAGAGGTCGAAGTTACCACGCTTCAACTCCTGGGCCTCACGCCCCTTGGGGTCGAACTGGTACTCCGACGTGTAGAGAAAGGTCACCAAGCGATCAATCAAGATCGGATGGTGGTGTGAAGGGAGGTCGACCTCCGTGGGCGGATGGGCTTGGGTGGCGCCCCCGGGAAAGACATACTCCTCAAGCATCTTGGGGCCGCCGATCAGCATCACGGAGTGGATGCTGAAGAGAACGCCAGATGCTGTCTTGAGCGTGAAGTCACGCCCAACAGGCGACTTCAGCAGCACTGACACGCGGCTAGATAACATGTTAGAATAGTCTTGAGGCGGAGTCAGTGATACGTACTCGGCGAGCAGCTTCTTTGGGGGAGCTGGCTTCTCCCAGGATCTCTTGAAGGCCCCCTTGAGGAGGTTTCGCGTGCTGGTGGGCGCGGATTTAGCCATTGCAGGCTTCTCGGCGTTCATGTTCTTGTTGATTTAGAGGTGGAGCGGAGGCGGCGATGTGATCTAGGTCGACCAAACGCTAGCGTGGACCGTTTGTGAATGAGATTTGCGGCCACACAACCGTCTCCCGACTGCCTATCCTGAAGCTACACGCACCGGTCAGAGCTCACTCACTTCAGCAAAGTTCACTTTGGAGATAGCCAGGCTCTTTTATCATCATCATATATTCGTACACTCGTAACTGGCTCTTCAGAAGGTAGGCCTTGTCCTCTCTCCTTTCCAGAACCCCATTACCTCGCCAGTCTCTCCAACCCATTCTCTTACTCCAGTGACGACCTGTTTAGCGAGACCTGCATTCGTTCCACTCCTTGCCCTCCTCTTTCCTTCCATACCGGTACTGCTGCCTCCAACACCACTACCAGTGCCACTGGCGAAAGCGTCAGGCGCTTTGCCAGCACTTATGTAGCTGCTTCCCTCTCCTGTCGCATACTCAGATCCCATAGACGGTAGAACATTCTCGCTGGCAGATAGAGAAACGAAGAGCGCGAACGGTACGAGCCATACACAGAGTCCAAAGTAGCTAGCAATCTCCGTGAACGAAGGAATATTGGCGTCGCGTGAGTAAGGATATGATGAGTACGACGAGCTCGGGGGCGGCGCGCTGAAGTGTCTGAACCACAGGTAGTGGTTGGCAATGACCAGTGCTACACCGACGTCAGCTCAGGTCTCCCATGAATACGAATCATCACCGCACACCACACGACCTGTCTAGACTACCAATACGCCAAAGGGGACACTAATACGCCCTTCCAAACTCCTGGCGAACAGGGACGCTTCATCAAGACTAGGCAAAGACTCTGCCATGCACCGGGCGCATAGCTTTGCACTCCACTGACACACCCCAATTCTCCCCTTCTCACTCCCCTCGTTTATCAAAAGCATACATACCACAAGAAACCAAAAACAGCGGATCCGTCAATTTCACAATCGGAAACTTCCTCAGGTTCTGCGCATATATCGCATGCGACACAATGCTCAGCGCGCTCAGTCCCACAGGGAACCCATCCACAGCCAGCAGCAACACCTGCAGCACGATGACGCCGTAGATCAGTCGGTAGAGCAGTTTCTTCGCGAGGACCGTGTGCTCTTCGACGAGCTCGGAGAGGTAGTAGAGGCCGGATGCTAGTGGGTGTTAGTATGCTTCGCGGCAAGACCCTGGGATGGAAGTGGGTGGTATGTACCTATAGCGAGCGTCAAGAAGCCGAAGCCAAGGATCACGCCGACGTAGCCTAGGAGCGGTAATATCCACATAATTGTTATACTGGGGAGGGACTTTTTTTTGAAAGGTGAGGTTTGATGATGCGAGCGATGAGGTCAGAGGTTAGGTGGCCGGTTCGGATTATTAGTGGGACCGGATTAGCGCGGGATGTTGAGCGGCGGGATGTGTGTGGGGAAGAAGAACATCAAAAAGTTGTGAGGGAATTCTTGGCGAGGTTCCAACTACTGCGACTTTGCGATCTTCACGCCACGACCTGTGACTTTACGAAGAAGGACGACTTGCGCACACGAATACGCATACGATCATAAGAATATAGTTCTTCCAGGGAAAGAACGAGAACCAACGGCAATCATGTCGCGACCAGAAGACACACTGTACGCTATCCACCATCACACACTCCCCCAAACCTCATATCTAACCACCTCCTCAGCCCCCCAGACCTCTTCTACAATGACACCGAATCCCGCAAATACACCACCTCCTCGCGCATCCGCTCCATCCAATCCTCCATGACCCACCGCGCCCTCTCCCTCCTCTCGCTCACCTCACCCTCTCTGATCCTCGACGTCGGCTGCGGCTCCGGCCTGAGTGGTGAAATCCTCTCCGAACCCGCGCCCGACACGCCGGGTGGCCCACACGTCTGGATCGGCTTCGACATCAGCGCGTCGATGCTGGGCGTCGCGCTAGAAAAGGACGTCGAGGGCGACCTACTACTTGCCGATGCGGGACAAGGTGTGCCGTTCCGGCCGGGCACGTTTGATGCGGCAATTAGCATCAGTGCGGTGCAGTGGCTGTGTCAGGCGGAGAGCAGTGAGGAGTGGGACACGCCTGCGGCACGGCTGTCAAGGTTTTTCAACGGCTTGTATGCGAGTTTGAGGAGGGGCGGGAGAGCCGTGTGTCAGTTCTATCCGAAGAATGAGGAGCAGAAGAAGATGGTTAGTCAGGCGGCGATTAAGGCAGGGTTTGGCGCGGGATTGTTGCTAGACGACGAGGGCACGAAGAATGCGAAAACGTATTTGGTGCTGACGGTGGGCGGTGGGGAGGTGGATGGGGATATCAGTGGTGTGGTGAGGGGCATGGATGGCGTGGATGTGGAGGATGCGAGGCGGAGACAGAGGGGGATGAAGCGGGGCGAGGAGAAGAAGGGCAGCAAGGCGTGGATCTTGAAGAAGAAGGACCAGATGGAGAAGCAGGGCAAGGTTGTCAAGGCGACGTCCAAGTACACGGGCAGGAAGCGGAGGATCCAGTTCTAGGGGACGGCGCGATGATACCACGACCTTATGCATAGCGCGGCGTTTGGATTAGACATAGATTCCCAAAAGTTCTTCGGTGTTCAAACACAAATTAAAGTCAATGACGGGACGCAATACTGTATTGCGCTCAGGGATTATCTAAAGCACATGCCCGCCAGCAAGCAGCCACACGAAAGGAACCGATATGCAGGGAAAGGGTAAAGGGGTGTGATGATTCCTCCTACTCCAAGCTTCACCAAGCGTCCGAGACGTCCCAGTAAATATGCGGACAGTCCGGCCTCGCTGGGTGGGCTTCGACACTGGGCTCAATAGCCGGCTAGATACAGTCAACAACTTGAAGGGCGCGACCTGCCGGAAATCAGATGTTACCAATCTCCTTGACAAAGTCGTCGAGCTCCTTCTTGGTGTCGGCGTATTTCTTGGCCATCTCTTCGTACTTGGTTTCCCACTGGTCGCGGGACTGCTCGAGGGCCTGGACTTTGCGCTCGTAGTGGCCCGACTTGACGTCGGTTTGGCGGAGCCTGTGACGTGTAAGTATTCAGAGAAGGCGGCGAAGCGTAAAAGAGGGCTCACTTCTCGTTGAGCTCGCGGATCGTCCTGTCAGACTCCTCAGCCTCTTCCTCAAGGACCTGGATCTTGCGCTGCAAGCCCTCGGCCGTGGAGCCGGCCTGGGCACCTGCACCGGCTTCGTCCTTGTAGGTTTTGACTTGCGTTTCGAGCTTCTCAACCTCGCCCTCCAGCACCGAGTTCTTGTGGCTCAGGGATGTGATCTCCTGCTCCTTCTGTGTCGTCTCGCTCTCGAGCTGCTTGACCTTGGCCTTGAGCTCCTCGGCGCGGGCGCTGCTCTCGTCCGCCTCGATGCGGAGAGCTTCCATGCGCTGTGGGGGCCTTGTTAGCTCCGTTCCACTGCAAATGCGTGCTGTTGTACGGCCGCCATTGTCACGGCAAGGAGCTCCGCAAAAGGGTCGGGGCGGGGTAGATAGGGCGACTCACCTTCTTGATCTGATCCATGGCGGCTGAAAGTGTGTGGCTGTTGCGTGGATGGGTGGCTGTAGGTGTAGGGGCTGCAGATGTGAGAGCAGCGGCTGTATTGAGGATGTAATGCGGCGGAGAGTGTTGTTGTCTGGGAAATCGTCTTTTGACAGGCTGCGATGCAGGCAGGTGTGAGGCGCTCCTGCCCCTGTCAAACGCGCTAGCCTTTGTAAGCCGAGACCCTTTGTCGATGTGGGCCCCAAAAGTGGCCGCCTTCCCCAATGTGGTCGCATAGCAACGGCGCATAGCGTAAACACCGTTCGTACCACGACGCCGAACGTCGACGACTGCATCTTCACGACTCGCTCAATGTAACCACCGCCATGGCTACTCTCGCAGCACACGATCAGGAGAATGCCATCCGCAACATTTCCATCGGGCCCGGCGGAAAACCGCTGAATGCTGGGGCCAAGGGCCTGGGAGCCAAAACACCCGGAAACAAAGCCCCAAAGACGCCTTTCAAGATCCCGCTCAATGACGAGAACGTGATCAAGCCGACCGGAAAGGCGAACGGCAAGGGCAACGAGAATGCATTTCTCACCCCAGCTGGTATGAGATGGGATTAGAGTTTATGTAGTAGTCATGGCTGATCTGATACAGGTCCGCGTACGCGCGCACCGCTGGGCATGAAGACGACCAACGCCAAATCCAATGCATTCAAGACGCCTGCCCCCCTCGGCTCCTCAGCGAAGACACAGAAACTCAGTCCCCGACTGCGCCGCCCCAAGGTCAAAGTCCACCAGCCGGAGCCAGAAGCTGAGGATGAAGATGACGTCCCCGAGGTCGAGTACATGCCTCCCAAGGAGATTCCTCTCGCAGACGACATGGACGACTACCTGCCCAAGGACTGGAATTTCCCCAAGCTCGACAAAGCGAGCATCAACCGCGGCATCTGGCAGGCCTTCAGTAATCCCATTGAAGACGACGGGCGCCCGAAGAAGCTGCGCGAATTCGAAGAGGGACTAGAGCGCTCGAAGAAGAAGCGCGACGAAGACTTCGACAAGCTCTTCGCCGCCGAACAGGCCAAAGAGGATGCGGAGGCCCGCCGCTACATGGGCGTCGACGTGCCCAAGAAAACTGCCCGGAAGCCCATGTCCACCATGCGCGTTCGCTCCGCTGCTCAAGCCCTCTCCCCCGCCTCGACGAAACCAAACTTCGCCAAACCGACCGCGGCAGTCAAGTCCCGCCTCCCCACAGGCTTCGTGGCGAGCAAGAAGGCCAAGCCCCCCGTTGAACCCACGCCTGCTCGTCGCGCTGCTGCTGTTGCGGCCAGCCATAGCACGATTGGGTACGCGCAAGGCCGCGCTGCTCCCGCGGGACGTAAGCCTCTTTCGAACGTCACCAAGCCCGCGCCCTTTTCTGCTGCTTCGCGCGCGGCATCCACTCGGCCCACGGGTACTATGGCGCGTTCGCGCAGTGCGTTTTCGCGCTCGAGTTCGGCTGCGACGGATGCGACGCTTGTTACGCCGCCTGGGGAGGAAGACGAGGAGGTGGAGCCATATCGCACCGCAGCGGATGTGGAGAGGGAATTGGAGCTCATGTTGTTGGCGCGCGATGAGGAGGAGGATGAGGATGAGGATCGGTGGTTGAATAGCTTCAACTCCCAATTGGCTGGGGATCCGGTCGATGAGGAGCTTGAAGACTTTCAGTTGAGGTTGCCTGAGGGCTTCTAGTCATTCATTTGGGATTGTTGTGGCGTTGGCGTTGGATACCTTTTCCCTTGACTGGTGTTGATGTCATGTCCACCACAGCTTTTTGGGCCAGCATAATCGCACTTTGTTACCATTTCAAGCTTCCGTGTACATTGATAATGTTCTCCATTCTTCATCTGCGCCTTGACCCGACCCTATCCAACCTCAACCTGTACCACCACCACTCCCTCTCTCTCTCCGTTTTGAAAAAAATCCAAAGATCGATCCCATGTGTTGGTACGAATGCGCGCTACCCCCGGGTTACGCCGTACATGCGCCATGCTAATACTCAAGCATGTCCAAAAGAAAGAGGAAAAAAAAGTAAGAAAATAGGAAATGAATGCCGTTCTCGTTTGTCTGTCCGCAATGCCGCGTCGTGATATGTCGTTAACCACCCCCACCCATCTATTCCCACCCACCATATATATACTCCGCCCGCCCAACCCATCTACGCCTCGACATCGACATCCACGCCCACCGTTGCCGGCGGCGCGGTGATTTCATCGACGGCATACAGATTCTGATTGAGGATCTTGTTCATGGTGAACATGTGGACGCGATCCTGCTTGAAGACGGCGCGCATGGCGTCGTCGCAGCGGATCTGGCGCTTGTCGGCGGGGTCCTGGAGGTCGCGCTGCTTGACGTATTCCCAGATTTTCTTGACGGTTTGGGGGCGGGAGAGCTGTGTTTCGTTGAGTAAGGAGGAGAGGGCGGGGGAGAGGGCCATTGGTTTCTGTTCGCATTGTCAGTAGGGAGAACGGGGAAAGTAGAGGTTTGGGGGTTAGGGAGTATGGTGGAAGGACGTACATGAAATCCCCCCTTTTTACTTGGACTCTTCTTCTCCGCACCACTCCCGCTCGCGATGTCACTGTCATCCTCGTCCTTGACTTTGTTGCTGCTCTTCTTTTTCGTCTTCTTCTTCGGCAAGGGCGCGCGCTTCTTCGTGTTCCCCCCGCGCGTACTGCGCATGCGGCTGTTCTCTTCCTGCTGCAGTCTCCTAGCGTATGCAGCGTCGTCGTCTTCCTTGGGGCGCGTCTTCTTAGTCTTCTTCTTGGGTGGCGCGGCGTCTTCGAGGTCAGAGAGGGCGGATTCCGAGGCGGGCGAGCGCTTGGCGGAGGAGGTAGATGTGCCGTTTTCGACGGTGGGGATGGGGTCTGAGGGCGAGGGAGGGCTGGGATTGGAGGAGTTGAAGGCGTCGAAGCGCTTCATGATCAGGTCGGTGATGGCATCCTATTTGTAGTATTAGTATATTTGAAGAACATGTTAGGACTGCTTGGACCTACCTTCTGGTGTGTGGTGTCGTGTTCGACCCGCTCTTGGAGGCCCTTTCGTATGCGCTTCGCGGAGATGGTGTTAAGATCGCTGGCTCGCAGGATCTCGTCGATGATGGCGGAGTACGACGCCTCGACATCGGGGGCTAGAGACTCTGGATGCAGTAGTCAGTACATGCTCGACGCGTAAAGTGTGCAAGCGCACTCACCCGCCATGGTTGCGGTGTCGCGAAGTCTACGCGGAGGTTATAGCGAGAGGTCTGGAAGTCGGCAAGTGGGTGTCGAGTCGCCGCGAAGCTCAATCGCAGTTGCAGTGGTGGCTCTACTCCGCCGTGGTGGGTATGCGAAGCTCTGACCGGGGTAGGTAGCTCCCAGAAAGCAAGATGGTAGAATGAAGAGTTGTGAGGAAGCTTGGCCGGGCGCTGGTAATACTTCCCAAGTTGCGCGCAAGTGAGAGCTTGACGTATCTCACAGCTACAGTCGGCCACTCGCGCCGCCGTCTAGACTCTTCAATCCCAAGTGAGAGACAAGCAGCCGGACGCTCCAAAGCGGTAGTGCCGTAGCGGGGTCTGTGGGACGCCGTGGTAGAGATGTGTATGACTACAAAAGCGCAGACGGTGCAAAGAGTGCGGTTGCAGTCGCGCACACGTGAAGCAGAGACAGACGTTCGCAGATGCGCAAAGAATGTTGCAGGTCTGGCCGCTGAGGTTGAAGTCAATATGGTCACTTGCGGCGTGCACGGGCTCAGGAACGAAGCCGACGTGGGAGGCTGGGGAACTACGGATCGATCCGAACCACCATCGGGCCCAATATACATCACACGGCGCGTATATCGTTGGACCGTGGGAAACGTGAATGAAGCGCGCTGGACTTGTTCACAGCCTGCCCGTGGCTTTTGATTCATGTTGGCGTTTCCATGTCACCATACCCGTCGTGCATATCCTGCCAAATGCGGTAGACTACGCTAAATTCCCCATCCGCGGCATCAGCCTGAGGCTTGCAGAGCCGCCCTACATGACCATGCAGCCAACGCCGTACATTTGTTTTTCGACCGCGCCCTTGATCTGGTACCAGTCCGCTCTTCGCTCCGCATATTCGTACACCTCTTCGGCCCTGAATATGCCCTTGTACCTGTCCGTGTCGGCGATGATGGTAGCAATCTCCTTCGCCTCTTTCGGGTCGATGAGGTAGATTTGCGACAGCTCGCGCAGTGCAGCAAAGTACTGCATTAGCGACTTGTTGCGCAGCGAGACAATGTACGAGTAGTATGCGTTCATGTCACTGCCCGTCATCAGCACACATCCAAACCAAACATGGACTAATAACATACCTGATGAGCTTGATTGCGCCGTCCACGCTGATTCTCTGCCGCTTCAAGTGCTTGCAGAGCGCCGCGAACAAGCGCACTCCCACCTCCTGATTGAACACATCCAGCACGTTCTTGTCCGTGCTACCCACCAGCATGTTTGTGTGCGACGACACAATATCCACTATTCGCGTAGCCGCCTCGCTAGGCCCAATGTCAAACATCTCTACCACGCCTTTGGGTCCGACGGGCGGGTTGAAGTCGGACGGCTGTTGAATGGTGCCGCACAGGTACTCCACCTCGTCCATCAGCACATCAATACCCTTGTTGAGGCCCGCTGCGACGCGCTCGTCAAGCATGGATTCGAAGCGCTTCTTCTCTTTCGATGCCAGACTGAGAAAGTCATCGCGGTCGGTAAGATTGCCAGCAACGAGCTCTTGATAGTAGAAAACTTCCACCATCTGCTGGATCAGATCGCCGACATTCACCAGTTCCAAGAAAGCAACAAGCGGCGCAACACCCTCTTTGCTGTGATCCGCGACTTCTCGAGGTTTGTAGTCCGCTAGATGACTGACGGCCTTGTCGAATCCGAGCTTCATATGCCGATTGCCGAGGATCTGCACCAGATTGATGAAGATCTGCTCGCTCTGTTCCTTTGCTTCTTCGCCAGACTGCCCGCCGAGCCTGACAAAGCGCGCAGCTCTCTCCAAGCTGGACTTCGCCATGTGAGTGAGGTTCAAGGCGACTTCAATGCTGAAAAGCGATCGAATGCCCTCTAAGCGAGAGTTCATAATGGCTGCCTTCGCCGCAAGCTCTGTCGTCGGTGCCTCCACTCGAGGCGACGGAGCTCGGTCACCAGGAACCGGCGTCCCTGACCGCGAAGTAGGCTCAAGGCTAGCGCTGCCATTTGCCATGGACGGGCTCGGGGCAGGCTTAGTCGTGGAACCTCCGATAGTAGGAAGCACGTTGACCGGCATCATGACCACCTTCTTGAACGAAGCCAAGAAATCTTGCTTCACAGCTTTCCGGTTGACGTTGGCCATGTAGAATGTCTCGGTGGTCTGCTCTTCATCTGCTAGCCGCTTCTCCCAAATATCAACCTCAGCTGCAGACTTCCGTGTGAAGAACGCAAGCTCTTCTTGTAGGTAGAGGTCGATGTGTTGCTCGAAACACCGGGATATTGTCTTGACTGTATCTTCCTGGAAGGTCGGTGGAGAAGCGCGCGTGGACTTCAACGAAATGGCGAGTTGCAGTGCTTGGTCGAAAACACCCGCGATAGCTTTCAGGTAAACCTCAATACTGATATCGTGCGCCTCATCCAGCAGAGTCGTGAGATACTCCGAAATGATATCCTCCGCCACCCTGTCCAGAAACGGCTGCATGACATCCACAGTCGGCGGAAACACGCGATCAATAACCCCCCGCCTCCTCATTCAGCGCAACCGCCAGCCCATGAAAGAAATCATGCGAAGGCTGCAAGCTCAACTGATTAGCCCCGAAATGCTGCAAGCAATCCGTCGGATTCCCCAGTTTCTCCTTCTCCAGCATCAACGGGTGATTGTGAATGAACGAATCCAAACACGCCGCGCCGCCATTCAGCGCAACCAAAACATTCGCAAAACGCTTCATGCGACCCTCGAAGTCCTTTTCCGCATACCCCTGCTCAAACTCTCGCAGCACTGCGTTTTCAAAAATCCCAATCATGGTATCCAGCTTTTCTTCGCGCTGGTACCAGCCCTGCGCGTAATCACTCTTCGCAAACGTCTTGAGCTGGGCGAGCATGTGCGCTTGCTGTTCGGGGTCGCGGTACGTGCGAAATAAGATGGGGTCGGTATGGCTTGTGGATCTCGACAGGTCGAAGTAATACGGTGCCAATGCGCCGTATACCTTCCCATACTCTTGCCTGGCCGCGCCTCTGATCGAGCGTACTCGCGACAGTACTTTCAACGCAGCCTGCGGGTCTATCATGGGTATTGCGTGCGCAGCGGGAGCCCCAGCCGGTGCCAATGACATGTCACTGAACCCTCTATCCAACGTCGTGGCTCGTGGTCGGGTTTGGTGGTCTTGAGAACTCCGCTGCATGTCCTCTTCCAACGCCGCGTCAAAGAGCGTCGTGCTGACTCTCGGGTGCCCATCTGCTCCAGGTGGAAGTCCATTTGCACCATTCAAGGCAACGCCAGCCCTCCGTGCCTCTTCCGCTTTCTGCGCCTCGAGTTTCCTGCGCATGGCCTCTTCGAAGCGCTTCTTTGCCTCGACGTCGTTCCAGCATCCCATGCTCTTGAGTCGTTGTATCCAGCGTGTGTCGTCGTAGACCATCTCTTGCATGCGCTTCGATGTGCGGGCGAATCTGAACATGTCGGCGACGGGCAGGTAGTCGAGGATTGTGTTGATCAGTTCTATGGCCATCAGCTTCAATCAATGATATGGATCACATAATCTCTCACCAGCAGGCAGGATTGCCTTCGACTCTGCCACAATCTCGGTGTTCCGTAGAGACGCCAGGAAAGACGGCTGCCCCTGGGGCACCGCCCGCTTGAAGTTCGATCTCGTTGCCATTGTGGAGGTTGAAAGTCTATGGTCGTATACTCTGTCTTTCCGTGAATGCTTCCTCCATGTTGTGCCGGAGGGATCGCGTGCTGTCGCTGCGGGAGGGTGCTGCGGCGGCTACTCGGTGGTGGTGGAGTTGTGAGGGTCCACAGCTCCGCGAAGCGTGAGCAGCATACGAGTGGTGCCCCGCCAACGACAATCCCCTCACCTGAACCTCTCGCACAGGTCATCTTTCTCTCATTACGACGTTTGTTTGGTGTAGAAATCTGATCTGATCATAACACTCGATGTTTGTTTCACTGTAGTTCATGCCTCTCTCGATTCGACCTCGGAAGCACGCAGCAGTGTCGCACGAGCTCGAATACTCGAATCTGAGGGGCTCAAATGCACGCGAGCTTGTGATACAGTACTTGAAAGGCGAAAAGGCATAGATGTCTGTTATTACTACTGATCTAGCTGAATCACCAAGTCCGCATCATTCGCCAATGACCATCATTATGGGATAGTAAATGCTCCAGGGTCCTCTCCGCCAGCCTGAGATCCAAGGCATAGCATAACCTACAAAACAGCAAGCAGCCCAGCAACAACAACTCCAAGGCCGAACTTGGTATCCGGAGACTGCGAGGAAGCCGCACCGGTGCTAACGGCGTACGACGCAGACGCACTGCTCGAGTCGCTGGTGGCCGAAGCAGTGCCGTTTCCAACAGACGACGTCGCAGAGCCCGAAAGTGTCACAGAGCCTGATGCCGCTGGACTCATGGAAGGTGTCGCAGAGGCCAAGCCCGCTGGCGCAGACGTCGCAACGCAAATAGGTGCCGTGTTTACTACAACGTTTGCAAGCTTGCACAGTGAGGCGGCGAGCTGCGTAGTGACTGTTACGGTCATTAGCCATGACACACCTTGGCAAGTATCTGATGGGGTAAACAAACCCGCAATGTCCGCCTGAGGACAGGTCGCGAAGATGCAGCACGACACCTTGTCGATTACGGCGGTATTGCCGCAGATGCACGCAAAGTCGGTGGCGCCGCAGCTGCCGAGACTGCTGGCGAAGCAGGCTTGCTGTCATCTTGTTTAGCATCGAAACGGTTTTGTGGAGCATGGATACGCACAGCACACTTCGGGATATCGGAGATGCCTTGGCCCATGACGGCGGCGCTGAGCGCAGCGATGGCAGCGAAGCTGAAAAAACGCATGATGGAAGATGTACTGAGAGTAGGGCTTGGAGATGTGGAATTAGGGATGAGAGATGCGCTTCTGCAAAGGGGATGCATCACTTCTTACGTCTCTGGTTCACCTGCAGGTGCTCTCCAGCACTGGCGGAGTTGGGCTTGGTTGGCATTCCAAACTTGGATATCATGATGTTGTTGTTGTTCTTGTAGCACTTTCCTCATTGACGGACTGGACAGATCCTCTACACATAATCACCTTCATCTTTGCGAATATGATAAATCAGACAAGCATGCGCAGAAGAGACATCGAATGCTCATTGTTTACTCAGAAGCATGTGTTGATGGCATGTCGTGGGGAACCGAAGCCATGCAGCTCGAAGCTCGCACGCTTCGGTACGTACCCGCTGTACCACTGCGGAAAGGAAGGCACGGGAGGGAATGGAGTTTAGCGCCGATCACTTTTGGCGTTGATGCGGGGATGCGCGCTGCATGCCACGCAGCAGCATGCGCGCGGAAGTGATCTGCTTGACGACAGACGACGCTTGAAACATTCTGTAGAAAGCATGCATGTGGCGATCAAGTCTGTCAAGAAACCCAAGATGTTCTAGACGTCGCAGACGTTGTAATCTTCAGCTATCTCGGTCGTGCTCGTCGCTGACGTGGAAGAGACGTCCTCTGTTAGAGGATACATTGACTGTGCAAGGACATGCCCAAGTCCAATGAATTCACTTCGGCCAGACTGCAAGAGCCGCGTGATGCTCTGAGGTCCTCGGCCCTTGCGATAAGAAGGCTGTCAGGATCAGGAGACGCGTGGAGGGGGCCTCTTGATTCGGAGCTTGGATGAGCACTCGGTTGCATCACGTCGGAGAGCTCAGCCCGGCTTTGTGAAGCAAGTATTTGCTTTGCCGGATGCTTCTAAATCGGTTCGGATTCATCAGCCTCACTTGGTTCGTGGCCGAGCCGACCTTGCGCTGAAGGACGGTCGCCGAAGGACGTGTGTCCTCCTGAGCTGATGGAATGGTGCTCGGAGGACCTTTGAATCTGCTCCGCCCTTTGGCAGTGCAACGGGCCAAACTGGTCCTGCTGAGGGACCTCAGTTGCCCTTTCTGTGTAAAAGAAACATGTGCATCAGGCAAACTTCGCCATCGCAGTCCTCTGCTCGAGGGGCAGTGTGTAGGCTCATCGCAGGGCTTCTTCACATGTCATCAGCCTCAGCTCAGCTGTCCAATCGCGCGCAGGTTCTCGCGAAGAGAGGGCGTTGGGGCGCAGGCGGGAAACATCTAAAGGGCACACAGGTGAGAGACGAGTATGGTGCTCTCCTGTAACAGACAGTCACCTGCAGCCAGCAATGTTGACTTTAGCGCGAGAAAGGGATGAAACCGCGGCTCGGTGGTCGACAAGTCGTGCGAAGCGTCGGCGAGAAGTGCTCGAGCACCATCCACGTCTGCACTGTACCTGCGTCTGCGCCAGGGACGAGATCCGACTGGCCAACACGTTGCACCCGGCGTGGCTGCTTGTGAACGCGACAACGTGTTTAATGAGCCACACGTGAGACCCTGAGGCCAGCGCATGGCGGCCGTGTGTGGGTCGGGCATGCCTTGAGACGCAATTCTCCACGGGTGACGTGCTATCGAAGTTAAGAAGTCGGCTAGAAACCGCGAGTAAGGGATCATGCTGGAACGGCGGCAGCGCGACGGCCGTTGCTTTTGACACAGCGGATGCGCACCGACAAATGCGAGTGAAGCAGCGAATGGGCTCCCATCCGCGCCCCCTGGTCCTCCAGAGGTCCTTCTCCACGCCCTTCTCCGTGGCTTATGTCACCCAGCCCTACCGTGATCATCGCAGGCCTGTGTTTGAGACACCGCAAGGTGAGGCGGGTCCACGATTGGATCTCCGTGTCACTTTGGCTGGGCTGTTTCGTCCTTTCCCCTTTGTGGCCACTGTCTGAGAGTCATCGCAACAGAAGCATTGCCTACAAGCTTCACTTGCTGAACAATGCTCGCGATGCGTGCCTGGCGGAAGGGCCACGCAGCGCATCATTGCGGGTTGCCCTCTGTAGCCCGTGTCTACCGCTGTGTGCCCCGTGGGCAGAGCTGTCAATATCGACGTCTACAAAGGCGTGTGAAGGACGTAGTGAACTTAAATAAATACTTGGCCTTGTTTCCTCGGTCTATTGTTACAAGTACTTGCACCATCGAAACCGCTATCTCTAAGTTTGCCCTTCGCAAAGTCTCAGACAACGTCTCACAACGACCTTTTTTAAGCTCCTGCACAACAGTTGATACCATATCCTCCCCATCGGATTCCCGATTTTTCAGACCGCAGCCATGAAGTCCGCAATGATGAAGTCCACCACATGCTACCGACCCAAACAGGGTGGAAATCCGGATGTTGTACAGCCCAGAGATGGCAACTGGTGTAAGTTGATTGCAGTCGTGCAGATGTCCTCCATGGAAGTTGTGACTAACCTACCAATTAGGAAGCTATTCGGCTAGTGGCCTGCTTTGGGAAAATGCAGCTTCCCGTCCGGCCATCGCGATCTCGTTCAATCCGACGCAGGGCGTCATACGTTTACCTCATTCCTCTTGCGACCAACATTTCCCAACATTTTCGAAATCGCGCGTTCTGTTATACCGCATCGCCAGTCTTTTCTGTCCTGGAGTCCTGGAGAACCAACGGCGCTAGCCGGTAATGGGGCCCGCGGACGATTACCTTTGGACCCCAAAGTGGAGGGCGCAGCAGGCCTCAGCACCCGCGAACATCGACTTCAACAGCGACCGGCGGCGGGCTGTGTTGTGCCGGTGAGCAAGGCTAGCGCTCAGGAGTCATCGAAACAGAGAAAGCAGGCGATTCGAAGGACCTGGGGCTACTCTTTATCGACAAAAGTGACTCCTAGGCGCCTGGAGGCTGCCTTGTGGTCCGCCGTTTGTGGCTCAACCCTGCGGCTGTGCTCCACCGCTAGACGACCTTCACCGCACGCCTTGTTAGGCACCGAACATGGGTTCACCACTTAGAGGGCCCCCACAACGACGCTTCTGCCTGAGGACAGTCAACCTAGTCTGCTGCTTTCGGCTACAATTTTGTGGCTTTGATCGCCCAAATGACAATCAAGGCGGTGGACTAATCGAGTCACCAGCGATCTGGTGTGAGATACGAGCTTCGAGAAGGGCGCTAGAAGCTTTGGAGCCTATCTGTCGCCTTGTTTATCATGCTCTAGCCAATTGGATTTCCGCCCCGAGGCGCAGCTTTACCTTCACCGAAGCCTGCCATTGGCATGGGTGGAGGAATTAATCTCCAATGGGTCTGCGTCATACCTGAAAGAAGGCATTTCGTTGCCTGTGCCTGAGCGGCGTCAGGTAGAAGGACGCATCTAAGGCACTTTCTGGGGTGGCGCTTCCGACAGGCCTCTTGGAGGCTCTGATGCAGACGGATACCTTATAAACCTGGACGCCATCTGCAGTGAGACATTCATCACAAACATCATTCAATCTCAAGCACACTTTACATCCACACACATATACGCCTCAGCCACTTTCCATTGCTACTGCCTGCCATAGCCTCCACAATCGACTATCTACCCGTCGACTTCAATCACCTACTTAATAACAACATGCGTTTCCCAAGCATGAACTTGAACAACTCCCGCAGCGAACCTCAACCACGTGAAGGCGGCGCTCCAAACCAACGATCAGCAAGACCTTCTTCGATGTCTCTTCGCAAGGACCCAAAGGATGCGCAGCCCCGTGACGGTGGTGGCTAATGCCCCGTCTCATTGTGTATGTCAATTGTTCGACTGAATTACTTGGCCAAACCTGACATCTTTAAGAATATCTATGGCACCTCAAGCCCATGATAGGGGGGATACACCACTACTAGATCTCTTTCTAGCCTGTGGTATCAATCAACCAAGAGCGTTGAGGCCCTCGTCTCAAGGGTCCTCCGAGCGCTCGCACTAGCTTTGGTTTTCTTCGACATCTCGGTCTCATCTTCGACTTAGCGACATACGGCGTTCTCCTCTCGGTTCAATTTTCCTTAGTTTCCGGATGCATCTTCGGTGTTTGGGTCTTATTTTTGGTGTACACTAGATGGATGGCTGTACAATATGGGGCATCGCGAGGATATTTTTGGGTTTAGGCATGACATAGAGGCAGTTGCGAGACATTGGGGGCCGTTCTCTTTCGCGCGCCGGCTGGGCGACGGTAGTGGAGGCCTTTCTCAGACTTGGGGGCAATTTTGTAGATTTCCATGTCTTTCGGTCTTTCGAATGACTTGTACGTTAGATATAGAAGGCTTTCGAGAGGAGTCTAGAACACGAGATGAGACGAGAGAATACAACCGATTGCATCAAACGCTCGATGCTTCCAAAGTTACTTCTTCATGCTCCCAATTGTCGTTCGTGAGATGCTACCTATTCCAGGCGAATCATTGCAAGCTGGTGCTGGAGGAACATTGACACTCAATGGCACGAGACGCCGCAGCAGCTGGTGATGGAGGTTGCCTGGTGTCCGCAGCGAGGCTTCGTGCATCCCACGCTGGCGCCTTCGGGGCCTTGGCATAGATAACAGCATTACAAACATAATTGCTTCTTACTCTGCATCAACCTCGAGAGCATATATCACTCTTGCATCGCCAGATCACGGAAATTCTTCAGTTGAACGGAATTCTCACCAAGCAATCTAGTTCATCTCAAAACCACAGTGTTTCTACATTTGAAGACACGCTCGACCTCCAATGACGTCGCTCGCGCCCAAACCACCCCGCCGCAGGGCTAAAGTTGACTAATGTAAACGCGGCATTGGAGTCAGACACGCGCACAACACGTCCCATTCCAAGGGCCCAAAGGGCAAGCGAACCGTCCAAAGCGCCCAGATGAGAGGCGGCCGGCGCATCGTGCCCAGGCGCGAAAATGTGACTGGCGCTGGTCATGCCGGACCACGAGACTCGAAGAAAGACGGAAATCTTTGCAGCGACGCAAGAACTCTTCATTTCCCCTAGACGGCCTTGGTTCTTGCGCCTCGTGCGGGCGGACAAGCCAAGACAGTGAAAGAGTTTCTTTGAGACTTGCTGTATAAGACTAGGCACTGACGGTCGCGTCATTTGTCGCAAAGTTCGTTATCACCCTTCTTGCACCTTGGCTTTGCGCTCGTTACACACTATTGCTCAACAACTGCTGCGATAAGGATTGCACATTCTTCGACGTCGTGTTAAGAAGAGAATTGCGACTGCTTCTTGTTGCGACACCTTAGACACAATGGCTACCCGACCCGCTGAACACAGCCGCGTGCTCTCTCATGGCCGTGGTGGTGCTGGTAAGCTACTCCTCCACTTGACATTCCGGGGGCTGGGCTTTGCCGAGTGTGCGCAAAGTGCCATTGTCCTCATTCAGGCTCCATGAAGTCCTTTCATACAGCGGCACAATTCATTTTCACGAACAATATACTGAAGTTTGCCAGGCAACCTCGCGAAGGATGACCCCACCGCCAACTACCCCAAGGCCGAAGACCTCACCACGCCCACGCTGAAGTCAAACACGTACACTACCGGTCGCGGTGGAACCGGCAACATGGCACAGAACGACCCAGAGCGACCTGAAGTAGCTCGCGCTGCTCAGGACGTCGAGGGCCCTGCTAAGGTCTCCGAGCCCAAGGGCCCTACACACTACGGTCGCGGTGGAGCTGCCAACATCATCGAGAAGAATGGCGAGCGCAAGAGCGGCGATGTTCGCAAGAGCGGTGATGTCAAGCGCAACAAGAGCGTAGAGAGCAAGGCTGAGGAGGCCAATGGCAATGGCAAGGGTGGACTGCTCGCAAAGGGCAAGGAGCTCCTGAACAAACTGGGCAAGAAATGAGCGTAGACCTGCTGTGGTCGAGGTTGACCAATCTCTGATCATGGGCTGCTTATGCGCGACATCGCTTGGTTGGCGAAGGCATGGCAGAGAAGTCTTGAGTTGATTTCATTGGCATGTTTATGATATCCCTTGCTGGAAAGTGTGATTTCTTGTCCGAGTTGGTGGACTGTCTCTACCTATTGAGTACCACGAGAAGTGGACTAATACATAATATCAACCTCTGCACGATCACATCTCCAAGTCGTTTTGAAATGGTAAGTATGCTACGACATGCTGAAGACAGACAGGTACACTTTCCACTTTACATATGCAATCCCGTCTTGATTTGCCACACATCCTGCAAGCTCGTGCTAGCTAGCATTGTTTCATCCTTGCTTCCACGTTCAAGACCCGCTCCACCGCAGAAGAAAGTCCCGCAGGATCGGCCTTGTGTAACGTCCGCCGCATTTCCAGCATCAAACAAACGCTATCGTTTCGAAGCGAGAAACTCGCCCGATTCCCACATAATCCACCGGCAACAAGCAAGCGCACCTGCATTGTGGGGTATATCCTGTGGGGCGACGGCCTTCTCTTATAGAGAGCGTGCATCTCCGCGTACCTTCCACGCGAGCTGCTCTTTCCGCATTGACATACCGACATACCACGGCGATCTTCTTGGATCGGTCAGCATGATATCTCAGGATCGAGGCCCAAGCACCAAGCAGATCCTACACTGGACTAGAATTGATAGCGTCCCGCGCTTTCCTCCGATTCCGACAGACTGGATATCCAATCACAACCCACATCCTGCAAGAACGTCACCGGGCGTTAGTACTCCAAGCCTTTGGTTAGAGGAACTTCGCGTGGCAACGTGGACATTGCAGGTCGCGTAGAGGCGTTCGGTATCGTCGATATGACCACGCCGCCATCGCCTACAACGACCTTCCACAAAGAGCCATCTCCTGCTGCTGTTCACATGGGAAACACCGACTCAGGAAACTCGCCATGGCAGCCCAACGCCCCGTTCGTAACGAATGCATGCACCTGTGGTGTAATCTGCTGCACATCCCTGTACGACCAAGTGCCTATGTCCATCTCCTAGGCCCGGCAAAGTTACTTGCCTTGCGCGCTTGTCCGCAGTGTGGCATATAAGTCTTCTATAATACCGCCTGATAACGCGGGGCAGTTTTGCTTCGTTGCCAACCAGAGTCACTGTGGCTGGACGTGTTTCTATGCCATTGGATGGACGCTCGTGTTTGAAGATTCTTGCGTCGAGTGGAGCTAATTTGCAAGCGGGAACGGTACCCGGGAGAGCTGCTTGAGGGTCGGGACGTGGCCGCGCTTCCGCACTGTAGGGTATAATACTGGCTTGTGTCGTGACCTGGCCTGGTCGGTGGCCTTACTTCTATCTCATCCTTAGAGCCAGTGGTTGGTATATTCTCGACCATGTCGGCTACACAGACGGAAACAGTGACAGAGAGCTGGGTTCACTACCATGATGGAGGTGTACCTGGACGACGTCGTGTCTTGAAGGGCAAGGCTGCGAAAGAAACGTTCAACGAAGTACCAAAGATCGACTTCCAACGTATATACTCGGATAAACTGGAAGATCGGAAAGAGCTAGCAAAGGAGGTTGGCGATGCTTGCCGGAGCGTTGGCTTTTTCTACGCAGTCAATCATGGAGTAGACGAGGAGATGCTCAGCGACACATTCAAGGCTATGGAGAAGTTCTTCGGGCTACCGAAAGAAGTCAAGATGGAGATACACAACCAAAAGACGGAGAAATTCAGAGGATACGAAGCATTCCTAGAAGGAAAGCTAGATCCTAGTACACGAGGAGGTCAGTCACACCATCCTCCACCTCATTATCAAAGCTTACTGACACGCGTTAGATCTCAAAGAAGGATTCCTCATGGGCGAAGACGCCACGGACGAGGAGCAAAACCGCCCTATCACACCTTCCACATCCAAACCCCGCAACCAATGGCCCACGCACCCCTCCGCCCTCTTCTGGCGCCCCGCCATCTACCGCTACTACAACGCCATGTACACCTTCAGCAAACGCATGCTACACATCTTCGCTCTCGCCCTCGACCTTCCCGAAGACCACTTCGATCCCATAACCACACACCCCATGACCAACATCCGCGCCGTACACTACCCGCCCCAAGAAATCGACACCGATGTGGGGATCGGCGCACACACGGATTTCTGCTGGTTCACGCTCGTGTGCCAGTCTAAAACCGCGTATCCCGCGCTCGAGGTACTCAATGGCAATGGCATATGGATCCCCGTGCACCCGCAGCCCAACACGTTCGTCGTCAACATTGCGGACTTTTTGAAACTTGTGACGGGCGGCAGGTGGCAGAGCACTGTGCACCGCGTGCGGAATATCGGCGGCGAGGAGCGATATAGTATCCCATTCTTCTTCAGTCCGAATGAGGATGCGAAGGTCAGTGTGATTGGGCATTTGAGGCGGGAAGGGGAGAGGTATGAGGAGTTTGTCGTCGGCGAGTATTTTCAGAAGAGGTTGGGGATTGATCGCAGGACGCATTTGGAGGATGAGAAGAAGCAGGATAGCGGTACTGAGTGAAGTTGATCCTCCCCCTAGACCAGTTTTCGGGTTCATGTGTGTTTACAAGGAGAATCGCATTAGTGAAAGAATGAATCTATCATCAAACACAACTATGCAAAAAGAAACCAGTGAGTTTAGGAAGGGCCCAACGCCGTGGTTTGACCTCGTGACAGCAAAAAGAAAACCAATAGTAAGAGCATAACGGCCAACGACCATGCTATCTGTCCTCCAAGGATATGTATCATTTACGCCAAGGCGCAGACCCTGTCAGGCATATAAGGCGGATACCAGTGGGTAATGGAATACTTGAAAATTATTTGATACATAGTTTCGTTCATGGTTAGCTGACGCAAAGGAGAAATGAGCTGAGATCGTCGTCTCACAGTACCCACAGAGTTTTCATTGTAGATTTCCCTCCACAGTTTTCATTCCTTCATATTGTCTCTGGATCCTTAGTTCATCTACCTTCGGGCTTTCGTCACGTGAGGCACGCCTTCGGCTTGCAATCCTTTCGCTATTGCTGAACCAGCAGGGCACCATTAGGACGATATATATACTCGCCGCTGCGACATGCCGATAAGTCTTCCCATCCTTTATACAAATCCCAACACCTCAACTCGGCTATCGGTCCCACCATGAGCATCCTCTCCGTGAATATGGGCGACCAGCCAGTCAGTCCGCAAGGCTCTACGGACATAGCTGCAGACATAGGTTTGATAGTCATCAGAGATGCATTCCAAAAATTCCGTGCAGTCGCGTCTGTTAGCGATGGCCACATTGCCATTCTCTAGCACTTTCGCAAAGTGTTGGTGGAGAAATGAAGACTGAGAACGCCCTCATGACTGAAAAGCAAGTGTTCGCGCAGTAATTTGATTCAGCAATCAAGTGATAGCTGCTCTGCACTATACGCAATCCGTGCGTACGCGACGCATAGCCGTAAAACTTCACGGCATATCGTCTCGCTCTGAATTGCATGCTACTATGTTGCGATCGAAAGGTAATCGCGATGATGTTCCTGTGCTTTCGGTTGGATCCGGCCTTGGAATATATTCGGAACGCGAAGCTCACACAGTACCATGGGATTTCCGCGACCGAGTCCTTATTGCCTTGTACGAAAATATTATATCCTTTGCGAAGCTTCATCTTCTTCTGCTCACATGACACAAACACCGAGTTCCTACATCCATCACAATGGCATCAGCTATCCGCAGCTGCCGTCTCCCCAGGCACTCGCTTCTCCACGACCACTACCGATCTACACCACATCAGCCCCTTCAGCAATCAATTCGCCAATCTACCCACGCGATGCTGCATTACAACACGTTCGAATACCCAAATCTCCAAACACGGAACGACCTTGGAATCACCAAGGCCCACACTCAGGCCTGCATGCAGGAGCTCAGGACACAAATCAGAGGTTTTGAGGACAAAGTCGAAGCGCTTCAGGGCGACGTGAGAAATTTGAACATAGATGTCGCAGTGATGAAAGAGCGCAGCATCTGTCGCGAATGTCCTTGGATCTATGTAAGCTTGAATATGATGTCAGTGGTCCGCAGTCAAAAGAGCTGGACACGACAGGCAAGTAACTTGTTTTGAAATGTAGTTGGTTGTGATTGCGATACCTAGTATTGTATCTAAGTCCCCGTATTGGGGCAATTATTAGCATGAGTGACTAACGTGAACAGACTACGGTCGCTTCGCTTTGAAGAACGGGTCAATCCCGCTCCGATTGAGCTATGCCCAATAACAATGCGGGGTGTCGTATGTTTCCCTAAGACCTCCCACGTTCAGCTCTTTCTCAATCGTCATAAGCGTGCTGTGGATGAGTCGAAAGATACTCTTGGGCCCTCAGCTCCCTGATCCGACACTTTTCGCTGAGAGCTTCCCACCACAGTGAGTTATACCTTTTCAAGTAGAACACGGTTATGGGCCGGGTATGGGGATCCGAAACAGCCCAACAGTCTCCCATGTAAACATGATATATGGTGAGAATCTGCCTCGATAGCAGCTGATTCTCGTCGGGGCCTTCGAAGATCTTGTGCGCGGTCGAGATGAATTCGGAGACTCCCATCGGGCGAGACAGGACATCGATGGGTATACCCACTTGGCGATCACGGAGCAAGCTCTGTGCCAACGCGTCGGCTTGTTCTGCGACAGCTCGTGGTGGCTGAAAGGTCGGTGTCGCAGTGTTCGTCCTGTTGGTATGTGAGACACTATTTAGATGAGTTTCAGCACGTAACGTACCTGCCCGTTGCCTCCATCGCCCTCAAGAATATTAGCAGGGCCTCTGAAAGATCACTGAAGATCTGGTGGCATTGCTCTAGGATGTTTTCGTCTGTCGGGTAAGTCGCTTCTTCAGCAGCGGACAGGTTTCCTAAGCTGCCGCGAGCGTCCTGTTGTTGGTCGTTGTTGGCCATGCTGGTTGATTTATGTGTTGGACGAGTAGGGGCTTGAAAGAGGGAGAAATATATAAGGGTAGGGAATGGAACCGGAAAGCTAGTGTCATAAGCGCGCCGCGGAATATCGAAGAACGCGGTCATTGTGGGCGTATTCACTCGTGGAAGCCTAGAGTTCCACACTATTCTTGGACCAAGATAAGAAAGACCACATGAGCTTCAGTATACCTTCAGTGGACCAGAACACAGCATTTGTACTTAGAGAGGAAAGAGTAAAGTGGAACAGCCGACTGTCGTGGTGCGCTTTAGATTGTACGAGACTTTCAAGCTTGTCCATGAGAAAAGTACCGCACGATAATACGACCGACCGCCTATGTAAGCAGAGGAAGGAGTCGGTATTCGCATCTTCTGGCTCAATCCGACCTTCCATGCTGCTGCCTTTGCTTCACACACCTCGATAGGATATCATTGATTCGCGCACGGAAGTTATCGCTAATCTTACAATACTCAGCATTGCTGTCCTGCTCAGAACGTACGCTGGAACTCTCCCTTGAGCAATACCATGCCATTTCGTGAGTCGTAGAGATACTCCTTAAGGTAAGGGATGTCGTAAAACTCCGGATTGAATATGCCGTCTGTCCCCGACGATTTTCTACGCTTCATATATGCACTAACCATGAGCATTGCTTTGATCAAAAGAATCGGCAAATCGGAAGCGCCCACGATCCACTTCACAGCCTCTATGAAGTCGGAGATCGGCAAGGTGGGTTTTAGAAGCTCCAAGACACCACAGATTGCAGGAAAACGTTTGTCGTTGTCATCCTGCTTGTTTGCTTGTATGACGAGACAAGCGTGCAGTCGGAGAGGGTGAACATGGGCAGGCAAGATACATTCTGCGAACTCGGTGGTCTATCAGTCAGTGGTTAGACAGAGAGAATGTAATCGATAGGGCTATGGCAGAAGCAGAGGTTCAGAGGTCCACAGAAACTCCACGAGGACGTTGACTGATGTTTAGTACAACTCCAATAAGCGGCTTCGGTATCTAGGCAACTGATTTGATAATTAAGTTTGTAAGAAGAGTGTCATGACATCGTGATGCCACTGCGTACGCGACATGGGTTGGCTGTGTCGTGCTTGCCCGATTTCGTCCTAGCGCGGAGGAGTAAACAATTATGGCAGCAGCAACCACGGTTTAGCAACAACCCAAACTTTTCAACCCTCCTCCGAAAACTCGAATTTTCTCAGCTTTTTTCAGTGGGACGCGCTCACAATGGCTGAGCGCTCACATCTCACCATCAATCTCGATTATCAACGCCTTTTCGAAGGTCCTTGCGTATGACCTCATGCATCTCGCAAACATGAAGCGCCCTCAACCCAGCACTGCATGAAGCGATTCGTCGCCTGAATCGCACAAAATCCCAGCTGTAGCACTCCCGCGGTGAGTCACATATCTCGTCTTCAAATTCCATTTGCACTCTTCCATGATGACGAGGCCTCCTCTTGTTGGTCTAATCAACCACAAGTGCGTCTCTCAGATACTTCGCACAGAGAACCCCCGTCAGGGCGGTTACGGTGTGCGATAACATAAATCTTCTGATCTCAGCTATACCACATTCATCGTTCATTGCTCACAACATGAGAGTACATGCTGACGTTCCATAGGTGCTCTGCCGCTATGCGCTCACATTCGATTTGCGGTCGAGCACGCGCGCTGTACCATGGTTTGAGCAGTTTCTACGCGACGGCTGATCGCCTGTCGGTGCCAGAATCCCAAAATGTCTCCACGATAAAGCATTCGTCTCGGTCTGGGCGCGACTTCCCTCTTCCTGCTGGAGTACTACGCGTCGTGAGCGGGACGTTGCGTCACCAACTCACCTTCTACGTTGTGATCCATCACTCTTGACCACCTCCACCAGGTATGCAATATCTTCTGCCATCATCTTACATTTCTATTTCATATACCCGGCTGCAAAGGAGTACGAAGTAGGTTCCCCATACCTGCCTTCCCTCCGTCACCCGACACAGCCCACACCAAACCCCAATCCAATCTCAAGAAGAGAAGCAGGCACGCCTCAAGTGGTGATCCCTGAGGCATGGGGCAGCCTTCCTGGGTTTAGACCGGCGTAGGACAAGAGAAGCTAGCTACGCACTTTCAGGGTAGTGATTGTGGAGAGGGGACGCTGTTGTATCTTTCCGCCTCGTTGTGGTAAGAAGGCTCAGCTACCCTATGTAGTACATTCAAACTCCCCAGCCTGCTTCTTTAGCATCATCATGTTAGGTTAGGGCCTTGGTTCGCTTTCAGTTGCGTTCTTGAGATTGGGCGACGGAAGATAATTCCAGGGTGGCTGGACCCCTACCCGGGTTGTCTTATTCTGCTGCTGTTGGTCTTCTGACGTCGTACATTACATTGATCATCGTTGTTGAGTTATCACCAGCTAACTTCCTTGTTTCTCCTCGCTAATCAGTATCTAGACTCGACGTATCGCAACATACTTTGTAGAGGCTGCCGCTCGCCAGAAGCTACTTCGTTCCAACAGCCATGCCCACTACGAGGCCACTACAACTCAGAAACCACGCATCTCAGAAGCCAGTGCAACCCCAAAGGCTGCAACAATTCCAATCCCACCACAACGTAGAGGCCACAACAATGACAACACTCATCCAGCTTAGCCTCACCTCAACCTCCAGTAATCTCCCCATCCCATCCCCCCAAAAGCCGTTATACAGCCTTACCCGTCCGTCCCACGTCCAAACCTTAACCTAATCCGCGACTCGCGACTCGCGTCCCCGGCCCCGAAACCACTACCGGTAGCTCCCGCACCTTCTTGCTTTGCGCCACGTCGCGCCTGTCGTATACATCTGACTCGAGGGCGGGGTTCAAGGGTGGGTAGGTGGGATGTTGAGGTAAACAAAACACTTCACTCCTGCTAGACATGTGAATGTGGGCAAGACGTAAAATATTTGTCAATTGTATGTAATTTGTAGTGTTATGTAGTTATGTTTAAATATGTCTTTGGCTACTCACCCGCGTCCCCCGGGTTTTCATCCTGTATCCGTATCCAAATCCCATGTGTCTAGAAGTTACATTTACATATGTAGAAAAGCGGCAACAAGTATGTGACAGAAAAGAAAAGAAAAAAAGGACGGTGTTTGCCCCCACGCTCCGTAAATGCTCCAATGTGTTGAAGAAAGGAAAATGCTGTCTCGCTGGCTGTTGTTGGTGTAGCTGTAGTTGGCTGGTTGGTATTACGACAAATAGATGCTGCGTGAAATTCGTGTTTGGTTCGTCGTCCTCCTCTCTTCCTCTTACAACACCTCTCCTCCTCCTTCTATGCTTGCTTCCCCGCCTCGTACACTCTTGCCATGAAATCCTCCATCTCCGTCTCCACGCTCTTATCCCTGAGTACTCTTGCAACATCCTCGGCACTCCCCTCGATACAACTCCCCTCAAGGATCCCCATGACCGCAACCGCCACGCGCGGTGGAATCTTATCGCCCTCGATGGCATACACGTCCATGACGCGCGCGGCGTGTTCGACGCCAAGTCTACTGCAGAACAAGCTTCCGAACATATCTGCGAGATATTCCCGTGGCTCGACGCGCAGGGATTCCAGGCGGGATGCGAGTGAGGGATGTTTCTTCGTGAGGGCGTGGAGCGTGGTGGAGTAAGCGGCGTGCATGGCGTTGGCATCCTGGACGAGGAAACTCAGCGGGAGGGCGCGATTGAGTAAGTTTGATAGCGCGATGAAAGCCGCAGGCGCGGGGAGGTTGAGGAGTAAGAGCGCGGCGATGTGTTGGATGCCCATACTACTCAGCACACCACTAATATCAGGGCGGTACGTCGAGTAAGCGAGGCAGATGTTAATCAGGTCCTGATGAAGCGGCTGGTCTTTTGCGAACATTTTGAGTTCGGGCCAGACGGACTTAGTGCCGTCGGTGATGTGTTCTGTGGTATTTGCTTTCTTGAGAGCGATGTGGTAGGTGGCTTCGCTGACTTCGAGATCGTTGCCGATTGCGAGAGTCCAGACTTGGCCGCGTAACCGGGGGGGAATGCCGTTCCACCACATTTTGCGGTGCGTGGCGCGGAGGGCGGGGTTGTCCATTTCGGTCGCCCAGTTGGGGAGAAGGAGAGTGGACCAGTATTCTGCTTTGACGCGTGTGGCTTTTTCGCGGGCGAGGGCTTCTTCTTGGACGCGTTGCGCTTCGAGACGTTCTGTGAGATGTTAGACTGACGCAGCATTTCATTCCAAGTTTGTTCAGCGTACCAGCTTCCTCTATGCGAGCCAACATTTTCTGGTACTCTTTGAGGTGCTTCTTCTCCTCCTTGGGGTTCTTGGGCGGAAGCCAAGACGGCCGTGTGCGCGACAGATACTTCTGCTTCTCGGCTGATGGCTGGAACGGGTCGATGAGTGGATCGCTCTTGCGGACGGGAGGTAATACGGGTTTCTTCGCTTTCGGCTCGGGCTGATTCAGCGAGGCTGACCTCGTGAGTCCGGGTTGTTGTAGCTTGACTTCTTGCTTCTTCTCAAACTCGGTCTGGAACACCTCCAGCGCTTCTGTGAGGACCTTCGCATCCGTGTCGAGAGTTGTGTGTATTTTGGTCCCAGGCATTCGCCGGCTGCCTTGCCAGCTGTGTAGGTGGAGAGTTTCCTCTCGTCGACGGCGCAGGCGAGGGGCGAGGCGAGGGCCGTGGCGAGGGCCGTGGCGAGCGTCGTGACCTTGAAGGCGCAGGCGAAGGTTTCCTCGACGCTGGCTGAATCTGACTTGCAACGTCTGGGTTCGGAGAGGGCATGCTGCCACTACTTGATGGTGTCCGCTCTTGCACTGGTCGTGGAGAGATGGGGACATTCCAGATAAATGCATCCTCTGGCAGCTCGTCGTCTCCCTCGTCATCGCATTCCGCCTCCCTTTCCTTGACTGTCTTGCGTTTCGCGTCCTGCCATGACTGCCTCCGAGCGTTTACCGACGGCGACGGCAAGACGTCCATATTCCGGGAACTCTTCCGTGACAATGTGCGGGGTGCTATGGGCGATTTGGCAGCGCTCGAAGGCGAGGGAGAGCGCGACGAGCGATTTGGGGCGGCAAGGCCCAGGGTGGTCAGGGTAGGCGCAGACGGCGAGGTGAAGCCTCTCCGCAACTGCTTGCCTGGCGCAGCAAGCTGAGTTGGCTGTCGTTGTCCCGCATTGCTGGTCAAGCTCGGGTATCTTGATTTGGCAGTGCTCGTCAGATCGCGGACCGAATGGTGGGCTGGATGATTGTGCGATAAGCTGCGTCCGCCGGAGGTAATGGGCCGCGAGGCTTCAAAGATGACGCGATTTGACGGGCTCAATGGCAAAGGAAAGGCAGACGGGCCACTCGATGCTTCGTCCAGGTTGATGTCCTCGAAGTGGGAGAGATTGCTCAGGTCGCCGGGCCCAAAGTCGGAATGGTTCGAAGAGTGGAAGCTGCTCGACTTGGACGACTTGGAGTTGGTGAGATCGGGCGGGCTGCCCGGCGGGCCCCCAAAGGACTGGTGGCCATCTTGCGACGAGTACGTGAGGGTCGCCATCAGCGGTCGGGGCGGTCTGCGGCGGTCTGACAGCGAGAGGCTTGTTGGTCGTCTTGCCTTGCGGTCGGTGAAGAAGTGCGCGTACGAGTCGCGTTTGGGGAAGCAGTTCAAGGAGTGGACGTAATCATGCTCGGATATGATATACAGGGCTCGGTGGTGAGCAATAAAATGCACTCCGTCGTCCGGACTGTGGTTCTCGCCAGCGTCGGGGTGTCGAAAGACGGTGGACGGCATGTCGAATCAGGGGGCCTAGCGTGCTTTTCTGGAGATGTCCGTCCGTTCACATCCCTGTACGTCAACCGGTACCTGCCCTTGGCCTACGATTGCGGCTAATTGGCCTCACGAGTTTGATTGCAAGCAAAGCGGGCGACGAGTGCGGCGGGGGACGGTCTGAATGATATGCTGCAGAATCTGGGGGAAACTGCTCTACACTACAGACCCGCGCATGGCGAGACAAACAGGTGCAACAAAGCAATGCAGGGCCACCGCGGGCAGGGCCTGCCATCCATGATATTCTTCTCACTAGGCGGGCGGCTTTACTGCGTCGACGTGAAACCGCCCACAGAGTGGCTGGTGTGCCAGCCCGTCTGCAGCGCTTGACATCACCACCACCACGCCCACCCCCGTCATTAACACACTTACCCAATCATTAACCTCCACTAATAGAAACACCACTTATCGTCGAGTAGCACCAGCGACCACAATCGCGATTGCCAAAGGCGGAAGCGAAGCAGGATTTTGTGCGACCGCTGTGCTTCGATCCGTCACTTCCACCGGTCTGCAGGCCAAGGCGCCGTCTCCGTTGGGCGTGCAGCTTGAACGTGTCGGCCTGCCGCCGCTACTTGTGCCACCCTAGCAGAGATCTTGATGTCGACAAGCCAGAGTGTCGCCTCTACTTGCTGCTTGCAAGCAGTTGATCAGCAGTGATCGCTACGTGTGGGCCATTTGCAGTTGCATGCATATCATTGTCTATTGATCGCGCAGTCGAGCAAGCGCCTCTCGTGCTCGTCCGAGATGCGCGCCGCCTTGAACGCCTGCTCCAACCAAACCAACAGTGCGCGATGTTGTGTCTGTTTCCGTTGAAACACCGAGAGAAAAGCCTTGCAGGCGAGCCTACCGATCGTTAGCATCGTCGAAGAACGTCAAACCCCGCAGTGTTCACGTTGCGAACCATGGCTCGCGTTCCGGCGTGTCGCGAGTCGCGACCCCACGAAATTTGAGACGCCGCACTTACCATTGCAGGTGTCGGCGCGAGATGACGCTCTGAACGGCGCTTTTCGGCCTGTCGCTGCGCGAGCGTGAACGCCGCTGAAGCATTACAAAGGCTAGCGCGATGATGCTGTCAACCGTTTCTGTAGTTGTTGAGTACGCTGGTCAGCACATAAACTTGGTTTCCGGAAGTCTTAGCCGCGATCGCCCATGCAGTAACCTTGCACCCGCTTGATCAGGTCGGCTCTTGGGAATTGGTTCCTGACTGGCCCACTCTGCATGTGCATTCCACGCTTTGGGCGACCATTTGGCGTCTAGGGAAGAGTATTGACGTACTGATAAGCACACTTGAACAAGTCGTCCGCACTCTAGACAGCACGCGCACATATTCAAGGCATCTCACCGCCGCTTCGTGGAAGCTTTGGTACAGGTTGCCAAGTATCGTTGACACGCTGTTCAGCGATGCATCGATGTACATGGCCTTGAGCTGGATTTTAAACGCGCTATTCCGAGTCAGTACACGACCAATATTCGCTTCCCGCCCTGGGGCCCACAGCAATGGATGGGTCAAGTGGATGGCCGCTCCTCCCGGGACGATGATGCTGGTATAGGGTGGGGAACTCACTTGAGAGCCTTGCGATGGAAGGTCTGGCCAGGCATTTTTGCCAGATCGACAGTCAAAGAATCTTCAACATCTGGTCCAGATTAGCTCCACAGTCACACTTCTCCACTATCAACGTCAACTTACCAGTCCTTGCAGACCGCTCACTCTTCTTGTTGACCTCGAGCGTAGTTGTGTCAATGCAAACTCCACAGTATGGAAATTTGCTGTCCGAGGCAGCTTTGGGTATGCAGTGGCCAGTTTCTGTAACAGCGTCGAAGTTTGCCAGCGACTTTGATGTTTTGACAACGACCCCATATTCAGGATGCCCTCGATGCATTACCCGAAGGAATCGTTCTGCATGTTGCTGTTTGATCGTGATCAGAAGGAAGTCATCCAACAGTCGCAACAGTAAGCAGTCATCGCCGAGCGCGAAGCTGAGGACGTCACGCTCAAGCTCTGCGTAGAAGAAGTTGCACAGAATACTTGATAGAATCGAGCCCTGGGGAATGCCCTGCTTCTGTCTATAGAACTTCTTGCCAATCTTGACCAGGTTGCGCTCCACATGCTCACGCAAAAGTCGCATCAGGTCGTCCTTGGTCTCCTGCTGCTGCAGATTCGTATTGACGAAGACTGTATTGGATTTCAGTCCGACGAACTTGTTCTGCACAAGCTGCTGAAATGAGGCCATGTCTTTTGCCGCGCCACTATGAGCGACATACTTCTTCACGGGCAACGGATCAATGTGCTGTCCGTCTAGCTTTTGCAAAGCACCTAGAGGGCTAATTTCAACGTGCTTGCCCGTTTGGTACGTTTGCATAGACATGAGGCTCTCGACCATTGTTAATAGCCGTTGCTGTGGTATGGTATCGAAGCATGTTTGTACATCAACTTTGGCGAAGTAAAGTGGGCCTTGCTCAAGATTGCGCTGTTTCAGAGACGCCTTGAAGGCTGCCAGTTTGGGGAACATATCTGTCACAGAAAAAAGAGAGCTCCCGAAAACGTTGGGTTGAAGTGACTGGTGGACGTTAGTGGCAGGAAGATGCGGAACAATGAGGCAGCACTGACCTTTTCGTAGGTAACGACATTGAACACTGGTGTCATTACCGAATTAATACTGCGACCAAGAGACGTTACCCCATTTTTGACGACTTGCTGTCTCCTCTTGAGGTTCATTATCGTTCGAAAGCCGTGACTTTTTGGCAACAGTCGGATCTTGCTGAAGCCGAGCGGTCGCATCGACAACAGTTTTGTTGTACGCTCCGTAGGCATGTGCTCGAACATGCTTGACTTCAATGCCGTCAATGACGACTCGGTGAGCATGCGCCAGACATCATGACGGAAGTAGAAAAGTCTGTTTCTGTGCACGTTTGATTCTGTAACATGAAAGTTTGAACGAATCAGAGGTATGAGAAAGGAATCGAATAGCCAATAGACAAACTCCAGTAGCAGCTCTTTTCTTTTCTCAAAGTCTGACTTGGCTAGCTTGGAGGTGTCATGCTGACCCGGTACATGGAGCCAGGTAATGGATGTAATCTGCAAGTCAATCAACATGAGACATGTCAGGAGACAAGTGACAAATTACCTGAAGCTTTTGTGTAACTTGGTGGAGATTGAGGCTTTCGAATCTTCGCAACGAGATGAATTGGTCTACCCAGTACATGATGACACGCTTGTTGCTTTCGTCGCCCCAAAAAGCATTTGGTATGACCCTTGCCACCACGGCACGGCAGAAAGCCGAGACATCAGCAGTAGAGCACGCCATGTCTGTGAAACACGCCTGCTCAGTCGAATTGTCGTTTTTAGGGCCAGTCATCAGGTTACTCTCATTCGGACTGTCAGTAGAGGGACCGCTGTTCTCGGAGTCTGGTCGAACGTTGTGTTTTCTCCATTCGGGCTTGGATGAGAGTGGCAGGGTCTGTCGCGTTAGCACGGCCGTCTTGCAGGATTTGAGCACCATACGTACCTCGACAGGACAATAATGGCGGAGCAGCTCAGTGTACGAACATCGATGGTTCAAGGTTCGCATTCTGTCTATCAGCTCCACAGTAGCACCACGCAGACGCTTTGGTACACGCGTTTTCCACTTTCTCGTCTCTTCCGGGTCAGTGGCCTTGTCACCAAGGGCTCTACACATGCTTTGGTGGATCTCTTTCTCACGCAATGTGTAGTCCTTGAAGGGCATGGCAGTCTCTCGACGATCGACCTTGGACGTAAATGCATTGTGTAGGCCAAACTGCCTGGGAAATATGTATCGTAGGATCAGTATCGTCTGAAGCTGGTCGCTCCGGTCAGACAATCGATTCAGCACGTCTTGTGGTAGTGTTAGTTTTGACGCATGACTCCAAACCATGTGGCAACTAACGGATGTGGCGCATGCCAAAGCGAACTCCTCCTTTCGCATTTAGTGCTGCCTTTGCATACAACATGCGACTGCGGACAAAGGTGATGGCGCTAGGGCTCCGATTCTCGCCATGCTGGTTCAACGGGACACTTTTGGTGGGTTGATTGGTTTCATTGTGCAGCGTTTGTTCTTTCTGTTTCTCATCTGGCTTCAAGTCTGACATGGGTATGCCACTGAGCTGAATGTAATTGCCGATTCCACCAGTGACAGGCAGAAAGATGGCGCAGTCCAGAAGCATGTCGATGATGATACGATCGCCACGCTGGCCGAGCAAAGCAAGTAGTCTGCACCATGTCGGCTCTTTCAGCGTGCGCACATGGCTGTTCGGTGACCGTTCGACCAAGCCAGGCACAGAGGAAGTAGGCTCGCCATGCTCGTTGTGTGTCCGCCCTGCGTGGGCAGCGCGTTGGAAGCCGTGGCACAGCAAGTGCGATGGCTTGTGAGCTGTCGATCGCCGGAACAAGAGCCATATCACAAAGTCTACGACCTATGTTCATTTAGTCACCAGATCTGGCTGCACAGCCACGTGCAGGGCTGTAAGACGGTGCCGTGCGCTGCTTGACCTACCTCGCTTTGCAGAAAATAACCAGACTTGAAGGTGCCGCCTGAATTGCTCTGCGAACGCTGCTGGGTGAAGCTCTCGAGTTCGCGGTCGCGGTCGCGTTCTTTGGCCTCGTGTTGGATGTTCCCGGGCTCTGCATCTGGGACGCAGCCAATCAGGGCCAAGTCCAGCAGCTGTCCCAGTTGGACGTCAAGATCACGTGTTGGGGCATCGTCGTGAGCGGATGTCGCCAGTCCGAGCTGGGCTATGCGGCGCCGCCTGCCCTTCGAGGACTTGGGCAGTCGAGATAGTATATGGTGGCGTAGAGTCAGGACCTGGGGGTAGAGACGCCGCAGCACTGGATGGTCAGGGCCAGGTGGTGAGGCCGAGGCAGGTTTGTCGCGCCTGGCCTTCTTGCGAGGACCCCCACTCGCATGCGTCGCGGGTTTTCTCTTCATGTTGGCGGCGATGCATCGATGGGCCTGTTATCTTGGATGTTGTTGATACTGGTTGGTGTCCCGAAGGAGGAAAGCGCGGACGCGAGTGCACGCGCAATTGAGTTTAGGAGGCCGTGAGGGTTTTCAACGGTTCGTCTGGTCGCCCAACGCTCAAGTATGTGCCATGTCACGTTATGGTGTTGTCTTTTGAGGTCTTGTCGTCCCATGCTGGCCCATCACACTGCGGGAGATGCGAGTCGTAACCCGTGTCTCTGGGCGCTGGGCGATCGCGAACCCTGCGGATTCTTCGCTGCGCTAGGTCACAGCTTGATCCTGGCATCGCTGGGGAACACTTCCGCAGCAGGCTCGCGTCGAGCAAGCCCCCGTAATCAATAAATGCCATCGCTGCCGGTACACCTGCTGCTGCGCCGCGGGTAGTCGTGCGCTGAAGGTCAATCAATCTCCTGTGCCCTTGCAGCTCACAGTGATCCCTCAGTGCGACGTCAGCCCACAGCGCCGTTGTCCCGCGCCCATAGGTACAGTGGCTGCCTGCCACGGTCAAGCTGCTTGACAAGAGTGTACCAGTACCAGACGTGGAAGTGTGGGCCAAACTCCGGTAGATCTCCCACGACAATCACTGACCTCGCTCCCACCTCTGCCCTGCCTACCCTGTCATTAGCCCTCTGTCTGCCATCCTTCTCAGCCTCTCCCTGCTCTCCGCCATCCGCGCTTCTCTTCGCGCGCCGTGACTTGGTGTTCGGCCGTCCAACTCGCATCCGGCTGAAACAACACGCTGCCGGCGAGAAGACTTAGTCGACGTCTGCCCCCCATTGTATTGGTCCGCTCCGCGAATTGATTGAAAGCGCCCGCGTGTGAGTTGTCTCTAGCCACCCCGGTCCTCGACGAAGGTTGCGCTTGTGCTGCTGCCATCTCCGCCCGCAGAGTGATTGGGCAAGCTTTCGTCTCAGTGCGCTGGCCGCCGCCTTGATTCGCGCCAGGAAAGGCTCTTGCAATCAGGACCATGGTGCCGTAACAACATGGCAGAGTCTGATCAAGTGCATAACTATGCATATCCTTCGGTTGCCAGCTGGCTGCACTCGACGACGCTGGCCCAGCTCGATGGCACCTCCGAGCCCCGGAATGTAGACGACCCACCCGACGACGCCTCCCCTGATGACTTTTACAAGTCCGCCTATACCTCCACCACCCAGCACGAGATAGTCGCCCTGCCGCCAGACATGGCCACCACCCGCCAGCGCCAGCCCACCGCGAACGGCGCCGTACGCCCGCCCAACAAAGCTGGCCCGAGATCTGTCTCTGGCCCGGCCTCGACTGCGACCGCGACCCCGACACGCGCTTCCCCGCAGGTGTCAAACAAAGTAAAAGCGCTGGCAGAGAGATTCGAACGCTCGCCGCAGAGCAGTCCCGCCAGCTCGTCGCCGGCGGTGCGATCGAGGAGCAAAGGCCCGGGTCGAGTGGGGGGATTTGACCCGTCCAGGCGCTCCAATGCCTCGGTGTCCTCGACGGCCTCAGCGGCGCGTCCCACCAAAGAGGCGACCTATGGATCGTACAAGTTCAACAATCTGAAGCCGAGGGAGCGACCCCAGCCCGCGCCTTCCACGCCCCGGAAGGCAGCTGCCAGACGAACAACAGGCAGTAGGAGCAGCCTCGACCACCACACCTCACCCACGCGGAAGAAGCTTGCTTCGCCCACGACTCGATCAGCTAGCCGGCCAGCGTCGACGGGGCGACAGCCATTCTTCGGAGAAGTTGTGAGCGGCCAGGATGTCACATCGCCTGGCTTCGGCATTCCCACGTTTGAAGGCACCGAGGAAGAGGCCCCGGGCGTGGACGCACTTTTGGGGGCATCAGCGGGGGCATCAGCAGGTGCTGCACGTTCGTCTGCCGCGCCACATGGCTCCCACCATCGTCGCTCCGGGAGTGGTGCCATGTCCGCGTTTGCTGGCCAATCTTCACGGATTCCTGTCCGCCCATCCCCCGCGTCCAAGATACCAGTGCGTGCCCGACGTCTGAGCGCCACTTCAGACACCACCAGTTCGTCCAGCCGGTCCGTCAGATACACGCCGACCCGTGCCTCGAACCACAGTAATCGTGCATCGCCGACACGGTTCTACAGAATGCACATGGGAGTAGGATCCGTCGCGGACTCGGGCGGGGCAGAGCAGTCTGTTCTTCCCTCGTTAGCGTATCGCGGATATCGAGAACGGGGGAAGTCACCAGCAGCTCCCCGGAGCGGCCCGAGCATAACAGCTATTGCAAATGCCCCACCACTGTCGCCTCGATTGCGAAATTCGAGAGAGAGACAGCCGCTACAATCGCCAGCGCAAAATGCTCGCGACTCTGGTGCATTTGGGGAGCACAGCTACTTCCCTGATGACGCGTTCGGCTCACATCACAGTCGACCCGTCAGCTCCGAGAACCCTCTTTCCCCAGGGAAACCCTCAGACAAGCCCCATCCAGACCAACAGCCCCATGAGGACCATCATACCTCGTCAGGCTACCAGCAGCGTCTCAGCCTGCAGACCGACCGACTGTCAGTGCCGCCGATTCAGCAGCCATTGTCAGCCACTACGGACTTCGAAGAATCCCCAATACTGGGATTACCTGGCAGTTTCGTGCTCACACCTCCCACGACACACGAAGAACAGCAGCCGCAGCTTCTTCAAGCCACTGTCTTCCATGCCTCCGGGCGACAGCCGGCTCCACGCTCTCCAGAAATCGAGCAGTCAGAGTTGGGTGTGCGCGAGTCGATACCCATCATGCTCGGAGATGACCAATCACAGCAGGCATGGCAACCTGGTACTGAAGATATGAGTGAAAGCCTGCAAGCTCTTACATATGGGCACTCTGGGGACCAAGGCTTTACCATGGTGCCTAGGCAGCCCAATCCCCACTATGATGTGGAGGACTCACCAGTGGATCCCTTCGGCAACCGCGAGTCACTGCGCCCGGAGGATTCAGCGAGCCTTGCTCCATACCGCGCGGCCGGACCTCTAACTTTTAACGCGGAGACCTATAGCGTCGTTAACTCTGTCCTTAATATGTACCACCAATCGCCCGTGATCTCGCCTGAGCTAGCATCAGTTTCGAGGGAAAGGGTGCAGCGTGTGTCGCCTGTTGTCGCGCAACACAAGGACTGGGCCTCAAAAGAGGCTACTGAGACGTATCTCGCGCGATTGCTCAGTGATGCCAACGGCGCAGGGGAGGAAGCTGCACGGGCCCAAGAAAGAGAAATGGCGTCCCCAGCTCGACCAGCAGTGAACTTCCCGCACGAAGAGGTGGAAGAAGACGAACACGACTTTGCGGTCGGGGGGACAGCAATTATATACCCACCGCAATCACGAAGATATTCTCGTGGGTCAAAAGGATCCAATGCGACTACTATTCAAGACGACATTTCGCCCTCCGGCAGCTCATCAGGGAGACCATCACATGACTACACTCTGCATAGTACAACGACTGATTGCACTTCAACAAATGGGATCGAACTGCCGCAGCTCGCTTGGACCAATGGTGGTCTAGGCCTTTCATATCACGAAGACATGCCGCCTTCACCTTCCTCGCAGCACACCCCACCTCGTCCCGCTTATTCACCTCCACCGCCGCCCACACAACCATCGATTGATCAACACACAACATCACACTACGCGCCGCACCCGCCCATTTCACATCAGTATCCACTTGTAGCGGCCATGAGCGAGCACATGGAGTTGCATCCTGCTCGTGCCGCTACGCCAGTTAGCCAATCTCACGATGAAGGCCTCGAAGCGCGTTATGGCGCTCCGGCAATGGTAGAAGCAGATTCCGCACCACCGTCACGCGGCTCAACAGAGAACGGTCCGCCTGATCCTGCAAAACAAGCGTTAATCAAGCGATACAGAATTTTGGAGGAGTTGCTTACGACGGAGCACCAGTTCTGTATCGACATGATGATCGCCCATAACATCTTCGAGGCTACCGCACAGAGTCTTATGACTGAGAAGGAGAAGAAAATCCTGTTCAGTAACTGCAAAGAGCTCGAGAAGTTCTCGCTGTCACTGTTTCGCGCGTTCAAGAAGGCTGCCAAGCCTATTGTCAATTATGACATACCTCCGCCGACTGGACCCTGGAATCGCGACTCCTCCGACTCCAGACCCTCCAACCCGTCAGACACTGCGCTGAACGTTCCCAGGCCGTCCGAAGACTCTCCGAATCAGTATGAGAACTGCACACTCGAGAACGACCACCAAACTACAGTTGGCCAAGTATTTCTTGAGAACGTAGTCAAGATGGAACGACTCTACACGACGTACTATCTCAACCAGGAGAACGCAGCTGCTTACATCAAGAAACACCAAGCCAACCCCGAGCTTACTGGCTGGGTCGCTGCTTGCTTTGAGCAGGTCGAGAACATGACACAGGCTTGGGATCTTGATTCACTGCTGCTGAAACCATGCCAGCGCTTGCTCAAGTACCCACTGCTCCTCGATGGACTCGAGAACTCCAGTGACCCCGACCATCCCGACCTCGTTCACATCAAGGCAGCTCGGCAAGAACTTTTGGCAATTAGCGGCCGCATCAACGAAGCCAAGAAGCGAGCAGACACCTTCCGGGCCGCAACATCCGAGGGTAGGAAAGAAAAGACCAAAGGCAAGGGCATTGGCAAGACGTTTGTCAAGGCGTTCATTCCGAAGGTCGATAAGAACAAAGCCTACGATGAAGCCGACAAGACCTTCAAGGACCAGGACTACAAGTCACGAGAGCAAAAGTTTGGTGGCCATTTCTTCCAGCTCCAGATTGTTATACGAGACTTCGAGCAGTATCTTGATGCGATCACGGAGCACTACCAGCAACTCAACATCGTCTTCATTGGCTTTGTCTCGGTATGTGAAGTGGCTCCTTCGGTCCATCCCGAGTTGGAGAGTACGTGGCGAAAGTGGGCAATGGCTCATTTCGAGCTCCAGAACAAGGCTCTGGAAGATCACGTAAGTTGAACCCGTTTCGATTCTGAGGTCTTTGCTAATGTCATACAGAAAACCGCTGTGCGTAACCGTGTGCTCAAGCCTGTCGCAGACCTGTGGGAGATGTGGGTCGCATACCAGAAGACGATCGAGCAGCGTAAGAAGTACTTGCTCTATTACGTCAAGCACAAGCAGGCTATCGACCGCGGCGAGAAGGTTGATCCAGATCTCGAAGAGTCAGCGAATAAGTTCACAACGATCAACGACACCCTCAAGCACGAGCTTCCGCTACTCTACGAGAGGACCAAAGGTCTCATGCGCACACTGATGACGCTCTTCATGTGCCTCCAGAAGGACTGGTACAAGACCTGCTCGAAGAAGATCCTGCCGCTCCTCGAGAGTGAGCCGCAACACACCACCTCTCTGCGCTACGACCTTGAGTCCTATGTTGAGCGTTTCAACTCGGACTACAAGCCAATGCAGGATCTTGCTAACCGACTGGGCATCGTCAACCGCAACTTGCTGATCGACATCTCGAACATGGTGTCCCCTGTTCCAACGCTATCTTCTGACGGTGTTGGCTCGGCTCGTAACTCGTCTTCTCGTCGCACTGAGTCGATCGGCAGCGAAGCTTCTATCGTGGAGCCGCGCAACCGTCACAGCGGCGGGTACGGAGGTGCAAACCGACAACGACTATACGAAAACCCTCCACCGCGTTCAACGCCTGCAGGTCCCGCTTACCCCTCCTTGTATCAGAGCGGTCCTGCTGGTAGACCTGCCGCAGGACCCACTTCGCTCCGTGAAGCTCGTGCTCTCAGCCCTGTTTCTGACGACAGCGAAGCAACAGTCATTTCTCACCGCGAGCGCCGCAACACTGGGTCATCGCGCAACCACGCGTTCCAGGGTCTTGATGGTGCATTCGACTTCGATGACCGCGACTCATATGGCTCCAACCAGTTCGACTTCCCTCCTTCGCTGGGTCCATCTTTCCTTGTGCCCACCTCCCAGCCGATGCAGCACTCCATGTCTGCACCGCACTCGCAAACCATCTCTCTCCCTGGTTCCCACCGTGGCTCTGGGGTCTTCAACTCGGCCCTACCCATGTCTGACTCTCCAGCCCGCGGCTCAGCCGAAGAGCTGCCCGCCACACCCTGCGACTCCGACGAGCCAGAAGTCTTGTTCTTGGCCGCCAGTCTCTTCGAGTTTAATATTGCCCATGATCGTCGCGAGGGCGGTATACCCTATCTTGTCTACGTGCCCGGTGAGATCTTCGACGTTATTGGCATGAAGGGCGAGTTATGGCTTGCTCGTAACCAAGATGATCCTTCCAAGACTGTAGGCTGGATCTGGGAGAAGCATTTCGCGCGCATCTTGCCTGAGGATGCTTGAGCAACAGCATGAGCATGATGAGCATCACGCAGCGTGCATATTACGTCTCGCAACGTGCATATCACCACTTTCTGTCTGGTTTCCGCAAACGAAGCGCCCATGACACGGCTTTGAGTCACTTTTTCTTCCCTTTTGTTAAGCGGCGTTTTCTTCTCTGGCAGCTCGCCTTCATTTTGGCTTGCTTTGGGTTCATATGTGATTCCCCCCGGCTGTCCCAATACGTGGACCTGAACTTTACAATTCCAACAGACCTTATACCTCTTTTAAAACAGAGCCCTATACCTCTTTTTCTTTTCTACTACTCTTCATTGGCAATGGCAACGATGAAAATACCTTTTGGGGCTGGTCGATTGGCTGGCGCAATTGTCGGTCGTCGCTACCTGCTTTTGCATTGAGGGCGTCTTGGTCAACGGATCAGCATGAGATGAAAGAGATGAAATACTTGCGTGGCAATATTTGGACGGCCTAGCCTACGAATTGCGAGGGGCAAGCAATTGAACGGCCTTGCAAGGATTAGGAACGGAATTGTGTTTGTGTATGAATATGATTAAGGGGGATATGAGAGTATTGGGAAATGGGAATGGAGAAGGGGACGTTTTCTCATGAATGAAGATTTGATTCTATGATGGCTACTTCTATTGCTTGTTTGACTTGATGTGCTGTGAGGTTTACTCGGACATGTCGCTTCCACTCTCGCTCCCGTCGTCGCTGCCGCTGAGCATCTCCTCATCATCCTCTGCGTCATCGTCCTCGCCTTCGAGGCCGTATGCGTCCTGGAAGTCGACGAGTTGCTTGACTTGCGGCTTGAATCCAGCTTCTTCGAAGTTCTTCTTGAGATCCTGAAAACGCACGCATTAGTGTCAAGTGTCTCTAATAGGAATGCAGGAAAGAAAAGACTTACATCACTCATAATCCCGCCACACGTAACCACCACATCCGCCTTCTCGGGCACAAACACGCCGCCCACAACCTCCCTCAGCACCTTCCTCACATCCTCAACCCCGACCTTCCTCACCTCCCTCAGCGCCCAATCCTGCCAGTCCTTGCCGACCCCGCGCGTCACAAGATCCACAAACGAACTCCTCGCCGCATCCAAAATACTCGCGCGCTCGTCGACAAACTCGCGTACAATGCTGCTAATCGCGCCCTCAAGCGCCAGCTCATCGAACGTGCGCGTCCCGTCGCCGTACTCGGCAACCACCGTCTTCGCCTTGCTGTACGCGGAGAAGGCGTTGGGCGACTTGTAGATTCTGAATTTGAGCAGGCCGGTCTCCGGGTCGCGGAAGAAGTTTGTGCCGTATGCGAGGCCGTTGCCGCGGATTGCTTGCCACATGGGCCCTTCGACGGCGTCGAGGTAGGCGAGTGCAACCATTAGTGATGGGAGTTGCGGGTTGGTGTGCCCCTTGGGGCCTCGCGAGGTGAAGACGGCGAAGCTGGAGTCGATGGGCATGGGGATGATGAAGTGGTTTCCACCAGGGTTCTTGCCGGAGGGGGAGAGGACGGCATTGCGGTCATCAATGGGGATGAGGGAGGGGTTTTCGGGGGCGGGGAAGGCGGAGAGGAGGTGTTTGAATGTGGATACGGGGGACGTGAGGGTCTCGAGGTTGGCGGTGACGAGGATGCGCATGTTGGAGAAGGTGAGGAGGTGGGTGCGGAGAGCTTCGAGTTTGTCGATGACAGTTTGGGGGGAGGATTTGAGGAGCTTGAGGATGCGCTTGAGGTAGAGGGCTTTGACGAGAGTGTTTGTTGCGCGGACGGAGGAGGCGGCGTCGTAGTGGACCATGCGGTCGACGGCGAAGGCCATGCTGTTGCCGTCGCGCTTCTCTTCGGGGACGTCGGCGAGCATTTTCTTGACGGCGGTGATGATGCGCTCGACGTCGAAGACAGAGTCCACGAGCATGGTCTTCAGCCATTGCACGCATGTTTCGAACTTGCTTGCCTCGGAGACGAAGGGGATGTAGAGCATCTCGGAGTTACCGACGTCGGAGCCACGGTCCACGCTGTATTCGATGGTATCTTGTTCAAGCTTTGTGATGATTTCTTCAAACTCGATGCGCTTGCCGTCCTTGACGACAGGTGTAGCGAAGAAGTTCGTAAGGTATACACCAAGCAGAGGCTTCAGGTCGGTGGGTAATGTGGCGGTTCCGAGAATTAGGCCAAAGTGCACGAACGACGTAGGGATGTGCTCGTAGTGTATGAACAGAGGCAGGCCGTTCTCGTCCTTGTCGATGTTTTGTTGAATCTTGTTCTCTGATGTGCCCAATTTCTTCGCGAGGCCAGAACGAGCAGTAACGGTCTCATAGAAGTGGATAGACTCGGTGCTAGGGACCTTTACGCCTGCGATAATCTCTTCGGGGATCGGCTTGTCGTTCTCGTCCTGTGCTGCCTTGAGCTTCTCTGCGAGCTTTTTAAGACCCTCTTCACCGAGCTTCTCTTGTTGGGCCTTGACACGGGCGACCTCCTCGGCCTTCATCTTTTCTGACAGTGCGAGTGACGGCTTGCCAAGCAGGGAAATATGGTGCGCATCTGACATCCACTTCTTCAGCAATGCTCGCCACTGCTCCTCTGTCCACTCTTCCAATTCTTCAAATACCTTCAAGCTGGCCATCGCTTTCTCAAGATCTGAGCCGTCTCTGTTGCCAAACAGATGGTCTTTGATGACAGAGTCCTTGTACTCGTCATTGCCAATCTCGGAGGCGTATCGTGTCTGACGCTCGAAGCGGTGTAAGCAATCCTTCAGATAGCTTATATCAAGTGGCCTGGAAGCGTGATCTTTCAGAACCTCAAAGAAGCGTTTTTCTACCTCCGCTAGCTTGGATGTCTCAACAGAGCTGATGGTCCACCATATAATCATGTCGTAATGTCCTTTGGTGTAGAAATAGATCTGACTTGCGAGGTTCTCCTTTTCAACTAGTGTGTTGACCAAGACAGAGACAGAAGACCCTGCAAGGTAATAGAGTAGAGTGTTGATGGCTGTCTCGGCAGTATCATCCATAGACTCAGGCCCGAGGAAGGCGATCTGGATTTCACCAGTAGATTCATCCTCCTCTGGAAACTCTACTGTGTCAACTACAGTCTTGCTCAGTGGCGGTGTGCGCTTCGACTCTACCCACGGTCGCTTGAAGGGGGCATCGTAGGCGGGTACCTTATCGATGATGGAGTCCTCGAACTTGTCCAGAATACTGAGGAGGTTGGTGTGCTCGACCTCTCCGATGAGTACAAGCCGAATGTTTTTCGGCTGGTACATGTCACGGTGGAATTGGCGAATGCGCTCTGCGGGCAGCACTCGTAGCGCCTTCATCATACCACCAGTCTCGTAGCGGTATCCGTCCCCTTCCGGGTAGAGCAAGCGACGCATCTGGAGGTCCATCAAATCGCCTTGTAGGTTCTCACGACCTTGCATTTCAGAGTAGACGACGCTTTTGCTGTTAGCTACAAAATCAATAGCTTGAGAAAAGTACACACCCTGCGTCTTCGCCTTTACCGTCAATATGGTGTACTTCAGTATAGCAACCGGCATCAGTCAGAGTGGGTACTATGAGATGGTCCAGATAGATTGGCAGAAGTTGCGCAAAACCTTCCCAGCCAGCAGTCGACAATGTGTAAACTGTCTCAGCTGTGTCAGTCCAGGCATTCGTGTCGGAATATGACCTGGTCGCGATCTTGTCCAGAACACCCTTGTAGGGATATTGTCGTGAGCCCATGAAGCACAAATGCTCGAGAGTGTGCGCTGCGCACTGTCAGCAGCGCCAGTTGATGGATAAATTCAAACATACGAGAGCCGGAGTCATCGTGAATCTCAGTGGCTACAGCAAAGTTTCCGTACACCTTTGGCCCTTTCCGGTCGACAACTACCACCCGTAGTCCTGTTCGCTGCGACTCATACTGCGTGAACGTGGCATCCGCATAGTCGGCTTTGAAGCTCTGGATTTTCTTGAAGTGAGAGTCTTGTTGTACGGACCCCATTTTGTCGTATAGTATGGGTGATTGGAGGAGTCTCAAGGTTTTCCTCGAGATGCTCAGATTGGTAGTGCGCAGGGGCCCTTTGTCCGCTACCGAATTAGTACTACCATTGTCGTCCAGCCACACGCAAACAAGAATGGCCTAGCAAAGAGTTTGCAAACAAGGTGGCAGTCGCAATTCGGGCATTGCGAAGTCATCGTTTGAGAAGGTGATCGGCTTGGTCTGCTTGAAAGTGCTGTGATACACGTGGAGCTACAGGTCGGACCGGTCGTAATAGAGGTGGTGACCATGAATGTGACTTACTTTCGGGAGAAAGATACAGAAGAGAAGGAGAAAACAACGCAAACCCACTGAACCAATGAAAGATTTGCGAATAGAAACTGTCGTTCTTCCGGCAGAGCGTGTGGCAACCTTGGTGGTTCGAAGATATTTTTGCCAAGTCTTTGTTATGGGTGCTGGCAGATGCAACTAAGAACAGGGCAGTCTATTGTGAGCAGACTCCGAGTTCCAGCGTTTGGCAGGTGTCTTTGCAGTGGCGGGGCACTAGCTGTGGCGGGGCAAGTGAATTGAAGCTTGGTGGGCACGGGCCCATGAGGTAATCCGAGTGCTGGTAACAGCTACGTTGCGACGGCTGATCGGCCACCTCAAGCTTCGCTCCTCTCTGTAAGATGATATGAAAAACACGCTGTAACGCCAATGTCTACGCAAGTATCCGCCGAAAAACTCGGCGATGCCATACTGCAATCGGTCGAGCACGGAGCGTTCCCGCAGGACGAACATGTGGCATCTGCATCCGTGCCGTCGAGCGCCCTGCCAAAGCTACTAGAGCTCGTTGGCAAGGCAAAAGAGGACATCCAAGGTATGTGAAGAGGTGATGCTTGTGCCAGGCAAAGCTGACACGTGCCATAGAACGAAATACGCGCCATCTCTCGCGAAGTCCGCTTCCGATGTCGACGGCTGGATCGCCCAAGCGCGCAAACTGCAGGATGATATCAAACACTCCCAGGATACCGCCAAAGAGATAGTGCAGGAGGCAGAGAAGGGAAAGGCCTATACTGCACAAGTACAAGACGCGGCCAGCAAGGTCAGCCTGCTACACACCGAGATCGCGTACAACGAGAGCCTGGCGCGAGTGGTTGAACAGTTGCGGGACATCTCAACCGTCTTAGACTCGGCGCAAGGAGCCGTTGCACATGGACACCTCATACACGCGTTGGATACATTGGAAGATGCTGATGGTGCCTTCAAAAGACTTGGATCGTTTGAATCAACGCGCGCGGCAGGCGTCTTGCGGACGAAGGAGGATCAGCTGAAGAAGGCAATCATCGAAAATGTGACAGAATCGTGGAATGGACTGATCAATGTGGACAACACAAATCACAAGATCTCGTTAAAGGACACCCTCGAGGGAGAGGCTACAGTCGACATAAGTACCGTTGTGGAGGCGTTGAGCAAATTGGACCTTCTGGACAGTTTTCTTTCTCGCTTCAGCCGCGATCTCGATCGCATCATCATCTCACCGCGGCTTGCTCCTGGCACAAACAAGCTTCTGGTATCATTCGCCATCGACGGCAATGAAATTCGACGCACGAGCCAAATCAATGGGACACGCATCAAAGCCACCCTCGAGGACATACAGGTCTTTGCTGAGTACCTGAGTACCCATCTGCCGTCCAGTGTCGCCGT